TCACCATACATTACGTTTCAGTTTAACCAGTCGACCCCATTGTTAACACCGATGAATGGAGGGATCCAATCATTCAACAGCAAGTCGCTCCTGGATGGCGGAAATGGTATGTTCCATTTACGATTTCTGTTTGTATAAGAGCTGAATGAGATATAATTCAGTGACTGCCACCGGAACGGAGTTTACTGTGACTGATACTAGCAATTCGACCTACATTATTTACAGTCTCTCTTCGATCACGCTCACAGCGAGCTCTCTAGCCGGATCGGCTGGGACGATCTCCGCGTCGAGTGTGTTCACGGGTGTCCTCCGACTCGTAAAGCTCGAGGATCCCGGACACAAAACGATTCTTGACAAGCATTACGAGATCTACCCGGTCTCCGTCGAGCAAAACTACGACTTGTCAAACACAACAGGCACGCTTAGCTTCCACTGGAACACGGTGGGGAATGGAAGTGATCTCCTCATGCTAACCTGGCCACACCACCGGCTTGCAATGCAGAACGGAAATTTCCCAGATATAACAGCGCTCGCCTATTTGACTACGAAGGTAAAGCTCCGTTAAGTTTGTCGTTAGACGTGTGCTAATAGTGATGCGGACAGGGATATATGTATCCAGCTCTTGGGAATGAATGGACATTGCTCTACAACCTCACATCAATAATATGGGATCCCCCACGCGAGCTTGATTCTTCGTGTTCATCGGCTGTTCTCCAAGGTCTTGAATACGAGATCGGAGAACTTAATCCTGCAAATGCTCCAATCCCTGGTGACTTTTATTATTGGGGTGGTTCAATGAATGCCATTGCGCGGTTAGCAGTCATTGCGTGCGTACGAGATCTATCTCTCCCATATGATAGAATATGAAGCTCATTATATATGCAGTGACAATCTCGGACGTACTGATCTGATCTTACCGGTTATCGATTACCTCGAGGCTTCTTTCGCCCAGTGGTTCAATACCTCAGCGACAACCATGGCGGCATACGAAACCGCGTGGGGTGGCGTCATAAATAAGGCCGGCGCAAATAATTCGTGGGTCGATTTTGGGAACGGATACTACAATGACCACCACTTTCATTATGGATATTTCCTTGCTGTCGCGGCAGTCATTGCGAAGTACGACCAGAGCTGGTTGAATCAACATAGGGACTTTATTAACTGGTTTGCACGGTATGTCTTTCTTTACACAGTTCTTATGGATTATGAAGTCAATGATTGGTTATGTGCAGGGACATCGTAAACCCATCGGTGAGTGATCCTTACTTCCCCATTACTCGGTGCCGAGACTGGTTCGCGGGACACTCTTGGGCGTCTGGAATCGCGAATGGTGCGGGAAGCCGGGACCAAGAATCGAGCGGTGAAGCTATCAATGGATACTACGGCGCGCTTCTTTGGGCATCTGTCACACTCTCGGACGACATGGTAAATTATGCAAAGCTCCTGTTAGCGACGGAGATGCACAGTGTACAGGTGTACTGGCATCTCTATCCGGATCAAGCTTCGACAGACCCGAACAATCCGTATCCTGAGCAGGGCTTGAGGGACTTGGTCACGATTGGCAACGTGGAGGATTGGCAATCCGGAGCGTGGTTGTTCTGGGGAAGCGAGAAGAGCGAGATTGCAGCGATCCAAATCTTGCCAGTTCAACCTGTGAACGAGGTGGACAGCTCCTTCATTACATGTTGGATAATAACAGACGGCTAATGACGGTGTTTATAGATTCTGTACGACGCCGAATGGGTTAAGAATGTGTGGAACTATACAATGGTCGAACTCGTTGACCCGAGCATTGGTGATGAATGGTATGTTTTGCCCAAGTTTTTTATGTACCTTTTCTAATGCGTTTGAGCAGGAAATGCGTGATCATTGATGCGTACTCAAACGTAAACCCACAGGTCGCAGCTCAGTGGAGTGCGAACATCACTTCCTGGGGTATGACCCTTCTTCCAACAGTGGAACTTTCAGATTTAGTCCTAACAGAGTGAAAAAAAAAATTAACAGGCAGTGGGCAAACATACACGAACGAGCTCTTCTTCATCGGAACTCGACCTAACCCAACCGGGGCGCCAATCTGTAGCAACAACACCCTCCCGTCTAACCCCTACGGAAAGTTCCTCATACAGGACACATCCTCAGGAAATTACGTTGCCGCGTCTAGCGCGAACACAAACCTAATCGCCTCAGCTACCTCTACCAGTGGCGCTGCGACGTTCAATAGCTCCTTCGTGCCCAACGCCGGGACGCTCCAGCTCATCAGCACGAAAGAGTTCGTGACGGCTGACCAGTCTGGTAACTACACACTCTCTGCGACCCGGAGCACGGCGTCATCTTGGGAGACGTTCGTGATCCGCCAGAAGGTTGGAGCAGCAGCGGGTGTGTACTCCATCCAGGCAGTCAGCAACAGACTGTACATCACTGTGGATGGGGATGGATCGCTTGTCAACAATGGTGCGAATGAGGCGGCGAGTTCTGGATTCAAATTCATCGACGCGTGATATATTGGTTAATGTGATCAATTAGTATTTGCTCATTACTATCTTCATTGAAGATCATGAATTGAGCAGTGGTTCATTCATTACAATCGACAGAGGTTATTCTACTGGTTCCGAAGCGTACAACCCTATGTTTTTGATACTATGTTTATGAAGGAATCATTCCAAAGCCATCCCGCCTTGGGTATTTGTCCTGTTTTTGGGCGTAGTTCGCTCAGATTAAGATTCCTGAGGATCCATACACCTTTCCTCGTCAAAAGTATCTGATCTCCCGTCACTCTACTTTATAATAATTACTTCCAACTTGGTTATATTACCACTACGGGTTGCATTAGCAGTAGCTTTGGCCGCTGCTACGGTAACCTGCTAAGTAAGAAGCATGGAGTTTGCTTGGCGTATAACAGGTTTCAACGACCAAGAAACTACTTAATTCACTGCAAAAGTCGGCAGCTTAAATTGGCCGCCGTCTCCGTCTTGGTCTGGTCGGTGTATCCCAAGTCTATGATACCACTGTCTGGGATTCAACCCCTTGTGAAGTATTCGGTGTAGCAGTATCGGACGAATGTCGCGCGGGATCAGATATTGCGAAGCTGATATCCTCCAATGCTGAGTTTCATTCTCCCTCTCATACTGATCGGCACATATATTGTCGTCAATGTGGCCGTTCTTAGTAGGCGTTGCGGATGCTTCCTGGTTCGACCAGCGATCTCTATGCTTCTGTTGAGAGAAGTGGCTGCTTGGAGTGGCCGGAGTGTGGGCCGGAGTGTGGCACATGCTGGGAAGGAATTAGACATAATCGACGACCACGGTCAGTCGTGTACTGGCGGGTATAATGCCATTCATGCACGTGGAAACCATAATGTTTGTGTGAAGTCTTAGAGGAGTGATCACTGAGCGATCACTGATTAACCACAGCAATCACTGAGCATCCATGATTGGTCACTGAGCGATCACATGACTAGACTGACGAGATCACTGAGCATGAGCACGTGCTGACATTTACTCAGTGAGCCTGAGCCTGATCGCCCTCATAAAGCGGCGGCAGCCTAGATAGGAAAGCCCCACCCGCCGGACATTATCCTGTGTATATAGCTGCATATTAGACTGGATCAGACCAAGTGCGTATCTGCGGTGAACGGCGGCAGATTACGGCCACGGACTAAAAACTTATGATTGCTTACCTACTAGTGCTGATTAAATACGGCAGAGAAGAGCCACCTACCGTCATTTGCACGATCGTTTCATTTGTAGCTGATGCTAAGCCGAACAGGAATTGCGAAACGTAGAGTTCAGCAATAGTGTTTAGACAAGCTGACCAGGCCACTACAGCAAGAATCACAGTTGTCGAGATCAGATATACCGAGCGTCTTCCGTACTTCACAGCCGGGGGAATGAACAAAATACAGCCAATAGCCCGTCCCTGCATAATTCAAGGCGGAGGCAGTATTCAATTGATTATAACTCCACCCGAATTCCGGAATCCATAGGACCCAAAAGACGACCGGGAGAGAGGATCTGATACAGGCATTAGTGTTGTTCACAGTAGCGGCTAGGGATCATACTGGGTGAAAATCAGGGCCGTCACGACGAGGGTCGGGAGGAAGTTCATCAATTTTCAGGTCGGAGTCCAATTCTACGAGGGAAATATCCAGGCATGAGCATACGTTTGCAAGCTGTGGCACCCGTACCAATGGATCATTCGGATCCTGAGACGGTGTCGGTTGAAGCATGAATTCCTGGGTTTCGAATTCCCCATTTTCTTAATGTGGTTAGGCAGACAGGAATGAAGTATTCATGGGAGCCTACTAATCTCTTACCGCGAATAAGACGAACGGTACCCGGAGGTGTAGTAAAATAGGACGGGGGAGGCTGCAGCCTTACCATCTTCCTTTTATGTGAAGAGACTAAAGGGAATAAAGTAGCGGCAGATTAAGTAGACGCTGCTACAATTCCAGAATGGCGGGTTAGGGGACACCAAATTGAACAGGGTGTGCTGATAAAACAATGGATTAATTTGCAAATTTCAAGTCTTCCCCTCCAAGGAAGAGGGGATGTACTTATAAAGCATGGTCAAGACTCGGCATTTACCAACCAGGCCTGTCTACCGTGGATGAGCTCTATAGAAAAGCTTATCAAACTGAACCGGCAACGCGGGGAAGCAAGATATCAATTCATAGGTCATGATTGGCCCAAATAAGTGCTTTTCTCGATAAATATCAGCGATTTGAAGCAATCAGAAGGCGTATGGGTTGAATCGGCTGTTAGTTGTTGGCACTAGTAACCAACGCAGTCCGTGTCCGTGAGATAGAGCGGGTCGACCTTATGGATTGGGAAATGTCTAGCGGCTATCGCACGTTTCTCTGCACTCTGCGGCGGCACTTGACTACGACACCTCGCAAGATCTACAGGTATCAACCAGTACGATAGCAGGTCGAAACGAAAGTATGTCATATCCAGTTGGCGATATTTGCTTCGGAATCGTGGGTATATCAAGTCCAGCGCATATCAAGCAATGATAAAAGCAAGTGCACCGGCCATGCCTACACTGGCCCATGTAGGCGGGTTGTATGCAATCGCACCGCCGGTCTCTGTAGCACTCGCGCCCGTCCCTGTTGCTATCGCCGTGGCTCCCTGTGCACCCGCACCAGTTGCTGATACAATATTATTCGTCGAAGCAGCAGTGATAGCATGTAAAAGAGAGTCAGCTGTCCAGGTGAAAGTCGCTCCGCTGACCGGGGTACTTAGGACACCGCCACTGTTGTAGAGTGTCTCGGTTCCATTCTTAGGAAGATTTTTCGGCTTATAGAAAGTATGTGTGTCACCAGCACTCTCAGCGGCGTACCCCAAGTCACTGCCGCAGTCGTATGCCTCAAGATATGGACCGCAATCCTCCCAGTGATGAGGGCCCAGGAACGCATCGTACCAGTAATCGGCTCCAATTTCGGAGGGCTTCGTATTTGGGCACACTCCCCAGATGCTAGAGGAAGTTAGTCGACGAGGCGTGTCTTCAAAAATCACTGGGGCGCTTTGCCTGGGGATAGGATTGTAGACATACGCAGACACAACAGCACTCTGTGCACAGCAGATACAGGCCTGAGCATAGTTCGTCATGTCCTCCACCTCGGACATTTGGTTGAGATTGGTCATATTATTGCTGCACTCCGTGAGTTGCGCAGAGATCAGCGTCTCTTTCCGAGCCACCTTTCCAATATTGCATGAACATCCGCCCGCGGCGTTGGCCGGGGCCGGCCAGAAGGGTATTTGATCCATGTCGAAGTTCAAGCATAGGTTGAGAACGTCTTGTGCTGTTTCCTGGTATTCGCAAGAGTATACCTAGCGAGGAAGAAAAGAGTGAGACTTGATCTCATGACGTGAGTATATCGCGAGAGCTACCTGGTTCCAGCAACTCGAGGCAGTACAATCAATCTGATCGGTGGCCTTGACACATCCGCAAGCATTGATGCAGTCGACTCCCAGATTCGGGCATTGTTTTGCCATGCAGGTAGGATCCCCATTGCACGAGTCGAAGCAGCTCTTGCTTCCCCCGGAGCAATTGCTCGTGATGCAATTCGTATAGCTCGTCTCTGCTTTATCATAACATTTTTGCGTCCCCTTCGGATCCGCACAGACTGAAGTATCATTGAAATAGACCGCCGCTGTAGCTACGGCAAGCGACGAGAATGCCGCCCAAGGCAGCACCAACCGTGATATCGCAGGCATTGTGTGAAAGAGTGCGGAAATGACGACGAACTGCGACAAACAAAACGAGACAAAACCTCGCCCTGGTCAAAGCTCCTCTCAGGCACCAAATGGACTCATCAGTCGACCTACCGCAGATTCGGGCCAAGCCGAAAGGTCCATATATCCCACTGCTAGTGCTGATACCGGACGAATGGGAGTCGGCAGCCTCTTGGCGGTCGGTGATCTCTGCTCATCCGGGGAAGACCCGAGATCGCATCTCGTTTAATTTTGCCAGGAGTGGGCTGGAATGGGGGCCGCCAAGATCGAGGACAAGAGCGGGATTGTCCGACCACGTCGAAGTGTCCAATTGAAGCTGACATCTTGTGCATTGGTACTTGGCCCAGGCTGGGCAGGCTGGGCAGGCTGGATTGTCGGTGATGGTGCGGAGGCTTGAGCAGGGGAGGTTAAATAACGTTGCCTCGTTTGAGTCGCGTTGCATCACGAATGACCGATGGCATGAGTTGGGTTTCAGATATTTTTTGGACGTGTTGTCTCTCTATCTCCCGCTTTAGTCTCTTCCTTCATGGGATGCATGTTCCCGCTACGCCAAACGTCCGTCGTACACCCGCCCGACCTTTGGGTCGCGGCCCCGGAAGTTGACAGTGTGATCATAGACAAACGGTTACCTTGCGGCTCAAATTAAATATATGCCACGCGCTGATCATCGGCGTGAGCGGGCCGATCGGTGGCTGAACTTTCCCCAAGCTTCTCGTATTTCATTATTTGATATCTTATCTCAATCAATGCCATGAGTTTCGATGGTCCCTTGGCTGGGAATGAATAATGGTGGAGTACTGGGTGACAGGTCTGAACTGAGGAAGGTAAATCGGGGGCGATATTTTGCGTCCATGCTTGGCGCATGCCTCAAGTTTTGGCAGATTGTTTGGAGGATCCCCATAACCTCGCGTCACTAGGTAAAGCAAGTCCAAGTGGTCATCAACGTAAATGACCCAAAGCCACTCAAGACAGGAGAAACTGGCAAATCTGCTTATCGTTAATTTGAAAATATGATTACTTCCCAATAGTGAGTGCGATATTGGGAAGTTTGACCACTGTCGATAGAGATCGACCAAGCTGGCCGTGGAAAAGCAGCCGCTCGGCTGGCATCTATGACAATTTACATCATGACTGATATAGAGACACTCATGAATCCAGCTCCGAGTCCTGTATGGTCGATCGCGAGCGCATAACGTCAATCGTTCGCAGCCTTGGAGGTCATAATTCAGCGGTGCTACTTCAATAAGACTCCTGCAATCGAAGGCCCTGCAAATGTGACACGTGCTACATACAGCAGAACCACCAGTTCTACCAGCGATAGTATCGTCGTCAACAACGTTCCGTCTCGGACACCGCGTTTCGGATCAGCGTCGACATCGACTGAAGCAAGTTTATTGTTGGACTGGTGAACTCCTCATCAGCTACCAATGCAAATCATTCTCATCCTGGCCAAATTATTCCGCAAGGCTTCGAATTTAGGTCTGTTATGCAGTCTACGGCCAACGAAGACGATAAAAGTTACATATATGATCCAAGAGTCACCATTTTGCTGCACCGACATTCTATATTTCTGAAATCGATAGATAGCTACATGCTTTCATCAGAAACAAGGACCTACCGGCTCAGCAAGCTAAAATAACGGGAAACCGGACATTCCATTGCCAGAAATTTGCGCACCATCATGGTTTTTGTCCCTCGATGACCCCTGTGAGACACTGCGGATATTTAGCAATGGAAATGACTTGGAAGCTATGACCACTCCTTTTACTTTTTCTTCCTTTTTTTTGCTTCGTTCTATCATGTCTAACATTCCAGACTAGAGCAAAGCTTTTCGCCTGGTACCGACTCAGCACGGACGTAGCCACATCGGTTGTTAGACCACCAGTCGGTCGGTTTGTCATAGTTTGATCAAGGGTTCCGTATCTCAACAATACCACCGAGTCCCTAGTCCGAAATCCCAAGTTCGCAACGGCTTCAATCAAACTAAACCCAAATTCCCCAGTCCCCAGACCATAATTCGCGGGATGAAGAGGAAAATCCCCCAACTCCTCCGCATTTCTCACCCACAATGCCTGTATACGCTCACCGGAGGCCATCTGCGAGACCTGGGGGAATAGCCCGCAGACCCTCCTCCAGTTCGGTTCTACGGAGTACGGAATTCTCGGCAAAGTTTTACCCCGGGTCGCCCGTCTCGGCCTAGAGAAGAAACAGGAGGGGTCCTCCGGCCGGGTTCTAGGCTAAAAAGTTGAAAAAACTTCGCCGACCCCGACTTCCCCGGGTACGAGCAAGGTTCGGGTCTAACGCGAAATCCTCACCGGGATGCTGTGTGCTTTGCTCGGCTAGTCCTGTCATACACGGAGAATGGATCGGTTACCGAAGATGGGCCCATTTGATTCGGGATGTGGCGAATGGGAAGAGAAAAAATCTGGTAACTGTGGTTGTGGGAGCCACAGTTTGGAACTTGGGTATGGAATCTATGGAAGGGAGAATTGTATGGGTGTGGCTTGAGAGCGGTAATTTGCACTATGGGAGAAAGCTTATTGGACATTCATTATTGCCATGCTTTTTTTGGGTTCCTGATATTTATCTTTTTACTGTTTCTGTCATTGTGAAAATTTCTTTGCACGGACTGCTTTGGGTTTAGTGTTCCCCATGGCACCGCGTGTCGTTTGATTTTGCCCTTGTCTGCCGGATTATTAGGGTTTTTTTGAGTTGGGGCGCCTGATTTTCCAGGGTCTGCGGGTTATCTGCAATGCTACTGTGGCTTGGGGGGCGGTATCATATACCTCCCGAGTACGGTATAGAGTCAGAGCGTATACGAAGGATTGAGGGGACAAGGTAGCATTGGACGCTGTTAGACTGAACTCCGGAGAGACTGGCTGGCAGAGGCTGAGAGATTCGAGCCAAACGTTCTGCGCCCAACAAGCTTGAAGCGCCATAATTGAATATTCTATGGAAGATTACTCCGTACAGGAACTAATTTTTTATTCCCACTGCTTGTATTCGGCTAGTGGGGATCATTTCCGGGCTTGGTCATGCCGTGCAAAAATGCTGACTGGCCCGAGAATCACGGCTCCCACGGTCGGGTCGTATTTGCAACTGGGATCTGACATGCTGGATGTGAGATCGTCCCTGTTACCGCTCCCAGATCCGGCAGGAGGCCCTGACAATCGGACCTGACAGAACCAACATGACAGGCAGATGAACTGCTCACTCTGGAGATGTTCTCCTCTCTATCTTTTTATTCTCCGTACTTTGCTGCCAATCACTCTCCCCTCCGATGACTCCGGCACATGGCGCCCCATCTTTTCTGACCTTCCCACAATTTTTGTCGAACCTTCTCTCCTTCCAAGCTCACCAAGCGGGTGGCCACGGCCAATGACCCTCTTCCAAGGCCTTGTCCCGATATTAGCCCGAGGAAGAGACACGCCTTCAAACCTTCTCATGGTGGGTTGTCCCACAATTTCCGCTGTTGGCCGTTCTCAACTCGCTCCATCTTACCATGCCCAGAGTCAAAAAGGAGGGTCCTGTTCGCGGGGACACCGCACGACTGGACGCCACGTGATGCGCCAAGGTTCCCTGCGCGGAATGGCGGAGTGTGAGTTTGACTTCCCCACAATAGAACCAGCCCAGTTGACTCGCATTCTCGTCCTTTGACTGGCTGATTCGGCCGGGGATGTGGAAACCTTTGCCCTGTCCTGCTCTGTAGAACGTCTCGCAGAAGGCTTCTACGCCCGGGGTGCGTTTTCCCGATGGGGACGGGCTTGCTGCCATGGACCCCCCTCCTCTGCTACCTTCTGTTTCGCGGCGACGCCCATTAGTCTCGCGAGATGACGACTCGACTAGCTATCTCGACCACCGACGAGAGAGGAGACAGGCAAGCCAACGCGGACAACACTGACCAATTACTGAAACCGTAGGCCAAAGTCGTGCGGGGGGCACGGGCTCTGCCTTACGCGCAGACTCCCAATTCCAATGCAACCAGCACCAAGCCATACGAAGGAACCATGAGAAGATGACAGCTTACGGCAGACGGAGTTTGGAGAACGGGCCACGCCGTTCAGTCAGCGATGCTACTGTAAGTACTCGCGATGCCCGCTACGGCCTAGAATGGTTCAACGTTTCTCGCGAACCGAGATTGTCCCACCACCACCTAGGCCCTTCCATTCAGCTAATTTTCGCCCCTCTCTCGAATAAAACAATCTCAGAAGCGCCATCGGCCGTGACTATTGCCGCTGGCTCTGTCTCATTTTCGCCTCTCGCTCTTGTTGATGGTTGTCTATTTCCGGCCTGGTGCCTCTGCGGACATGGCCGAGCTGCGACCAGTCACCGGGTCGGCTCACGCGACTTCGGGGGGGAGAACAGAGAGAGAGAGAACCACCAGTTCAGCGACGGGTAACCGAGACCGAATGACAAATGCTGAGTGGACTGAGACTTGAGGAATCAATGACTAGCTGAGTTACTCACAGTTGCAGTCCTCCGTCCAGGTCCTTATTATCCACCTCTTTGGTCAGGCGTCGGAAAAAAAAAAAAAAAAAAAAAAAAAAAAAAAAAAAAAAAAGAAAAAAAAAGAGCCAAAAACAGAAGAAGAAAAAGCGACCAACAGAAACGGTGGCGCGGTCCAGTCGCAGGTGGCAACCAATGACCAAGTCCCAATGGCGGCCCAGGGACCCCGAAAGGGACAGCGTCTCCGCGAGCCGAGGAATTTGACTTTCTTTTCGCCGGAGACCCGAGCATCTGACTGGCTGGCCCGTTGGACTTTGTTCCTTTTTAACTCAAGACCCCGTCCATTCCAGGCCTAGTCTCCGGTCAAGTTCTGCTGGTGCTCTCGCGCAGGGTCCCTCTTCACTGGCCAATGACTCCCTCCAACCCACGGCTTCATCCGTGCAGACCTACTAGGCTACTAGGCTACTGTACGACTGTATCTACTACAGACCTTCCCCGGCTTTCACACTCTCCCATGGTCTCTCTATTTCCCCGTGCCGCATGCCACGTTTTTTTTTTTTTTTTTTTTTTTTTTTTCGTTTTTCTTTTCGGGGTAGCGTGGTTGTCCCACAGTAGTCTCAATCCGACCTAGTCGACTCCCCCTTTCATCTTAGTCTGCCGTGTCCTGGAGGCTTCGACTGTGATCCATCCCATATTATTATTTATTTTTTTCAATTATTCATGGTGATTTCTCTTTTCTGTTCGGGATTTAGCACGGTTCCAGTAGTTCCCCAGTGCGACGGACCAACCCCCGCCTGTGGCCAGCCGACTAGACCATCGGCCGTGGCCGTGGACGGGGACTCGAACGCGAGCCGAGAGTGGCGGACCGTCTGGTAAACAATTTTTTTTTCTTTCTCCGTGACTCGCTGGGGCTCACGATGTTGCACTAGATCGGATTGGAAACTTTTTTTTTTCCTTTGCCCCCTGCTAATTTGGTCTGGGGATCTGGGGTGCCCGGGGTGCTGGGGTGTCGTGGCCTGCGAGGATATAAACTTCCTCCTCCTCCCCCCTCGTTTGTACTTTTTCTCTCTTTCATCCTTGTGATCCTCTCTCCTCGACCAATCCTCTCTCCTACCTTACTTGGATCCTCCCCTTTTACCTCCTACTTACTTCCTCTCTCACTACATAAGTGAAACCCATCACCGCAATGGCTGGTGGTGCTGTGTCCCCCGCGGGCAGCGTCGACGCTCGCCGCGTCGAGGCCCCCGTTACTGTCAAGACGTACCTGATGTGCGCCTTCGCTGCCTTTGGTGGTATCTTCTTCGGTTATGATTCCGGTTACATCTCCGGTGTCCTTGGTATGGACTACTTCATCACTACTTTCGAGCACCTGGTAAGTTTGGCACTCTGCCACTGAGCTCTTTACTTTCTCTCTCTCCTTCTCCCTCTCTTCGGTCCATATATCTTGATAGCGGTATACTGATATATCCTGCCTCGTGAAAAAGGACCCCTCTCTGGCTACTACCAACCCCGACGCTTTTGTCGTTCCCTCGTGGAAGAAGTCTCTCATCGTCTCTATTCTCTCTGCTGGTACTTTCTTCGGTGCTCTGATCGCCGGTGACCTGGCTGACTGGTTCGGTCGTCGTACCACCGTTATTGCTGGCTGCTTCGTCTTCATCGTCGGTGTTATTCTCCAGACTGCTTCCAGCAGCCTGGGTCTCCTGGTTGCTGGTCGTCTGATTGCCGGATTCGGTGTCGGTTTCGTTTCCGCCGTCATCATTCTGTACATGTCCGAGATTGCTCCTCGCAAGGTCCGTGGTGCCATCGTCTCGGGCTACCAGTTCTGCATCACTATCGGTCTCATGCTGGCCTCTTGCGTCGACTATGGCACTCAGAACCGCACTGACTCCGGCTCCTACCGCATCCCCATTGCTCTGCAGATGCTCTGGGCCGTCATCCTTGGCACTGGTCTCTTCTTCCTACCCGAGTCCCCTCGTTACTTCATCCGCAAGAACGACAAGGAGGCTGCCCGTGAGGCTCTCTCCCGCATTCGTGGCCAGGCCCCTGACTCCGAGTACATTGAGCTGGAGCTGAACGAGATCGAGGCCAACTTCCAGTACGAGATGACCGTCATCCCCGACACTGGCTACTTCGACAGCTGGATCAACTGCTTCCGCGGCAACATCTTCCACCCCAACTCCAACGTCCGCCGCACTGTCCTCGGTACTTCTCTCCAGATGATGCAGCAGTGGACTGGTGTCAACTTCGTCTTCTACTTCGGTACCACTTTCTTCAAGCAGCTCGGCACAATCCAGAACCCCTTCCTGCTGAGCATGATCACCACCATCGTCAACGTGCTCTCCACACCCATCTCCTTCTACGCCATTGAGAAGGTCGGTCGTCGCCCCCTGCTCCTCTGGGGTGCCCTGGGTATGGTTGTCTGCCAGTTCCTCGTCGCCATCATCGGTGTCACCGACGGCAGCAACCCCCACGCCGTCTCTGCCATGATCGCCTTCATCTGTATCTACATCTTCTTCTTCGCTAGCACCTGGGGCCCCGGCGCCTGGGTCGTCATCGGCGAGATCTTCCCCCTGCCCATCCGTTCCCGCGGTGTCGCCCTCTCCACCGCCTCCAACTGGCTGTGGAACTGCATCATTGCCGTCATCACCCCTTACATGGTCGACTCTGACCAGGGCAACCTCGGCGCCAAGGTGTTCTTCATCTGGGGCTCCCTGTGCACCTGCGCCTTCGTCTACACCTACTTCCTCATCCCCGAGACCAAGGGCCTCACCCTCGAGCAGGTCGACAAGATGATGGAGGAGACTACCCCCCGCACTTCTGCTGGCTGGAAGCCCCACTCCACCTTCGCCGAGGAGATGGGTGTCACCTACAACGACAAGGTCGCCACCGAGGCTACCGTCGCCCAGGTCGAGGTCTAATTTGCAGACGTGTAAAAGGAGTCAAGCTTCACTTTTTTTCTTTCCCCCTCTTCTCAAAAGTTCCAAAAAAAAATTCACCGAGGAGGGAAAAAACACCGCTTGGCTCTTATTCCCGTCTTGCTATGCGGTGGCTGGTACATTGATCGTTGATACGCTTTCATGTCCTATGCCCTTCATACCTCTTTGCTTCGTGCAGGCTGGTCCGGTTGTTTAGCGAATACCAGGGGTGTTCATGCGTTTACGTGTTTTATGCCGCTACTCTGTTACCGTTTAATGTGGATGTATCTCTATTAATTGAAACTTTTTTCAATAATTTTTGAACCCCTCCTTCCGCTGTAATGTATCCTGATATGGAAAGTAATCAAAGTGGTCAGTTAAAGTCCTCTTGAGGCTCGGCACGCTCCTCAAGCTGTCGAAGCGCTTCGCATGCTCCAATTCGAAGTCGACTCATCTTTTCGTATCTTAAACGATGAACATTTTACCATATATTGAACTACAGCATGACCCCTCTAAGGGTTTCAAGCCCCCTGATCAGCCGTAGATAGCTTTCACTGAGTTGGGCTTTGACTTTGTTGCGATAGGCATACTTGTAGGATGCATCCACGTGATCCGTGATTATAGCGGAGCTTCCCAAGTCTGCCCAGGGAGATTCCGTCAAGCATCTTCCCTTTAAGTGACTCCACATCTGTCAATCCCGGCAATTCCCATCTCTCATGTGAAAAATTTTTCCTTGCCCGGGAGCAACTCTGGTTAGAATTCTTGATACTAGAGTTCAAGCAAGCTTATATATTTCTTGAGCCGAATTCTCTACTGAAAAGGTCTTCTCCCCTGCCTCTCCAATATACATATCTATCGTGGCCGCTGCCTTGCCTGCCGTGTATAGCCTGTCGGGCCAACATTTATAATCTCCTGCAGAATGAGACCTGAGACCTGGCGATTTGGGAGCCACCCCGAGAAACCTACCTCTGGCAGAACTCCTGACGTGAAGGTCGCCGAAATAGTCCACGAAATCCAGGACGCAACTAACGAATGCATCTACGCCATCGAGAAATGCATCGTCAGGAATCCGCTTTGGCACTGGTGTGGCGCTGGGCTTGCGGAATGACTACTGGTTCATGGACATGCAATTCCGGTATCTGGCAATTAATCATGCCGTCCGTGCCGCGGTCCTGCCCGAACGGTCAGATTATTGGAAATGAACAAACACAACTAGCCCACTTCTATATACTAGAGCCTGGAGGATGACGATGGGAAATTTCTGTGATCGGCTGGCGATTAAGTGATGGCACATGCGAATTCCGTGCGATGAAATGGAGTATGGTCCTTATTTGGACGTTGATGAGCCTCGAGGCCCAATTCTTCTACCATGCATGTTTAATGCCCGCACGACTAGCGTGGGGTGATGACAGCGAGGACGCTGTCTTTTTTTGCTGCGAGCATTGTTAGGCCTCGCAGGAAGATGATCGAATCCGCCAACGCCTTCAACAGGGATATCACCGGGAGCGACCAGCATAATATCGCCGAGGGTTTGACCTTGCATCTGGAGTCATGTCGACGTAGAGGCAATCGCTGAGGCCAGGGGGCAGCTGACGTTCTACGTTGCAATCCAGGATACTGCAAGTGCACGCAATAGAGCTTTCCCGCAGTTGACTTGCATGCTTTGATTTCGTGGGATTTAGGTAGTTTGGCAGGGATTGCGAAGAAGACATGTGTCGCCTTCTTTATCTACAGGAATTGATATCAATACACCTCTTCCCATGTGTTAGTTGAGTATGCAACCACTAACACTGCTTGTGACTTCCTTTTTTCTTTCTTTCTTCATTAGTAAGTTGAGTCTGAATTAGTCTCTGAACTTTCCTCTGTTCTTAATACCCTGATGCCTTACCATAATGGATGTGTATGACGGTAGGTGGAACCAACATTCCCATTCATATATCCCCACAAAACTTCACCAGATTAGGTTTACCTCTTCTCGAGTGAACTTCACAATACGTACTACCATAGCCACCGACGCGGAAGATGCACAGGGTCTATACGCTGTCGAGGTCAACAGACCGCATATACTTCAGCAGATTATTTACCCGGGGATGCCTGGAACACCTTGAGCCTTTTTTTACTGCCGCGCTGTTTCACTTTCTCGCAGCTTGAGGCTGGAACTCGGCCCTTCGTTCACCACCGGCCTAGTCTTATGGAAAGCAATGCACGCATCGTCATTTGTGCAACCCTCTATTCCATGAATGCTTTAAGTATGCCCGGACCTCCAAATGCGTGGCTGATGGAGTGGTGACTCACATAATGGGGCCAAAACACAATACTACCTCAGCACCGTGGAGAAACCATCTTCCGACCTGGCAACCCAACCCACCGGTGAGGCTCAAGCCTTCATAAAAGATAATTTAGCCCAGCCTCTCAATGTATGCAAAAACTTCTTGAATACCTTTGTCTAACTAAAAGTTAATTCGAATAAACGCGCCACCTCATCGGGTCATAGCTTTGGATCATGGCCGAAGAAGATATTGAGACCAGCTTCCAAGCCGCCATCGATGCGGGGAAGATCAACGGCGCAGTGATTTGCGCCACTGATGGGGAGGGCCGTTTTGTCTATAACAAAACCCTCGGCGATCGCACGCTCCTGTCAGGCGAGAAAGTACCGCAGCAGCTAGATGATGTCCTATTCCTGGCATCTGCCACAAAACTGATCGCCACGATCGCTGCGCTACAGTGCGTCGAGGACGGCCTGTTAACCCTGGACGGTGATCTCTCGACCGTCGCACCTGAACTGGCCAGCAAAGAGGTCATCACCGGGTTTTCCGAAGATGACGAAACTCCCATCCTCCAGCCTGCGGTGCGCCCCATCACGCTGGAGATGCTTCTCACCCACAGCTCGGGTCTAATTTATCACTTCATGAACCCCCTTGTCGGCAAGTGGCGCGAGAAGTTCTCCGCCCCCGATGAAGCAGGTGTCCGGTCAGTGGAAGAACTCTTCAGCTATCCGCTTGGCTTTCAGCCCGGCGAAGGCTGGATGTATGGTCCTGGACTTGATTGGGCGGGTCGCATAGTCGAGCGAGTGACGGGCCTCACACTCGGGGAGCGTATGCAACAACGCATCTTTGATCCACTCGGTATCAAAGACGGGCAATTCTTCCCAGTGACTCGCGAAGACCTGCGGGCTCGTATGGTTGACCTGAACCCGAATGACCCCGAGGGCCTAGGACGGGCTGTGTTGGGAGGGGGTGGCGATATGAATTTGCGTACACGCGGTGACTTCGGTGGTCATGGTCTCTTCTTACCTGGTAATGATTACACCAAGATTTTGCGCTCCCTGCTGGTCAACGACGGTAAATTGCTCAAGCCTACCACTGTCGACAACATGTTCGAACATCACCTCAGCCCCGGCGCGACCGAGAGCCACCAGAGTGCCCTAAGTAGTCCTATGGGACATTTCTTCCGCGTTGGCATAGATCCTGATATGAAGGCTGGTCATGGACTGGGTGGCCTTCTTATGCGTCAGGACGTCGATGGTTGGTATGGGGATCGAACACTGACTTGGGGTGGTGGTCTTACATTCGCATGGTTCATCGATCGGAAGAATGACCTTTGCGGAATCGGCGCTGTTCAAGCGGCACTTCCAGTGGATGGCGAGTTGATCGCTCAGCTGAAGCAGGTCTTCCGTCGCGATGTCTACCGCAAACGTGCCGCATGGAAAGAACAGCAGTAGGTCTGTGCCAGAATCGCTGAGAGGCCGGGATGTCTTTTTTTCGCTTCATCTAGCATAGGATTCATTTCAACTCCCTTGAAAGATCTCCACTACTTATTCTCTGAGAAACTCAATACAGTAGAATGTTTCGAATTTCCGCCACATCGAAGTCCCTTGGGAAAAGCCTCAGCAGCCCAAATCCCAGATGTAAGCCACCACCTAGTTTGCTTTGTTTTCTTCTCTCGGTGCCTGCACAGCATATTACACCATTCATTCATAATACTAAATTGCTTTCTTTGAATTTTTCTGTATCCCTTGAAGTATAATGTTCCTCTATTGAATTCTCGCGATTTCTAAATAATTCCCCAAGTACCAGCCATGGCACCATTTGCCAATGAGCAGGATTTGTTTCATCAAACACCATAATTCTATGACCAGCCTCATGTTTTCAATTCAATAACATACTGGGATCTTTAGTGATGAGATACTACGTGAAATGTTGGTAAAATCAGCCACAGCCCCCTAACGCCATATTTTCCACCCATCTCGGGATCTCCGCGCAAGCCTCGCCAAGCCTCTAGGCGCGTTGGATAAAGATTCCTTGGCAAAGATTTTCCACGACAGGCACAACGATGTCTGCGCCGACAAGTTTCACCGTGTGCCATTGTTATCTTGGCACAGTGATGTCTACAGCTTGCGCCTCGCCTTATTTCACCGAGGCTTTCCATCTCAGATACTACACCGTGAAATCCCCCTACGAATGGAACGCCAAGAACGCATACGTACGCTGAGTACGTTGAGCCCAAGGCGCTATCATGACCGACAAGTTTGACCCTGGTGACGCAATTTTTGTGCAGATAGGTATGTGGTAATGATCGACGAGCAGTTTGAAGATCAGCCAATGCCCATTCTCTATTACCAACGCACCCCTGGATGTTTGATGCCACCCGTGACGAGTCCGCAGCAGCCATGGCTAAATCAAGGATCTCCTGCGCGTCGAACTCTGCATCAGACTACGACGAGTCTCTCTAGCATGCTCTCTCCGTTTATCGGCTTGTTGGCCCAGTGGACCACCATCAACTTCTCAAAGTGTGAGATCCGTAGGTGGACGGAGAAAGAGTTCTCCAGACTCGGGTCCATTGGCGCCTCGTCAGCAGCGCAGATCACCCCGACCCTCCTCCACTTACCGGACGCTATTATATACAGGCTCCGCTCAGCCTTGATCCTTCATTCCTCGCGTGGAGCTTGTGCTCCGCAACGACTCGTCTGCAGCTTTCTTGGCGGCTTCTCCAGGTCTTGAGATCGTCTACGGCCGGTGTGCAGGAAACGGGAATTACTACAAGCGCCAAGGTCTGAAGACGCAATTGAAAAATTAACACTATGCATCACCTTAAACCACAGCAGACCGTTTAGGCCTCAGGGGGACGCGGTGGTTGCTCCGCTGCGGGTCTGGGTGTGGGCTCCGAAGGGTTTCAACTTCTTGCGAGATGAGAAACGGAGAGCCTCTGATTTGCGGAAATTGGAAAGATGCTGCTCCATTGACTTTGTCAGCGGCGCCATTAAGCCCGAGCAAAGGTGCAATTGAATCAGCTTTGATGTGCTCTAGGCTGTTATGCTAGTATCCGGTGGGGTATACGTTCTCTCGATAGCTAGTCACGATGGAGTGTATAAAGGCACGAGGTCATCGCCACGACAATAAGTCGAGATCAAGATATCAACATTCCATCCTCTTTCATTTACAATCAAATTCCAGCAAACCTCAACTTCAAGCTTGATATATCAATAATGGTTCGTCTTGCCTCTGCGGTTACTGCCGGCCTCGTTGGCCTGGCCTCAATCGCTGCCGCCCACCCCGGCCACGATCACAAGGCCGAGGCAGCTGAGCGCCGTCACTTCATGCGCAATGCTCCTATTCAATCGCGCAGCCTGTCCCAATGCGCCTCAAAGCTAAAGGCCCGCGGTCTCGAGGCCAAGAACGTCGCCCGTCGTCACCAGACCGTCAAGCAAATTCGCCGCCGTCGTGGTCTAAACACTAGTAGGTTTATGATAGCCATATATTCCAGCTATGAGATATGCGTTTCAATTATTTGATACTAACTATTTGCTATAGATGGCCATTTCCTCAAGGCTCGTGATCTGGACACCCTCCTGAACACCTCTCACGCCTCTAACTTGACCGGTGTCACACTCTCCACTGATGCCTCTGTTCTGTTCGGTTCTGAGGCTACCTGTATTCTGGCTCCCGATGTCACTCAAGGCCCTTACTGTGAGCATACTTCTCTTGGCAGTTCGATTGAACTATCTAACAGGTAACAGACGTGAGCGGCGAATTAATCCGTGAGAATATCGTGGATGACCAGGAGGGCGTTGCTCTATACATGGACATCCAGCTCATCGACACTAACACTTGCGATCCCCTTCCCAATATCTACATGGATCTCTGGCACTGCAACGCCACTGTAAGTCAAGAAACGTCTTGTGATTGCGCACTATAAATTGAAACATGGTTCTGACACTTTTCCACCATAAAAGGGTGTCTACTCCGGCATCCAAGCCAGCGGCAACGGTGACTCTTCCGTTGCCTCCAACCTCGACGCTACTTTCCTCCGTGGTATCCAGCCCAGTAACGACGAGGGCGTTGTCCAGTTCGAGTCTATCTTCCCCGGCCACTACACAGGCCGTGCTACCCACATCCACGGTATGTATACCGAAAAACATCTAGCTTGGGAGAAAGCAGCCTCGGCTAGCCTTTTCACTACCAATTAATAAGTTTTATTTCTAACGTACCATTTACGCAGTCCTGACCCACCCGGCCAACGAGACCACCGTTCTCAAGAACAACACCATCAGCGGCCTATACTCCTCCAAAACCTCTCACGTCGGCCAGCTCTTCTTCGACCAGGACCTGATTACCCAGGTCGAGAAGACCTCTCCTTACTCCACTAACACCCAGGATCTGACGACCAACGCCGAAGACAGCATTCTCTCCGAGGAGGCGGATACCATCGATCCCTTCATGGAATACGTTCTGCTGGGTGACGATGTCTCTGACGGTATCTTCGCCTGGATCTCCGTTGGTGTAGACAGTACCGAGGACAGCAATGTCACTCCTGCGGCTTACTACACTGAGCAGGGTGGTGTGGAGAACGAGAGCTCTGGTATGGGCGGTGGAGGTGGCTCTCCTCCTGGTGGCTCTTCTGCTTTCAGCGCTGGCGGTAGCCGCCCCACCTCGACTTAAATAACCTGACGGTCGATCAGAGGGTGTTCTGCCAGAGCGTTCAATTGAGACATAGCTTCGAGTAGGGACAGTGACATGTGCGAAAATTGGCAGTTGATCTGCAATTTGATTGCTCTGTTAAACCACAGCCATTCGCCTCATGTTATCTTAGAAGCTTAGTTCCATCTTTCGTTCTTTTTTCGTGCACGCTCACTGTTTTCTATTATTGTTCTGCTGTGATATCAATCTTTTGTATATCCTATCTGATATACATGAACTGAGTGTTCGTTTCATTTTCCTTTCCACGGGCAGAGTGTGGTTGTTGGCGTTGATTACCAGTCTGCGACGCATAAATACTACGTAACCTTCATTCACCTGTTGAGCACGTCGGGCTTCTTTGCTGCCTAAATTAATGCTAGCGTTCATTTCGCCATGCTCATTTCACATTCCTCTCCGCCATACATAAGTGGGTCTCTGCATGTCTGTCAACGACCACAATAGTCGTCAAGCGTCTTAAAAAAGACTTTATTTAAACGAAACTTATAGCGATGTCGGGTATAATACAATCTATAAGAGGTATATGCTCGCATAAGCGATCGCACTGACAAAAAACCCGACTTCACACTCGGCAGAGCAACACCGAGTATTCCAATTCCTCACTCTACATCTCCACGTCCTCGTCCGAGAACTGATCATCAGATGGTTGATACGGCCCTTCCTCTGAAACAGCACGTGGCTGGTATCCTGACAGACCTGCCATTGGCGCTGGAGTTGATGCCGCGGACGAAGGTGCGGATGGGATGTGAATAGGTGCTATACCTGCAGGCCGGGTACTAGCGCGCGATGCCCGGAATTGGGCTGGACCAGATGACTGAGTCAATCCCAGGGCTCGCAATTGGGTTGAGTTCTGATTTGGGTACTGATATTGCATGTATGCTGGTCGGACTGGTTGCTGAGTTGGTGTTTGTAATGGTGTTTGAGTGTTTTGTTCACCGAGTGGTGGGAGTGGTCTTTGGCCTGGTGGTAATGGTGCCTGCGTTGCTGGTCTAACGGGTGGTCGGTATGGTTGAGAATATGGCTGAGCTAGAGGTTGAGCTGGTGGTACAGATGATTGTTGAGCAGATGGACGAGTCAATGCTTGAGCTGGCGACTGGGTAGACGCCGGAGCAGAGGAATGGGAGGCTGTTTGAACCGATGGCTGAGTATTTGGTTGAGTAGGCGTTTGATTTTGCTGCTGGAGAAACTCATTCCTGATCTTCCGGTCCAAGATCTTCTCCATCGTCTCCAAGTACAGGATGTCATTCGCAGTGGATGTTGCTTGGTTGAGCATGTAGCGAATGGCAGTCTGAATTCCCGCAATGGCATCTCCCGGTGCAGGAATCAATTCATATGGAGGGAGAGGGTTGATCGATTCATCGAGAATGGAGGTATCCATGTCCGGGTTCCGTTGAAGCACCTCATCCACCGTTCCGACGAATTCTTCCTCGGCGGGGTTGAGCCACTCTTCAAGGCGCTTCGTGGAGATACCACTTTGGTTAAACCGAATTACCTTTTCGTAGAGCTCGCTCATGTCCAGCGGCTTTGGCGCGGTAAGATAGTCGGCTTGGGGCTGGACGAGATGGCTTTTGCGGAAGGCCTTGTATATCGTCGCGTTGGCAACGTCGTGTCGCCAATTACGAGTGAGCCAGCAGAGGGTATGGTAGAGACTGATCATTTCCATCGGGCGCTGGCCGGACTCGAAACTTGTCGCCATATACCCAAGCCATTGTTTGCGGTAATGGTGTTTAAGCTGCTGCGTGATTCCAAGGCTCAAGGGCTGGTATGAAGTTGGACTTTTCTCGGGGAAGCATTGGATGTGCACGTTGCCTGGGGCAGGTGTGGTTTCTAGTGCAGCCTGATGGACAGGCTTATCATCTAGGAGCAGGACGACTCGTCGCGAGCCAACATGTTGATAAAACATGGTCAACCATTCTGACATGATTTGAACATCGATACAAGCTTGCTTATTGTGGCGCCATTCGCAATCCATGGCTTTGAGATTGACACCGCAAAGAGCCCCTGGCATCTCCTTGTGGCCAATGGCCCAGAGCGGAATCCTATCCGAGCCGGTTGCGTTGGTACATACGATCAAGCAGATATGCGCTCGATCCTTTTTGAGTTCACCTGGGGGGCTGGGAAGGGTATCAAAGGGGGCTTTGCGCCACAATAGGCCAGTCTCATCCAAACTGTAAACATTCTCTTCTTTGAATTCTCCAGAGAGAGTGCGCAGTGCTTGCAGCTCCTTCCGTGGGTTCCGGGGAGGAGCTGGGAGAACGCCATCCTGTTGACCCTTAGCTAGATTGGCTTCGAATCGCTTTCGGAATTTCGCCAGCCAGCCGTGGCTGAAGGCAGGCGGAGGGCGGTTAGCATATTCAGTGATTTGGGGCCAGATCTCCCGGGCCTTGTTGAAGATCGCATCCCCCGTGGATAATTCGCCGGTTTCGCGGGCCCTTTTCAACCATTCGAATAATCGCGCCTCCAAGATCGGCCATTGTGGGGGCTGGTTTCGAAATGAGCCCGTTGCTGGTCCCGTATCAAGATACTCGTACTTCGAGGACAAGATTATCGAGACACTGGATTGAGGAAGGCGTCGACCATAAGTCCGCTGAAACCATGCCACGCTGGCTGCATGGGTTGGACGAGTCTCTTGCGACCGACACCAGGCGCGTAGAGCCTTCTTGTGCTCTTCAGGAATGCCTGCCCGGGATGTAGTCCGAGCCGATGGCGGAGTATTCTCACTCATGCTTCACGATTCCTGGTTGGACTCCCCAGGACTCGATGAGTAATGCGACAGACGTCGGTGGGGGGTTGTTTCTCGATTGTAAGATAAGTTCGCGGCTGAGAACTAGCAGAATGACACAAGCGGGTCACAATTGACCAATGCCAGATTAGACCTGGTAGGCGGTATCACTCGAGGATAATATTGTCGAATTTTGGCATCCTTTCCTGTGCTAATAGCACCTTTAGTTTGAAACACCGAAAACTAGGTGAACCCCTATTGCTGACGTCAAAGAATAGGTAATATAATAGTATTAAGGATCCCGAGAATAGAAAATTTATACCAAATTTACAATAAGATAACATGGATTTCTGTATGTCCGTCTGCTGGGCACCTTGGGTTATCAGAAATCTTCGATTCAAGAATAATCAACTAGGGTGAAGCTGTAACTCGCTTGTCTGTAAGTTCATTTAGCATCCATTCGAGTGAAGGAATTTGACTTGTTTCCGTCTCTCTTTGCACCGTCATGAATTATCTGAACCCTATCGTCTATATCAAGGCCAGGTTCTCAGTTCAAAGCTAATCAACAAAAAAAAATCTCCATGATCAAACATGTACAAGATGTCCTTACAGAAATTGCTGAGCCGTTTCAAAATGCCAAAGGAAATAGACTTACGCAAGACCTATCAACCAAGCAACACTGGTGCTGATTGCTGCCAACCAAGCCTCCTGTCGTCCCAATGTGCCTGCACAGCTGCGCGCGCGCCATCAACAACCTTCATATGATGCTTCTCCAAGAACTGCGAGAAAATATGCAAAATTACAGTGCGATCACTGGTCGACGAAGCAAGCCTTCCCACCACGTAAAGCGGCCACGTCAACGTAGCCATCGGAAGAGACAAAACACATACTCGGAGGACACTGTTGAAAGCCGACTGGTAGATTTCTTCGCTCTGCAGATTAGAGAACTCGCTGGACTCGGGCGCTTCGCATTGCACGGCCTGTTGAAGCATTAAAAGCCCGCAGAATTTGTAAGATCGCGCGATCTGAACCATTGCTTCGGTGTAGGCATCGCTGCCGAAGGACGACTCGATTGACCATGCTTGCAAACTGGCCATTAAAGGTTTGCTGTCTTTGTGGATGTCTTCGCCTAGGCGGGCACGGCCGATGAGATCGGCTAGGTTATACACGAGAGGCCAAAGGCTAGCGGTGCAACCGAATACCGGGTCTATGTAGTCGGTGAAGTCGGGCCCCGAGCTGGCCGTTATCTGAAGCGGTCGTCTTTCCAGTGAAAGGGCAAGCATCACGTTGAAGTACTGGAAGATCTTACGGAAGAATGAGATGCATGGGGTTTCGGGGGCCTCGCTGTGGTACTCCAAGAGAACTTTCGCGCCTTGGAGGTGGCACCAAGCATTGCTTGCAGAATTTCCCAGCACAATCTGATACTCAGACAGATAGAATCAGTATATAGTCATCAGATCTGAGAGAGAATTGGCTCTGGGTTGTTAGACGGTACCTCATAGTAGATCAAGAGGAGACTGCTGGCTAGCAAGTTCATGCGAGAAGTCTCATCCAGTTGTGGTCGTGATAATTCCACTGCTAGTAGATTTAGCGCTTTCGAATGTAGCTGCGTCGCTCGATCTCTGGACTCGGCGCCAAGATGATAGAGATGGGCTGCAGCCACGGCTTCCACCGCATACTGGACCTGGGCAGAATTCGATGTTCGTGGTAGAACATGCTGGATGAATGGATTTGACGTGTTTGTCTGTGGAAAGGAAAAGCTGATGAGGCTGGCCAAGATGGTGTTGAAATGAAAGATAAATCGCGATTCATGGCTACTCGGCAGTGCTGGCAGCAAGGTGGGTTGCGCAGCTGGCCGGCCAGTATTGGCGTCTTGAAACTGTCGTCTCCTTTGTCGAGTTTGGGAATATTTGACTACCGTCCAGTCCGGATAGATACATTCCACGCCCCGCTCAGTACATAGTTGACAGCTAGGTTGCGCTTCGTTGCATTTCTTGCGGCGTTTGCGACTGGAAGTGTGGGTTTTCTGTTAGCGTCCTCCACTCGCCGACACCAACAGGTCTTGCTGAGAGGCGTTTACCAGTTCATACACCCCCACCTTGATCTTGTCTCTTGGCGTCGGGTCGACATATAGGAGATGCATCCAGGGCATCAGCCCAGCATGAGCATGTGGGATTTAGTGACCGCTGGAATGTGAGAACTGCGGAGTCGCGGGCGAAACCCAAAGCCCCGTGGTTACATGGAGGTCACGTGATGAGGATGGGGTACATGTCCCAAAAGGGAAAATGGGGCTGTAATTAAAGATTCTCTTCATCAAAAGGAGGATGGCTAAGCCATGGGTGTATCAAGAATATATAACATGCACAAAGCACAACCGTATCGAAACAAAGGAACGTTCAGCGACCGCAAAAAAAAAAAAAAAAAAAAAAAGAGAAAATGCGACAAAAGAAAAAAAGAAAAGTTTACCGCAGTTTCCCAGCTGGACAAAGTACGATGCTCCGTGGATCCTCTCCACGGACCAACATCCCCCTGCACCTCTGTCCATACCGCCTCATGTCTCAATTTAGAATACATTATGACCCCCTCCTCTCTGGAAGTTGATGGATTATGTTGTTTGCTTCCAACTCAGTTGGAGGCCGAGTGCTGCGCGGATTCTGCGACACATCCCAGTTCCATTGGCCAGCATTATAAAGAGGAGATGAGGTCCCAACGGCAGAAACCGACTCTGGACCTGGTGAGAAGTGCCGCATGGTCGGGTCTGGGCTCCCCACAGAAGTGACATCGATACCCGGCGTCTGAGGAGTATTGCTGTCGAGTTCACTCTTGCGATTGCCGTGGGAACCACCAGCGTTGTTAAAGAAAGCCCATCTCGCCGTGCGCTCGGTCCGCCCGTCTTGTGAAGACATCCATTGTGAATAGACGCGATTGCGACCGAGGACAAAGAAGAGTGCAACCAAAATAGCAATGAACGCCACGGCTGCGATCACAATGCCGGCAATCGCTCCGCCACTCAACCCTCCGCCCCCGCCACTGCTGGCCGTCGCGCTGGCCGTTGCGCTCGAGGTGCTCGAGGTTGAGTCGGAGCCGCCGCCCTCTGCGGGCGGGGACTGGCCGGGTACCAGCATATAGGGATAGGTGAGTGCCTTTTTATATTGCTCTTCGAAGGTTTCGGTCGAGTTCTGCCATTGCACGTTAGAGACTGTCCCAGGCGCTGAGGCTGAACTCTTCTCGACTCACCGGGTTGATGACGCCCACCATTCCATTTGATAGGCAGGAGCCGATTGCCGTGCAATAGAAGAACGTTGGCTAGTGAGGATCAATGTCAGCTAGATTTGTTCCATGGGAGAGGAAGCTGTTTTTCCTACCTTGGTATCATTGACAATCACTGACCAGGTCGGCGGCTTCGATCATCGGAAATGTCAGTCAATCTAGTCTATATCCCACTTGATTCGCTATCTGATCGCGCTTACCGGACCAACAAGTTGACCATCGTTTTCATTGAAGCTGTTGAAGCTCCCCGAGTAGAAGACGCCTTCACTAGCGGGTACGCAAGGCGCCTCAAAGTCTGCTTTCACGACCGAGTGGTTTGTCGGGTAAAATTCGAAAACAATGACATCGCCAGGGTTTGCTGTGAGACTGTTCGGGACGTAGGCATGTGGACTCGACTTGGGACCAACTTGGACAGTGTGTGTCGCAATGCCAGTCGAGGAGGAAGTAGAAGGTATCGAACTGCTCGTTGTCGCCGCGCTAGTAGTGGAAGTCGTATCTGCCGCGTATCCTAGAGTCGTCAAGGCAATCGAGACAACAAGTGGTCGCAGTGCCTGCCGTCCGAACAGCATGTTGGAAGGCGACTCTGACTGTAGGAATCGTACACTATACACCGTGGGGTTCCAGAGGGGATGTGCAGGAAAGAAGAAAAGATCCTGCAGGAAGGAAAGATCAGACGGCGACAGGGCGACCAGCAGTGGCCCCCAGCCTGATGGGGGGGGCTCGGCGAATTGTATACGGCTGAGAAAACCGGTATACAAATGCCCTTCTTTTTTTTGGTCTTCGAGGGCCCGACCGACAGGTGTAATAATCAGTTCCCAAAGGAGCGAAGGGCTCATAGGCCCCAACCGTATTTAGTTAATCGTCAATCCTCCTCCCCACTAGTGATCCACTTGGGCCCTTGGGGGCGCTGTTGGTAAAGTATTCTTTGGGCCTGAGGGTCTTTTAAACGGCAATTCTAATTTACTGGCCCCCCAATTGTGAATACTAATACGGCCGTAACCTTGCCGATTGGAGGACAGAAAGATTCCTTTGTTACCCACGAGCACGCAAACATGGGTTTCAATGCAATGCACTTCCTTCTCGGTACACCCTCACCCTGTAATACGATCGCAATACTGAAGCCTTCAAGCCTTCTACCTTTAATTAGCTTCAATTTGATGCATCTGTACGAATTACTACGCCGTACAGGTCAACTATGAAACAAAATCGAGTCTTTGCAGAGGCTCTTTGAATCGTGATGTACAAAGCCCTACGACGCTAAAGGTCTTTCAATAGTCCAGTACCACTGCGGCTTTCGGCAATACAGTCAGCATGGCACTCCTTCCAACAGTCTTCATTGGCCCGCCTGCACCGACAACGTGGTCATGTCCGCCCAGAGTGGAGACACCTCCCGGTACGAAGTTCATGGAATGAATGAACGAACTTTAGTTACACCTTGGGATTGTTTCGACTCGATCCAGATCTCAACTTGAAACGCCAGTCATATCGTGCAGTTCGATGTTCCCTGGACTAAAAGAAATCGCATGAACTCTCAAGAATATATTAACAATTGAATGACAGTTTACAAGCTTTCTGGCCGATCTTACCCAAGCCATACGGGTCAAGAAAAGGGGCCAAGCCAGGCAGAAAATAGATTCACTCAGCCCCTGGGAGTCCATGGTACCTAATATCCACAGCCTTACAGCCCGTCCCCAGGTTTCCATAATCGCATCCATCGGTCATCCATGTCACTTCCCTCCTCGTAAAATCGGAGGTCAGTGCTGACACGAATACGCCCGTCGTGGCCCTCGTTCTTACTGCTTGCATGGACTATATATGGGTCGTGGAATACGACGTCGCCAGCCTCGTAATTAGCCACAAGCCAGTGCCGATCACCTTCCCCGCCGTTTGTTTGGTGAACCCGACCGAACTCATTTGCATTCTGTGATAATTGTCCATATTTTTCCATGTGCACGTTGAATGCACTCAGACGCTCCTCTTCAGAAAAGTCTTTGGCGCGACGGGTAAATTCCGCCTCAATCTCACGACCCACGTTGACGGAATCGCCAAGGTACATCAGGCCTCCGCCGTCAGCTCTAATATCGCCTGTGTGCCTCAATTAGCCATGGCCGATGGAATCAAATAGGCAACGTATCCGATAGACCTTACCGATAGGCACCCACGCCGTGAGGAATTCAGCCTCCCCTTTGCGGAGAAACAGCTTGTCATAATGTACACCGGTGCTGAGGGCATGAGGAGCATTATGTCTGATCATGGTGCGCTTGAGCAGAATTTCTTTCTTCCAATCCATGATTCCCTTAACGAAAGATCGTAGATCTTGATGTTCCAAAAGTTGTAGGTACTTCGGCTGTGTATGGGCATCGATCATGGCTTGTACCTGCTCAGCCGTTGGTGGAAGTTCTCCAGCTCCTATCCCGCCATGTTCAAGCGGATCACTCGAATCGTTGAAGATGCCTTCGTCATGTGCCGATCCAGGCTTGATTATCCCGGTCGGCTCATATAGTTTAAAATACCTAAGCGAGATAAGATTAGCTTCCCTATTATAGAGGCCAGGTCTATTTTTGAGACGTACTCCTCGCGAACTTTCTGCACATCCTCTCTTGGGAGGAGGTTCTTGACATAAACATAGCCATCTTCTCTTAACCGCCTTCTCATTTCTTTGAGCGGGGTGTCTTTTGGCGTCTGACGTAGCCACTGTGCTGGGACCACCGGGCCTTGGTTGGAGCGGACATCCACAGTCATCGCGACCGATCAAAAACAATAAGCGGATTGTTTTAACGTGGAAGGTCAGGGAAATAGTAGTTGTCCATCCCAGACGGTGCTGGCTTGACCCTTCTTATAACAGCATAGGGCCTTTCCCACACCAAGCGCTCTCAAAGTCTCTTCATGGACGAATGTTCAGATGACATGTCTTCTGAGCCATTTATTGGACATCGTTACGGGCCCTCCCTTCGATAGATGAACGTGATTATCGTGCGGAGACGCTGGCCTACCGCTGGCCATGAGTTCTCCACCCCCGCACACCCGCGTGGAGTGGAGAATCCACACTCTCCCATTGGTTAGCGTTACGCGTTACCCTGGAGGTTTTCTTACCTTAAGCTCGAACATGTCATTTAACGAACTGGGTGTTGATGTTCCAGAAACTTATTTAATAGAATATATTTGTCACAAATGAAATAAAATTGTCTCGATCGCAAAATTCGGTCTGTCCCACTGTGTCGGCTACGAAAAGCTGCCCGCGCGTTCCAAACAATCTTCTCCAAAACATATGAATAACGAATGAGCGAGGTTACACCTAGTTTCACACTAAAGTTCCATGACTTCATTGTACGACATTCAAGATATTATAATCATGTTGAAAGGTCAAATTGACCCGATAAGAGCTCAGAGTTCCTTCAAGACTTAACAGGTGCGAGGAGCTGTCCCTCCCACTGCGCTTTCGCCGACTCGAAAAGAGCATCATCAATCATCATATCCAAGCCTACAAGAGCCAATCCCTTTCCAGTGACAATAGCTTCTGTGTGTGCTTCGTCAGTTCCAGCACACGCTGTGAATGTCGGGTGGTGCGGGAATGACCCCTCTGGTGTCGGGATGGCGAAGATCGAATGGAGTGTTGGTGCGACGTAGCTCACGTTTCCTAGTGGCCTATCAGTATACACGGGCGGTAGTTTGAGATAGTAGAGTTCAACCTACCAACATCGGAAGATCCAGTCAGGACCTGCTCGTGCTTCTGAATAACTCTCTTCCCATAACCTGCCAAGTGACCTGTGTACCGTTCACACAAAGTCTGGTTCAGGACAATATCAGTATAAAGACCCTCCCTACAAATTTCCTTGTTAGCATTCGTTAAATGGCACGTTTAGTTTCCAGACCCACTCTACAATCTTGACTGTGCAACCAGTCGTGATAGCCGCACCCTCTATGCACTGTCGGACCTTTGCAATAAGCTTGTTGAGTCCTTGCAAAGTAGGGCTTCGAATCTGCCAGTACGATTTTGTATAAGCCGGAATCACATTGGCCACCTTTGGCACATCCAGGAATGCCCCGTGAATTCGCTCGTCTGGTAGGATATGCTGTCTCAGAGTAGATATTCCGTTGTATGCCTGAACCAGGGCATCCAATGCATTGACACCATCCCATGGATTACCTCCCGCGTGAGCATTCTTGCCAAAATACTCCACATGTAGCTCCTTCCGAGCATTCATCAAGACACCTGCAACTCCATCGGTGGGGTTCCCAAGCAAGTTCGTAGGCCCACCGTGGCTAGAGAGGGAAAATCAGGATCATCCATTCGCCGAGCTTCGAGAATTCATTGAAGAGTCGAACTTACGCCATCAATGAAATATCCACCCCCTTGTAGGCACCAGCATCAATCAACTTTGCTTTGCCTCCACCATTCTCTTCTGCAGGGGTACCAAGCAGTTGAATTCTGCCTTTAATTCCAAACTCCTTCTGCAGGTGGCTTAGTGCTAAGAAGGCTGCAATGCTACTAGTCGCGATAAGGTTGTGGCCACAGGCATGGCCAATGTCCGGCAACGCATCGTATTCAGCATTGAAGTTGATGAGTCGACCTTCAGTGCCGCTAAGACATTCGAACGATGTATCAACTCCATAAGCATGTCGAGTAACTGTGAATCCCTGGCTTTCGAGGAAATCACAGATCGCGTCGTGGGCTTTGTGTTCTTCATATGCCAGCTCTGGGTTTGACCAAATCTGTGAAGGAGAAATGTCAGTCATTCGGTCTTCCGTATAGATTGAGGTAAATCGTACGTAATGATTCAATTCACGGAGCTGCTTGGCAACTTTCCCAAGAGCGTTGTCAATGGCGGTCTTGGCTTCCTGGGAGGAAATCGAAAGAGTAGTGTCAACTGTCATTTTGAGAGTTGACAAAGGTCAATTCGAAGCAGTAAAAGGAATTGGTAAATGATAGAAGGCAGGATTGATGATTGATACTATGTTACCAGATGTGTTGCGACAGAAATATCCATTACCTCTGTGCGAACATGTCCCTTTTATACTTCAGTTCCCATTGTCACCTAATTTACATCTGAAGTGAACGGCATCAACAGCCCGGGTTCTTGGATACGAATTTGCGTAACTCATGAATCCGGGCACAAATTATGTTATTTAATTAGCTCAAATGCTATCTTGTCCACCAGAACCCTTTGTTCAGCACAACCTATCTCATGCTCATAATCTTATCATTACGCTCCATGTTCGGCATGAAATACCGATGACCAATGCGGGGTGGATTTTGCATAACTCATGGATCGGGGCATAATAATTATGTTATTTAATCAAATTAGCAGCTATCTCGTCAGTCAGAACGCTTTGTTTAGCACGATCTAACTATCTCATGCTCATAATCTTATCATTATGCGCCATGGTGCGGCATAAGATAACAATGACCAATGCGGGGGCGGCGATTAGACTTCAGGATTGCCGATGTCGATGTCTTTGTAATGACTTGAGACTCGGATCCACCAATCATCAACTCTAAATTTGCCGACCTAGATGGCGATTTCCAAGCCTCAGGAATTGTATCTTCGCTACTTTGAAGCTCGCCTTTCTTTAGACCAATTGATAACTTCCATTTTGCCGACCACATTTCCGTGTCTCATTGTGCCTCTTTCTGATGCTTGCTCTTTCGAATTTCCCGCGGGAAACCAAGAGTCCCCAGGTCCGGTTGACAGGAGAGCTCCTCGGATAAGGAAAGAAGCTGCGCATTTATGCTTTATCGCGTTCATCTACTATCTATACTCCGCCTTGCGAATATCGCAAGTATGGAAGAGAATGGCCGCAGATAAGCATTTCGTAAGCGAGGGTCAACCACGCCAAATCAAAGATAAGATGGTACTTGCCATTCTTTACACTTTATTAGTCTCTAGGTTGTATATAAGTTCGTCTAGCCATCCATCACTGCATGGTAGTCTGTTTCTGTGACAGTCAGCAGAATATCAGATACCAAAATATTCCGTTCTGTATTTTGCATTGATTATATCCTCCTATACAATGCGTACAGTGCAGGAGCCGTACAAGTACGATGAGAAGACTGTTGATGCCACAGACAACTCAGGACATGATACCAGTATTGGGGAATATACCGACTACCAGGCCTCCCCTGAAGAGGAGCGTCGGTTGCTATGGAAGCTGGATTTGTTGTAAGTATTGCGCCTCTCTCACAACAAGAAAATGCGCGTTCAATGCATCACATTCTGAGACCCCCGATAGTATGATCCCAACGATGGGTATTTGCTATATGTTGCAATACATGGACAAAATTGCACTTAGCCAAGCGACTCTTTTAAACTTGCGAGCAGATCTTGTTAGTGATATCAAATTGGCCCTCTTTCTCAAATATTAACATCATTCAGCATCTCGTTGGCCAGGAATATACCTGGTGCTCGGCAGTTTTTTATTTCGGTTACCTTGCATGGAGTTGGCCTACTTCATACCTGATTGTGCGCCTTCCCTTAGGCAAATATCTTGCGGTATCAGTGTATGTTAGATGAAAAGGCAACGATGGTTACCCTGCTAACACGGTCGCGTGCAGTTTTTTGTGGGGAGGAATTCTCATGTGCCATGCGGCATGTCAGAACTATGCAGGCCTAGTCACTGCTCGATTTTTCCTTGGTATTGGTGAAGCTGCTGTTGCACCGGGCTTTGGTCTCATCACTGGAATGTTCTACAAGAGAGAAGAGCAGCCCACTCGGTAAGAATTTTCTCTCACGGCTACCAAACCAGAGACCGTGGCTTATGTGACTGATCTCTTATTTCCTTCAGACAAGCAGCATGGTTCATCGGTAACTGCGTTGCTAACATCATTGGCGGTGTCGTTGCATGGGGTATTGGAAATTCTCCGTCTGGTATCCAAAGCTGGCGTCTCTTGTTTCTTGTCCTTGGAGGAATCACTTCCGGTTACGCCATCATACTCTTCTTCATTCTTCCAGACTCCCCCGCCAAGGCATCTTTCCTCACAGAATCTGAGCGGAAGATTGCAGTCCAGCGAACACTGAAGAACAAAACGGGATCTACAGGGGTGATGGAAGCATTCCAATGGAGTCAAGTCTCCGATGCTGTGAAAGACCCACAGACTTGGTTCCTGGTGCTTTACACTTTCTGCGTCAACCTTGCCAATGGTGGGCTCACCAGCGTGCGTAACGTCCACACCGATACTTCTTAAATTCTTTACACTGACTTAGCCATAGTTCTCCGCCATCATTATCGCTGGCTTTGGCTACTCGAATTTCACGTCCCTGTTGCTGCAGATGCCTATGGGAGCTGCGCAACTAGTATTCCTCATAATCACTGCCATCATCGCTACATACATTCCATCCTCACGCATTTTGGCTATGATTTTGAACGTTACTGTGGCTGTCATTGGTGTTGTCTTGGTCTACACCCTCGATGACCTTCACAAGGTTGTCAAACTCGTTGGCCTGGCTTTCATTGCGGCCTTCGCCGTCAACATCCCACTTAGTCTAAGTATTGTTACATCCAATGTCGCTGGGTCCACAAAGCGAAGCACCATTAGTGTTGCGATTTTTGCCGCTTACTGCGTGGGCAACATCGTGGGGCCTCAATTCTATTACGCTTCTCAGGAGCCAGTATACTCGGTATGTGGGTTCGTGATACTTACCATGGCTCAATTTTACTAATACTTGATCACAATAGAGCGGTATTGAAGCATCGTTGTGCGGATTAACGCTTGGCGTGTTCTTTTTGGGATGTTTGTTTGTTTACTACACCTGGGAGAACAAAAGACGAGATCGGCAAACTGGAGTGGTATCCGAGAGGCTTGATTTTCACGAGCTCGTTGAGGAGCAGAAAAACAAGACCGATAAGCAGATAGCTAGCTTCCGCTACGCTCGTTGATTTACATAGTCTTAGTCATTCCGCAATTCGAAGCGATGCATGGCAAAGAAATTGGCAACGAGAATCCAAATATTATCACTGTCTGTACATTACACTATAAATTGTCGTCAAAACTCGAGATACAGCAATTGCGTGCTTAAAAGTGTAAACCAAAACATCACACGATATAGCACCAACGCCAAGTACAAATCCCGAACATATTTATCAAGTTTCGATGGAGAGCCGTCGTTGACTTTCTTCATCTCCATTACCCTGTTGGCTTTTATTCTTGCCTTCAACTAGCGGAGAAATCCTGGTCGCAATGATATATGTGCAAGCAGCAATAATGGCTACCTCTGGTAGCATGGTCATAGTCAAATATGCGGTCGGGTTGCCTTTCATTGTACTGAACGCCATATTGCCAGTGATGATGAAAATGAGAGAGTAGACAACCCGTACCGCAAGCAGTGGTACACAAAATGCAACACCAGCCAGTGCCCAACGCTCTTCCTCAAAGTATTCTGCCTTTCGCAGCCAGAAAAGAACGAAAACTCCGACGAAGTAGAGATATATAACTGCCAGCAAGGATATGCTCGCTTGACTCCACGATGTTGGGGCCAATGGGTTTTCGACATGCATGACAGAGACCCATCCGCCGATGGAAATACCAATATCGATCCAGGTGATGACGTAAGGAACCCAAAATATACGCTTCACAGTGACCGTGACAGTTTTGTTACTATTTGGACGAAATTCAGTAAGTTTGTCTGCTTTCTGATCGCACATGTCAATCCACTTACATTCTCTCGAGCATCTCTAACAACAGGAAGGTGATTAAAATCATTCCGAGAGATTCGCAAACGAATATCGCAGCTGAGAGTCCGCGTGAGTCATTATTGATAGTTGCTAACTTGCAGCTGGCGCCAATCAGACGGAGGAGGGAGAAAACGCCGATACAAAACCAGCCAATTCGGCGAGTATATTTGGAGTAAACGGCAAATAACAGAGGTGCCGAGAAGGCAACAACTTGAGCTACCGCAATACCATCGCGATATGTAAATTTTCCGTCGCCAGCCATGTTCTCGCAGAGTGTGCAAAGGTCCGGGTAAGGTACACGGGATTTAATCTGGATCTTGGAACTCGGCGAACTCGGATATAAGAGCAACAGTCGGTCGTTAGTCGATGAGTGATTCAGCCGACTAGATGATAGCTAGGAGATCAATCGGATCCTGGATTGTCATAAGTTCTAGCATTGCTGTTTTATAGCAACACCAAAATTGTAAACCAGCATAGCAAAATCTTGGCCCAGTCTTGGCACATCTTTGATGTTCTTTTTCATACAAAACGTATGCAGCTTCTCATTGGTTCACTGTGAGCCCCGTAGGGCTGGCGTTGGCTCTTTTTGGCAACTCTCACGGGATCAGGTGACTTGCGGCCGAATTTCTGTCCGATTCAAACAACCAGAACACTGATCAGCGTGTCCAGCAGCCCCCTGCGCCCCCAGGGCTCCGACAAGTGTTGTGGGACCATGCTCACACAGCCTGTAAACTGGAATGGTAAATCCCTGACACTACCTCGTCGGGGAAATGAAGCTCAATCGATTTGAGAATGGCATTCCTGAGTTGGGTTCTGTATTAGATGCTGCTGAAAGTTTTCACTGCTTGGTAGTTGACTGAATAAATGTCGCTCAGCCCACGGAGTTCAGTCGATTACCCTCCTGCAGCAAAGGGACTTGCCGCTCTCAATCTTTGCCCGAAGCGCCAAAGCAGAATAGGCGCAGGTATCCCAATTGCAATAGCCACAAAGGCCAAAATACTGTTACCCCAACCATACTCCAGCGAATCAAACATGTAAGGTGCAAAAAGCGGGAAACTAAAGCCAGCAAGGGAGCGCAGAAACGCCGCGGCAGCGAGGGCACTCGCCGCATATCGTGTATACGAGTCGACAATGTAGGTCTGGATACACTGGAACGCGACAATGTTGCCGATGCTGAAGATGCAAATACCGATGTTGGGTGTGATCCAGTGGCAGTGTCTTTGTGCGGTCCAGCCATAGATGAAAAGCCCAACGGGGTTGCAGAATGCCGCTACGGTCATTAAGGGGACTCGAAATTCTGGTCGGCCGACGTTGTTGTTGCGGCTTTTTAGATGTCGGTATATACGGTCGATGAGTGGGGCGCAGATTTGAGAGCCTAGCATGAAGCCTAATCCCATGGAGATGTAGTTCAGACCACCGATGCCCGCTGACTCGCCGTAGTATGCTTTGCTTGTCCACAGGGTTGGAAAAGTAGCCAAGGTTAGGTACATAGTCCCGTAAACTAGAGATTTCGATCAGCTCCTGGGAACCCAAGTAAAAATTGGAGACTTTTCCATTACTTACCGATAGCCATATATACGGCCAAGATTTGCACAATGGACTGTGTGGTCAGAAGCCGGAACGGGCGAATTAATGCTGTACTAATGATCTTCCCAGGACTCCGCTGTTGTCGCTGACTCTCAGTCTGGTAATTTTGATTTCCTGTCTCCCTCCGAAGCTTCTTGGCTTTATTGCCCAGAATCACTGGAGCATACGTCTCTGGCAGGAAGAAAAGCCCAGCGATTTGGATGACTCCTGCCGTGATAGAAGTTGCGTAAAACACCCATCGCCATGTGGTATTCTCTGCAATGAATCCACCAGCTATGGGTCCGATAGCGGGTCCCAGTAGAGGAGCGAGACCGTATATGGCGAGGGCCTTTCCACGCTCTTCGGGACGAAAGCAATCTCCAAGAACACCTCCTCCAATCTAAAATAATCATCAGTCAATAGCTTTGAATAATGAAAGGATTATTCCATACCGCTAGTGGTGCACTTCCCCCAAGTCCAGAGAGGAAACGGAACGCAATCATCTGCCCAGTCGATTTAGAGACACCACAAGCAACGTTAAAGACAATATAAAACAAATTAGTGAGCTGCAGTATCATCTTCCTGCCATATATCTCAGATAGTGGACCAAGGAACAGTGGCCCAACTGCATATGCCAACACGAAGGTTGACAGTGTCAGCTCTAAGAGCACATCGTCCGTTATCTTAAACTCGACAGCGATGCTTTCCAACGCTGGTGCGACCATGGAAGATGAGACAGGGGATATGAAAGTAAAGAATGACACGAGAACGGCGGCTAGCCATTTCTTCTTTGTTGGCCAGTTTTTGGGGTTGTCGGGGTCTTCGGGGCCATTCCATGTAACCTGAGCTTGTCAGTATTCCAGAGGCCTGATCGACAGTCAAGAAGGTCTTACAAGTGTAACATCGTTGTTCTCTATTTCTTTGGTTGGTCCTTCTCCGTATGAGTGCTTAGGCGCTGCTTCTAAGTCCCGCTTTGGCTCATGTGTCGCGCCCTTTGCAGGATCTTCTCCTTCCCCTGCTTTCATGGCTGGTTGGCTGCTGAAACTAGTGTTGGAGCGCGCGCTCTCTGGGCCGGTCGCGTCGCCCTTGTTGTGTGGGGCGGAATATGGTGGTGAGGACATTCCAGGGCGATGGTCTGTGTCTTGGTACAATGGTGGCACGTTTAAGTGAGACTCTCGCTATTTCTGTTTGGACCCTTTGGGATCTCTATCGCAAGTAGTGGTCTTGGGCTGTGGTAGCTGAGCAAGTATGTCATATCTTGACAGCGCGTAGGTATTTGCGTATATATAGCAAAACATAGTCAACGACTGAATAATTCACCGAGCCTCCCCGGCAGAGTCGTCTGCAGTCGTCTGAAGTGGTCTGGACATCGACGACAAGTATGCGGACAAGGTCGGGATATTCTGTGAATTCGGTGAATTGGTCATCAAGAGGCGAAAACGACGCCCGGGAGCAATGCTCACAATCTTATTTCCTTGCTTTTAGCGAACAAATGGAAACATACGAGACGGGTGGTCTTATTATTTCCGACGCTCTTAACTAGACTATTTCATTTTCTACTCATCTTTCCTATTCATCTCAAACTAGTTTCGACGAATTATTCTAGCCAGGTAGTCGTCTATACGCTTCACATCACCCAGTTCGGCAATAAGACCAACATACCCATCAGGCCTAACGACAGCCAACGCACCTCTGCTTGGATCAACCCCATAGATGCCATATACATCATCCATCTCATACCCACTGTAAAATGCCATTTCTGAGTATTGTTTCACCTCGTGTGGGATATCATTCCACATGAATTCCCTCGGCAGGCGGGGGTGAATGACCACCTGCTCCAGGACTGATTGCGGGAATTGCGATATGATCGAACCCAGTGCGGTCAGGGTCAAGGAAGATGTTCCATTTTGATCAAGCAAATCTGATGAAGTGAGGCACATGATGCGGAATCGGCCGGTGGATGCAAAGTCTATAGTCTCATCAGCAAGTGAACCATTTTTAAAAGCGTTATTTTGGTCATACCGTCTTGAAGATCACGGGGATAACCATCTGCATGTCGGACAAGACGCACGTTTAGCAGTCTCCGACCCGGTCGCAGAATTCCGGACAGATAGTCGGTGCCGCTGACTGGACTGCTTTCGCCGTCCAGGGTCCGGTCCACTGCAATATTCTCGGGATACTCAATTCCACAACCACTAGTGAATCCGTTTCCTCGGACGAAAACTTCCAGGAACTCCTCATGTGTCAGACCTTCGACGCCATTTTCACTGGCACCAATCTTTCCAGAGAACATTGACGAAAATGCTCGATCGAACTCAATCAATTCCTGAGCAATGGTATGACGTTCAGTGTGATATGTGTCAAGGATCGGGTCGGGGTGTCCCTGAGCGCTCTCTGGAGTCAATCCGTGGATGCAATAAGCCAACTTCCAAGCTAAGTTATAGGAGTCCATCATTGATACATTCATCCCTTGGCCAGCCTGTGCGTTGTTAGTTGGTTTCAATCGACAGCTGAGAAATATCGCAGGTACATACCTTGGGGCTATGTGTGTGACAGGCTGAAAGAATTGATGTCAGTAACATGATTCACGTTTCCCGGCTTGACGAAAGACATACCATCTCCCGCAATGAAAACTCTGCTAACACCTTTTGAATCCTTGACAGAAAACTTGTCCGTAACTCGTTGACCAATCTGGTAGGCTGCCCACCAATCCACGGCACTATCTGTCTTTGGGCGGATATAGTAAGGCTTGAATGCCGCGGCTGCATTGTCAAAAATAGTCTTTTCTGTGACTTGGCTACGACGAGCTCTCGCATCCCCCGCCGGGGTGACATTAGAACTATCAGTCGTTTGCTGATCACTGTCTGGCTTGACATCTCCTGGTACCTGCACGTATAACCGTGTCAAGTAGTCACCGTTAGCTATGCGCTCGCGAGGAATCACCATAACGGACCCCGCAGGCGAGTGAATAGCACAACGTCGACGAATATCGGGGAAGTCCGTGTCCACAACCAAATCGACTACGCCCCAGATATGATCCAGAGACTCGCCCTCTAGCTTCAGTCCCATGGAGCGTCTCACGACCGAGTGAGCGCCATCGGCGCCTACCAAATATTTCGTTCGCACGGTTCGACGGTAGCCCTCGGTCTCCAGCTCGGCTACTACGGGAAATTCGGCATCGCCCTCCTCATCGATGTTCACATCGATCAGTTTGGTATTTCGCTGTACGCCGCGTTTCGAGTAACGAAGCAGATCTGTTTCCAGAATCCGTTCAATGCGACCTTGGTGGATTGTGATTTCATGAGGGAATCGTGCCGGCACAGCGACATCTTTGACAATTGACGTGCGCTCGATTATCCTGTCCTTGTCTTTCGATGGGTTCCAAAATGCGACCTATCGTGGGGACACCATTAGTGCAAGATCTAACATTACAGTACCCGGCAAAAGGTAATATACCTGCCATAGCTGGCATCCCTCGGTGAGAATTTCATCTGCTAATCCCAGCGACTTCAACGTCTCCAATGTCCGCGGTTGCAGGCCATCGGCCTGGCCCGACTTCAATGTGGTCGGCTTGGTGTCTACACACAGTAACGACTCGTCGCTCAATCCATATCGCGCCAGTAAGAGTTCAAGCATGAGTCCTGCTGGACCAGCTCCCACAATGACAACCTCATACCTTTCAGTGTTGTTATCCGGTTGTAGCTTTGGTGCGAGGCGTGGCAGTGGGGGTGCGAAAGAAGGAAGAACGCGTAGCTCGCGCGACGCGGCAGCATACTCGGTGAAGACGGGCATGGTGGTCTCCCCAAATGAGGTTCTATCGACCAGACTGCGGTCAAATTACGACTCAATCCGGGAACGGATTGTGCAATGTTTTTTTTTCGTATAGATTCTATTTACGTGGAGATCATCAGCCTTTTATTAAAAGTTAGAACCCATAGTGGGTGTGTGGACGTCATGTTCTACAAATTGGTAAATGAGGGGAGGGGAAACGGTCCATGATTATGGGTGAGCATGACGGATTCGCGCAAATAATCTATGGGTCTAATGGGTCAAAATGTACGAGGGGCCAATAAGAAGTGGAGGTCCATCAGCGAATGGATTGGTGAGCTTCAAGTAATCGTTCAGTAATACCCGCCGGCTGATGGCTGGCCCTCGGGGGAATATCCGACCACGCAGATTGGCTCAAATCGCCTACACCACGCCAAGAGTACACGAGAACGAATTTGGGGGTAACTTTGGAGATAGAATCCTTCATCGAATTTCTGGTGATAGGACTTCATGCTCAACAATCTCTTAGCCTCTGAAATGTCGCTCATAACTCGTAATGGGGCTATTTTTGGGTCATGATCGGAATCCTGCTATAGATTCGGCGCGATTCAGCATCCTTCTCAATTTCTACTGCAATGTTGATCTATTCTTTGGCAACCTTATTGAATAATATTCGCATCGATGGCAACCGGAGTCCAATTTCATGACCGGAGCTTATTTCAGTCGGGACATCTTAATTCGATGATCATTGTGGTGAAGGAAGATCATATTTTACGCTAGGGAGGCCATTTGAAGCCTTTACAAAATCATGGATCAGAATGATCCTGAAAATGGGTCCCCTCTGGTTGTCTAATTCATTACCATGTCCTTCAGAATGTGTGCTAATGGTTGCAACGGTATGAACGGCTACCTGGGATGAGACCTTGAACCGGGTAAGATGCAATATCGTATTGTGAGAGAAAGATTTGACCATGTGCACAATCCATACCTCTGGTGACAGATTGATATGCAGCCGTGAGGTATGCATGTTATGACTAATGTGTATTCTGAAGCCAAATTTTGTTCTATGATACTCACGTCAGACCCCTTACCGTAACCAGTAGTGGTAGTTGATTGTCCAGATAGTCTGAAGGACACAATAATAATGCCTGCTCTATTTTCTTTGATTCAAAGGCTGAAAGTTTCCAGCTCCAAGCCTGAGAGGCTCTTTGTTAGGATCTCTGAAGACAATGATGATTTCACCCTAGGTTCGAGTTCGAAGCATGGTTCAGCGTGGGCTTGCGTATCAGTGCGGAGCGAAGCTGGTAGTAGACCGGCGCTATGGCTACCATGTGGACGATAATTCCGCACCCACGCTGGGCTCAAACTGGTAAGGTTCCAAGATCCAATAAGCATAGGCACATCGGTAATTAGTTTTGTGTATCCGGCAGTGTCATGAACCCCAGTGCCGAGCAGGAACAAGTCCACATGACCAAACAGTCGGGGATTTACATCGTCCGTCTCTTGAACGGGTCAGACAGACGTCAGGCTTCTTCCGATACAGCCGACAGTCACAGTCTGCGATCTCGATAGACCTATCCCTGGGCTCGATAGGCGAAGGCCTACCCGTCTCCCCCGCGTTTCGGGTCCTGTGGGGGTTAAAGGTCCCTGGGGGATTTCCGGGGAGCCATTCACATCAGTGCCGGAACTCGTGCTCTCGGGCCTTCTCCGTCTAGCGACAACAATTGTGGATATGATGGATTCAAAATATGTAGGGAACTGCTATATCCGACAATTGTGGATCTTTGAAGGGGGTTTTCCCTGTGACCGAGAGAGATTGAATATGGAACAGACCGGGGAGGAGGACTTCGATATACTCTGAGTTTCTGGGCAGTGACCAGATTAGGCTTCGGGTTGAGTATTGCTCCAGGACATACTCTATATCCGGTTGGAAAAAAGGACAAGGCGGGAAACTATAGGGGTATTGGACGCTGGCAATGGTCGGGATGACATATAATTCCGTACTCGTCCGTCTATAGCAGTCAGGGTCCGTCTAGCAAGTTAAATCATTGAAGGGTTGAGCGAGGAGACCTATCTTCGGTCACAGCCTTACTTTTATCGTTTGTTCTCGTTGTACTTGGTCTTTTCTACATTCAAAGCAATCATGAAGCGACTGTCGCGGGTTTTCAGTGGTAGCCCCAAGCCCGTTGCGTCAGAAAAGGAAGCCCAAGCTCCCCAACAAGCCGTCAAAACCGTCATTGAACAGCGGTCTGTTGATGAAGGCCGACCCTTGAGAGTTGTTGTCATTGGCGCTGGTATTTCGGGCATTCTCGCTTGCATTCGATTTGTCCAGAGAATTCCAAATCTGGATCTGTGCATCTACGACAAGAACGCGGATATTGGAGGAACCTGGGTTGAAGTCAGTACTGTTTTTATCGCTCTTTTTCTCAACGGGACTAGGCTATTGCCTGCTCAAAAGCATGACTGACGGACTTGGTCTTTAGAATCGGTATCCAGGCTGTGCATGTGGTATGTCGTCTGGAGCTGTGCTTGCATTATGATATGGGCCCCTTGTTTCCAGATTAGATGCTGACATGACTGCCTCTTGGTCAGATATTCCCGCGCATACCTATCAGGCCACATTCGAGCCCAATAAAGAATGGTCATCATTCTATGCCACTTCACCGGAAATTCACCAATACTGGAAGCGGGTCGTTGAAAAGTATGGATGTATGAAACACATCAAGCTGAAGCAGCAGGTTGAAGGGGTAACTTGGGATGAGAAGAGCTCGAAGTGGAATGTTCAAGTCAGTATATATGACATTGCGTGATACAAGTATAGCTGACTTTACTGGCATCAGATCCAAGACCTAGACAGCGGCTCAACATATAACGACCGGGCTGATGTTCTTATCCAAGCAACCGGTGCTCTCAATAACTGGAAATGGCCAAATATCCCTGGCCTTCATGACTTCAAAGGCAAGCTCCTGCACAGCGCCTCATGGGATGAGGGATATGACTATTCGGTACGTTCATGTTCGACAGCACGAAACATCAATTTCTAACACTTGGCATAGAATAAACGAGTGGCCGTAATTGGAAACGGTTCCAGCGGCATTCAAATTGTTCCTGGAATGCTGCCGAAGGTGGCACATATCGATCATTATATCCGCAGTCGGACGTGGGTATCCCCGACATTTGCTCGAGAGCAGATTGATAAACGTGCTAAGGGACTGGAAAACTGTAAGTCCACTTCGTCCGTCAGCCGTGACTTTCTAACATTTGGGTTTTAGATACCTTCACCCCAGAAGAGATCGAGACCTTCAAGAACGATCATCAAGCGTACCAGAATTTCCGGAAAGGTTTGTAGTGATATTCTTGAATCTCAGTCATGCAGTTGTCTAATTGAATGACTAGAGGTCGAGCTCGAGCTGCAGTCTATCCATGGGGCCACGCTGACAGGTCACCCCATGCAACTGGGAGCCCATGACGCGTTTGTCGCAAACATGAAGCGGCGCTTAGCCAACAAGCCTGATCTAGCGGATGACCTTATCCCAGCATTCCCACCAGCTTGTAGACGCTTGACACCAGGCCCTGGTTATCTCGAGGCTTTGACGGATGAGAAGGTGAATATCATCAAGTCGGATATTGTCAGGGTGGACGCGACAGGCATCCTCACAGCAGATGGTCAGCACCGAGAGGTCGATGCGATAGTCTGTGCTACCGGATTTGATACAACCCACACTCCACGGTTCCCTATCAAGGGTCGAGGCGGACTCACTCTCGCAGAACGATGGAAAAGGACTCCCGAGACCTACATCTCGGTCGCGACCGACGGGTTTCCCAATTACTTCATTTCCCTGGGGCCGAACGCCGGATTGGGAGAGGGCAACTTACTCATCTTGATAGAGAAGGAGATAGACTACTTCACAGAATGTGTGAAGAAGATGCAACGTGACAACATCCGCGCTCTGTCTGTGAAAGCCGACGCGGTCCGGCGGTTTACGAAGTACTGCGATGAATACTTCGCAGGCACCGTCTTCAGCAGCAAGTGTCGCAGTTGGTACAAGGGTGGTACTGAAGATGGGCGCATTATTGCACTATGGCCTGGTATGGTAACCATCTCGGGGGGTTTCCTCGCTGCATTTACTAACTGAAACTAGGGTCCTCCCTTCATGCGATGAAGGTATTCGCGAATCCCCGCTGGGAAGACTTCGACTATGAGTATGTCAATGACAATGCGACCGGGTGGTTTGGAGATGGTTGGACTGAGAATGAGAAAAATGACGCGATCAATGTTAACTATCTGGACGATGATCAGATTGATTTCCCCCAGCCTGTGCAAGTATAGAAGGGTCTCCGGAGAGAAAGCATGGTTTTGACCCGAAGACGGGCATGTGAATTGTCGAATAACTACCTAGAATTTGAATGAGATTTTTCCCATATTTTATTAGTCGCCTATTCCGTTCAGATGCCTAGTCTAGAATCACTACCTCCCTGATAGTAATGAGCACAAGCTGATATGTAGTAGTCGGCATAATAAACTCCCCGCTCGTAGTTATTCAGAAACTTAAAGAGTCCGTGATATACTAGCCTTCGGTAAAACAGAAAGAGAACCATCTTTCTGTATTGGTATGGCTTTGTGCAATCAGGATCCTTCAATGTGTGGCGTGCCAAATTTATAGTACCTCGATCTGGTTCCCTGCTGCTAGAGCTGCAGAGCGGAGGCCGATAAAAGGATGGTGATATCATCAACATACCATACAATACCAGATAAATTACGCGCACAGAGTGCTCATACTGCAGCCGCATGCCCCGTCCAGCACAGGTTTCGGCACTAAATCCCTCGGCTACTACCGATACAAATACGCCGACAATACCAACCCCCCCGAATGATCGCCCTCTTCGTCGTCTTCCTCCTCCCCCCAGACTCCTTCGCTCTTCACACCTCTCGTTTACCGCGAATCTCCCCTTCCTCCCCGATGGACCAACATGAAGCCCGCCGAGAAGCACTTTCGCTGCACTATCTGTCAGCGGGGCTTCACGCGCATTGATCACTTGAAAAGACACCATCTTAGGCGTATGTTTCCCCGCCCTGCAGGTCCCCCGATTCGTCACTCAGTCGAGACAGATTCCGGCCAAAAGCCCTATTCCTGCGTTTTTTGCAACGAGTCTTTTGCGCGCTGGTACGTCCACAATCGCCTATGTCCATAGAACAACCTCAATCTTACCTGTGTTTCCCTAGCGATAACCTGCGCGACCACTATACAGATTGCAGCCAACGCGGAGATCGCAAGGTCCCCGAGACGGGCCAACGAGGCCGGCGGCGACATGCATGTCAATCGGTAAGCCGGCTCAGTGCTTCCGAACTCCTAAAATCGACCTTTCCTGGTTGGACTAATAGATTTATCACCACTATAGTGTACTGCGATGAAACTCCGTTGTGACGGTAATACCCCGTGCGAGTCATGCGTGAAAAGAGGCTTTATGTGCACAAACCCCACAGGACCAAGTCCAAGTGCCAGTATTGAGGATGGTACGGTGTGACGAAAGCTGCAATTGTGATCAGGACTGATTCGATATAGGGAAAACCTCGCCGAACCCTCAAATGCCTCCAATCTACAGACAACCCTCAGATCGTGGCTCGATTAAATTCCTCCTAAACGGCGGCACCGACTCATTCACCGAAGGCTTTAGGCTTCCTCCTCGCAGCGATCGGGAACGAGGCATGGCGTATCACAATCAGACTGCGCTGGAGGAGGCAAACACAAACGGGGAAATCTACCCATCGTTCGATATACAAGGCGACCGGACCGACTTCTCCCCGGATTTTGTGGAGTCCGACCAAGCAAATTTACAATTCTTCCAAGACACGTTCCTGGATTTCTTCAATGGGCCCTTTGGTGATGGCCAGAAATCTGTGGAAACCCCATATGCGGGACCAGTCGCATATCCAGCTGCATTCGCACCGGGCCAAGATGGCAATATGGCCTTGCCAGCAGAACAAGGAATCTTTGAGCCCGAGCGGCCCTTTGCAATGGCTTTGATTCAATCAATTTTGGCACGAGCATGGACGGTTCCTTTGGATCCGAAGGCACAGGAAGAGATATCAACGAACCTCAGCTTCCTGCTGACCACAGCGCGCATACGCAAGTCCGTGTCACTTTACTTCAAGTACTGGCAACCCAGCTGCGCGATGATTCATATTCCCACATTTGACCTGGAAACAATTGCACTGCCCCTTCTAGCTGCAGTCACGTTCTTCGGGGCCATGTATAGCCCTGATCAAAGGGAGGCGTACGTGGCAAAGCGGCTGCTTGATTTCGCCGAGCTGTTTATCTTTTCCAGTCACATATACTCTCCAGAGACTGAAGTTGCAAGCGTTTTCACGGGAATTCAAAATGCCGATGATGAAGCAACTGATTGGATGAAGTTCCAGAATTTCCAAGCCGGCTTCATCATTACGGTTGTGCAATACTGGGCGGGAAGTCGGTCATCCAAGAACCGTGCGATGGAGAATCGGTTTAGTGAGGTGGTCAAGGTAGGCTAACGCAAGTTCCATGAGACCTCGTATGCGATCTTACAGTGACAATAGGTCGCCCGTCGCCTAAACCTTGTCAAGGTCAGGCATATACCCAATGACGAGCAGTTCGAAGAACTTTTATGGATTCAAAAAGAGTGTCGTATTCGGTAAGTCACTTTCGATGCTCGTTTTTGATCCCTCGTTTAACATGATATAGAACAATTAGCATCATATCACTACTGGACTGCGCGTTCTTCTTCTATCAAAATTATCCGTGTCGATTGACGCATGCGGAGATAGAGTCCGAGCTACCCTGTGAAGAGGCGCTCTTCCGATCCCCACATCCATTTCAAGATCCCAAATTCCGTTTTTCTCGCGATATCACCGTATATCAGGCTTTCCAACATATGTTCGAGTCTCCTACGCAAGACGGTCCTCGGGCAACGCCGCCTTCTTCTAAGATGGATCTCACGGTTCTGGATATGTTTATTATCATTCATGGTACGCATACTTGTTAGGAATTCCTTGTGGCTGGCGATACTAAGTACGATTTTCGCAGTGCTGTTCGCTTTTATCAATACGCACATGACGCTTGTGGGGCTACTCAAACGCCAAGCCATTGTCATTCAGTCTGCCCAGACCGAAGGCAATTGGGGCAAGAGCATGATTCCCGAAGACTCAATCTTAAATTCAATCCGTACAGCCTTGAATCGCTGGCGCGACTATTGGGTTGCCCTGCGCAGCCAAGTCTCTAGTGACGAATGGGCGTCGATGGGCTTCTACAAGAACGGGTACAACTTCTGGCTCGTGTCTCAACTGCTCATCACTAAGAAGGACGCCGTCGACGTGATTATGCAGATGGAAGTGCATTGTGAGGATAAGCTTGAGAAGTTGAAGGTACTGTTGCAGGACGAATAATGTTAGACTTCATGGAAGGGTGTATAGGAGTTGGATAGATCTGGACGATGATCCAGCGGAAGGCGTTTAGTGGTTTTCTTTTTTTTTCTTCCACTTCATGTGATTTTATGTGGAACGGGGTTTGGGCTGGTCAAGGTCGCGGCGTTTATAACACTCATTGATATCCTGGGTTCTTTGCATTTTGGGCTTCTGTGTGCCCCTATTTCCACATTGTCTTATATCTTTTGGTTTCTACATATCTTACGAATGACCCTCCAGGCCGATGAATACAGTGACGGCTATCAGACACTACGTTTTGAAGTATTTCCTCAGATGCAAGGGACGATGTATCTGATATGCTCGATTCCGAATCTTATTGACAAACATTGGATTCATTCGTTACGTGGTCATGCGTATCCTAAGTTCCAGAAAGTCTCTATGTTCTTGCCAGTGTCCTCATCCACATAAGGTGGGGGCTCCGCGAAGGTAACATGCTCACCATGTACTTCTGCAATCTTCCCAGCTAACGATTCATCCGCCGCAAATTGAGCCACTGCTTTAGTAGCCGTTGACATCGGTGTGATAATCATGGGCTTGAAGAGATCGGAGCTCGGTGCGATATTTGTTTCTGTTTCTGGTGAGTCATGGCCCTGATGCTTGATTCCAGGAAAACTCACCAATGACAGCCGGCGCCAAGGCATTGATACGGATCTTGTCTTGCTCCAGTCGACGGGCTAAGGATCGCACGAGTCCGATCACACCAGACTTTGTGCTTGCGTATAATGGTGCTACTGGGAATGGGTAGAGACCAGCATTCGACGCAGTGCAGACGATCAAGCCGTGCGAAGATGCTGAGGGGTCACGCGTCGCATTCTTATACATATAGTAAGTCGCAAGGTGGACAGCTGTTAGCTATTAGACATTTTTGCTTCAAATCTCGCTTTGAACGCTCTCTTACTGTATATCACTCCCACAAGATTCACATTCATTGTTGTAAGATTCGGCTTGACAGGTGGGGAATCTCCCTTTACAGGTAGCAAGTTACCTTCCCTTGAAATTCCTGCATTGGCGAAGACAATATCAACACGGCCTTGCTGGGTGTATGTCTTCTCAAAGGCTGCAGCTTGACTTTCCCAGGAGGAGACATCGCATTCCTCAAAGGACACACTAGCGGACGGAAACTCTGTCTGAAGTTGCTGCAGGACTTGTGCGCCGGAAGTCACGTTGACGTCAAGTATGGTAATATGAGTGTCTGGCTGAGTGATGAAGTGTCGGGTTATACCCAGGCCAATGCCCGAGGCCCCTCCTAGACGGGAAGTCAATGGATGATGTCCGCTGGAGATGTTCTGGGATTTGATAATGTGATCAACTCACCGGTGACAACAATGCTTCTCATCTTTGACACACTAGATTTTTTGAATCACAGATCGCATTTAGTGCTACAGCTGTCTATAATCTACGGCATCAAATTCCGCATCGGCTGCAGATGCCTTTTGGTTCAAGTTCCCCTCCTCGGCTTCCCCACACTAACTTGTGCTGGTGTGGAGCTGGGGGATTTCCGGAGTCCGAGCAAGCCGCTGATCCATACTTACAGCCACAGCGACTGTTCATACTTTTTCCATTCCTGCATACGAGTTACCAAGATAGCCCTTCATCCAATAGCCGTTCAGCATTTTATCATTTGAGTCTAGGGTCTTCTCGGCCGGGTCTATGTGTTGTCCCAACCTGTTGGTGCTACACAATTGCCGTATCCCCTCGCAGAGTGCGGAATTATGCCTTTTTCTACTGTTTTGGGTGTACCAAATCGTGATGAGGTAGCGATCTGTGAAAAAGGCAGATAGCAACGAGATAATTTATGGGGCTTCTATCGTCAAGCTCTGTTGCATCAAGCCCGCAAGGACTCATTCTCTACTGGAGCTGACCCACCACGACGCTGTTGTTGATATCTATGACTATCCTTCGCCTAGGGTCCTGTACTGACCAAATTAATGTCATTGGTGAAAGTCTAGACTCGTGAGGACACGTTGGACCGGAAAATCTATTTCTTTACAAGTGGTCTCGTTTACCCTTGTTATTGCCGAACGCGAGGCAAGTAACGCTGTCTTTAATGTTTTTTTTCTTCCTTGGCTAAAATCAAGAGTCTTACGGCAATCTCTCCGAAATACACTAAAATTGCGTTCAATGATCTTCAAGCGATGTATTTCTCATCGTTTGGCCAATGTCTACGGTTTCGCAATCCAGTTCGAGACCGGCTTTGACTCATCACATCGTCTCAAGACCGCCATCTTAACCTTACAACTAGATTTCCAACGAGGTGAATCCAGTCTCTCTAATCGGCGAAACCCCGTGGGGTATCTCCAGTTAAACACCCGGGGTTTCCCCACGATGGGGCTGTCAGGCCCCATATTCTCTCGTCAACGATAGCCTCTTGGATGGTAGACGCAGGCGAGCTCAAGGATCATCCACTTGAGCCTTGTGACTGGGAATGACAATTATGTTTAAACTCAAAGATGACTCTCGCTTTAGTCCAGTAGAAGCTACAGTATAAACAGGGGTTGATTGCCCTGTCAGAAGCATACATGCACGATCATACTTGATCAACCTTCCAAGTTACCCACCAGAGCTTAGCAAGTTGACTAGTGCGTGGTATTTTACTTGAGTTAGCGCATTCTGGCAATCTTTTGCAACTTGTTTTCAAATCATCCATTCCTCGTGCTGGGAGCTCAATTTCAGACCACTTCTCACTCTTCGAACGACTGAAGTCTCCAAGATGCCGCTCGGTATTCTAGATGACGACAAGCTCGAACACATCCCGGGAACAGCCCCCCTCAATGGTCTTGACAGCACCAATGCGTATACAGGGGTTGATCCCGGCCTTTTGAAACATGATCCTACGGGTCAGATTGTTCTGGTTCCTCAGCCATCCGAGTCTCCCAACGATCCGTACAACTGGCCTCGAATGAAGAAAGAGCTCTTCACCCTCACCTTTGCATGGGGTTGTGGATGTGTCGGAGGTAATATGAGAGCCCTCGGATTTTCATCTTCTGTCGCAACCGAACTGACTTTCTTCCTTCTCGATTAGCTGTCGGCCCATTGCTCGGAGGAGCATTCGTCCCTCTCGCGAAGGAATTCGGCGTCTCGCTTTCAACATTTATATCTGCCGTCCAGGGTGGTACAATCGCCGCTATCGCTGTGGGAAGTCTAATTTTCAACTCCCTGGCGGTGAAATATGGCAAGCGTCCAGTCTATCTTGGAACAACAATCGGTTTGATGGTTTCATGCTTCTGGGCAGCCGAGGCAGGAAGCTTCCATTCTTTTGTTGCAGCTCGTGTGGTATGTGGGCTTTGCATGGCGCCTATGGAGGCTTTGGTTCCGGCATCTATTGCCGATATATGGTATGGCTATTCTCAAGCGTTTCAACCAACCCAATTCTGACCTGTTCTTTAGGTTCGTGCATGAGCGTGGATTCCGCACGGCTATCTTCAATTTAGGCGTTCTTGGTGGAATCAATCTCGCTGTGCCAATCGGTGAGTTGGCCTTCTGAACTTATCGTCCATGAATCTGCTGACAGGAACTTTCAAATAGCTGCCGCAATCATCGAGTACAGTTCCTATCGAATCGCCCTGCACGCTATGGGTGGTGCCTTTGGTCTGGCACTTATCATGATCTTCTTCTGGATGCCTGAGTCAGCGTACGCGCGAGAAGCTTTGAACATCGACACTGGTGACACAAACGTAAATACTCCTTCCCTCTCGGATTTTTATCCATTACACTAACATCTCCCAGGTTGTGGTCGAAGGAAAAGGGACTTTAGAACAGCTCGAACACACTCCCAGCGCCGGAATTCAGCAATCCGAGCCGCGAACATCATATACAAAGGAACTGCTTCCATACAGTGGTTATGTTAACCATGTCTCCTTCTGGAATACCATTATCAGGCCATTCTATCTGGTAGCATCGCCACCTGTTCTATGGGCGATACTTCTTTTCACTACGTGCATCTCGTGGCTTGTTGGTATCTCTCTCACTCTGTCCCAAATCTTCTCGGCACCGCCATACAACTTTTCCGTTGTGGGTGTCGGTGCGACGAACTTGTCTTCGTTTGTTGCATCAGTGCTTGGTACTCTGACTGCTGGTCCTCTGATTGACGGATTGGCGACGCGAATGTCGAAGATGAATGGGGGAATATTCGGTAAGAAATTCTACACAAGTTTCCCTATCTTGCACCGGAGCTGTGCTGACCAACATGTACCTACCCAGAGCCGGAATTCCGTCTGCCCATCATGGTGACCTATCTATTGTTCACGTCTACAGGCTTCTTTGCTTGGGGTCAATCCTCGTATGTGCAAGACCCGTGGCCCGTCCCCGTGATTGTGTGCTTGGGCTTGATCAATTTCGGCGTCCAGTTGGGCACTACAGGCGTAGTCACATACGTTGTTGACTGCCATCGTGAGAAAGCTGGTGAAGCTTTTGCTGCAATGAACTTCATCAAGAATCTCTTTGCGTTCGGCTTGTCATTTTACATCAATGATTGGATTGACCAGCAAGGAGTTCGCGACTGTTTCTTCACCATTGGCGGAATCACCATGGGTGTCACCCTCTTCACTATTCCTATGTAAGGTCTTGTATATTAACTATAAGTTCTACCTACTTGGTCGCTAACCTCTATTCACCATAGGTATATCTTTGGCAAGCGAGCTCGAAGCTGGGTGCATAGACACGGGATTGCGGATCGCCTGTAAAGAATCGTGTTGAACGGTGGTCTTAACCGGCTACTGGTGCTAGTGCTGTCCAATAGTACATCAGTGCATGATTACCAGGTCTCCAATTGTATCCTACGGAGACCAAAAGATGTGGAGCGTAATGCTACATCATATACACTAGATAGGCTAGGTGATATACTAAATTCGCTTATATGGTAGATTTGACAGCGAAATTACGCCGCTACACACAGGAAAGAGAAGCACAATCTGATTAATTACTATCTAGAGAAATCTTTGTTAAGCCAGGAAAAAGGGAAATCGTGGGATGACTTAAACAAGCCACAGCAATTTGCAATCGCTGGTCCTGTATCAATCCATCGACGCCAAGACCATCAAGATTGTATGCGTAGATTATATTCGTAGATCGTATGCGTATATGGCTGTGGGTTCGAATTATAGAGGTTAAAATACTCAATGGGGGAGACGCCCCCTTAGAGCCACTGGGCAATTTTGATCGTAGGGCGTGGGGAATTAGCGCCTGAAATTACAGGCTACAAAAATTGTTCGAAGGTCACGTGATAATAAATAGTACCGCCTTTGATGACCAATCAAACTCTTAGGATTCTGCCACAAATAGACTCATCACCATCCCCTACAGTAGTTAGTTAAGTATTTGTGCAACTCATCCCTTTAGTCAAGAAATAATAAGCTTCGCTACGCTCCACAATAATCACCTAAGTAGTTATACGATACTTGAAGAGATCCTTTTCCACAATTTCACTCTTCTTCTTCTCCAGCTCCTCCATATCCCAATTACCGATAACAAATCGAGCATTCAACCACTCCCTCCGTTGTGAACATAACCAAACAACCGTATCTTCAGGGAGATTTGCTTTATCTATCGATACGAATTGCAGATAATCAGGCAAACCATCGGCCATATCTGTCTTCACACACCCAGGGTGCAGAGTGATACAGACTGACGCTCATAGTCCCGAGCAACAAATTCGGAGAACCAGCAGTTAGAAAATCGTGATACCTGATACGCCGAAGCTCCGTAGGTCAAGCAGTTGGTTGCCATGGAAGACAGATTGATCACAATCTTTGTATCGGCTTTCAAAAGCAGCGGGATGAAGTAGTGACAGGAAAGAAATGTACCCTTGACATTGACTTCCCACGGCGCCCACCATTCCGCGGGTCGACTTCGTGGATAGGTTTGAATTTGGTAAAATGCCCTGCGTTGTTGACCAGGATATCCAGTTTCCCTCCAAATGCTTCGTAAACTGCTTTTGCAGCAGCTCTAACTGACTTGTCTGATGTGACGTCGACCTGTAAGGGAAGAATCTGTGGCGGCGGAATGCCAGCCTCGCGCACGGTTTCTTCGATTTCTTGCACGACGCCCGCTAGGGAGCCACGAGCAGCGAGTGCAATTTTCGCACAGCCTGCTTTGGCGCATCGAATGGCGGTGGCTCGTCCGAGACCTCGCGATGCACCCGTGATAAAAATTGACTTTGTCACGAGCTCTGACCCCGTTGGTGTGATGAAAGGATAGGTATCGTGATGGAGGCTTGGAACGAAATTGGTCATTTCATTAGAGTTTGTGGGTCTTGAGAGATCCTCGACATCAACAATTTCCGTAATTTTGGTGGTCATTTTGATGTTACTTGATGTGGGAGGGCTTGATAGATTTGGCTAGTAATGTGGATGAGGTGTGGGATTGTACTAAGCAAATTGAACACGGAAGATGTTGTGATTTGAACCGAAACGATCGAGGTCGGCTTTAATTACCTTTTATAATTCGAGACTCTCGACTATTAAACGCAAAAAGGCTTATAGTCATGAAACGATAAACTGAAGTATGGAATAAGCCTTTGGGATGAGTATCATGTCAAGCGAGGGCCTGTGAATTGAAGTCCCGCTTCAGGTTAGTGTTACTTCTTTCGGGATAGCCGCTCGCAACGCTGCTCCTCTAAGTATTTGGCACTGAAAGTGACTCCCCACTCTGGGAGATTGACCATTATCTACTTTTGGCAAGTCAGATCACTATGTACCAGGGTATCTTATTCCGCCCACATAAGCTTATCTCATACCCCGACTTTGTTAAAACTACTAGTATCTCATATGCTTATGTCAATTAAAGCTATTTATCAATGTAGAGTATAGAGGAGATTAGATATTTTAATAACTGAATCAAACCTACAAAAGCTCCTCTCTACTTAATAGCTCTCCCTCCCGATATTTGACCCTAAAATTCACCGACGAGAAATAAACTGCAAGACAAGATAAAGGGTCAGGAATACAACTACAAGGATGGCTGAAAAGATATTGCTATTGTGGGATATCTTGCTGCCAATGGTGATTAGATACGCCAGTAGTCTGAGCGATCAAATTCTAAGGAGAGTTTGTTCAACACGGTAAGACGTCAAAGCTTCCCGAGATAGAAGCTATTTTGATAGCAAATAGCGGATTCTAATCCTTCTTTCAACCCTAATAAGCAAAAGCAGGAGCCTGGATACCCGTTTGTATCTTTATTCTTAGGATATATTTACAGTAACATCCACCACTCAGGCTGTTTATCCACTGGTGGTCAATCTTCCGCCAACTTTTGCCCGTTCATGAAACTATTTGCAACGCGCACAACAATCAGTATCTAACAGAGACACCCCATTCCATAGAAAGATACTTCAATGCGAGTCCTCTTCATGTAACGCTTGTTACTTTCTGACAGCCGCAGTCGTTTTCAGAGCTTCAGCGCAGCAGATGCTAGGTAAAAAAGATTGCCTGGGGTATTCTGGAAGATCTTCATTTACAATCCCCTCACGGCAGTCCGGATCAAGGAGGCAGAAACGGAATATGGTAATACCTATTCACGCACCTCATCTCCCCTCCTCGAAGGCAGTCTATTTGGCTAAAGCTCGATCCACAGAAAATCTATCCAGTATATTTCTGCAAGCCCAGGAATCAAGATGCGTGGGAATATTATCCTGCAGCCTCAGCCGACGAACGAACCGAACGACCCTCTGAACTGGTCCGAAGACCACATACCCAATGATTTAGTTTACTCGCTATACAGCTCGAATAAAGGAAGGTTTTTCGGAAGTACAACCCGTTCTATCTAATGTCGGTCGGTTCGGATTAAGTGTGACGAAACTCGGCCAGAATGTCAGCAGTGCACACAAGGGGGTATACAGTGCCGTTACGGGCCAAAATATCGGTGGTCTACGAGACACAAGTATTTCAAATCTGCCTCGTCTGGCCTACGCCAAGCTGAGACGTGCTAGAAACACTACGCCTTGAAAATATCTTCCGCATAGCTGGTTTTTTACATATTATTTGAGGAGTCTTACCCTGACCGAGGTGTGATATGTTGAAAAAGATGCTCCTCTTGTAAACCATCAGGTTAGCGTACAATAGCCCGCCTTGACAGGCTTAACAAAGCCATACATACACTCTGCAAGACGGATTCATGAAGGGTGTCGCAGTGGATGGATGATGCCTTTTATATCTCGAAAGTAGAGGAAAATCTTTTGCCATCCGAGCAGCAAGTTACATCGGGCTTATGTAGATCAGTAAGGCAGACAAAAAAAAAAGTCTAATCTGAATCCGGTCGTTTTCATATTTCGTGTATTGTATACTAAGGAAGTGTGAGACCGCAAAACAATCATCAAGTGTTTGAAGGTCAGAGGAATTTCGAGACCGACTGTCAGATACTGACTGTAGTCCTTGGTACCACTCCAGAGGCCACTTGAAGCTGAAGGTTGTTCTGTTGAGCAGAGGATATCTGAATTCTCACGATTATTGTAGTGTACCGAGCGGTAGGTAACCCCTAGCTGATGACGGCCCCACTCGCGCCAGGACCCAAAGCCTATCCCAACACGAGCCTCTCGGGCGAGGACTTCCAGGCCCGAATACCGATGGACAAAGCCCAGATTGTCGGAAGAAGAACGCGAAATGGCATATCCTAAGCTGCTCGGATATCACCGTCCGGATCACCATCAGAGAGGTGTGGAAGCTTGTTCATGAGCTCAAAAACACTATCAAACACGAGCAGAACGTCCTAGGCGAACAGAAATGAAAAACTTCACGATGAAGTCAGAACCCTACGAGTACAGATCGAATCCACCCCCTCGACAACCCCCTCGACGAGCATATAATGGAGGCCCTTAGGTATCAGTTCCCCCAACTATTGAGCACGGCCTGCAGTCGCTGCTAGTGACAGGAACGACGCCCCTCAACCAAGCCACCAGCGAACGGAAAAAGAACAGAACTACGTCCGGATCAACAACCACAGAACGTTCGTCCATTCAATTAATTACTGTCCCTCTCTTCTACAAGCCATAGAAAACCAATCTCCATACGATCGTTATTGCGAGGAGTGCTAAGCTTCTGAGCGGTATACGTCGAGCTGCTGCTGCACCATTCGACGGAATTCAGGATACACACGCGGGAGGTTAAACTGCTGATTGAGTTGATTGCGAAGGGTAGAATTGAGACCTTTGCCAGAGGCGGAGATCTTAGCGACGTCTGGCCAATCGTAGACGTGAGCTTCGTCGAGTTTGCGCTCGATGTTAGCGATATAAATGGCGAGGGAATTGATATCCTGCTCGATATTGAATCTGACACTGGGCTTGAACGATATTTAATTGTACTTGTCGCTGCTGGAGAAGTGAGGCTGTCTCTTGATAAAGAATGTTGATCTGGCCACGAAGGCCTTTGAAAATATTGTTGAAATCGATGCTGATAGCTGTACGAAGCCATTCGAGATGCTCCATCACGAGAGGAAAGAGTGTAAAAAGAGAACAGAACTGGACAGAAAAATTCACTAGCTGCTAGAGAGATGGTGGGCGAGAAGGGGAACGAAAGAAATCCTTGCGGAGACTTCGCCCTGTAGCTGACGTTGAATGAAGCAACACCCAGGTACGCGCTGGCGTACGCCGGAAAGGAAACTGCCCGACGGACTAATCGGTCTCTTGCCGTAGCTTACTAGATTGTTCGGGGAAAATTGTGCGAATAATGCTCTTGGGTCTTCGAGCGAGATCTGCCTCTCAGGCCTTTGAGAGAAGGATTGCCAGGTTATAGTTTACGCTCAGGCACGAAGATATCAAATCAATATGGTAGCATTCAACGAAGCAACTAAACATGAGGAAGCAAAGAAGAGGGAGAGATGCAAGAGAGCAGGGTAAGCATCGACACCTATAGCTTACGGCCACCGACTAGAAACCTGAGTGTAGAAGCACTTCCTATTGACCGCCCCAAAACTACTCTATACATATGGCCTCCCCTTAGACGTATCCTACGTCCTAATTAGGTAATTCAGGCTGGTTCTCAACGACCGTTTAAATCAATAAATCTCACTACTAGCTATCTATCTAGTCTCATTTTGAGCTATCTTTAATTTGTTTTTCTGCTATCATTTCAGTCACCCTTTTAGTTATCCTTTCAGTTATATTCCTCGCCTTTGATCTTCTCTCGCTATTTAGTTCTCGTCGGTAATTTCAGTCAGGTTTGACTATCATAGGGAGGGTTATTAAGTGGAGAAGACCTCTTGAAGTTTAGATCGATTTATTAAATATCTAATTCCTTTATAACCTACTTATTAATGGATAACTTTAAGAGGTATAAGTAGATTAAATAATAGTATTTAACTAATCCGGGGTAGGAGATAAGCGTATATCGTGTTAGGACTTGCGGCCGTAATTGTATGTGCGCTACTTACGTCTGTCCACTTATGTCGGTCCCAGACTCCCAGTCATGTTCCGACATGTTCGGGTTTTTGGCCTGTTGGACCAGCAAGTCTAGGCACCTGTCGTATCATTATCTCAAACGCTCTAGGATCACTGCCTTATTAACCCAAGGGTTCTACAGTAGTCACGATACGTGCATGCGGTTGCGGGTAAACCTAAAACCTATGGTTAATCGCGTAGCTTATAAGAAGCCCATGTATGCCTGTATTAGCTACGTGTTAAGGGCTATAGGGCCTGAGTGCATGTCCTTCAAAGAAGGGTGGTAACGTTAGGACTTCGGCCTGACGTTATGTGCGGTACTTAGTTCGGTCTACTTATGTCGGTCCGGGACTCCCGGTCATTCCAAAATTTAGCGTTCTGACATATTCGGTCATTTGGCCTATTCGATTAGGCGGTCCTGGGGCGTGTCGTAATATCTAGGCGCAATTAGATACCCAAGTAGAGATTTGACCAAGGGTTGCCAAAAGTAGATAATGGAGATTCTCCCAGAGTGGTTAGTTAATAACAACAAAGAAGTTGGGAGGTGGTATCGTGTTTCACTCAAACCCCCCCCCCCCCCCCCACCCCCCAATTACCAACTTTCTTTTGCGGAGTTCTTCCACCCCTGCTGGGCTGGGATCTCTTCAGGATCATTCTGTAATTTTCGGGAGCAAGAGGGTCTGAATTGATGCTACTCTCAATTGGAGTAACGACTACACGAGAGCCCACCAAATGACGATTCCTCAAATCTAGCGTTCCTATCACTTCTCCACTTCCAGGGCACGTCCAGGTGACGGATGCTTGAAAGTGGGGTCCCGATTCCCACAGGTTGTCAAACCTATGGTACGAGAACGAAAGACCATGTAGAACGGACAGAAGAAAAGATCTTCCCGCGAAGGATTCCGGCACGCGTTTATAACTGGTTGGAGGAGAGGTGTTTGAGAAGTTGCTACCCCTGAGGGATTGAAACGGTACCAAGGTGGGTTACATCTAGACTCGGATCACGGAGCAAGTGAAGATCAGCGGACTGGCATGGCGACTCCCAACGAACGAGCTTGGAAAACACACTCTCGGATTCTGGTATAACTTGTGGCACTGTGTAGATTATCTGTGCTCTATAAGAAGGGTCAGGGATCCCGTTCAGCTTTGCACGGAATCATTACACCCTCACCTTCATCCATCTATTGTAAACAGCAGAAAGACATGTTTTTCAAGAGCGTTCCAACCATAGCTATCTTGGCTTCTGGCCTTATAGCATCGGCTACCCAGACTTTCAGCAACACCGGCACACTTTCAGGCTGGACTGGGCAGACAATAGAACACAAGGGCAGCATCCGGGAGGTCACCGATGTCGTCTACAAGGGTAATACCGCTCTCGAGATGACCCAGGTCTATGATCCCAACTGGTCCGGCCGTTTCCACTCGGAAAAGTCCAAGACTGCAGTCTACAAGCTCGGTGGCCAAGGCTACTACGGATTTGCTTTCCGCCTGCAGGATGACTGGCAATTCTCCCCAGCGCAATCGTACAACCTGGGCCAGTTCATCGCCGACTTCACAGACACTGGGTGCGATGACTGGATGCCAGCTAGCATGGTTTGGATCCTCGGGAACCAGCTCTATACTCGCGTGAAGTACGGATCGATCTGCAGTCAGCGTACTCGGACTTTCGAGAAAGTCGCTACTGTGACGGCGGGAGAGTGGCATCGGGTCACCATTCAGGCCAACTGGCAGACCCATAACGGTTCTTACACACTTTGGTTTGATGGCAACAAAGTCGTCGACGTACACAATATTCCGACAATGATCAATGATGCTCGACCATTTGACTACCACGTCGGTATCTACGCCAACGGCTGGCATGACGACCACACCATGAAAGGTAGCCAAGGCACGCGCCAAGTCCATTTTGATCAGATTTCTGTTGGCACTACTTTTGCCGATGCCGATCCCAGTCAATGGTAGAACCTTGCAAACCTGTACAATATGGCAGAAAGATCGATGCCACAGGCTTATCTAGGAATACAGCTTTCTAGATGGGTAGGATGAAATGGTTTTAGAATAGACTTTAGGGTTTTCAGGGAATGAAGAAATACGGGTGATTCAGGGTATAGTGCTGTTTACCAGAAATATTTAATAACCGGGAATACTCTAGGTTTTTCACTTTTTTGATCTAATTATGAATGAATCAACACGATCACTTTGCCTCTTTTCGACCACTCTACACTCGTATTTCTGAGATAGTTAATCAATTTAGTTGCTGGCTATGAAATTCTTTTCCCATTGGCCCTCATGCTTTCACCACTCGAACACACGATTTTATCTCATGACTATCACGAATCTTGAAGAATGAGAGACGAAACTACACTATGACTAGTGGATGCTTAAGGCATATTAGAGACCAATATTTAATCAATCTTATTAAATTCGCAACAACCGCTTCTAAATATAACAAAACCCAAATTGATGTCTCCTATCGATTTTGATCTAACTGGAAGTGCAATTCACGGCCAGCAGGCTATCATCGACCTATTCAGGTGAAAAAAAGATTAGCTGCGTGTTTCTCAATTAGAGAACCATTGGATCAACTTACATTAGTGCAAGTGAATGCATTATAACCCTTAGGACTCTTGACCGCAATCTCCGAAGCGTAGATGTCCGAGCAAACCTAGTACAATTAGATATGTCTCGTCCAAGGAGTTTAGGCGAACTTACATTGGGGCTGGAGCAAACAATCGTTCCGACATGGGGGTCGTACTTTCTAGAGGTTGTACCCTTGATGTTCTTGAAGTGCACATCGGAAATGGTCATGCTGCTCTGTATGATCCAAATAATATAAGGTTAGCATTGCCACAAATACGACAAACTCCAAGAATTTGTGGGTATGACGTACGGGGTACTCATTGCACAGAGTGAGGTTACTCTGTCCGTAGCACTGAGTGACCTCAATAGCATAATCAACGTTCTGGATGGTCATAGTGTCATAGGTAATGTTCTTGACGCTTCCAGAGCCACCTCCGCCCTGCAAGTCGGTAGACAGAGCAGAGGCCACACCGGGCCAGACCTTGATGCGAGCACCATCCTAGATATCCTATTAGCGTTGCTCTATGCAGGCTAGAGAGTCAATCCTTCCAGACACATACAGAGGCATTGAACATGGAGATGTTGTAGACGAGAATGTTCTCGACGATATCGACTTCGTTCTTGTACTGGCCCAGGGAACCAACGGAAATACCGTGCGAGCCATTGCAGTGGAGGTTCTGAACAATAACGTTGGTGCTGTTGGGCTTGAAGGAAACGCAGTCTAGAAGAAAATCAACTTTTGTTCGTAACTAGTAAAGTTCTGATTCGTATCACATACCATCACCGTTGTTGATCACAGAGTCTTGAATAACAATGTTGTCAGACCGGTAAATGTCCCTATGGGATTATTGTTAACCTTGGTGCTTTCGAAAATTCTCACGATATAAACTCACCATCCATCAGTGTTCTTGGCAGTGTTCTTGCTCTTGCTGAAGCCAGAAATATCGATACCCTCGAACAAAACATCTGACGAGTTGGCGACAAAGTGGTACCACTGCGGGGAGTAGCGCAGCTTGAGAGGGCCGATAGTACCGCCGTGCAGCCCGATAATACCGACGAGAACGGGACGCAGAACCAGAGCGTCCGAAGCGTATAGGTCATACCAGACCTGACCATTGCCATCGAGAGTACCGTCACCGTAGACGTTTACGTCAGTGCCACCGAGCTGGAAGAAAGTCGTCGCGTTCTGGTAGACTTGCTTGAAGGCATTGGCTTGCCAGTAGTCGGTGTCGTTGGTGAATTGGATTGTACCAAGAATTTCTAAAACATCATAAATTAGCTAGGATATCGCTTGGAGAGCTCCCGTTTTGGGGTTTATATCGTCGCATACCCAGATCCACATGCTTCAGGAAGGTCATATCCATGGCCTTGCCCACGGTATAGGTCTTGTCTGCGTCAAACACGACCTTGCCACCATTGTTGCACTTTCTCAAGGTCGACAGAATGTTGGCAGAGTCGTCGGTACCGTCGCCATGGCTGGGAACATGGCAAGTGCGGTGCCGAACCTGGCTAGGAGGGAGAGGATGAAACGGTTGATGGGGATGGCATGCACCAGAACGAGACGATCCACTGGCCTCAACAGCGGCAGTGAGAGACAGGGTAAGGCCAATGGCCTGTGTCAAGACATTGGACACCTTCATTGTGATGGGCGGCAACAATTCAGGTCAGATCAGGGATCTAGCTTGCGGTCTGAATTGGAGAGAGATCGGCAAGAATCACAACACTCCCCCGTGGTAGCTCATCCTTATATATTCTGCGCACGCAAAGTACATTGTCCTTTCCCATCTTTCGCATCTTGGGGAAACGTGCACTGGCACTAATTACCCCCGAGTCGCGGTTCGGTGGGGTAATTCCACGTTGAGGACTTCGTCCGGGGAAACGGACGTGCGGACTGTGGGGAAGCTCGAGAATGAAGCACTGAAGATGGCGGAGACAGGCACTGGGCGTCGCGTTAGCGAAGCATTCGGAGATTGATTGACTCTGGATTCCGTCGCTGGAGATGATCGTGGGGGTCCGGTTGGAGGAAGATCTGGGGTGGATTCCGCCGATTGGGAGGAAAATCCCGGCTAAATCGACGAAATTGGGAAGCATATTTGGAGAAGCATGATTAGTCTGGGGACCTGCCCATGATGGCATGGTCAGTGGAGACCTTTTTGGCAGGAATTATGCCTCTTATCATCGCAAAGCTCCATGCTCTAACTCAGTCAAATCGGAGAAATGTTCCCGGTTACTCTCGAGGTGGACAGCATGAAGGAGTCAAGGACGAGCTGATTACAGACTAGTCCAGGAGAAGCTACAGGTCTAGCAGATACCGCAGACTAATCATCTGCAGGAGTCTTATGAGAGTATCATGCTCCCCTGCTTACCACAAATACCACAAAGTGGCAGCCAGGGATTCGACCCCCTTGGTCGAGACCTGGTTAGCTCCAGCCGGTGTCGTATCCGTGCTGGCAGCCCTAGGCACTTTCTAAAGACGCGGTTCCCCGCCCTACTTTCCGAATCGTCAATGGCAAACAGCAACAATAACTGGCATGGTTTATATGTACAGCGGGTCTCCCATAGACACAATATATGTCAGCGCAAATGATCACAGACTCTCGATCGGGTCCAAGATGACTCGCGCTCGTCTCAAGACTTTTCCCCCCGAGGTCTCTATAGATGCGAAGCAAATATCCATCCAAATCTTTCCGAGTCCCTTTACCCGCGACCGCAACCGCAACCCCAACTCCACTCTTGATCAGCTTTTGCTTAGGCCTTCTCACTAGCAGCCTTCACGGCGCTCTCAGTCTTGACCACGACAGCCTTGGCAGAGTCGACAGCTTCGTGTTCGAGCTCCTTAGCGGCCTCGAGGGAAGAGCCCGTCTGGCTGCGCTGCCACATGAAGATACGGGAAACCTGAACAACACCAACGCATCCGAGGAAAAAGTTAACGGCGGCGAGCCTAGGAAAGTGTGGAGTTAGCCAGGTATCAATAAACCATGAACCAGAGCGGATGGGAGCAGGACGTACAGGACGTTACGGGGCTTGATAATCAGACACCAGCGAGTCCAGATGGCACCGGTGGCCATCAAGGCACAGTTCTGGGTCAGAGACAGCTTCTCAGCTGGACGGTTGAAGTCGGAGATACCGGCGATGACAAGAGCCCACTGTTCGGAGAAATCAGCCATGTCCGTTCTTTGCCTTCCCAACACGCCAGATTTCCACATTTTCAACACAATCCCGTAGTCCAACAATGATCAAAGGGTGTAACGAGGGAGAATCGCGCTTATCAAAACGGGGGAGATCGATCGAGTCATCAATCGTACCTTCATAACGGGAGCCCTATCACACCCATATTAGCATCAATCTCACATCCTCCTCGACAGTAGATCCGACAAATCAATCATACCAGAAGTGCACAGTCTTCACACCAATAGGGCTGTTCCACATGCGCTGGAAAGCGCTCTGCTGCTCTGCGGCGCCGGCCTCGGAGCTCTGGAACCGGAAACCCTGGGCACCCGGCCGGCGGAATGGCGCAGAGGCATTGCGGAACGCAAAGCGAGCGTTGTTGAGGAAGCGGAAACCCACGCGAGACGACGACATTATGTCTGGCTGGTGGATGAGGGAGGGAGAGGAGAGAGGGTCGAGAGTCGAAATCAAGAGGTTCCCGAAAGGTTGGGGATGTCAGAGAAGAAGGGCGGAATCGGCCGGTGGGCGGGAACAGCGACTTTGCCGCCGGTTGAGTCGAGGAGATATGCGGTTTGACCACCACAAAATTGGTAATAGCAGGAGGTAGAAAAGAATCAGATAGCAATAGTCAATACCCTTTGTTATTCTCGAATTGAGAATATATCCCAACCGTCTCTTCCTCGTCTTTCATCTCACGCAGACACTCCCTTCCGGCTGAGGTAAGCATTACACGTTAACCCAAATAGGGCTAGCGGCAGTCTCTCTTTGCTGGGCGAATCACCGCCGCCGTGAATAATGCACCTCCGGCCTCGTCCTGCTTCGTGATACCCCTCGGCCTCGACACTCTCCCTCTCTCGAATACCTCCTGACTGCCATTCACCATGTCGGGCAAATACGTCTTCTCCAAGGGCCTGAAGGAGCTCCGCTTCCTCTTCTGCCAGACCTCCGAGCAGAGCGCTGCCACAAGGCATGTTCCACCAGCCCGACTCGATTCCCCTAGCCATTAATGGGCTATCTGCGAACGATCCAGGGAGCAATTGGCTAACAAGCTTCTGTCTGCACAGGTCCTTCCTTAACCGCGCCTACCCTACCATGAAGAAGCACAACCCGCACACTCCCATCCTGATGCGCGAGGCCTCCGGCACCGAGCCGCGAGTCTTTGCCAGATACGGTACGCCAACACTCGATTCGCACCGCGTGAAATCCTCAATTCGCAAATTTGACAGAGAGAAACTAATCAATCTCATCCACTGAATACAGAGCTTGGCAAGGAGACCCAAGAGGCCCTCTCCGGTAAGTCTCCAAACACGCGAATCGACCCAACGCCCTCCGCTGACTTTGCAAAGGCCTGTCCGACTCGCAAATCGAAGAGCGCATCACGACCCTGGTGAAGCAGACTTCATAACGAATTTCTCTCCCAGTATATCCACCCCCGCATCATCCTTCCATGCTTCTTGTCGCGCATTTTCCCGTCCCGAAGTTCTACGTACCTTGTACCTATAGATGAAATCGAATCTCATCAAAATGCAACAATTCCTATTCTCATTCTCATTCTCACGCGTTGCTATGCATTCTATTTCAAAATTGTCTTGACTACCGCTATAACGAAGTACTAGCATTATTCAGCTCCCCGAACCGGAACTGCGCCCAGCTCATGCTGCCCTCCGGCAACGTCCAGATTCGCTTGCCCACGTCTTCATCTGCCGCGCCTGCTCCGACGTGGATGGGTAGCAAGTGATCAAAGGTTGGGTGAGCCTGGCGAGCATCCGGGCGCTTGAGAAGGTCTGTCAGAGCTTGCTCCCGCTCGGCTGGTGCTTTCGTCGCAGCATCCTTGAGGGCCTCGTCGAAGCTGACGGCGTACGGCATGGGGCGGGGGTTACCGAACGTAAAGCGCAGGTCGCGCAGGTTATGCACGGCCATACCAGAGACAATGATTAAGATGTTTTCTTCGCGCAGGCGGGAGACGGCTTGGCCGAGGCGGTAGTGCTGATTCGGGTCCTCGGTATCGAAGAGGGAGACCTGCACGACTGGGACATTCAATGGGTTCGAATCAGGCTCGAATGCTGCCTCGCCATTAGTATCAAGCCGCGTAGTGGTATGTATTTGTACAAGTGTACTCTGTAAGACGTACCGCACTTGAAGCTCGCCCATACGCCGTGGTCCAGACCACGCTTCACACCCTTCGCCTCGATACCAGCTTCCTTGAGCGCATCGAGCACGTTATGCGAGACTTCCTTGCTGCCCACGTTGGGATACTTCTCCTTGTAGTAATGGTCCGGGAAACCATAGAAACTGCGCAATTCTATTAGCCACGCTCCATCGTCTCGTACACCAAGCTCACACGACGTACTCATAAATTAGGTCCGTATTCTCGGCAGTGTTCACATAGATAGTATCCCGACCACCCTGCCAATGCGCCGAGAACACCACCACAGCGCGTGGTTTCACCTTCGTCGTGATCTCACGTCCAATCTGTCCCAGCTTCTTGTACGCCGGATGCTCCACATCATACATGATATTAGGCTACAGCAGTATCAGCACAAAGACCCAGCCATCACACCAGAAGCGACCCCGATATGACAAAACTCACCCCGCCATGGCTCAGAAAATAAACAGGCGTCTTCATCTTGGACCCCGATTGCTCCGCAATTGAAGACGATACAGGCGTAGGCACCGACCCAGCTACTAACGGGCTAGCAGCCCGCGAGGACGATCCGAAGAATCGACGAAAGACGAACAGGTTGGCGGTATCGCGCCAGAAAAGGGTACCCAGCGCAGCGAGGAGAACAGTTACCACCGAGAGAAGAAAGAGCCGTCGATTGCTTAGGTGAAGACTCTCAGAATTGTTTGTTGGTGGGGTATTTTGCTTGCGTGATTCCGGCGACATATATGTATATCCGGAGACAGAAAGTGGCCAGTACTGGCGCTGGTGGCGGCAGAAGCGTTTTATACAGTTCAGAAACCCCGCTACCAAAGATGAATGGATCCGATCAGGCCCGAGCTATTAAGGTTATACCTGGATTAGCAAGGGGTCTTATTCGCTTATGGCACGATTATCGCGCAAAGAGCGAGTTCGTTAGAAATACTTAGCCCGCGTCGGATGTACAGGGATGCCGATGCATAAGCCGATCCGCTTGCTGTGTAAGCGCGGAATGGACCCGCGCGGCAACCTTCAGAAGCGGCCCGCCAGGCAAGCAGACAATGGTGTTATAGAAAGATATATGGTATGTTCAAGGATAAGAATCTGAGTTATTGCGGGTAGTTCATGTATGAGGCCATTCTATTCAAAGCAAATGCAACCAGGCCTAGCCCCAGGGGGTTCGCGCCCTTAACGACGATCGATCGTGTCCGTTCCGTACCAGTCATGGCTTTGTCCCCAAAGAGAGCAAAGGGAGTGTGTATGCGCAGAATCAAAACCAAGGAGAGAGACAAAAAGGATGTCAATGTACTCGATCAATAGAGGAGTAAGTAGAAGAATGAAGAATGCCTTAACGAAGTGGGGGAATTGTACAGTCCAAACCCGAGATGAGAGAGCCCTGTCCAACTGAAACTAGCAGAAGTGTAAAAGGCACAATCACATCAAGACAGGAAAAGAAATACATCAAGCGCCGGTGGTCATTAGGGAGATACATGCATGCCAATCTGCGAATGAACAGAAGCCAGTTCCATACAATGATGTCGAGAAAGTCGGGATAGTAGAGCATGGCAATAGAATTGATAGAAAATTACATGACGATGCAGTCTCCATCGCTCTGCTTGTTGACTGCAGAGCGAGAGAGACGTGTCTTTTGCATGCGGCTACCGCCTTTCTTGAGGTCTTCCAGACGCTCTCGGGCTTTGGGGAATCCTTGCGCTGAAGAGGAGGAAAAAAGATTAGCTGGGAGATCCTGTTTGGTTCGTACCGACAGAATGTTTCACTTACCCGCAGCACGCCAGTACCATCGCTTCGCATCTTCCAAGTTCGCTGTAACACCGATGCCAACCTCGGTGAAGTATCCCATCGCATATTCAGCTTTAGCAAGACCAGCCGTGGCGGCCTTCCGCGCCCACAGATACGCCTCGGTATCATTCTGCTGAAGAATACCCTCTGACCCAGTTAGATACCAGCCACTAAGAGCCAGTTCACTCTGGTGCTCGCCCTGCGCGGCAGCACGAGTATACCAGATAATACTCGTCCGGTTGTCCACAGGGCAGCCCAACAAGCCGTACTCGTACGCCGTACCGAGACGGAACTGCGAGAACTTGTAGCCCAGATCGGCAGCCTGGTGGAAAAGCTGCGAGGCGTATGCCTCATCGCGAACGATGATGTCGTTGCCGCTGGCATTCTGGTACATGAGCGCCAATTCATGCAGCGCGTGCGGGTTTTCCTCATCGGCGCGCTCGGCAGCACGCTTCAGCCAGGAGACACCCTCACGCGGACTCCGGGCTTGACCGAGCAGTCCCTTCAAGTTGATCATGCCCATCTTGTACATGGCGGGTGTGTCGCCCATCGATGCGGCGCGCTTGTACCATTGCACGGCCTTGAACGGGTCGCGCTTGGTGCCGCCACCTTCTTCGGCGCCGATCTCGCAGCAGACAGCTACACGGTATGCGGACTGGGCATGGCCTGCCTTGGCAGCAGACTGGTACAAAGCAAATGCCTCCTTCGCGTCGACTTCCAATCCTAACAGGCCCTCGCCGTAACAGTCTGCCAGGTAGAACTGCGCATCCGGATATCCGACGGAAACAAGTTTCTTCACAATCTTGTACGCATCCATAACGTACTTTTCTTTCGCCTTGGCTTTCATCCTGGGGTCGAGACGGTTGTTGTCGGCCACAAGGACGGTTGACGCTTCGACTAGTTTCTTGGCGAGCAGAAGCTGCGTCTTCTGATCACTGGGGTTGCCTCGCGCCTTCATCTGCAACTGCTGAAGCTCCTCATGTGTGACAGGTTTGCGTCCCATTTCGTCTGGGGGCATGGATTGGGGCGCGGCCGGGCCAGGTCCCGCGCCAGGACCTGGTGCGGGAGGAGCAGTCGGAGCACCACCGTATTGACGAACCGGTGCTGGCTTAGCACCTTGGTCATGACCTGGCCGGAATGGTGCCGGCATCGGATGGTGAGGAAGAGCATCTGGGTTTTCGTCATGGGGCGACGGCTGCTCCATGGGATATCCTTGATTCTGATACGGGGCATGGCCATTCGGGGAATATCCAGGATCTTCATAACCGCTAGGTGCGTACCCACCGTTACCACCATGCATTAGCATTGGGGGTGCCTCGTTGGGAATATCGAACTGGAAGCCAGCATTTTCAAACTGATTTGGAGCGGTGGGTTGTTGTCGAAGGTCCGGCTGAGACCGAGATCGCGGAGCGCCCTGGCTTGAATCGGGAGTGTAGGCAGCATACTGGCCTCCAGCTGAGGAAGAGGGGGAAGTAGGTGTTTGTATCGGCTTTGGGGTGTCGAGTCCCATCTCATCAATGGGGCCTCTTGGTTGCGATGGCATTGCATCAAAGTTGGGCATGTCAGGTTCGTCCTCATTTCCCTCGTAGTAGCTATCCAGGAATTCTCTAGGTGCATAAGAAATGCGGCTCCCTGGATCAGCGGGGACCATTAGACCAGCACCGAGGCCACCATTCATTTCGTTGGCAGGGTGGGGAGGAGGTCGCATGCCACCCGCGGTATTGGGACGTGCTGGAGGCATCTCGCTCATGGGACTGGACGCAAAATCGGGGGTTTGATAGGACGATTGACCAGGATACATGGGCGGCCCCGTCGACAGAGGCATAGTTGCGCTTCGTCCCGGTGGACCCATGGGGGGTCCATTGGGATCCATGTAAGCTCGATCAGGCCGGTCCATACGCCCAGAGCTAGCTGCGCGAGAAGGGCCTGGAGGGTAGCCCCCACGTCCGCGACTCGGAGGTGGTCCTCGTGGGGGCGGTTGTCGCATATCTGGTCGCCGTCCGTTGGAGTTGGATGTGTGTGGTCGAGGTGGAGGACCCCGACCATTGATGTCCATTGCAGCCATGCCTTTTTCTAGACCTCCACGAGGCGGAGGACCACGTCGGTCTCGAGGATCTCTCCCGCCAGGAACAGCGGGAAAGGGACTGTCGAAATTACCTGGAGGTGGTCGGCCACCGGCTAATATCCTAGTTAAAACAGAGCATATGAAGACAGGGTCCGAGGCATGACTTACGAGGTCGGGACCGGCTTGATCCCGAGGGTTGTTCTCCAGGGTACCCGCGTCGGTCATCATAGCCCGCTGAAGGACGTCTGGCATCTGGTGCGCCGGGTCCAGGAGGCGGGCGCATCGAGCGTGGTTGTTGCGGCGAGCCGTACGGCGGGGCTCCTGGAGGGCCAGCCTGGTAACTGTATGCTGGATCTTCATACCCTCCCCCACCACCATTGCCTGGGTAGTCATATCCTCCTTCTCCATAGCCACCGCCATACCCAGCATCAGGCGCATACCCGGGCCCTGAGGCAGGCGACACCGGAGTCTGGTTGTCATACTGCCTCATAGGAGGCGGCCGCTGCGCCGGTCGCTGCGGATATGCCATGACTACGGAGTGCGGGCAAGACAGAGGTGCAACCGGAGTCGACGGCCAGGAGTTCGCGATCGCGCAGGTCGGTCAGGGTCGCATGCAAGGAGGGATCCCAGTCGCTGTCGAAAACGAGGTCAGCATTCGCACACCAGCGTACTTCGTCCTCTCCGCACGGGGCACAACCACGTGCCTAAGCGGCCAGAAAAAATCAGGTGCGAGGCCAAGAATGTGCGACTCACCACGATCAACCAAGCCTCCTCAACAGATCTCACAGAAAAAAAAGGTCCAACCTTCAACTCCGCGATTTATTGCAGGGCGCGGGGAAGGGGAGATTTGAGGGGGTTCAGGGCGGTCGAGGGAGTTTGAAGGAGACCAGCACACTTTAATAAAAAGCCGACCCACACCGGCCCAGGAACACCCTGCCGTCATCAATTTGCGCTCCACTGATGTCCCTTCGTCTGTTCTCCCCGTTGTGGCGCAAAGGGCCTCGACGGCTGCGATTCGCTTGGTTGCCTACTGGATTCCCGACACATGAGACCCGCCTTCAGTCTATCCAGGCATTTTCGACTCTTGACTGGCACGACAAGACGGGACCAGGCCAAAGGCGCGCGGTTATACTGATCTGGTACCTGACGATCAGGGGGGCCTTCCAAGACCACCAGAGGTTGCAAGGCTTTGCAGAAATGGGGCCAATGCAAGCCCGTCACTTTTTAGGCGGCCAAATATGGTGTCTCAGCAGACGTTATAGACGTGTTTCCGACCTGCTTGGCACCAGCTCTTGACTTCCATACGATGCATCGATTCATACATTCATGCAATTCTATTCCTAGGGTCCAGTCCACCAATCCGCAACCCCCAATGCCACTTTACACTTTGCTAGTGGTCCGTCTCCACTCTTTTCTGGGAACCCACGACCAGGAAAATTTTCTGCCCAACGGCGCCCTGGCCCTTGAAGGCCTTGTTACAATTTGGAGTGGTCATTGCGATCTTTACAGTGGGAAATTACATGCTGATCTGATCCATGGGATGGCTAACAAAAGGGGTTTCTATCGTTCCACAGATCGGGGATTTCTGTTATCGTCTGGCATTGTCGGTCATGCAATAGATCCGACCATGGATGCCTTCAGGGTTTGAAACAAAGACACAGCAAAAGGGACGCGGAGAGACAGTCTGGATACAAATTGTGGGGAACAGAATACCTTTCGAAGCCACGCCCTCCGAGACAAATGATCACAGCCACATCAACCACAGCCACACCTGCTCCACCCTTCCATTATCCTTCTGTCTCAAGGCGAATCTCTGAAGCGAGCAAAAGAGACTGGTTCAAGTTTGTCTCCAGCTAGATGCTATGAGTTCCGCTCCAATGCCATGGTCCGGTTATCTCTCGATGGTCGTCATGTACCAGGAGGAGATATATCGCAGCAATTATATATGGGACTATGGTTCAGCAACGTCCGAGGAAGACCCAACATGCAACGAATGAACCGCACTCTGACGTGCAGAGACATTAGTGAGAATTAGACAGAGCATGTAGAGTCCATTTCTCAGTATGGACGTTATTTCCCCTCGGGTTTTAGTATCAAACACTGTTCATGAGAGCTTAACTGCACTGTCAGTCAACCTATCAGGAATCTTTCATATCTATGCACTCTCCTTGTTTCAACAACCATTACATAGCGTCCACTCTCCTCAACTATACATAGGGAATATTCTCTACTCTAGCATGGCAGCTATATATTGATTTATGCTTTCACTACTTGCAAACTTACAAAGGGAGTTGTGATGTTCCTTTTTTTTTGGACAATCAAGTGTAATTGCAAAAGCCCACGACGGATGTTCATAATCTGCAATAGAGAAAGCCCAACATTTTGATTTCACCTCTTTCCCTTCCGCGAAGGGATCGAGACCTCCGCTCTGAGCTCCTGCTCGACCAGCCACTCACCAAGCCCGCATGATCAACCTAAGGTAGCATGGCCCTCCGCGTATTAGCCGACGACGGATATGACCACCTTGATAACTTGACAAGTGATAAAATACATGAGGTTTTTGTCAAAGGAGTTCTCCTCAGCTGGCTTGTAGTGGGTGGACATTTGGTTGTCCACTTCCTGAAGTTTCGCATCGAGCTTCACTGTTTGGACGGTCATTCGCTCGGAGAGAGTCAGGACACAGTCGCCCGCAAAGTTGCTGATAGCTCAGCTTCCACAGGCGAGTCAGGGTCTCGTAGTAGTTGAGATATGTGGGATAAGAGTCTTCTGTAAAGCCTGTATGAGCGAAAAGGATGGGTGGTGAGGGAAGGTGGAAAGTCAAGATTTGGAAGTGAGAGATCGAGTTTTTATATGCTCCACGAAACCCCGCCAAAGTCTCGCAAAGGCCCAATGCTACATTTTTCAGTGGAAACCTTTTCGAATCTTTTTCCAAGGTGGTTAAAAGATGCCTCTCCTGCTATATAAGAGATATTATATTTCACGTCAAGCCCAACAAGACAATATAAGTAGCTCTTCATTGCGGGATTCAATAGCAAGATTCATGAAACGGGCTTGTTTGTTCACCACAGAAGGTCCGTTGTCTACTCATGCCGGGAGTTTCCATCAAGTTGGCACCTGATTGACTATCTCCTGCGCGCGATCTTTCTACTTCATACAAACACCCAACCACCGGAATCACATTTGCAACTCTACCAAGTCACTCAATCAGCGCTTCCACCAACTGACAATCCAAAGATTCCTGCATATCGCCTTCAAAACAGCGGATATGGCATCCTCCTCTACTCAACCTGAGCCCACAGCCCAAAACCCAACGAGCAACGGCACAACCAACGGCACAAGCCACGAGAGCGCGGGTACATCCGACGGAAACAACGAAAACGGCGTGCGCTGGAGCAGCGAGCTGGTGCAAGACCTCAATGACATGATGGCAAAGATGAACCTCATGAAAACAAATCTGCTCAAAATCCAAGACGATGTTGCCCTTCTTCGAAAGTCCTTCGCGGACGTCCAGCAGACCCTCGAACGCCTCAGGGATCTTGTACCCAAAGAGCCCGTTCCTTCCTCTGACACCTCCACATAAGCTCGACATAAGAAAGCCTGTGCATTTGGGATCATTATTCTCAACCATACCTGCTTGAGACATGCATTTTCGCACCGATACGACTGTTTGAAAACCTTCCAACTTACTAGGCTTTACATTTTGCGTCTTGAACGCCCCGTGCCGGATCCCATAATAATGATCCAAACCTTGGAAAACAATATGGAAGCTGGACAAGAGGAAGCATTGGTTTCGGATCTTCAGAAGAGCTCAAGCGAAGGAGGTATTTTGTTTGGTAGCAGTTACTTCTTACTACTGAGACCCCGGGTCATATTTCAATATCATGACATTTTAAAAGGGCGTCAGATCTAGCAAGGCTCCCCCAATCTATGATTATCCTAAAAAGCCACAAACTTTCTCATTCTTTGTTGAAACCAAACTAATCTTATGTTCTACAGCTAATCCCATTACTCAAGCTTGGGCAAAATAGAGAGCGCAACGGATGCCAAGATGAGGAGACTGAAGTCTATAGCCTGAGATTCTTCGCCGCAATACCTTTCAAACGGTTTGCGAATATGTTTCAATATGGCTGTATACCCACCATAGCGCAAGTCTTTGGATACTAGGGCCGTTTCTCACCTTAAGGCGGATGACCAAGATACCTCTGTAGAGCGAGAGGGAAATATCCTAGAGTCAGGGGTGAGATACAGATCCAAATAATATCAATCGGCAGATGTATACGTCGAAATATCATCTTCTTTGGTCAATTAGCAAGACAAATCGTTACTAACTATATCCAGGTCAACCAAAGTAGGACCCAGTAGTAACCACTTTGTTGCCTCAAATTCAAGGCAACGAGGCGACATGATCGTGTGTACGCACTAAATGACCCAACAGATGGAAGTGTGATCGCTTCCCACCATTCCGACATTTGCATTGTCCATATCACAGAGGTTTATGCCTAGCTGAACTGGGCATCTCGGGGCAAACGGCAATCAGGCCGTCGGGTTCCGGAGTGCAGAAGGGTCCACGGGTTTAGCATTGCCGCTCTGCCTGAGGCCACCTCGGAGCATGTTACTATGAATAGACCGTTCCTTCAGTAACTCGCGGGTACGTGGTGCCCACCATGAGTAGGCAGCCAAGTAGGTCATCAGCAAGCCGATCGAATGATGTAGAAAAGTAATGATGAATCGGCATAGAATATCACACTGCAAAGAAGATCTACACGAATGTAGTGCTCTCGTTTGGTACAGAGAAATCCGCTCATCAAGGTCTTGCAACAGTAGTTGTCTGTAGTAGATTGGCCTTCATTTCCCCTCCAGCAACTTCAAGTGCAGCAGCTAATGCTCGATATCCAGGTTTTCGGTTTTGGATCTACCCAATCAATCAGCAGGTCAAATTTCAGTACATAGTAAACGCAGCCTCAACGATTATTGTGCTCTTGCCACGAAGAGAAGACTTGGCAGGCTACCCTTTTATCCCCGGGATCACGTGCGCGGACGAGGAGTGTCAGCGAGAGGCGTTCATCCACGCCACAACTCCTCCCACCCAACACCTACCTCTACCACGTCCCTCCTCCCTCTCTATTCGCACTATCTTCTCCTCTCGATCCCAGTGATCTCCGTTGAAATCTCGTCTCGCACTCTCGATCTCTTTCCCATCACCATCTCCCAGGCGACCAGCTTCGTTGGTTCCCCTGTTTCCAAACAAAGCGACCTTGACTGCTCCCACGAGGTAGCCCAGTCTTCCGACGACGTTCCACAACCCCTTGTCTAAGATCCTTCGCATTAGCTCCACCCTTTACGATGTCTTCCGAAGCCCCCTACGACCCTTATATCCCCGCCGGTTCCAGCGGTGCTGCCGGTGGCGCCTCCGCGCAACAGAATGGCAATCAGCGTACGGCCGCATTGCAGGCGGTTAGTTTTCTCCCCTTTCCATCCTTCGAGGTGTCCCTCGATGGGGCCAGAGATACACAAGCATCGCCGCTTCCATGTATGGATGTCGTGCGGTACCATGTCGATCTCTGATCTCCCCGAAAGAGGCACCCTCGATATGCAGCTGTGGCAATACCGGAAACTAACACGAGTTTCTTCCCTCCCTCCAGCAAATTGACGACACTGTCGGTGTGATGCGCGAGAACATCAACAAGGTCTCCCAGCGCGGTGAGCGCCTTGACTCCCTGCAGGACAAGACCGACAACCTGGCCGTATCAGCCCAGGGCTTCCGTCGGGGTGCCAACCGTGTGCGCAAGCAGATGTGGTGGAAGGATATGAAGATGCGCGTATGCCTGGCGATCTGTGTGGTCGTGCTTCTGGTTGTTATCATTGTGCCTGGTAAGACCCTCACCCTTGGAATGGATAGATGGAAAGGAGGGAAGGAAATACGAAAAGGAGAGAACAAGACCCAGATCGTACCGAAAGTGGAACGCTAACTTGGCTCCCTAAATGATCTAGTTGCCGTAAAATACCACTAAACGAGCACTTGCATCGCTCCACGAATTTTTGTGCTTTTGTTTGGAATTGGGAATCATGGGAGGATCTTGAGTTGTCTTTACCGGGTTTTTACTGTCGTTGAGAGGGCATGGAGCTCCGTCGTTTTCTTCCCAGCTGCTAATACCTCCTGCTGTTTTGTTTTGGGCGTGTTCTGAATGACCAACTTGACTTGATTTCTCTTGTGCCTGCGATGAAACGCGACCTCGATATCCCCAGGGTTCCACTGTATTTGGGATGCGAGAGAGCCCCCCTCCTTCTGCCATGCTGCGGCGGGTGAAGATGTAAATGATACTGCTGCGATGCCGTGTTTTTGACTCCTGCTTGATGTGATCCGTACGATTTGCGATGTCGAGTGTGTGTTTTGTTCTTGCTTGTTTTGCGCTTTGGCATTTTTACACTGTCTTTAGGTCTCCATGAACCTTTTAGTCTGACCATGTCCCTGGTATTTACTTATTGCGCTCATTGACTCGCAGTTGGTCCCTTATGCACCCAGCCTCCCTGTTCTAATCGGCGAAACAACCCATATCAGGCCTCGCGCAAGTTCCAATTGCGGATTCAACTCGCGGTGTGGCCCGCTTCTTGCAGAATATCTTGGCAAGGACCACGAGTCGGGAGTCGGACCACCTGTAGGGCATAGAGGATCCGATCAAGCCAGCGGAAGCAATTCTCGTACGTGAGCCGTCGGAAAGAAGCGCAGTAGGCTCCGGTAAAGACAGACACTAAGACACGAAGGGTGGAGGAAGTGGATAGAGGCGTGGGCGCGATGACGAGTAAGAAGCGTGGAGAGGATCAGATAACTGGTACTAGACCGAAACTGGATGACGTTGTAAGGGAGTCTCCGACGCCCAGAGTGTGGATAGTGGGCTTTTCAGTCGTTCAGAGGTCCCGAGATTTGACCAGCATGATCTGAGAAAGAAGAGGAGAAAAAGAGGTGTGCGCAGTCTAACTTTTTTTTCGGTGGTCCCAGCGGAACAAGAGGATCCGGCAAAGAGAGTCGTGATCTATGCGGGTATGGATTACCGAGTAAGAAGGGCTCAGGTGGACGATTCTTGTATTCTAGGTGGCTTAAAATTGTTCAAGCTAGACTCTATAGTATTATCAGGTCTGATTCGTATATTCAATTGTCTCTATGAGGGGAATAATAACCATCATAGGTGGCATACAATAAATCGCTCTGCAACTGGCGACACCGCCCTGGGCCCCCCCGTCATTGGTTTTATTGGGCGAGTGGGCCACTCCGAGGCCCGGCCGACTGTAAAATCTCGCGAGGTTGTTAGTCACACTATCGCCCCGACTTCCATTCCTCCTCCCCTCCACCTTCTCTTCTCTCTTCCTCTTCCTCTGCTTTTCCCACCCACATCCTCTCTCCACTCCTCTCAACCGCTTCTACATAAAGGGGACGTTTCCCCCGGCGACCCGCGACGTCTCAATTGAAGCTGCCGCATGTTGGTGACCAAGATGCTGTCCCTTCGCTCCGCTGTGCGGAGAGCTTCCACCAAGCCCCTCCGATCGCTCTCCGCACCGCACTCTGTCTCGCCTCTGCGAGCTGGTGTCGTTGCCCGCGCCGTTTCGACTCCCCTCCGTCAGGACCGATCCTACTCCCGTGCGACCGACTCTCAGCCTAGCTCCACCCGCAGCACCGTCGTCCAACTGCTGAGCAACATCGGCTCCAAGCGCGAGGTCCAGCAGTATCTGTCCCACTTCACCTCCGTCTCCTCCCAGCAGTTCGCCGTCATCAAGGTCGGCGGTGCCATTATTACCGAGCACCTCCAGACCCTGTCCTCCGCCCTCGCTTTCCTGAACCATGTCGGTCTGTACCCGATCGTCGTCCACGGTGCCGGTCCCCAGCTCAACCGCATGCTGGAGGCTGCCGGTGTTGAGCCGCAGTTTGAGGATGGAATCCGGGTCACCGATGGCAAGACTCTGTCGCTGGCGCGCAAGCTGTTCCTGGAGGAGAACATGAAGTTGGTCGAGGAGCTGGAGCGTATGGGTGTCCGTGCTCGGCCCATCACCGCTGGCGTGTTTTCTGCCGATTACCTGGACAAGCCCAAGTATAACCTGGTGGGTAAGATCAATGGCGTGGATAAGAAGCCCATTGAGTCGGCCATTGCTGCTGGCTGCCTGCCCATCCTCACCTCTATGGCCGAGACCCCCGATGGTCAGGTGCTCAACGTCAATGCCGATGTGGCTGCTGGTGAGTTGGCCCGCGCTCTGCAGCCATTGAAGATTGTCTATCTCGCCGAGAAGGGTGGTCTGTTCAACGGTGACACCGGTGAGAAGATCTCCGCCATCAACCTCGACGAGGAGTACGATCACCTGATGACCCAATGGTGGGTTCGTCACGGCACTCGCCTGAAGATCAAGGAGATGAAGGAGCTCCTGAGCGACCTGCCCCGCTCGTCCAGCGTTGCCATCATTCACCCCGCCGATCTTCAGAAGGAGCTGTTCACCGACTCCGGTGCCGGTACCCTGATCCGCCGCGGCAACAAGATCAACGTTCAGACTTCTCTGTCCGAGTTCGGCGACCTGCAGGGCCTGAAGGATGTGCTGGTTCGTGACCGTGAGGGTCTCGATGCTCGTGCTGTTGTTGACCGCTTCGTCGAAGGTCTGAAGGAGCGTGACTTCCAGGTCTACTATGATGATCCCATGGACGCTCTGGCCGTTGTTCTGCCGCCCCAGGAGGGCTCTCTGATGGCCCACCTGGCCACCTTTACCATCACCAAGTCGGGCTGGTTGACCAACGTGGCTGACAATGTGTTTGCTAGCCTCAAGAAGGACTTCCCCAAGCTGGCCTGGACTGTCAAGGAGGACGACGAGAACTTGACCTGGTTCTTCGACAAGGCTGAGGGCAGCCTCAGCCGCGACGGCGAGGTCCTGTTCTGGTATGGTGCCGAGAACGGCGACGAGGTCAAACAGCTCGTCCAGGAGTTCACCAAGCACGGCCGCCAGATGTTCGGTGACATCAACCTGGAGCACCGCCTTCACCGTGCTCACCAGGCCGCCATCAACATCAACAAGGGCTTCGGGGCCAGTGGTGCCTCGGTCGAGCAGAAGCGTGCCTTCTCCTCCACCGCCAACGCCCTGCGTTCTTCTCGCATGAAGCGTCCGGTCGTTGCCGTCAACGCTGCCCGCGCCTACTCCACCACCAACCCCAACCCTCCCCTTGGTGAGAAGAACGCCTCCAACCCCCAGCCCTCCAAGGTTGCCCTCATCGGTGCCCGTGGTTACACTGGTCAGGCTCTGATCAACTTGATCAATGCCCACCCCAACATGGATCTTCGCCACGTCTCTTCTCGCGAGCTGGCCGGCAAGAAGCTCCAGGGCTATAACAAGCGTGAGATCATCTACGAGAACCTGAGCCCCGAGGACGTCCGCCGCATGTCCGCCAACGGCGACATCGACTGCTGGGTGATGGCTCTCCCCAACGGTGTTTGCAAGCCTTTCGTCGAGGCCGTCGACCAGGGCTCCGAGACGGGCAACGTCATCGTTGACCTGAGTGCTGATTACCGCTTCGACTCCAACTGGACCTACGGTCTGCCCGAGCTCGTCGACCGATCTAAGATTGCCCGTGCCACTCGCATTGCCAACCCCGGCTGCTACGCCACTGCTGCCCAGCTCGGCATTGCTCCCCTCGTGCCCTTCCTTGGCGGTCAGCCCACCACCTTCGGTGTCTCTGGCTACTCCGGTGCTGGCACCAAGCCCAGCCCCAAGAACGACGTGCAGTTCCTCACCAACAACATCATCCCCTACAGCTTGACGGATCACATTCACGAGCGGGAGATCAGTGCTCAGCTGGGTACCAGCATTGCCTTCATCCCCCACGTTGCCGTCTGGTTCCAGGGTATCTCCGTAAGTTTAAATGAACCTAGTCAGGCCTCGACAATACACTGACAATATCTCCAGCACACCATTAGCATTCCCCTGAACAAGGAGATGACCTCCCGTGACATTCGCAACATCTACCAGGACCGCTACGCTGGTGAGAAGCTTGTGAAGATCACTGGCGAGGCTCCCCTCGTCAAGGACATTGCTGGCCGTCACGGCGTTGAGATTGGTGGTTTCGCCGTGCACTCCAGCGGGAAGCGTGTTGTTGTCTGCGCCACCATTGACAACCTGCTCAAGGGTGCCGCTACTCAGTGCCTGCGTAAGAACCCTTCAATACCCTTCTCTCATGTGAAAATGTTTAGCTAACTCTTTCCAACAGAAAACATGAACCTGGCACTTGGTTACTCCGAGTACGAGGGCATTCCCCTGGAGTAAAATCCTCCGCCCTATGAGCTCAATCTGTCGCCGATGTTGGTATCGGCGTGGCCTCTGAGCTCGAAATAAAGCTATGAGGTCGTCTTATGCGCGTCATCCTCGCATACCTTTGTCTCATACCCCGCGTGCATCTTATAAGGTCGCAATGGTGTGCTGTTTTGTACGGATGGGTTTTGAAGGATCTTGTCATGTTGTGCTGTTGTGGCCTGTGGGCCTTTGTAACGGAAGTTGTCGGTTGCCTCTATTGGATCTATTATACTATTTATCACGTCCCGCCATGGATGTTTCTTTCCTAGGCCCTGTTGTTTATGCTTACCTTCCCGATCAAAGAGTTTCGTGGATCTTGGTGTCTGTCCTTTTGTTCCTTTTTCGTTTCTAGATTCCATTTGATTGCGGTTTTTTTTTGTTTTTATATCGCCATCCCTCCCTCCCTCTACCTCCCTCCCTTGCCTCCTTTCCTTTGCACTCTGGATTTTATACTCATGCCGTACGTGTCCCTTAGATGCGATGCGAGAGTTTCATAGCATAAAAGTATTTTTTCATTTTTGGGTTGTACTGTATCTGCATCAGTCAAGCCCAGTATCTCGACGATCAAATTATGAATTCGCTCAGTGATAATGCTGCGACTCAGTGATACGTATGAAGCTTTATAGGCATGCAAGAACAGATATAGTCTTTTCTTTGCTAACATTGTCTGGGCTCTTGTCCATAGAACGACAATTTAGCGCCATAATTAACACTGTAATCTGATTGCCATGAGAAGCCCGGGGGTCGCAAGAGATGTAATGAGCAGCAACCACCAAACAGGGAAGATTTGATCTAGGAGATTGCCATAGTCGCGAACTATCAGTTGGGGATAATCCTGCCACAGCAAAGGGCCACTGTCAATCGCGGTGTGTCGTTGGCGTCCATCCTTCGTTGTCAGAGCTGTCCCTCATCTCCATCTCCTCACCTTCAAACCAGAACTCCTCTCCTTCACCCTGCCATGCTCTTTCCCATCCACATCCCCTCCTCGTCCCAGGCTCTCTTGACCAACTGAAAGTCTTCGCACGAATCCAGGAAGATTTCACTTCTTCCACAGCACCTCTGTCAGCGACTTCGGGGCTTCACGTCGATTCGTGTAGCCATCGCGCCCTGTGTTGACGCTCCCTCAACATGTTCTACAGCCATGAAAGTGAGTTGTGACCTGGCCAATACAAAACTGCGTCTGAAATTAAGTACTTCGCGTAGTCCTCACGTCGCCAGAGCACGGCGTGGCCACGATATGGTGAGCATCAACTTCACACCGTCAACCCCCAGACCGAACCCACTAACAGCGACAGGCTCGTCGCAACTCTCGGCTCGCGGTCGATTACTCGAAGACTCAACCGCAAGGCCATCCTCGACGTGGATGTCCCCGGTGCTTGCAGTGTCATCGTCAATCCTGAGGCCCCCATGGCTCTACGACTGCAGGGAAGCTTGCTGTAAGTTGATTCTCGGCTTGTCATATAATCTCACCTTCTCACGTTGTGATTAGATTCGGAGTGTCGAGGGTATACGACCAGCAGTGCGGATATACTCTACTCGATGCGCAGACGATGCGTGACAAGATGGTTTCCATATTGAAGCAGCTGCCAGGCGGAGGTCTGGATCCCAGTGCAGGAAAGACCATGTGAGTCGATCCACTGGACGGGCTACGAGAATATTGCTGCCAGTTTCTAACTTCATTTTCAGGCCTACCAATCTGATCCTCCCATACGACCCGACCTTTCTACCCGAGACAGGGCTTCCTGGTTTAGATATTAACTTCGCCTTATTCGATTTGACGACTGACGACAGCTCGACGCAGCGATCCAGTAGCTGGACCACCTCCCCGGCTACCAGCCGGTCTGGTAATTCCCAGGTTGGGATCATCCAGCTTGATTTGCCGACGGACGATTTCATTAGAGAAGGCGATGGCCAGGACCTGAATGTGGATAACATCACCTCGGGAAAGAAAAGGGGACTCTTCGGTAGAGAGGCACAGGGAGACCTCGAGGATGAGGGTATTCTGCTTCAGCCGGACTTTGAATTCGACGAGGATGGTAACATTATTGAATTCGACATGAGCAATTTGTCGCCCCGCAAAAGAAGGAAGGCTAGCCCGGATTCGAAAGAGCCGGATGGGGCTGCTGGTGAAGGAATCCAAGGGGACGCAGTGAGTCTCCCCTACAGTCTTCTATGGAGTGTGAATGACTAACAATTCACACAGTTGATGGACATCAACGAAGACATCCCGCTGCCGACGGGGGAAGATGCAATGGACGTCAACGCTCCATCTGGACCACAGGATGCTGAGAATAGTAATGCTTTTTCCGTGGGAGACCGTCTGATGGAAGACGGGGAGATCCAGCGTACCGGGGAAGCACGCGCCCAGCAGCGGATCCGACAAGCCAAACCCATCATCTCAGACGATAGTACAACCTTGCGCAACACAGACTTGGCCAAGTGGAACGATGAGTACGCGGACAATATGGCCCAGGCCATGAAGCAGAAAAAGCAGAACAAATTGCCCACTCTGGCAAAGAAGAACGCGGCCTTTTGGGTCTTTGGCCTGGGTATTGGGTCCGTTGGTATGGGACTGGGTAAACACCGTGAAGATGGCCCGCTCAAGGAATACGCGGGCGACGAACTATACGGCCTGCTATCTGGAAAGAGTGGCAGCCACCAGCTTGAAGACGATGAGAACGATGACGAAGAACAGGCACGTCGAGCGCTCGGCCAGCCTGGACAGAAACAGTCGCTCGACGTGGAAATCGGTCGACACGCCCCGTCCAGCGTGTACGATGATCGGTCCTCACAATTGCCATGGAACATCACAGCCTCCCTCCAAGACTCGATCCGAGGCCAGCGCTTCGGAAGCGTCTCGGGTTCCTCTGCTCGACCCCGAGGTCGTCTCACGAGCGCCAGCCCTCTGGCCGGACGGGGCTATCCCGACGGGCGCCAGCGTCACAGCAGCCTATCCATCCCCAACGTAGGCGATGATCTAGACGAGCTCGAGGGGTTAGATATCACGCAATACCTAGAGGGCGAGCTAGCCCCAGACAACGAAGATATTAGCACGATCACCGCGCGACGCAAGTCCATGCTCGAGCGCATCACGTCCACGCTAGACACGGAGAGTCTGAACTTCTTCGACTTCATCCAGATGAAGCTCGACGAGACGGTATCCACCTCTATCAAGCCAGGTGTCATTACATTCTCGGCGCTACTCCCGCCGACCGAGACCACGCACACCGTTGCCGCACATGGATTTATGAATGTGCTCACGCTCGCGACGAAGGGTATTCTGGCGGTGTCGCAGGAGCCGTGCACTGATCTGGGAGCTTCCAGTTGGGGCATTCGTTTTCAGCATGGTGAGGTGTCGCTGCGGATGATGGCTAGGGGTGGAATGTGAAGGCGTGTGTCAAGAGCGCGTCTGACGTGGTCGGTCGATGATTTACGCTTTTCGGGGCCGTGTGATCTCGTGGCGATCTTGCTTTTTTATTTTTTGCTTTTTGCTTTTGTTGTCGAGCACACTTTTATTCTTTTCACATGCCATGCTCTTTAACTAGGGTATGTCGTTCTCGTGCTGACATCTCGGGGGGGGATTATGGTTGCCTGGTGGCCTGGGAGATCTTGATAAGATCTCGGGGAGTCGGACGCTGATCAAAGCCGAGATCGGGATCGTGGGTTCGTTTCGTTATTTCTATGGCTCCTGGTACGGAGTCCAAGTATCTCTCCAGCTGCAGTATGGTGGTAGTGCTGTGCTGGTGCGCTGGTGGATTATTTTTAGCCTTGTGACTGTGGAGCATGGGGGCAGGCCAAGGGGCGGAGATGGACAATTTGAGATATTTTTCAAATGGATAGCTATCACTCACTACACGAGCTCAATGGCAAGTCGAGTTTAAATGATTTAAATGATGAAACGTGCATGATCGAACTAAATGTATGCACGATCTATAGATCTCTACGATACCGGCGTCGCATTACTGCGAATCTTACCAGGAACCGGGACGTGGACAGTATCGCGTACGGGATACAGGAACGGGGGCAAACCTTTGGAACGATACACTGGCCTTTAGTATGGAGGGTAATAATACTGTACCTGCCTGAGAGAAGTATAGAAAAACAAAGAGACGGTAGACCTTGATGGAATGATCGTTGATTTACCAAGTAGACTATTTATGGGATCGTCAATGTATTTTCTTATCTTCCATTGAAGGATTGCACTCACGCGGCCTATCGCTTCTTTTTGCTTTGCCCTCTCTCTCATCAGGCTGTCCGGTGTGCGGACCAGGGCGCTTTCTAACCGAGTGCGCCTGGTCGGAAATGGCTTGCTTGGCGTGAGAACTCGCTAGACAGATGATTCGGGGGGAATTGGATGGACTGGTGAGTTTACATCGTGTTTGTATATCTCGGAGGCCTTAGATTTATGGTTTCACATTGATATCAGCTTTCGCTTTGGTTTTGCGCGCTGTCTGGTTGAGGGGCAGTGCGATGCGCGTAATCGTCTATTGGTCAGGGTGTTTTGTGTCGTAGGGAGGCCTAATGAGCCCGTCGCGTTGGGGGCCACTCGGCGTGATTAGGCATGCAAAGAGAAGAGAAGATCACAGATTTCGAGGATTGGGAAGACCATTCATTGATCCTGACACGGATCAGGATGATAATGATCCGCATAGGTGATAACATCCCATTTAGTTCATGAGGACCTCCGGCGGAGGCGTCGTATCCTCTCGTTGTATGACGGTCGGTACTCGGTACACGTGAAATTACCGATTACCCGGAATACGCCCGGTCTCCAAATTACGCAGGCCGCGATACTCGTAACCCGGTCCCGCGTAATCTCGTCTTGGTCTTTCCATTTCTTCCCTTTCTCTCTCTCCCTCTCCTTCTCTCCTCGAAACCACTTTTCAGTCTTTCAACACCCCCACTCACCCGCGTCCACCATCAATCGTCAGCTTCCCAACTCCTCCCCGAAAAAATAATACACCCTCCTGCCCATCGCGTTCCCACGCGATCCTCCAAGATCTTTTCTCCATCCTCTCTCGAGGTCCTCGATCTACCTCCTCTGCTCCCCATCATGGGTCGAACCGTCGACCAGGAAGTGCACGCGGCGTTTGTCGAGTTCCGCGCCAAGGAAGATGACAAGGTGTGTGACTTGCGTATTTCGTAATATTTCAAACCCACCACAACACGACCAGTCACTAAACATACGTGACCCTCCGTTTCGGTCATTCTGCCATCTAGTGCCTCTCCGTCCAGTGTATCTACTGCCAGCAGATTCGTGCAAAGAATACCTCGCGACAGAAACAGCATCTTCTCGAGTGCCCCGGTCTTCGTGGTCACCCCAACGCGCCCCAGCCAAACCAACCCTCTCAGGCTCCCAATGGCATCGGCCCTCCCAATGGCTACCCCGGCACCCCCAGTGGCCCGACGGCCACTCCAGGCCCTGGTGGTCCCCCGACTATGCCAACTCCCAATGGTACCATGATGGCCAATGGTGTCAACCCTCATGCCACCCCGTTGCAGACCCCGCTGCAGAGCTTGAGCCGTCCGCCCATGGCCACCCCGGGCCCGCCAACTGGTCCCCCCGGCTCTGCGCCGCCATCCGCCGTGCCGTCGCGTCCTACCCCCAAGCCCAAGTCTAAGACCGCTGGCTCCAATTTACCTGCGCCGCCGCTGGACGATGTGCACGCGGCCTTTGTCGAGTTCCGCGCCAAGGAGGAGGACAAGGTAAGATCACCCCATTGTTGGAGATCAGTACTATGGTCAGGATGGACAATCTAACATGACGAAACACAGTGCTTGTCTGTCCAGTGCATCTACTGCCAACAAGTCCGCGCCAAGAATACCAGTCGTCAGCGCCAGCACCTGCTCGAGTGCCCCACCTATCTCAGTGTGATGAAGGACTCGATCCCCGCGAACAACCTGCTGCACACTTTCCCCGAGGGTGATGTCGCACGGTCACTGCAGATCCCAGCCCCAACACTCGAGCTGGACTTCCGCATGAGCATCAAGATGAACCCCAAGGTCACTGTTGGTCAAAGCATCTGGGGTGGTCGGGAATGGGTCTCGTTCCTGGGTGGTCAGTGGGCTGGACGTTGGGGCAAGGGCATCGTTCTGGTAAGTTATCATTTATTCTCCCCGAAACGAATATGTCAATGCTTACCTAGTTGGAAAACAGCCCGGTGGACAGGATACCCAGATCGTTACCAAAGACTACACTACCAACCTTCGCGCAAGCTACATGCTGCAGACTGCTGATGAGCCACCTGCATATGTGATTGTCCGTGCTGAGGGATGGCTCACGGGAGCCAAAGATGTTCTTGAGAAAGTCAATGACACCGCCATGGCTGATGGTATCAACCCCAGCAGCTACAAGTATCGCATCAACCTGTCGATGGAGACTGGTGATGAGCGGTACACATTCTTGAATACCCTGATGTGGGTCGGCAGTGGATGCCGCCGCGGGCAAGAAGGTAGGTCTCTTCACAGATTTCATTCACGAGGCGCAAATTTCACTAACAATTGTATAGTCATCTTCGATGCATTCCGTGTGAACTAAATCAACCCAGGATTGCTGTCTCCGCTGTTTTGCCGTTTCTTAAGCGATGTCTGTTTGTGTTATGTGATGGGAAAATGGTGTTCCGTTGTCCTTGGTCCTTTGTTGCTTTTTCTCTTTGTGGCGCAGTCCTCTAATGATTCCTGCTTTATGTACGGGTGCAGCGTGTATTTCCAGTCTGCTAGCGAGACACTGGCTCTTGCCTCGAGTGGGTGATTGCAGCCTATGTTTTGGTTCGGACGTTTTATGTCTTTTGCCAAGTCCGCAAATCTCTTCTCCCTCCATCTCTTTCTGATGTACGTCTTATTTGAATATTGCCTGATTTGTTCGGGGCAAGGGACCCCAGGTATTGCTTGACAGATAGTATGGTTAAATGTCTTGGCCCTTTTTTGCGTTCTGGGTATTTCCCTTGTCTGTCTTGCTGTAGTTTCTGGCTAGGATAAGCTTAACCCACTTGTCTAGTCGTCTAGTCCATGTGTAATCACGTACAGTAAACTACCATTTTGATGGCTCCAAAACACCGTTTTACTGTAGTACACTCCGTTTCGTACCCAACTAACGGGCAGCGTACAGCAGCCTGTAATCCGCACTTTACCCCGGACCAGGACTCGGTATCTACCCCACCCACCTGCAGAGTACAGGGCCGATCAGCAGTACTAATACCGACCGGCTTTACAAAGTACAAATTAGTTACTAACTAAAAACATAATGTATGAAGAAGCTACCTTATTAGCTTGAACTGAAAAAAACAGACCTGCCATGCTTGTACAAACCTATATCCATTATCCACGTTTTCTATGTGCGGACGGGTATCAGGGCTTGTAAACTAAGTATCGAACTCTTTCCCACGGATCGTTGTGCTTTGGTTTATCTAATCGGGCGCGCGGCTGCCCCTGGGCTGGCGGGGACTTCGGCGTAGAAGGTAGTACGGGGGATAGATACTACAGAGTACTTTGGTTATACTTATCCTTACGGCGCTTGGTCTTGATGTACAGTATGGGCCGGGGGGTAAGGTGTCACGTATCTGGTATGCTTACGAGGGGGGGATTTCGTACTTTTACACTTCTAGGGTTTACTACCTGGGGGTATTTGGGTGTGTAGGTTGGGATTTGGGGTGTGTTTGTGTTGTGGAATATGGAATTTTGGTGCGTTGCTGTTGATTTTTGTGTGTCTGGGTTTGCATAGGTGTTGCTACAGTTGAAATATATTTCTGGCGGTTGTGAGTATGGGTCCCGGTCGCAGATCTGCATTGAGTTTCACGGGATGGGCTACGCTGCAACGGGAAAGAAGGAATTTTTGGTTATCAATCTGGAAGAAAGTATATGTTAAGTTTTCTCTTTTTTGTCAATTGATACTCGAGACGTCGAACGTCAGGTGGGTAGTGTGGTGGTGGTCGTGGAGGGTATATTGTCCAGGGGCGGGCATGATGGAGGAGAAAAGCATCATAGAACATTTCGAACATATTGAATAGGTGTTTTGGATCAAAAAGAAATCTGGCAGAAGCATCAATACATTAAAAGTATTCATTCACTCAGGTAATTCCTCCTTCAAAAATGATCCCCCACGCGGAGGGAGAATATGGAGAAAAAAAGAATATGAGTGATAAGAGTGAGATTCGAACTCACGCCCCGTAAACGAGATCAGGAATTTATGCTAAGGTGGACCTTAACCTGACGCCTTAGACCAACTCGGCCATCTTACCAGCTTCGATGTGTGGTGATTCGAGAATTAAATCTATAAAGTTATTCATTACGTACAGTACAAATATAGTCGCCCTATACGCAACCGACAGAAAGACATGAATGGAACGGTTGTTTTCGGTATGTAGAGTCTTCATGAGAGCCAAAACCAATTAATTACCTGATATTATTCAATAAACCTTAGGTACTTAGGTATCACCGAGGGTGCAGCGGTTTCCTCTCGATGATAGCAATTGACGTTTCTTCCGTTTTAAGTCGCGGCATATCTACCAGGATAGGTCCCAGATGAGGCAGCACTGATATCACGACTTATTTCACTAGATTAATAATTCCGACAACACTCATGACTGTATCTTTCTCTTTCTCCTACATCCCATCCACGCGCACCAGCCTGACAATATCCCATGGTATCTCCTAACAAAAATCCACGTTGGGTTCCACGGGGTTCGTGCAAGTGCAAAGCCGCAAACCCGAAACCATGCATGAAGCCTAGCCAGGAGAAAGATTTCAATTTATTCGTAAGAGAGTTCGCTAAAACCATCGAGGATCATGCAATTCGTGAGCGCCAGAAATACCCCGAGACATATGAGCCCCCCAAAAGTTCAGATGTTGTCCTCGATGAGGCCGTCGTAAAGAGAATTACCCCTGCTATTCGTCAATGGCGTGATTATCATGGGAAATGTTGGGGTTGTAATGTTAACTGTTGTCGAAATGGATGAGTCGGCATTGATTATTGTCAGTGCACGTTGATCCCTGAACAGAACAGACTTATGTCTTCGTTTCTTATTCCGAAAAAGGACGGGGTCGCTAGATATGACTGGGACTCCTTTGCGCACGAGAAAAAGGGTTATATCTCTTTTCATCTTGTCAAGTTTTTGTTGATCTACGAGGAGATTGATACGGTTCTCGACTCCGTGCTCATCCAGAAGTGTGCTTTAGTGCACGGAAAACCGAATATATCTTTGTAAGACCTTGTAGAAGTCATATTATCTGGTATTTGATGTTTCTAACTAATACAGGGTCCTAAATTTATTTGGGATCGGGTTTACAGAACAGCCTTGAAAGTGTACATATGCTTGAATGTGCTTTATTGTTTCCCAGAGATATGGGACGCAGCAGCCGGCAAAACCGAAGACAACGACTACCGCGACAGCAAATCTTATCAAAATATCATTGCACTATGTATTCCTGCCCACGGTAACACCTTTGCCGTGAACTATCCGCATCGTCTGTTCGTTGGCCTTAGCAATCGCCACCTGTCCAAAGCTGCTGGGAAATGGGGAACACGGCCGTTCAATGGTTTCTTGAGCCTTGAGAGATCGGCTATTGACAAGCCAAGCATAGCGGAAGCGTACCTGGTCCGGGCGATTCTAATCTCAAAGGGACTCCCGGTTGAGCTTGCCGTCGGAGTTATGCGTTTTGTGGGCTACGAAGGAAAACGAAGACTTACGATCCCAAACGACCCCTTTCATCCTTCCAACAAGGAAGAACTCGTCAAATACCTAAATTATTGCTGGAAACTTTTGATTTGCTGCGACATCTTGGCGAAGACTATTGGCAAGCATATCAACTGGTACGAGAAGGTTTCTCAGTGCATTCATGAACTCTGGAGTTGTGGTGGTGGGTACTGGACCAGACCTGTTAATCACAGTTATTGCTTCTGCAAGCCCCATAATCGCAAATTGGAGATGAGATGCCCAGTTGAATTCAAAATGGGGACCACCAATTGCCAGAATTAACTTGTATTAGTATAAGCTCATGGCGATGAACTCATCCAGAGGTTGTAACATCAAGGCAATCAAGCTTCATGATGTAGCGTTCGATTTGGGGGCCAGATCCCGCAGACCAGAAAATCCGCAACTTGATCTTAATCCGATTTCCCACGAATAACGTTACTCTTGTCATTTCTTGAAGCCGTCACTTCCTTCCATGACTCGTTTCGCTCCGCTTAACCAGGCAGAAACCCCCTAGCCGAGGAGCAGCCTAAACTTAGAGGCTGATAATGCGGCTTGGCAGGGTCCTCTGAGCTCGTGCGCCCAGGCTGCACTAACCACGCTAAGACCCGCGTCCTAATGACTTAAGACGGTATTTTCCCATTTTAGCCCCTCCTATCCTGATTGTTCTCGGTCGGGACTTTCGTCTTAGTCTTCATCCTTTCTCATAATTTCTTCTTCAAACAGCCATGTTTGACCTCTTCGGCTTCGGGAGCGGCAGAGCCAGTCGAGATGAGATGCCAGCTGAGCCGCTGCCACCGCTCCAAGCTGCGGTAAATGCCGATGCTGTGGATACTGTTCGTGATTTAGCGTCCACAGCAGACGCTGCCGATCTCATTGCGGCTCTTTGTCGATCTTGCCAGCTGGGAAAGACTGCAGTTGCCCAGACTTTGATTGAGTCTGGTCGATGCGATCTCAATGCAACCGCGGATGGCGATACACCGTTGTTTCTGGCTGCCAGGAGTCTTGAGCCTGCGATTGTCAAGCTTTTGCTTCAACATGGTGCTGATGTCACCATCAACTCTCTGAACAATCCTAGGAGTCCAGTACCTACGGAAGAGGCCCCGGCATATACGCCTCTTCATGGAGTGGTGGATGAATTGCATCGTCATCGAGGGGAGGAAGACACACCTCGTCTCAAAGAGATGATGCAGTTGCTATTGGATGCTGGATGCGATGTCAACGCACAGAATCGGAACGGCGAGACAGTACTTCTATCCTGTCTCCACCAAGAAGTGGCACTCGTCCAGTTTCTGCTTGAGCACGGCGCCGACCCAAATATCGTGACCAAGCGTGGTACCACCACCATGTCATATTTTCATCATCCTCTGCAATACCCAGAATGGTTCAAGGCTCTCATGGAGCATGGTGCCCGTTTGGACATTGGAGTGGATAGTGAAAATGGGACTTGTTTACACGCCTTTGCGTCCAAGTGCCAACTTGGAGACCTATCCTTGTTCAAACCTTATGTCTCTGATTGGAAGTTCACTGACGCCAACGGCAACACACTGCTCCATCTCGCCACCAAAGTGCATTGTCGTGGGAGCCCAACCGTGACCGAACTTATGAAGGTTGGCCTAGATGTGAATCAAAGGAACCACGCGGGAAAGCAAGCAATTCATGTGGTCAACGGTTCGGGTGAACACCTGCAGGCTATTTTGGAGATCCTTTGTGCGGCTGGTACAAACATTGACGCCAAAGACTATGCTGGACGTACACTGCTCACAGGAGCCATATACGATCACCCGCGTTTCAATGCTCGTGAACTAATTCCCGAGCTTATTGCACGTGGGGCCAATATCAATACGCAGGACCACAAAGGCAATGGCATTCTATTCTACTTGATTGAGCCATATACATTTCAATCTGAGTACGTGGAATTCTTACTGGAGCAAGGAGCGGATCCAGCTATGGTTAATTACCAAGGTGATACATTTCTCCACAAGATGGCAGCCAATTTATTCGGGCTGGACTCGGACACAGCTATCCTGAACATGATCAAACTTCTTGAAACGGGTATCTCTCCAATCCATCCCAATCACAAGGGCCAAACGCCGCTACATGTGCTGTGCAGCCATGTTTCAGATCACCTTTTGCGGCATCCAACGATGGTGATAAATATGCCATCGACCTTCTTTTTGATGCCGGTCTTCGGGAAGCACTGAATGTTTCCGACCACCAGGGGATTCGTCCTATCCATCTAGCAGCTTCAGTCTCGGAGATTTTAGTTGGCAGACTTATCTCCCACGGAGCGGATACTACTGCTACCACCAAAGATGGGCGAAATCTGTTGCACATTGCGTCCATGGCCCGCCAAAGCAACACTGTTGGAATGCTGTTGGATCATTATGCCCCCGAAGTTTTGACATCTTTGGTCAATGCCCAGTCAGAAGATGGCCGAACACCCCTGCACTTGGCATGTCTCTCTGGAAGAATAGAGACAGTCAGGCTTCTCCTCGCACATGGGGCAAATATTCATCTTGAAGACAAGAAGAAATGGCTCCCCTTGGATATCTGCGCTTTGTCACTTGCTGAGGACCAGCTTTGGCAGAAGGCTGACGACCAAGGGAACTTGTTTAATACAGTCTCTGCAGCTGGAATTTTGGCTAGCGACCATGAGAGACCGAAGGTACCCGCTCGAAAAAACCAAAAGCGTAAGGATCACAAGAGCTTTGGATGGAAGGGAGAGATTACCTCTGAAAGCGCTACGCTTGGAGTGGGGCGGATCGTTCGATTGCTGGCACAGCATGGCGCTTTGGTGCCGAAGGATCAGAAGAGGCATCGGGTTAGCCCCTTATTTCATGCGGTATCAGAGGGAAATGAGGAGATGGCCACAGAACTTAACAGATCGTCTAAGGAACTGGGAATTGAACTTGAAAAACATCGGTCTCTCGATACCGACCGTTGTTTGCTGCGCTCGCAGCATATCCCAGCGCTCTTCAGGGAGCGGTTCAAGTCTTTTATCTCCGACAAAGACATTGTGGAGATGGTACTCCTAGGCCACGATCAAGAGGTGGTACAGGCTTTGGAGGAGAATTTAAACACCATCGAAAACAAGTCTTCCCTTCAGCCAGTCCTGATCTTGCTTGCAAGATGGGGATACCCGGAACTTTTCGAGCAAATTGGACGCCTCATGTTGGACGTGGACCCTGAATGGATCAACAAGAGTGGCAGGGTATTTTTGGGAAGCGGTGATATGGCTCCGTCTCTTTTGGCTGCTGCTCAGCGTGCCCTTCCAAACCTGGAAGTAATCAAGGTCATCGTTGAAAATTTCCATGCGGATGTCAATATTCGATTCCAAGCAGGCATGGGAGTGACGCCAAAGGTCTACTTCCAATCCACAATGGCTCAAAGGAGACAGTTCAAGCCAGGTGATACAGTTCTTCATTACTTGGCTCAGGGTATACATTGGTGGCACGAAAAGGCTATTGAATACCTTATTCAGCACGGTGCCGATCCCAACGCCCGTAACGCCCAGGGCAAGACTCCTCTTTGTGTGGCAGTGAACCAAGGTGAACTAGCAGGCCATCGACAGAAAGAAATTGTTCAAACCTTGCTTGATGGCGGAGCCGACCCCAATCTCACTGCGACATGTGGCTTTACACCGCTTGCAATGTCGACTCACAGCCCTCAGTTGTTCCAAATCCTGATTGACAATGGAGCCTATCCATCCGAGGATCATCCCATGGAATTGTTCTCAGCACTGTCTAACTTCAAAGATGATGTGGTCACTGCTCTCCTGGGAATGGACCTCGACGCAAACACGACAGGTTTATCCGATGCTCTGCCACACTGGCACACCCCTCGGATCGCAAAGATCTCTCAGAGTCAAGGAACTGTCCTGCATCCTCTTGAATACATTTCCATGATGCCTTTCAATGAGCCCCACAGTCAATACCACTCAATCCGAATGGTTCGTCTTTTGCTGGAGCATGGAGCGGATCCATTCTTCCACACTAGTGAAGACACCCTTATCCTGCACGAGATCTTTTCTGGTGGAGGAATAATCAAACCGTGGCTTGAAATGCCTGACCTTGACCTCGAACGACGTGACCCTCGTGGACGGACATTACTACTGGCTGCTGCAAGGTCCACATTTGGTACAAATTCATATGCATGCACAGTGCCTCTCTTTCCGCACAGAGGTGGACGCATTCAAACGAACTCATGGCAGGAGGGTGACCCAACACGTGCCATGTTCCTGTATGAGCGTGGTGCAAATCTTACTGCAGTGGACAATAATGGAAATAACGTCCTGCATTTTTTGGCCCGCCTTGAGAAAAATGACAAGTTTGCTCAAGAGGAATTCCGGCGAACGATGAACTTGTTCGTGGAGAAGGCTCCTGAGCTTGTGGATCAGGTTAACTCTCTTGGTCAGACCCCAGTGTCAATTGCCCGAGGTTGTGGTACTGAATGGGCTGTGGAAATCTTGGAGAAGGTGTCTATGGATGAAGAATAAGAGGATATGGCGTGAGTCCAGAGGAGTTGGTTCTGTTATATTTGTTGTGCATACAATAACTGAACTAGAAAAACTAAACAATGCTTTAAATCGGACAAAAATCTTCCAAAACAGACTCCAAACCATGCCATGTAGAAGTCACATAGTAGCGAAAAAAAAGCAAAAGATGATAGATACATCAGGAGAAGACTTAGGATGTGCCATTTGTGACTGATGACTTTAAACCTTCGGGAAGAGCACCGGACTTGTGCATGATTGTTCCAGCCAGTCCACTGACTGAATCACTAGCCAGAATTTCCAAGAGCTGAAGACCGGCGTCAAATTCGCGAGAGATCCAATGTCGGACCTCGATAGCAACAAGTGAATCCAGCCCAAAGGCTGAGATTGACTTGGATACATCAACGTCCTCCAGTGAGAGCATAAGAAGGCTGCACAGCTTCTTCAGTAGAGCTTGTGCAATGATATCCTGAGCTTGTCTAAGATCCTGTGCTTGCTGGAGTGCCTTCGCAGGACTTTCCGATGCAAGACCATTTGATTGACCGCCCGACTTCGAAGATGCGGAGACTGCTGCGGCGCGGACCAACTGTGAGAACCTCGGGTCCTGTGTCCAGGCTTGACCAGCACTTAGACTCTCTGTCTGAATTGAATCGAGACCAGTGATGCAGTGACTATTGCAGGAATCCTTCATCACACCCTTGATTGCACTGGCCAGAAGACCGTGGATATCTTCTGCATTGAGCCACATTCCGCCAAAAGTGCCTTGGACTACGTCCTGAGTCTTTTGGTCGTTTGCGAGATATCCCACATCACGAACGGGTGCAAGATCAATCGTGGTACATTGAAGACCGTGAGTGTTCATGGCTTCTGCAAAGCCATCCATAAATGTTCCGCTGGCTGCGTAGGCGGCTTGCGTGAGGTTTCCAATCACACCTGCCACCGAAGACAGGCTGATGAAGAAATCAAGATCCTGATTCAGGGACTTCAAAGTGTCATGCATGTTCCAGAGTCCTTTCACGCGGGTCTGGACGACCGCACTGTAGTCCGCATATTGCATTTTCTCGAAAGGAACGTCCTAGCAAGGCAGGTTAGATCGAAAAAAAGAAGTGGGATGGCGAGAAGTCTATTTCTTACCCGTAAGACCATAGCACCGTAGATCACTCCACGGACTGGTGGTACACCAGATAGGGCTCTCTTCAGTTGAGCATCGAGTTCCTCCTCGACACCGACGTTACATTGGCACACTTTAATAGTGACTCCCTTGTTGATGAGTCCAATTATCGCGTTCTGTGCTTCCTCGCCCACAAGACCGGATCGAGAAACGATCACCAAGTGCCGAGCTCCCTTCTCGGCCAACCAGGAGGTGATGTCAAGACCGATGCCTCGGTTACCACCGACAACGATGTAGGTTGCATCTTGACTGACAAGTGTATCTGATCTAGTTGGAGGATGGACCTAGTCACATAAGGTATTAGTTGATCGAATTTGAAGATTGGTGGCAGGTGACCGAGAGGGCCTCAGAAGGTGAGCGGATAGACTCGAGTGATACATACCTTGACCAATGCATCTGACTTCATCTCAATGACAATCTTTCCAATCTGACGACCGGTCCGCATCTCACGGAAAGCATGCTCCATGTCCGAGACAGAGTAAGATGTGATGGGCCAGGGTGGTCGGCAGAATACATCCGCACCGAACTCTCGGAATACATCTCCAAGCAGTCTCTTCAAAAGCTTTGGCTTGCGCTGCATCACAAGGACGAGATCCACAGAAGAGACGGAGACATTGTTCAAGAAATGTGACATTTCAAGTCGAGAGTTTTGCAGGAAGTCCCTTTTTCCAAGCTCAACAAAGCGACCAAACGGAGCCAATGTCTCAAATGAAACTCGAAGGAAATCCCCACTGAGAGAATTTATGACCACATCAACACCGTAACCTTTCGTCGCATGACGGATAGCTTGACCGAAGCCAGTATCACGACTATAGAAAATCTGATCTTCTTTCAAGCCATAGGTTTTCTTGAGGAACTCCTTCTTCTCCTGAGTACTGACCGTTGCGAATACATTGGCTCCAATGGACTGGGCCAGAAGGATGGCAGCCTGTCCAAGTCCTCCCGCAGCGGAGTGGATCAAGACATTCTCGCCGGGCTCGACACGAGCCACATCGACCATGGAGTAATAGGCTGTGCAGAAAGTCACAGGAATAGTAGCTGCCACATTAAGGGGAATACCGGATGGCACTTTCCAAGCGTTGGTCGCAGGACAGTGAATGTAATTCGAGAAACATCCACTAAACAAGGCGCAAACACGGTCTCCAACACTGAATTCATGAGCACCACGGCCAACAGCAGTCACTATACCACTGCATTCAGCGCCAATTTCAGTTCCAGGAACCTCGCCCATGACTATCATGATGTCTTTGAAATTGAGACCTGAGTAGCAAACTTGTATCTCGATGAAGCCTTCTCGTAGAGGTGCGCTCTTGATGGTATCGTCTGTGAAATAAAATCCATCTAGAGCACCGACATCGGTCAGCTTGAGCGCGAAAGGGCGGCCTTCTTGTTGGAATTCTTGGAGTTGCGGAGGAGCTTTTCCTGCTTCTTGGAGCATGCTCAAGTTCATCGCAGGATCCTCCACCAAACGGGAAACACAAATCTCTCCGTTGCGAAGGGCGAATTCCATGTCCCCTTTCATGAGCATAGAACGAGAGGATGAGTCAAAGACATTTCTGAAGATATTCTTGATATGGCGCACGATTTCCTTCCCTGAGACGTTATCCAGATCGCCGAGATCAAAAGTGGCAAATGGAAGACCGGTTTCGTTTCTCACAGTCCGTGCCAGACCGAAAACCATGTTCTGGTTAGCCCGCTGAGAAGGCGAATCCTTGTGGCCGGTGACCCATAACACGCCCTTTGCGGTGGTAACTAGTCGCTGGATCGTCGGGAAAAGATCCTTGGACATATCAGAAAGTAGAGTTTGACCGATCTCGCCAATGAAGACACAAATCTTGCCTGTTGCGTCCACCTGATTCAACGATGTGAGACCTGGAGCCCGGCCAGTTACTTCTTTGAGGCCTTCCATCAAGGCCCCTGTGGGAATTGTGCTCAATGTTCCGTGCTCAACAACGACAACTTCTTGCTGCGTTGGGTTGGGGTCCCCGCTAGCAGTTGCAATCATCATGCAGTTGGATGCTTCGAATGCACCAGGGAAATCCTGTAGGCAAAGGTCGACGCCGGAAAAGCCGTTTTCTTTGAGGACAGTGTCCCACTCCTGCTGGGATAACAGAGGACCATTGACGTGTCTTCCATCTTGACTGGCCCACCATCCTGGAAGGCATGCGAATAAGAAGAGTCGCTGATGCATGATAGTCTCTTCAATCAAAAGAAGCTTGCCACCCGGTTTCAGAAGCTTCCGGGCATTTGCAACAGTCTCACCAATGCGAGGAGTTGCGTGCAAAACGTTACAGGCAATGATAAGATCGTATGATTGGGAAGAGTATCCTTGATCGACTGGATCTTTCGTGACATCGAGACTCTGATAGGACATGAGGGAGTCCCAGTCATGGAATTTTTCTCTTGCCTTCTCAAAGAAGCCAGTTGAAATATCCGTGTATTTGAAGTGATGAAAGCGTGGTGTACTTTCTCCATCCTTGCCTCCGAAACTTTCCAAGATGGGCAAAGTCGCCGATCCGGTGCCAGCACCGATCTCGAGTATATCCATGTGTGGATTCTGGTGGGCCATCTTTTCAACACAGAGCATGGCGTTTCGATAGCTCTGTCGGTAGCCATCAAGGCTCTCGTAATAACGGTTCAACAGATCATCTTCGACCATGATAGACAGAGCTTCTTGATGGCCCTGCAGAATACTGGGAAGGTTTTCACCGATCTTGCATGACAGCTGACCAGCAGCGTTCATGGTGCGAACCAGTTCAATTGTGTCACTGTGACACCTTTTAACCGATTCAAGAGGCTTTGGGCAAACTTGCTGCATCCACTTGTAGAGTAGCTTGTGATGAGGCTGGAAGCTTCCAAGCTGCTTAGGGATGTCGAGTAGCGCGCGACCAATATAGTAATGTGACACTTGTTCTAAGAGTCGCATCTGCTCAATTGAACATCCCAAGTTGGTCTTGGAATGCTGAAGTAGAGTGGTCCCGGAAGTCTCCATCAAGTCAAAACATGGCTCGAAATGCTCCTTATAACAAACAGATCTCAGGGAATGAGCGTCAATATCCTCGGGTGCATCATTAATGCGTGTCGCAGTGAATCCATTCACTGTCACCCAAGGCTCACCAGTCTCCTCAACAACTCCTAGAACACTATAGCTGACGTTCTCCCCATGAGTCGGCCTGCGATCTTGGCTGGTGAAGAGCTTGAACTTGGTGCCGATGTCAACGGCATCATTGACTGGAATGAGCATGTGCTTGACCGAGTCCGCCAAATAGGAAAAGTTGGGACCGGCCTTGTCAAATCCACAGAAGAACCAGAACTGCTGAAGGAACATATCCAGGGTGACGGGGTGTACCAGACACCTCGTTTCATATCCAAAGGGCATACAACTCTTGGTATCTGGCACACGTGCGTTGGCTATCGATTTGCCATCTCCGCTGAGAGCAATGCGGGAAAATTCACGGAATAATGGACCATATGTAAGCACTGTAGCGGCAATATTAGCATAAGTCTCTGTCAGGTTGACATCCTGAGTGCATTCTTCTGTGAACGCCGAGAGATTTCGTGCAAGGGCAAGTTTTGCCTCAGCCACTGGGTTTGATCGCTCGGGGCCTCTGGCGATGATGAAGCCGTGGCAATGTTCGTCCCAGCCCTTGCCGTCCGCCCAAGAGTATGTCCAAAACTCATACCAAGCACCATGGGCCATCGAAGTTCCATTCTGGATCTTCATTGACAGCATGACTTCCACTGGAGAAGTGTCAGGCAAGACTAGCATCCGTTGCATTTTGACATCCCGCAATTCCACACAATCGAGCTGAATATTTTGCAACTGTGCCAGTTGAGCAACACCTTCTACTGCCATTGACAAGAAGCCTGTCATTGGGTACACGGAATTGCCATGGACCTTGTGCTGCCTAACCCATGGGAGATCATCAGCGCGAATGACATTTCTCCAACGCGGCTCCAGATCAATGTTCTCCACGGAGAAGCTACCCAAGATGTCATTGCGGGGGAATTGAGGATGACTTGAGTTGTTGGATATGCGTGAATCGTGCCAAAGTCGAGTGGAGTGGTCCCATGGATAGTTGAGCAGGTTGGTCAATAGTTGCGGATGTTTTCCAAACGCGGCAAAGGCGTTGATAGCACCCAGGTCAACAGGGGCTCCTCGAGAAAACAGCGTACCGGCAAGAGTTTGTATGGCTTGCAGGGAGTCTGTATTCCGTTTGATGCTTGACAGGTACTGGAAGTCAACTGTTGTCGCTGCCTGGCGGGTGATGCTTTGACAGGGAGATTGTAGTGCGGGGTGCGGCCCAATCTCAATCAGAAGATGACTCCGTTTTCCGGAAATAGGTTCGTTTGCCGAAACTAAGCTTTGCAGACCCTGCGAGAATAGAACTGGTGAAGTGAGATTCTCAATCCAGTAATCTTCAGTTAAGAAAGACGCATCAAGAACCTTGCCGCGGACGGTGGAGTGGAATGGGATTGTCGACTCTTGAGGAACAATCTTGCCCATGAGCTTTCTATAACTTCCAGCAATTTGTTTCATGTGAGGCGAGTGATAAGCGACACCAGTGCGGAGTTTTCGAGTGAAAATATCTTGTTGACTTAAGACAGAATCCAGCTTCGTGATTGAAGCCGCATCGCCCGAGATCGTGACACTTGATTCGCTATTGACACATGCAATCACGGCACGCCCGCCTGATACCTCATCAATAAATGGCCGTAGTCTTGCCGGGCTGGCACCAGCAACCATCATCATTCCTTCTGTTTGGAGCGGGTCGTCCTTGAGGGCTTGTGCTGCGGCACCTCGAGCAAATGCAATGCGTACACATTGCTCCGTCGTAAGTATACCTGCGGCGTAGGCAGCCGCAATCTCTCCACTAGAATGTCCGATAACTGAGGCGGCGGAGACACCCCAGGAGCGAAGAAGATCAACAAGTGCAATCTGGAGGGCGGTACAGGCAGGTTGACTCAGATATGGCTCATAAAGAGAGCTTTTAGATGAGTCTTTTTGGAGTTCCTCTTTGGCAGAGTTAGCTCAATCTGCAAATTTCTAAGTCATCTTAGGATCACTTACCAATGATGGAAATTTCACTCTTCAGAGTCTTCAAGACTTTATCCACGGCCTGAATTGCTCCAAAAAAGACTGGCGAAGCTCCAAGGAGTTCTCGGCCCATTCCATACCATTGAGCACCTTGCCCCGTAAATACAAGAGAGATTGATGGATCATCCGAAACGTTGAAGGGGTCCAAATCGGCAGACAAAAGCGCGATCAATTCTTTGCTTGTCGAAGCAGAGACTGCTGTTCTCCAAGAGAATAAGCTGCGCCTCTGACCAAGTGTGTAAGCCAGATTGCTCATCACGAATGCGTCAAATGCGTCTGGGTGTTTTTCAAGGTACGTGGCCACGTTCTTGGCCAGCGCCCCCACGGCTCTCTTGTTAGGCCCTGAAATCGCGTATACGTAGCGTGCTGCGTGTTGCTCTTTGCCTTGACTGATCGAACCCTCCTTTAATGCTATCTCGGAGGTAGTCTTCGAAGGTTGAATGACGGGTGGTTTACCCATGATAACGTGGGCATTCGTGCCTCCGTACCCGAAGTTATTAACGCTGGCATATTCTTTTCCTCTCGGCCACGGGGTAACCTTTTTGGGGACCTAATGAGAAAAGATTAGCGTCTTCAATACAGCTTGGCAGGTTGAGGGTAATGACCTTCATGTTCCATTCCTTCATCGGAATCTCATCGTTGGGCTCGGTCACACCACAGTTGGGTAGAATAAATCCTCTCTCCAACATCAGAGCGGTTTTGATCACGGCGACAATTCCACTCGCTCCCTCTGCATGTCCAACGTTTGATTTCACAGAACCTATTAAGAGAGGGCTTTTGCGATCCTTTCCCTGACACAAAACGGAAGATAATGCGCGTGCTTCTGCCGGGTCGCCAACAGTGGTGCCCGTTCCATGCGCTTCGACATAACCAGTTTTGGCGGGATCAATTTGTGCTTGTCGATAAACCGTACGAATGAGCTCCTCCTGAGAAGCACTGTTGGGCATAGTGATGCCTCGGGTTCGACCATCCTGGTTCACGCCGGTATTCCAAATGACCGCTCGGATCGCATCACCCGCGTCAATCGCATCTTGCAGCGGTTTCAAAACTATACATCCTACTCCTTCGCCTCGACCATACCCATTCACTGTCTGTGACTTTGATTGCTGATCGAATGGAAAACTCTTCCCGCTCTCGGAAAACAGCCTGGATGTAATTCAATTATTAGAACAAATTTTCGCGTATAACCTTTGCGGTATGGAAACTTCACTTACCTCGATAGCGACATAGATGCAAAAGTGTCAGGGAGCAGATTGATATGACACCCACCAACCAAAGCCGTCGAACATTCCTTGGATCGGAGGCTCTGGCATGCCAAGTGCAAGGCAGTCAAGCTGGATGAACACGCCGTCTCCACGGTCATACTAGGACCCTTCAAATCAAAGTAGTATGAGATGCGATTCGATTGCAAAGATGTCGCGCATCCTGTAGTCTGATGCATAGGAATTGTTGCAACGTCGCGGAGATTGTTCACTTCGTAGTCTGACGGAGAGCCGCCGATAAAAACACCGACATCACGACCTTGAAGATATTGTTTGGTTATTCCACCATTTTCTAGCGCCTCATATGAACATTCGAGCAGTAGTCGTTGCTGCGGATCGAGGGAGCGCGCTTCCTGTACAGTGATATTGAAGAAAGGAGCGTCGAAGAATGCGACATCTTCGTCTAGAAAGTGACCACCTTTAGGGTTGAAGCATCCAGTACGGTCGGGATTTGGGTGATAAAAACCATCCGCATTGAAGCGACTCTTTGGCATCTCTGACCATCCACTTCGGCCGCGGGAACACAATTCCCAGAATGATTCCAAGCTATTTACTTGGCCAGGTAGCCTGCACGCCATTCCCACGATGGCGACGGGCGTGGGCTTAGCTCCATTATCAGTCGACATGTTGAGATTGAGGTCTTCTTTCCGTTCCATATGTGCAAAATAAGAGAGAAACTCAAAAGTTTGTATAGAAAGGAGCGACAGTTGGTGAAGATTGTAGAAAGTAGCCCGCGGACAGGGCGAGCCCAACTACTAAATCGCTGGGGAAATTCACGCGATCGGGGAATAAAGGGGACTGATCTTTCCACATAAAAAGACTGCGAGCCGCTTTTTCGGACACATCATCTGTATCTGATTTACAACACAGGAGCTGAGGGGCGAAGGGGTTGTCAAGTCGTGGACCTGGCATTTTACATTAGGGCGCGGAAGTAAAAGATCGGTATGTGGGACGCGCTGAATGAACTGTAGAGTCAATCCACAGGACCGAGTAAGCAAGCCACATCTTCGCCCTACCCCGGTGAAATACAGTATTACTGTAATGTCCCACCTAGGGCATGGGTAACTAGCGTAAATAAAGTATGCACCCCCTGCAGTGCTAGCGCTAGCAAGATGGATATCGGGCTCAGAATTTGAGATGCAAGGAAGGCGTGGCCTGGAAAGTGGACACAGCTAGAATATCCTGTTCGAAGCTACGCGAACTTGTACTTAAACTACGAAGATAGAGCGGCGACAACATTGTCGCTTTGCTTCACAACCCATTGATCAACTCTGAAGAAGTCATGCGTTTTTTCTGTTTACCAGGAGGCCTTTGCAATGCCAAAGTCAGTTCATGATCACTCTTCGAATCGACGATATTTAAAAACTAACGTACGCCATTTGGAAAAGCGAAGACACTGGAAGTTCAACTAGGTAAGGACACACTTCCTCAAGTTATCTGAGGTTATGTCACTGATCGCAACTTGACGTAGAGCCCATTTTGTCAGAACTCAACAAGGACGAAGCAACAACCACTTTTGTGTATACACAAGGTCAAAATCCGGTCACGGTGCCTCCCGAATTTGAAGGATTCTTTGGCCCACCTCCCAATTTCACGTTCATTGATGGTGACCCCAAAGTTGCATCTTATCCAATTCGAACACTTGGTCGAGAAGGGAGCCCTGAAGATGCGATAAGGAAGTTCTATCACGCTGCCGGCCTGTGGAAGTACAAAAAGCCAAGCTCTGTGCTTGACCCTTTACTTGACTATATTGATCAAGATCCTGAGATTGAAGGAATTATCGGGTTCTCAGAAGGAGCAGGCATTGCGGCTTCTCTCATTGTAGAGGAGACCAAGCGACAGAAAGAAACCGGAAGAATTCCTCGTCTCAAATGCGCCGTTTTCATGTCGGGGATGCCTCCAATTGATTCGGTCACTGGCCGCTACCTTTTACAGGACGAAGATGGCGAATTGATTTCCATCCCGACCTTCCACATCATGGGGTCCCAGGATGCTATGATCAGCGGAGTCATCGCGCTATACAATGTTTGTGATCCAGACACCGCAGACCTGTTCGATCATGGTGGTGGCCACATAATCCCTCGTGACGCGCAAACCGTGACCGAAATCGTGAAAGTTATCCGTACTATGGTTTTGGATTTGTGATGTACGGAGTATACATGTATACTCGTGAGAGACGGAAGAGGCCGGTGCGGCCTACCTGGATAGTTTACAGCGATCATAGCGAAACCAACCCCTAGATTATTGCATAGAGACAGTGAGTCGCAACCAACAGCCGCGGAATCATTCTTGAACTTTGAAACTCGCATTCTGATGTCAGCATTAGCTGTCCGCGCGGCAGGCGGAGTCTCAGTCTCAGCAAGGGGTGGTATCTGACCTATCAACTCAGCCACCAGCATTCCTGCCATTAAAAGTTCGATGAAGCATGATCAACGCCTCTAAACAACTGCCTGACTGTTGGTCCCTGGCAGGATCTTCGGTGATCTTCCCCGCCCCTGGCCCCTTGCTGGGCGTTCCTTTCGGGGCACAGAATAGTGGCAAACCCCTGCACTAGGGGCTAATATGGTGGGTTCGTCTCAGATCTTGATAGGTAGAGTAGAAGTATGCGCTTGAAAGTTTCCAGAAATGCTGTAATGGGAAAATCCACCAAGAATCACAAGTTGTTCTCTCCGCTAGGGGCAGATGGCGACCGTCAAATCTGGTAACATCCGTCGCGACAAAGCACTGTCCCTTGGCCTTCCTTCGGATTCATTTTCGATTGTCGACCTACCACTCTCACCATGGAGACGAAAGTACCCGGTGGACATCTTGGTCAACACAGGCTGGTTGTGATAATTTCCTTGTCAATCGTGAGCTTTCTGAGCGCTTTCGATTCGACCGTATTTCCTCCAGTTTTGCCTGTAAGAAGGGTTCAATGCTCAACAACCTCAAGCTTCAAGCTAATATAATCCAGACTATTGCGAAAGACTTACATGGCAATGCGACCGATACATTTTGGGTGGGAACCGCCTACCTACTCCCGTGTGCATCCCTTCAACCTTTCCTGTGCGCCCTATCCGATGTATACGGCCGTCGATTCATCCTTCTTTCAGCGATTACATTGTTCGCAATCGGCTCAGTTGTCGGATCAGTTGCCCAGAATATGGCGACAATTCTAGCTGGTCGGACCATTCAAGGAATCGGTGGTGGTGGCCTCATCCCTCTGCCTATGATTGTCATGACCGATCTATTCCCCTTGCGCGAGAGACCCAAGTATACCGCCTACATCCAGCTATTTTCAGCCATCGGTATCATCATCGGCCCCGTAATGGGAGGTCTGTTTACTGAGCATGCTGCAAATCATGGTGGATGGCGCTGGGTCTTTTACGTCAACTTCCCATTCTGTCTGATCGCGTTCCTCGCTCTTTTCTTCGCCCTTCGGAAGATGAAAGTGACACGCGAAAGCTATCGCAATATCGATTGGCTTGGATCGTTCTTTTTCACATCGAGCATGGTATCCTTCTTGATGGGACTTTCCTGGGGTGGTACCCTCTACAAATGGAACAGCTACCGTACCGTGCTTCCTCTGTCTCTGGGGGCCGTCGGAATTGTCTGTACTGTCATCTGGGAGTGTTATGGGGCACGCTGGCCGTTCTTGCCTCTTTCTGTTCTCAAAAGCCGTGCGTCGATTGCCGTCTACCTATCGTCTCTGGTTCAAGGAATATCGGTGAGTCTGTCAATGATCAGATTGGACCCTTGGGTGATTCTAATATTTCTTGTTACTTCCAGATGTTCGGCATTCTCTATTACATCACTTTCTACCTGGAGGTAGTACAAAGACTCTCTCCAACCAAGACTGGAACCGAGATTCTGGCACTGTCTGCGACAATGGTTCCATCCGGTCTGATAACGGCACTGTTGATTTCAAAATTCGGCAAATACAAATGGGCCCAATGGAAAGGTTGGGTTGTGGCCGCTCTTGCCACAGGTCTCCTTTGCATGTTGGATGAAAAGACGAAGAAGGGCTTCTGGATCGGCGCCCTGGTGCTACTAGGACTTGGGCATGGAATTCTTTTCAACAGTATCCTGTTTGCAGCACAAGCTGTTGTACCAGCGAAGAACGTCGCATATGCCGCCACCCTCTACACGTTCTTCCGCACTATGGGGTACGCTGTCGGGGTCGTTGTTGGGGGTACGACACTTGAAAATGTCACGTCGGATTACCTGAAAGATCATGGCTTCCCCGCACAGAAAGCACAGGACATATCCTCTCATATTGGGCCCTCGGAGGGCCTATCCGCTGGAGCTGGACACGAAGACGTTATCATACAGTCTTACGTGCACGGCATTCGCGGAGTCTTCGTGGCACTTACATGCTTGGCAGGTCTTGGTCTGGTTACCACCTTTTTCGTGCCCCAAGCCAGTATGGATCAGCCTCTGGAGTCTGACCATCATCTGGAACTGCTACGCCTAGGTTCAAACCCTTCATCTCCCACATTTGGAGTCACGAGATCCGAGTCGAACCTGACGGTGCATTCAATTCACGGAAAGCCCGAGAATGCCGTTGAGTTGCATCGAGTTGTCTGAAAAGCGAACATGAAGCTGGTTCTTGATTTCGTGTATAAAACAATTTTGGCGCTCCTTTCCATAGATTAGTCTGAATTTATCGATTTTGTTCTTTCATTTGCCCAAAACTTCACCCTTTTAATCTGGTTTAGTGTCCTAGAATAATTTCGCCCGTGCTGCTTTCCCTTTAATTATCTGTGGGCTAGGACATGCAAGCGAGTGGAAAGAAATGATGCAAATACATCTCGAGAGAATCATGCGCGGGTTGTCCGAGTGAATGCCAGTGGTTGAAAGTGTGCTACCCAACTATCATGAATCTATTAAAAGATGACTCCTTTCGAGTATCAGCCCTAGACATATACTAGCTCAGATGGACTTTGAGGATCGCACGGCTTAGATCGGACTTTGTTCCTCAAGGTCCATAGCCAAGAGACACATATTGGGTTACAAATCCTCCGAGTATCTATGAAAAGTATTCTATTTTCGCATCTGTTGCACTTCTAATTTGAACAAAATGAAACAATGTTGGTTTCCTTTTTCTATGTTGCTACCGCTTCGGCTGCCCTGATTCCATTGTCAAATGCAATTCGGCCCAAGATGACAGCAAAGGTGGATGTTATCTATTGTCAGTATTCCATTATCAATGAAGTCTTGACATACATAGTGACCTATAATCCGTAGCTCTGATCCTGGCTGTGGTGTTGCTGGTACCTACCACCAATGTGCTAATGGTAAATGCCGTCTCCATTCGCCCTAATTGCCACTTCCTCACATGCATATGGGCCATATTCATTATGTATAGGCCATTTTTATCCGGTCAGTTGTGTAGTTGGAGGATATGATCCTCCATGGGGCGGCAGTAGTCTGTCGCTGTGGCTCGAAAGTCGGCTGGCGAAACCCGGTTTATCCAAGATGTGGGGAGGTCTGGAGGTTGCGATTTCTTAACGAATGATTTTATGTATACAAATTTAAGCAAAATGTTCCTGGATTGGCAGCAATATAAGATAAACAATCACTCTATAATCTAGCCTCAGCTGTTAGATGTCGGAACTTGCTGACCGTCGGCCGTTTTAATTGTGACCAGAGCCCCCTCAATAAATAATAATCTTCCATGGTTCCAAGACTGGAGCCACCAAGGCTAAGCTCTTTCTAATTACCCGTTTGGGCACGCTAATCAATAAATAGAAACGCCCGCTAGCCTCATTCGACCAGACCCTCCAGTCAGGGTGTTCAGGGTGTCTGCGGTGCCCCACTTGGCCAGGTCCTCGAGGTTCATAGACTGGACGCTCGAGCCGTCGCTTCCGGTTGCTTCCAATAACGAACAAGCGATAGAGTGAGACAATTCGTTGGACTGAACGAGCAATGGCTTTTCGCTTACGAGGCCACCTCTGGCCATCGCGTTGTATGGATTGGGTTTCTCTGCTGCCTTCGCGCTTTAAACCAGGCTGTGTTTCCCTGAGCTCCTTTTGCTCGTTCGTCTCTCTTTTCTCCGCACTTTCACTCACTTTCCACCAACACCAAACCCCCCCCCCCCCCCACACTCGTTAATTCACTATGAAGTGGACTGCTTTTGCGGCAGCTTCCCTGGTGGCCCGAGGGGCGCTGGCCAGTACCCCAAACATCGTCATCAAGGTAGGTCCTTGGGCCTTTGACTTTCTGCGGAGGAAGGTCGGTCGCTAATCGCATTGTCGCACAGGGCTCCAAGTTCTTCTACGCCAACAATGGAACTGAATTGTGAGACTTCTCCCAAACCCGTTGAGTGACCTCGTCATTAACGCAGCGATTAGCTACATCCGAGGCATTGCCTATCAGGGTAATTCGATCGCAAATCATCTTGTACATACCTTCGATACTGACAGACTATATAGAGGACTACACTGGCGGAGGTTCCAACGGAACTGGCCAGACCAGCACCTCAGGCTACACCGATCCCCTGGCCGATGCCACCACCTGTTCGCGTGATATTCCCTACCTGACCCAGCTGCGCACCAACGTTATCCGAACGTACGCGGTTGACCCCACGAAGAACCATGACGCCTGCATGCAGCAGCTGGCTGATGCTGGTATCTATGTCATCACCGATCTGGCTTCCCCGGACGTGTCGATCGAGGCCAACTCCCCCGTCTGGACCGTCGACCAGTACGAGCGGTACACCAGCGTCATCGATACCTTCCAGAAGTACGATAACGTGATTGGCTTCTTTGCTGGCAACGAGGTTGTCAATACCCCCAACCAGACCGATGCCGCTGCTTTCGTCAAGGCTGCCGCCAGAGATATGAAGTCCTACATCAAGAGCAAAGGATATCGGGACACACTCGCTATTGGCTATGCCACCACCGACCAGGAGGATATCCGCACTTCGCTGTCAAGCTATCTCAATTGCGGAGACCAGTCAAGCGCAATTGATTTCTTTGGTTACAACATCTACGAGTGGTGTGGAGATCAGACATACCAGTCATCTGGATATGAAGACCGCACCAACGAGTACAGGAACTACTCTATCCCTGTCTTCTTCTCGGAGTACGGTTGCAACACCGTGAAGCCCCGCAAATTCACCGATGTGCCTGTGCTCTTCGGTCCCCAGATGAATGACGTCTGGAGCGGCGGTATCGTCTACATGTACTTCGAGGCTGATAATGACTACGGCCTCGTGTCTGTGAGCGGGAGCTCCGTCTCTACTGAAGTCGACTTCAGCTACTACTCCAAGGAGATCCAGAGCGCTACTGCCACAGGAACCAACAGCGCCAGCTACACTCCTACCAACTCCCCTCGCGCCTGCCCCACAGTTGACGGCGAGAATTGGCTGGCGAAATCCAGCCCTCTCCCTCCAACTCCGAACTCGCAGCTCTGCTCCTGCGTGGTGAGCACCTTGTCCTGCGTTGTCAGTGACTCCGTGGACTCGAAGGACTACGGCACCCTCTTCGGTGAAGTCTGTGGCTATGGCGCAAACATCTGCGACGGTATCGCACACAACGCTACTACCGGAACTTACGGTGCCTACAGTGTCTGCAGCAGCAAGGATCAGCTGTCGGTTGCTTTCAACGCCTACTACAAGAGCCAGAACCAGGACCAGTCCGCGTGCGACTTCAACGGTGCGGCCAAGGTTCAGTCTGCGCAGTCCGCATCGGGTGATTGCAAGTCCCTCGTCAGCCAGGCTGGTGGTGCCGCTGGAACAGGCACTGTTGCCTCTGGTGGTTCTAGTGGTGGAAGTGCCGCTAGCACTTCTACCTCCAAGGGAGCTGCCTCCCATCTGGTCAGCCCGGCTGCTGTTTACGTGAATGGCTGGTTTGCACTGGCTTCTTTCGTCGTGGCTGCGGTGACGGGCTCCCTCATGGTGGCTCTGTAAGAGATATGGATGCTGCGTCTGACGTGGAAGCTGACAGCGAGGGTTTCATGTTCAAATTCTATCCTGTAATATAGGAACCTGTGATTTATTACACCCGGTCAGTTTTGCCGCTCCCAGCTTAGTGCCATAATATACTATCCTGAAACCTCTCTCTATCGCCCCAACATCAAAGACTTGACCCCGCCCTTTCGACATCTTTTCTCCTCCTATAACTCCTCTATCTTGCACTCATTGCTGCCCCCTTTCTCGCATCTCCTGCCCCCACACCTGCACACTGACTTCCAGCCCGACGCACTGCCAATTTCGTTTTACCGGAGATGCTGCTCGATCCAACACCCAGCTCGTTCTAATCCTAGAATAGAGCAGCTACCTAGGGGTAGAATCGATGGAATGATCCAGCCCGTAGCCGCATTGTGTGATTTCGTGTCGATACTCCGACTTCTTCCTAAAGAGGGTTACTGACTCTTTCTCCGTATTTATGCTCACGGTCCTCGACATACATATTTCATGACGTTCCTCACCGCTCATCTATACCATCACCGTCCGAGATGTCCCCTAATCTGTCTTCGCGCCATAACGATCTCTCCGAGAGGGTATCCTCGCGATAAGTAGCATATAAATTAAGTCGTAAACAAACCAAGTCTACAACGAGGCAACATAAGGTATTTCACTCTATAGCAGTTTCATGACTGATATTGCTAAAGGGCAGTAATAATGTGTTCACAGACTTATGGTAATGTTAGTCAGTCTCTTGCTTTCTGCTCTATAGTTGATAGGCTCTATAGATTAATATTTCCCCACTTAATCGTCGCCGAAAGTCGGGTTATCCAACCAGAATCGGATCTTCTCCAGGGCAAAGATATCATGTTCCTTCTTAGAAGTAGTATAGTCCTCAATCCGACCTTCAATCCAACCACTCGTACCCCGAGACGTTCCCAGCAAACTTCCAATTTTCCCGGCTGAGCCAAAGTTGATCAGGACCGGCATTCCACCGCAGGCCTTGGAGTCGTCAACCAGCAGATGCGTCGGGTTGAGGTCATTATGTGCCCAGCCGAGTGAATGTAGGTGATAAATAGCAGACTCAAGCGCGTCCATGAATGCTTTCTTATCGATATTTCCCACTCCACGACTGAGATAGTTCTTCAGGTCATGCGGATGGCGGCCGAGCAGGATTCCAGTCAGGTAGCCTCTCTGGAAGCGGCAGCCGTGGTACTGGATAAAATAAGGATGTGGGTGTGCGGAAAGAACTTCCATGGTACGGGCCTCCTCCAAAAAGCTTTGGGCGAGTAGGTGTACTACATTGTGTCGTTTAATAGGGTCGCTTGATGAAGACTTGAACATTGGCGGGGAGCTCTCATTAGAGAACAATACTTTCACGATTAAGCGGCCGTTCTGGCTTTCGGCTTCGAATTCACAGGTCCCTATACTATAATTTTAACTCAAGTAGAAACACAAGAGTAGTGGTTGCTTGCTTCGGTCGAAAGATAATTGACAACATGATTACTAAACTTTTGTGCTTAAATAACATCAGGGAAAAGTTGGTCCAAAGTTCCACAAATTATGACTACGGTAAATGGGTACACTTCAGGGCTTGGCCAATTCGCTAGATACTGGAAATTAAAACAGAATTAGGATCTCTAGGACCGACGACGATTTTGAACCGCCTCCACTCGACCCTCCAACGATCTCTCCTCATCCAAATTCCTTTCGTAAGTAATTGACACTTCATGCGTCTGTTTAATACCAGGGCTATGAACGAGAATACTCTTCTCACTACCATCATCCTTGCGAGTCGTAAGTGTAATCGCCTCGCCCTGGCAATAATAATACGGATCGGATTGAGGAGGTCGACTACCCTTCTGACTGCGATACTTCCCGGATAACTGGTAGCTTACGTACGTGGGCTCGTCAGTTCGGTCGTAGCTAGATCGCATTCGAATAAAGATGATTCGGAGCGAGGGGATAGATGCAGCAAATATGGTGCAGCCTGTTTCGCCAGACGCCCAGATTATGATGCTAGAGCAGTACCCTGTTGTTTGTCAGAGATGTTGAGATGTGGGGTTTGGAAAGGAGGGCCGCACAGGTAAAGTCTTGGACATGGGCTACATTGACGAGTTTTGAGGTTTTGATGAATGCTGTTGCTGCAGCGCTGTATTAATGGTATGTTAGGGCTGGATTCTATTAAATTGTGGATGGCGAGGACTTACAAGACGCCCATACTCATGGCAATTGCAATGCCAAACTTCTCCCGGCGTCTCATTTGAAGTTTCCATAGAACTGCCCAAGGAAGGACAGCGAGAATAAAGTCCATGCACCCAGAGTATGCTAAAAGTGAATCATTAGTACGACCTAAAAATGATAGCACAGACGCAAGTGTGGAAATACCTCCAGCCGCGAGCGCAATTGTCTCAAAAACAATAGTTGGCCAGCAAGTCGCTGTCGCCATAAGCTTGATATCCCAAAGTGCGGCAGTAGGCTTGCATTGAATAAGGTAGCAGATAGCACAGAGCCACATGATAGCATTCATCGTGATAATGATGAACCACAGTAAGGCCTTCATCCACGTCTTCGTAACGATGCGAAGAAGTGTGAGAGCAAATGAGGTCTTACTTAGGACGCAACCGATGATCACGACGACCAAGGCGATATAAACTAATTTGAGGGCGCGTGGAATGGCGGTTTTATCTTCGATCGTGTCGACATGTTTTCCTATTACGCCTAGTTGTATGGACTTGGTGATCATAGCTGTGAAGATGAGAAGGAGTACCTTGAAAATGGGATTAGCTTTCCGTCTAGGATTCATATTGTGGGAGTAAGAGGAGCATATACCCAGGAAAGTAAAATGACTGCATCATCCCATCCAAAACCTCTGCTCAGCGTTACTTTGCAATAAATTCGTAGACCGACGATTAATCCAGGAACGAGGACCAAGATCCAGCATACCGCCAAAATAACCGGGCCCTGGTCTTGACCAGCCTCGGCGGCCATTGTAGATAGAAGGGACGAAGGAATTATTCTTCAATTATAGCTCAACTTTTGTCGAGACAATTATAGGCAGCTAGAACTGAGCAATAGACAGGATTTAGTTCTGATAAAGACAAAAACGAGAAAATGATGGATAATACCAAGTCCACAGTGTGGTAGGCGCTATTCAACAAACATGCCTCACAGCATGCATGGTTCATGAAGAACTCCGACTATAATGAAACAACGAAAAATAGATACATCGACCGAAGTGTCTCCTAAATATCCGCCGTATACTCGAAATAGGTTAGCTTGCAGAATGCGAAACACCACAGATGAAGGATGAAAAGCCTGCCTCGCCTTGAAGCAGCCCCAACGGCGGTCCAGAATCAGTGACATATGAGCTGCAAAAGTGCAGATATGATAGGTGCTACTTACGGCAGGAAAAAGAAAGACGGTAGCAACCAGGAGAATATGTCCTGAGGATTGTTCTTTTTTCCTTGGAAGTATCCTCGCATAGGTTGCATTCCATTGAATAAGCAGAAGCAAAGTTCCAAACAAGATTGGAGCTATCCACCGCACGAGTCTAGACCCGCACGAAGCTGTCGAATATCAGTGTTGAGAGTAATTTTGGACCATAGCTGTCAGCCCCAGAATGCATAGATGAAACAGCCGGCCGCAATTTGGCAGCTGGATCCGTATCCCCGCGGCCTTGGGCTCGTGGGTTGCGGAAGAGCTCCACTGTCCGTGCATACTGCTGGTAACGGTGCAGATTATCGAAGCCCTTGAGACACTATATCATTTATGTCTCTAGCTCAGATAGTTTACAGATAATCTTCCATTTTCTTTCAGAAGATCCGCTGGCAATCAACCGTCTCGTCCTATGTTTGGAAGTTAGGACCACAGTCTATGTATCCACCTCCCCGCATGCCTGACGGACTCCACTTTTCCCGATCCAGGTGGATCCTTCACAACTGATGACCTCAGAACGTTATCGATGAACGACGTGAAAAGCAAAGAATTATGCTTTGGCGAGACTGGAGACCCTCCTGTCCACATTGCATAAAATTGTTCAAGGCAACGGGGAGATCATGTTACTTTCCACAGCGCAGTTGTCTTGAACCTAAATGGCATAGGTTGCAGTCGCGTCACGAAAAATGTGATCTATCATGTCCAGGAAATTAGCACAACAGTGGCATCGAAGCTAATCAAAGACTAGCATCTAGCAAATACGGCGTAGTAACAAGACACTTTAAAACAAAAGGTATCCGATGACCAATGCCCAATATTTCTGATCGGTCAGGCAGGTATGCGTCGTGCTGACTATCTTGAACCCCAGTCGCATAGTTACTCAATCTCTTTGCTACAACGTACTTTGAAAGTGCCATGACTGCGTAATCTTGGCCTGACGAACTATAATGCTGTTCTGAATTCCCTTGCTGATTGTGGGAGAACAGGGAAGCGATGCAACTGTGGAGGAGATATAGGCGATGCAAATTCATGCCTGGGTATATGATCATTGTGCAGGCAAGCTTATCTATAGTATAGCGCAAATCATTACGTGAATTTTATCGAAACAACAATTTAGAAACCTAAAGTGCAAGATTAGCATATTCCACCCGAGACACGCGTAAACCAGAAAGAACAACTCACCTTTCTCTGTGTTACCCTCACCCATACTCTTGCTGCTGCTGCTTCCACTCTGGATAGCACCCAGGATACCATCAATGTAGGGAGCACCACTCCACTTCTGGTGAGTGAGGACCTCGACGCCCATCTCCTTCTCCCGGGACTGGACCAAGCGCACGTAAGCAAGCATGCCCTCATCCTTGAAGGCGCGCGAGAGTTCCGTTGTGATGGTGGCGTTGGTGTGAAGACCGGCCAGGGAGATGAGTTGCAGGACGAATCTATATTGTCAGTTTCTGCATTTGAGTGAGAGGCTCGGAAAGTGTGCTTACCCGTGCTTGGCAAGATCCCAAATGAACGATTTGAGTGAGGCTTCGTCGAAGCCCTGGCCCATCCAGTTGAATGACGGGCTCAGGTTGTACACCAGCTTCTTGCCTGGGAACGCGGCGCGCACCTTGCCGGCGAGACTAGCGGCCTTCTCGACGTTGGGATCGCCGGTCTCGACCCAGAGCAGATCGGCGTAGGGGGCAAACTCCTTGGCGCGCTTGGTCGCTGCGGGGAAGCCGGCGCGGTAGTGGTAGTATCCTTCACGGGTACGGGGGCTGTCGCACGACCAGGCGACGGACGACTTGGTGTAGTCGTTGGCCAAGACACGACGGCGGGAGATGGAGAGATCGGGGTTCTTCTCAACGTGAGACTTGTAGGCATCACGGGCGGACTGGGAGGCACCTTCAGCTGCAAGGTGGGCATCCACAGCTAGGGAAGGTTAGTTGAATCTACAGACAGCGAAGGGTTGTTGACGTACCCTCATCGAAGGTGACTAGCTTGTGCTCCTTCACCCAGTTCACTTCAAAAGCGTCAATCTCAGCAGGAGACGCGCCTTCGCGCTCCATTGCCTGCAGAGTCTCGGCCAAAGGCTCCACCTCTTCCGCAACACCTAGGATGAACTCGTGGTCACGCACATCAATGGCACTGCTGATCAGCTTGCCACTCTCAGAGTCGGTACGAGCAATGACCAGGTTCTCGCAGCCCATCAAATCCCACTGGAAGCGCGCAGCCACTAGGCGGTTAATGTGCTCGCCCATGGGAACAAGCACCTTACCAGCCAAATGGCCGCACTTCTTGCCGCCGTGAAGCTGGTCTTCGAAGTGTACAGCCGCGGCACCATTCTCAGCGAAGAGCTTGGCCAGCTTCAGGACTGCTGAGAGACCACCGTGTCTGTATGATTGACCGAGTCAGCGCTGCAACCCAATCCCATGGCCGAGAAAGGAACATACCCGGTATCACCATCCGCAACGATCGGGCGCATATAGTCCACGTAAGGGGTGTCCTTGCGCTGCTCGGGAGTCAACTTTCGTCGCACATCCCACTGCTTCCGGTCGTGCATCTGCTGCGCCTTGAACAGGCGCTGCACCTGGTTCGGCACTGTGTTATAAGGGTAGTCTCCGAAATCCGGGGAGACTTCGTTGGTGGTGGTCAATAGTGACGAGCATGCCCAGCCGGAAATATAGAGAATCTCCTGGTTCGGAGCTTGCTGGGTCATCTGGACGGGGTCAATGGCTCCCACTAGTCACGTCGCAACCGTTAGCCCGAGCGGTAAGTAACTCGACCGGCATAGCACAGCGCTCTAAACAACTCACTTGTATGCACCGGCTCTCCAGCTGCCGCCCGCTCATTCAACAAATTGAACAGTTTCCGCGCCATGAGCGAGCTAGGATACGTCTGCTGCAGCGAGCCGCGCTTGCTCACGACATCCTCGGCAGAGTAAGGCCGCTTAATTCCCTCGTAGCGAGGCGAGCTCCACCAAGCTTCCACATCGCGCACCTGCTGCTCATACAAGGCATCCTCCGCAGGCCCGGCCTTGTCTGCTGTAGACAGCAGCTGGTATGCGTCGGAGGGCAGTGTCGTGGACACGGGCGGGTGGACGGCGGGCGGTGATGACATCCGAGGGTAACCGCACGTGAAGGAGCGCAAGACGAGGCGTTTCGGCGCAGTTGCAAGGGGTAGCTGCCGCGGGAGTCGTCGCGGGATCGAACGAAACATTATGTATGTGTGTGATTGAATTCGGCGACGCTGTGTGGGCCGAGTTAAGGAGAAGGAAAGAAGGACCGATTTAAAAGGTGGGTGGGTGTTTATTGCACGGTCAACCTCGGGCCGCGAGACGACTCTGGGGTTTTCCCCACGCCTCCGATAACCGCTACTTGACTAAGCACTGGGCCAGGGAGACCAGACCCTCCAGGTTTCTGAGTGGTCGGAATTTGCGGCGAGAGCGGCTGTTGCGGGAGTCAAGCAAGGATGGTCCATATGTGTCATGGAACATGATCGACTTGGGAATTATCGGATGATGCATTCCGGTAGGCAGTCTCGCTTGGAAGTAGTCTCTGTCATAGTCTTTCATTTATTGAATCAAGCCCAGTGGGTCGGCATATTCTACTGACTAAGAAATGCCCGGCTGGCCGAGGCTGGCGGCCCAGACGAAAGCTTGGCATCAATCAACATCACAACGTCTATTGCTTCTCGTTAACAGTTCACCTGGTGAAATCAACAACAGGACTCATCAATGGACTCCTACCACTGAGGATAACCACTGAAGCTAAACATGGAATATCACAGTCTATCCCAAGCCGCTTGCCTGTAGCACCATCGCTCGCACATCAATGCCCTCAGCATTTCTATAGGGGCCAATCCAATCAGAACCTCGAGTGCTGAAAAGCCGTTCTAAGCTCCAGACCTGCTTGAGGAAGTCCATACGTCTCAAGAGCAAATTTGTCTATTTGAGACAAATCCCGATAGCACAACTACCAACGTCATCTGGAAGAGCCACTACATTAAAAGCCAGCTATTAATGAATACTCGCCGAGAAAAGCGTCTTCCTACATACTCCATTTTGCTACATGGATCGAAAAAGGTTCCAAGAGCATCTCTGTGCAATGACGGGCACAGATTGCAATAAAACCAATATTGTATAATGACACTATCTACCTGACTATCTACACGACTCGCAGGACCAGCCCGCACGCTCTCTCACAGCACTCCCATCCGCTTCTCCTCCCCTCCATCCCCTCTAGTACCTCCAGCGGTGTCTGGGTACCTCCTTCCCATCCCGTCCCGTGATCATCACCCCTCCCCCATAATGGGGGTCAATGACTGGCGGGGGCACGACTATCGGAACGTAGTCGATCATGGGGATTTCCGGTGCAACGGCTTGCGCCGGCAGCACGAAGACGGGAGCGGGAACGTTGGCAGGCATGGCGGCGGGAACAACGGCCATGGTCATTGTCGCAAGGGCGAGGGAGCCTTGCTTGCTACCAACGTGCGCGAGCAGGGCGCGCAGGAGGTCCATCCACTCATTGTCGAAGTGGAGGTTTTTGAAGGCCATCACCTCCGTTGCCAGGGGTGAGTCGCGGATGGCAGCCAAAAGGTGGCGAGAGTAATTTGCCAGCGGGACTGTCTAGGAAAGAGGTTAATCACTGATTACTGACAGGATGGATGAATGTATCGATGCGAGGTACAGAGGTAAACGTACGCGGTGCGCTGGTCTGGACTGCATGAAGGCCGAGCCAGATGAACTCGGGCGTCATGATGATCCGCAGGATGCCCGGCTGCGGGGAGTTGGGGTTGATGACACAGAAGAACTGCGCCATGAGCTCGTTGAGCTCCCAGTCGGTGATGGCGATATAAGGGCCCTGCCCGAGTACCTGCTCAAGCAGTCCCAGGGTTCCCCATTGGTGGAAGTTGTCTTGGGCATACCCACTGACCAGCAGTGAAATATCCCGGGCAGCGAAAACGGGGGTGGTGATATTGGTGGGAGCGGACATTGTAAACGAGGAAATCTTAGAGAAGATAAAAGAGGCATCGAGATGTATGGGGGATGTTTATGTTTTGATGCCCACGGATTTCAGGAGAGACAAGAAGGCAGATATGGAAGACGTGCTGCCCTAGATATGGTGTCTAGCTTGATACCTCCGGTTTTGTATAGACTTTGGAATTCTGCCTTTTTGGAAGTTGTAGGCTTCCCTGCTGCCATCAAGTGCCTGCCTTCATGTTTCTGCCTCAGAGTCTCCTCGTCCATATCAACATGTCTACCTCCATGTTTCTGCCTACAAGACTCTCACTCTATTCTTCTGGGTAGTCAACAATCCCAACACGAGAGGCATCAATATCTCACCATGTCTGCTGCCTCATTCTGCTCCTTCATGCTGTGGAGCATGAGGGCATAAATATCTCCCCAGAAATCTGCGATACTTTCCTTCTCCTTCTTCTCTCCAAGAAAAACCGACATGTCGAACACCTCCGCCAACATCCCTTCTTTCTCCCGGTCTGATATCCAGCTGCTGGTCAGCGGATACAGACGGGGCGGCCTTCATCTCTGGGGGCAAGTTGGCCTGTTCACGCAGGTGCTGGGGCTGGGCCCCATGAACGACAAGTCGACCGCTGTGGTGGCGTGGGAGCTCTCCGAGCTCATGGGGCATGTGGTCTGCGTCGTTGACCCTTGCTCCGCCGCGCCTTGGTACTTGCGCATAGTCCTGACGCCGGACTTCATCTTCCTGGGCCTTCACTGGGCCGGTTCCAACTCGCCTGGTACGTATCATCTTATCTCACTTTAATCTTGATTAGAGATGAGGTCTCATCGGTGCTGCCCTGATATCAAACTCACTTTCGCTTTATCTCACTTTCGCTTTATTGCTGGTCTTTGTTAACCATCTATTCTTCAATATCAGTTTCCCTTGGCGACTACTACCACTCCCTGGTGGATGCCATCCGACATCGACCCCTAGCCATGGGGGCGATGGCATGCCAGCAACTGGACTTCGACCAGGAGTGGCTCGACCTCCTCCGCGCTCTGGACGGGCACCTGGGCGGCAAGGCTGGCCACCTTCCGCCCAGCATGCCAACCATTCCTGCCGCCGTGCCGACGATGCTCGCCAATGTCACCATCGTCGCCGCCGCCGCGCCAACCTTTGCGCCGCCTGCCGTCACCATGGGTGACGTGCAAATGGTGGATGCCGGGGTGGATGCCGGGGGTGTGGGAGGAGGAGTTGGGGGGTCCGGTGTGGCCCAAATTGTCACCAGGGACGGCCGGGTGATCACCCCGCAGTGGTCGGCGTCTTTCCCGCCACTGCCGGGTGGTCCTCGGAGGTAGTTGAGGAAGAGGGGGAGAAAGAGGGAGAAGGAGGGAGAAGGGAAAGGGGGGGAGGAGGGTGGTGGATGTTGTTTGATTCTTGTGTAGATAGACACTGCGAGAGATCATTTGTTCGAGGTCCTTGTTTCTTATGCTGGTCATAAGAATTGTGGATTTCGATATCTCGTGGTTACCCATGGTTTTGGATATTTTTTTTTGTCCATGGATGTTTTATTGAGCGGGCGATTTCGTCTTTTTTTGGTCGCTTTCAATGCTATGTATATGGTTTCGACTTTGACTTGCAGTTTCAAGTCAATCTTCGAATCCATATTTGATCCCATATTTGATTCGTCATCGTTTCATGCTCTGTATTCATTGTATGTGTCTTTATATAAGACCATGGAATAGGCAGTTGACAAACGATCCAGACCACGAAAAAGGTCGGGCTGGACTATCGAGGGCTCCGGTATCTTTAGGACTTACATTCGGAGGGCTCGGGGTTCCCCGCACGTCGACCGAGATCTGGCATATTTCTCCACTCTGGACTCTGGGCTCAACGGAAAATGGACGGACTTCCTTGATGATCGACTTGATACGAGTACATCGGAGATGTCAGTATAAAAGAGATGGTTTCGGTTGTATTCTGAGTTGATCCGAGTCTCTCTTGATCCAAGGGTCTAGAATTCCGATGGGCCCAGTCTTTCACGCTGGTCACGAGGACAGTTGAATGTTTATAGCGGAAGGGCACGGGCCCTTTCCAGTCCACTCGATTGGAGTCCGGGACTTGGTACTTGGTACCGGACGACTTCCCCCCACAAGCAAGGTCCGCTTGAACACATCATCTCGAGACCGATCCGCCGTGTTTGATACAGATGAAGTGATAGCCCAGTCTTGGCATCTACGGTCCCTGGTCACTGTTCACCATTCACCATTCACCATTCACCATTCATCTGGTATACTTGCTGCCGCCAGTATACTACTAGCTGAGCGTGAGCAACGAATCCCCAGCAGGATCCAGGTCCACGACGGTACGATACTTGACCCCTCAGCCGGCTCCAGCAGGGGTTCTCCAAAGATCGGCAAACGGCAACCGGCAGCGACAAACCCAAAATTGCCAACCCCCCGCAGATGCGCCTTATCATCGCATTCTTCCCTGTACCTCCCCGGCCTGGTGCTTCCCTATCACCCTATCGGCCTATCGTCCTATCAATCCTTCTGCAATCATCAGATCACCTGCCCATCCATTCGCTGTCCTCGCCGTCTTATCTTCCTCCTTCCTCTTCTCGTCACCCTCGTAACTCTTCCCCTTCTTCAGAGCCGCTTCCCAAGGATCATCCTCTCATCTTTCCTCTCATCTCTCCTCCTCCCATCAATATACCGATCATCGCCTTGGTATGGAAACAATCAAAATCCCATCCCCCTCCACGATTCTAGACTTCCCCGACCCCCTCCCGGTGTCCACGCGGGGAAAGCCTGTTTCGCCTCCCAAAGGGACCAAGCAGATCGCCACAGCCTCCCACAAACCCAAGCAGACCAAAAGTCGCAATGGTACGATCTCGTCTCTGGATGCAAATCCCGTCTCACTATGAAAATGAAAGAGAAAAAAAAGAATACATTCATAGGGAGGGTCTAGAGACCATCCCCCACAGCGGGTGGACCCGCCCCAGTTGTCTGCGCAGAATCGCTGACCCGATCTCTATCCGCTCCGCCCAGGTTGCATCACCTGCAAGGCGAAGCGGCTCAAGTGCGACGAGACCAAACCGACTTGTCACCAGTGCCATCGCCGAAAGGTTCCATGTGGTGGGTACAAGAAGGATTTCAAATGGCGGCCCTTTGAGGAGACCAACTTGGCCGTCGGACGACCGACCGCCACAAATGTCAAGAAAGGTATCGGACAGGACGATGATCCTCCGTCTAATCTTGGAATGTGGGATGGACTGGCTAACATTGATATACACTTGTGTAGTGAATGCTCCTTCACAGCAGTCTGTATCGATCGCGAATTCGGAAAACTTTCCCACGCCCCCGACGACCGATCAAGCAGCCTCGCCCATTGTTCCACAGTCCATCTCTTTCAACAACTCTCCGCCGGAATCCTCCTTGCATAGCTCACCTCGAAGCATCAAGAGCTTCTTGTCTGCAGATACCCATTCAGTAGATGACTTTGGTGTCCTCCAGGATGAAGAGTCCACGGGCGAGGAGAATACCCCAATTGGCGGTGTCTCGATGCCGGCGGACTCTGATCCTCTAGACTTTCTTTCTTTCCTTGAACCATTTCAACATTCGGTGCCTTTCTCGGACGACTTGACGTCTGATCATGATCTGAGCCGCTCAGGTCCAATATATTTTGGCCTTGAAGAGTTTGAGCCTGCCCCCGGCACCGGCAACGATGAGCTTAGTTTCTCCCGGTTGCTGGAGGATGACAGCGAGGATATCGAGGAGATCATTAGACAGTCTGAGCCTGGTGCAGGGCCTTGGAACATGAACTTCTCCGGGCAAGACGATAGCCCCTTTAATCAATCTCGGTTCCCCCGTCAGCCTTCCTTGGCGCCAGAAAGTCAAGAGATGTTGACAATGCGGTTCGACAAACTAACCTGCGGGATTCTATCTATCAAAGATGGCATGATGGAAAATCCATGGCGAACTCTCATCTGGCCCCTCGCAAAGAGTACCCCCGCCTTACACCACGCCATCCTCGCCTTATCGGCCTTCCACGCCGCCAAGGAAAATCCATCCCTGCGCGTCCAAGGTGTCAAACACATGCGCCAGAGCATCGTCTGCCTGCGACAACAGATCCAGAGCATGCGAGCAGACACAGCACTGGCGACTAGTCTCGCCCTGGCATTCGCTGATACTTGGGATCAGAACACGCGCACGTGCATCCAGCATCTGCGAGGCGCAAAGGCCTTGATGCTGCAGGTGCTTAATGCAGGTCTTCAGGGTGGTCTTCAGCCAGAGGAGCTGGATCGTATCCGATTCCTGTATAATACATGGACATATATGGATGTTATTGCGCGGCTGACGTCGCTGGATGAGTCTGGGCCGCAGGATTTGAATCCTTCTATTTTCCAATTGCCCACCGATGCGGTGCACGAGATTGACCCGTTGATGGGATGTGCTGCTACGCTTTTCCCGCTCATTGGCAAGGTTGGAAGGCTTGTTCAGCGCGTTCGGAAGACCTCCACCAATTCGGTGTCGATTGTCTCCCAGGCCATGGAGCTGAAGGCTCTGGTGGAGCAGTGGGAGCCTCCGCGTTGGTTTGAACCGCCTGAGGATCCTACATCGGAGGTTCAACACAGCATCCAGATGGCGCATGCATATCGCTGGGCAACCTTGCTGTACCTGCATCAAGCAGTTCCAGAGTTGCCGTCTGAGCCGGCCGAGGAACTAGCCAAGCGTGTTCTGATCTTGTTGGCCACAGTGCCACCCACCTCGCGCACTACTATCATCCAGATGTTCCCTCTTCTAGCTGCCGGGGCTGAAGTAGACTCGGATGATGATCGCAAGTGGGTGCTGGAAAGGTGGGAGGTTGTCCAGTCACGCTTGATGATCGGCGGCGTCGATCGCTGTCTGGATGTTATTCGGGAAGTCTGGGCTCGACGGGACAAACTCAAGGCCGAGCAACGTGAGCAGGAGCAGCAGGAGATGTTTGCATCTCGGCGAGCTGGCTCGTTCTCCAGTGAGAGCAAAGGAAAGCTCACTTCTTCAATTCGAGGAACGACCAATACTGGCAGAGGTTTTCAGCGCGCCAACTCGAGTGATCAGTCTGACAGATCGATGCGGAGACCGTCGGTCTCTAGTACAAGCAAGACTGGTCAGTCAAGGAGGGGGTCTGCTCTCTCATCGCTGGAGAATATTGAGTTTGCGAGGACTATTCGCAGCAGGCTGCATTGGGTCAATATTATGGGCGAATGGGGATGGGAAGGTAAGAAAGAATTGTTGGGAGTGCATTCCGCGAGAGTACACAGCTAAAATTTGACAGTCTTCCTCGGCTGATGTAATGATTCTTGACCGATTATAACCTGGGGTCAACAAAATCACATCTCGACCTGGCGGTTCTACCGCCAATGCAAATCTGCCACGCTCGAGATAAGCCGAGTTCCTTTGAACTTCGCAAGCATACTAATTGATGATTAACGACACAGAATGAGTTCTTTCTTACTGCTGCTGCTATTATCTTGATTTCCTCTTTTCCTGATTTTCAAATTGTACGCTGCAATCTTTCCAAATCTGGATATTGCAGCCAGCGCGGCGTTTCTGGTCTCCCCCTCAGGACTCCTTCGGACTTCTTTACCTTTCCTCCATCCTTCCTTGTCACCGATGTGACTTGGACTTTTATCACGATAGCGTTTCGATCGAAAAGATTGATTTTTTTGGATGAAGATGTGACCCTGTTTATCTAACTGCAGATGCTATGATCTAGGCACTAATAGCCACTCAGTCTTGGCTGATGATGCTGATGGCATCAACCCTATTCATCCATGCACCTGTCACCGAGCAGGATCCAACTCAATCCACTTCAAATACTCGTCAATAAGCGATACCCCAGCATCCAATGCCAGTAAATGCCATTAAGCGCCAATCACCGTCGATGCCCAGACACGCCAGACAACCCATGCGATGCCGACTGTTCTTCATCGTTGCACACCGAGTAAGACTCGTACTTCGATGGTAACTACGGATGCCTACGCAGCTGAAATATTGTCAAATTACAGCCCTGCATCCCCAGATTGAAGCCATAGCGCCTCGCGGTTCTCCTTAGTCAACGTGCCATGTCCGACCACAGAGACCCCGTCAACCCAGCGGCAATCTTCCAACTGCGCTTGATGCCTGCGCCAAGGATGTTGCCAGTCTCTGGGTTGATGAGGGTATCTGGTCTGGACCTAAGGGCGCGTCGCCTGCGTAGATACTTTGTTGCCCGACACGGCTACCAACAGGCTGATTTGTACTTGTATACTACAGCTTGAGAGGATAATCAGAGATAGCCTGTGCTGAACTGTATTGACTGCTGGATGGGTTCAACTGGTTGCCTAAGCTATTTCAAAGTCCTAGGAGACTTTTAATGAAGCTTGGACAACCTGGAATAACATGGAACTTGATTGTTAATAATTGTAGTACATACAAGTCAAGACTCTCCATCTCACAACATAGATCAAAGATGTCGTGTCTCATAGTGGGAACATTTGCAAGTCTTCTGCCGCGGGAAGCCAGAAATTCGGCATCAACATAATATCCCCGAGTCCTTCCGGGATATTTGCGTCGAAGATGGTGCTCGTATCAAATGGCGCATACGTAGTTTGTAGTACATCAAGCATCGGTGAATTGAAGCTTCCAGAACCCACTTCATCAGTGGCTGGTAGCAGTTTGTCGGGCACATCAAGTTCTTCTTGGCTGACCGGCCTGGAATTCCCTCCTGTATCGTGGGAGCTAGAAGAAAGGAAGTCGAATAGTTTAACGGCCCAATTTGCCGGATCCCAGAAATCAGCTGCGTGGTTTAACACAATGAGGCAGTTATCGAGTGATGCCCGGGTTTTTTCAGCCGAGTCGGAATCTGATTGACGCCACTGGCGATAGAAAATGATGCCTGCAAGGAAGAACGCAGGGAATAGTTCGTGTGGGAATCCGTTCAGAGCAGAGTTGGTCATTATGGTGATAGCAGTGGAGGCTATACTAGATGCTGCCGATTCTGCAATCGCTGTGGAACGACCCCTGCTGCAAGGTGTTTGAGATTGGGGTGATGAGACTCTTTCCGGCTTTGACATGTGGAGCAGGATGACATGATGATGGAACATTATCTTGAAAATCACGGAAAACTTGGGCAGGGGCGACGTTTGTTGGTCCCAATTTATCGATTCTGGAAGCTCGGACTGCCAGTCTGACAGTAGTTGATGCAGTTGTGCCACTGTAGCTGTACTTTCCCCCGGCCCAAAACGACTGATCAGTATCCGTCGTAGAAGAAGAGACAACTTGGACATTTGGATCTGGTAATGAGCTGGGTGCTTGCAGTGACAATCAGCTTGTGGCTCATGGGGGCACGTTATGACGCATTCAAAATCCTCGAATGTTAAGGGTTCCGTATCGCAAAGAGACATGTTGAGTCTAAATGAACGGCCGAGCAGTGCAGACGTATATGCGTCTCGTATGACCAGGTTCCACCACACCCGTCTCAGTAAACTCGTCACTTCTCGGAAGTGCGAGTAGGTATATGTGGCAGCCCGATGTAGACCAAGCGACACAGCAATCGTCACTCCAAACCCGGTCCAACTTCCCGGGTTCCAATAGCTGTGTATATGCGGACCGAAGAAGCTAAGCATCAGGGCTGCTTGGAGTAAAACAATCTTATCAGAGTGATAGCCCACGGTAAACAAGACCTTGGCCTTTTCGTAGTAGAACTGCCGTGTTTCGAATCTCGATTTGAATCCCGATCGATGGATGACTGCATCGTCGCAGAACGTAGCACCAATGAAACAAACGGCGTGAAGGATTATCCATGGGAGTTTTTGTTCACGATAATCTCTTTCCAATTGAGACTTCTCCACTATAGAACATAGTGGATGGAATCTTTCAAAATAAGCCGAGATGAGCGCATCCGATATAGCCTCATCGGGGTAGTCAAATGCGCCCTTTGCCTTCAAGTATGCGAGGTCTGTTTCTGACAGATGTCTAGGTGGTTGAGCGGCTATACCTAATGAGGCAGTCTCATCATAGATTTGGCGACTCGCGCTGTGCAGCTTGGGTCTTTCAGCGTATTGCAACTCTTCGAGAGCGAATGTCAACGGTGACGGTTCGCCAAAGACTACGATCCCAGGCCTTTCCGATTTGTGTGCGTTCTGTTGTCTTAAGAAGGCCTCGAACATACCAACCAGCGATTTCTCTGGTGGTTGCGACCCTCTTGATGCAGGAGTGTGATCAAAGATTCCCCCGAAAGGCTCCGAATCTTCCGAGGTATTTCCCGGGAATTGAGTTGGCGATTTATGTGACGAGGGAGGGGTGTTGAGGTTTGGGAATTCCTCTGGCTGAGAATCACCACTTGAGCCATCCATGCGTATTATATTGACCTCATCTAGGCCTATATGTTTCCTTTGTGTCCCGCCAGTCGCATTGATATGTCGGGCCGATCTGTCCTGCCCAGGTAATCCGCCCATTTCAGAACGTCTTCGGGCTTTCTTTCTATCATAGATTCCCCTCCTGGAAATTATCAATGCACAGTCGTCAATTTGATCCATGCGGCATCGGCTGCAGGGGAGTCCTGATTGCACTGCGTCGCATTTCACTTTGCGTTGATTGCATCTGTGACAGGCCTTCGAGGCTCTGTATTGTCCTCTCGGATTCCCGTCCGACATATTGAGTAGGATTGGGACTGAATGAGTCGAGGTGGTTGGTATGAACGAAAAAGATACTCGGATTCGCCACTTCAATAGAGATACTGAACACTTGAAATGACTGCAGAACAACGTGAGTTATCGGACGCTGTAGGGTAGCGATCGAAACTTTACCTCAAAGCTCCACGTGATCTAGAGATAGCTAACTGACTAGTTAGTTGGATACAATCCACGACGCTGACTAAACCAAGTCCAAGTTCCAAGGAATTTAGGTTTGCGCTCTTGCTACCTCCTGCTCTGTCGGAATGCATTTTGTGGAGTACGCAAGTTGCGTGCCAAGATGACCCATCCATATAGCCGCGGCTACTACGGCTATCTACTTGCCGATGACCCACTCCGGCAACTATACCGGGTTTGTGAAACAACTTGGGCCTCATTGCTACTCAGCGTCCGGTGATTACTTTCCAGGGAGATGCAGGCGGGGTAATCATGGGAGCAGAAAGTACGCGGGGAAGTGCTCCTGTCCTGAGCGTTATACACCAGTGCTTGTAGCCGTATTTTGCTTATATAGAACAGTGCCAGAAGTTAATAGCCCTTTAGCTGTCTGCGCATTCGTCGAAAAAATCGGTTATCATCTTTTCTCCTATTCATTCAATCAGAACCTTTCCCTCCCTGTGCCTCACTATGGGTTCCTTGGACCACACCATTCACTCAAAGGTGGATGCGATCGTTGTTGGTGCGGGGTTTGGCGGGATTTACATGTGTAAGAAGTTGGTTGACCAGGGTCTCTCGGTCAGATTGATAGAGGCCGCATCTGATATTGGCGGTACTTGGTATTGGAACCGATATCCTGGAGCCATGAGCGAGTATATTCATTCCGACCCTCTCGAAAGTTGCTTGGCCATTAACAAAGTATAGCACCAACTCCCACTTGTATCGCTACTCATGGGACAAGGAGGATCTCCTGAAGTATCCATGGTCGCGCACCTATCTTCGTCAGCCTGAAATCCTGAAGTACTTGGAGCACGTTGTTGAACGCCACAACCTTCGTCAGCACATGCAGTTCAATACGATGATGACCGGCGCGGAATGGAACCCCGAGACCAACACATGGACCGTCCAGACCAGTACCGGTCCAAACCTGGAGGCCAATTATCTGGTCACAGGAGTTGGCCTGCTCTCGAAGCAGAACTTCCCGGTTTATCCAGGTATCGATAAATACAAGGGCAAGCTCTACCACAGTGGGGCATGGCCCAAGCAGTATGACTTCAAGGGAAAGCGTGTTGGAGTTCTCGGAAACGGGTCCACGGGTGTTCAGATCATCACCGACATCGCCGATTATGTCAAACAGCTGGTCTGCTTCCAACGCACACCTCAATACGTCGTTCCATCGGGAGATAAGGTTGCCACACCCGAGCATCGTGCCGAAGTCAATGCGAATTACGATGCGATCTGGAAGCAGGCTAAGGAGAGTGCTTTTGCCTTCGGCTTCGAGGAAAGCACCACACCTCTAATGAGCGTGAGCAAGGAAGAACGCGAAAGAGTGTTTGAAGACGCATGGCAGAAAGGGAATGGATTCCGGTTCATGTTTGGCACGTTCTCTGACATCGTGACCAGTGAAGAGGCGAACGAGGAAGCTGCCAAGTTCATCCGCAGCAAGATTCGGGGCAAAGTCAACGATCCAGAGAAGGCTCGCAAGTTGACACCAACCGATTTCTACGCAAGACGTCCTCTGTGCGACGCTGGGTATTACGAGAAATTCAACTATGACCATGTCGATATCGTTGATCTCAAGGAAGCTCCCATCACAGAATTCACCGAAAAAGGCATCAAGACTGCTGATGGGATTGAGCACGAGCTCGATGCGATAGTCTTTGCCACAGGCTTTGATGCCGTTGATGGTAATTACACTAGCATTTCTATCAAGGGAAAGAATGATGAGACCCTGAAGCAGCGTTGGGCCGATGGTGCGACCTCGTACCTTGGACTTTCTGTTCCCGACTTCCCCAATCTGTTTATGATCCTGGGTCCCAACGGGCCCTTTACAAACCTGCCACCCAGCATCGAGACACAGGTTGAATTCATTGAAGAGCTGATTGCGCGTAGCTTTGGGTCATCTGCAGAAACTGGCAGCAATCGCGTCATCGAAACGACTACTAAGGCCGAACATGATTGGACAGAGATGTGCGATAATATCAGCAAGGATAGTCTATTTCGAAAGGCCGATTCCTGGATCTTTGGTGCCAATGTCCCAGGAAAGAAGAAATCGGTCCTCTTTTACTTCGGAGGATTAGGACAGTATCGCCAAGTTCTTGACGCTGAGGTCAAGAGTGGATACAAGGGATACCATTTTTACTAAGTCAGAGATTCAATGATATGAGAAGGCATAACAGTGCTTCGATACACTGGGTACTGCGCAATTGTGATAACTCTTTGAACATTAATTTTGTTTACCTGGGTGGCCTGGAGAGGGTAGCTTGTATTAGAATGCATTTCCGTATATGATGGACGAATTGAAAGAGTAAATAATACAACCCTGACCTTTATATCCTACATATCTTGGGATGATTAGAAATGAAGTAACAGCGATTATTCGATTACAGAGTTTTGAATCCGAGTTGTGGGGAAAAGTCGAACGACAATTTAGCAATCACAACTCTCTATTATCCGGATAGCGTTGCTCGCAGCACCTAAGGCGTCAAAATCTTGTTATCTCAGAAGATAGTAGTACCGAATAGGTTGCATTGACGGAGAACGTTTCCCGGAGATACTTGTCAACTTGATTTGCCGCTAGACTTCAAACTATCTATTCATCGTCGCCCCAACCACCCAACTTATTCGCCACAGTTGCAGGATCGGCCCACTTGTCGAGGTGTGCTCTGGCCTTGAATTCGTCTCCCACGAATTCTACAACAGTTACCACCGCTTGCTTCAGATTCATCAACAAAGTTATCACTCTTCTCATCTTCTCGCTCTGATCATCCGTCCCTCTTGCACCTAGCAAACGGCCCATTCCTCTCAAATGCCAGTTTCCTGGGCCTCCCAACCCCAGACAGGAGATCGAAGAGTATACCACCGCCTCAGTCTCGAGGGGTGTCAATACCTCAAAGTCTGAGAGGTAAAGGCCGTAGAGGGTGTACATCTCATTAAATTTGACATCTTCTCTGTGGCTTCCGAAGGACTCGAAGATATTCTCCAAGAGCGGGGCGCCGTAGATCGTGTTGATCGTCGCTTGACCTCGCTCGTAAATAGCAGGGACCTTCATTTTGTCAGCCCTCCTAATCAAAGAAAATTTTGTTAGCTAATTGAATTTGATCGAATAAGCAGACAGGAATAAGAGTCTCAGACCATTTCTCGCTCAGGGCGCTCGAAGCAGCTCTCGACTTGACATCGCCTTCCGCAGCCGCAAGTGGGATGAGCACTGAGAGGACTTGCGGACCTCCAACGATAGCGAGGAGCTTCAAAATTACATCTCGTAGTCTTTGACTGAGATATTCTTTGGATTTTTCCGAGCTGAAGGATGGGTCATTCTTGGTGAGGTATGTGTAAAACGCCGCGGGTGCGCTTGGCACTGGGGACACGCCCAGAGCTGCAGCCTGAAAGCGACGGGAGTCAATAGGATGAAAGTTTTTATGGGTATTAGAGTAGAGATTCTTACAATCACGAGGTACCAGGACTCTTCTCCTATTTCATGTGGAACTTGATCCTTCACCTGCCGGCATAGGTCTGCCCATTGTTGCTCGTTGCGGTCCATATGGAAGAATAGAAGATTGCGTTTGGTATTGATGGCGTGTAAAGTAAAAAAAGGGATCTGAATAGTCGAAATCCGTCCAGGGTGATGATCGTTTTGGTAATATGAAGGAACTCCTTAGTGTGTAATTTAAATGATTTGGTGGATATAGGTTGGCATGGCTGAGAGCGTCATCTCCATAGTTCAAGAGCCCGCGGCTTCTTCACCTCACACCCATAGTATGGTCTATCTATGGTCGTGGCTTGGCGTTGCCATCGGCTATTCTTATCCGGCCCGCTGCCCTGCTGCTCCATGCATAATGAATAAGAACATAGAATCATAAACCCAATAGCCATGGAAAGTTCCCATATATCCTAGTCCCATCACCCTCTTTTAGTGCTGGAATACCGGATGTCGACCAAAGTCGACAAGTGGATGTCCTCTCGGTTCTGACGGCAGGTACGGGTACTATTTAACACGTGAAGTATGAATGGAGGTAATCATCTCATGTTTTTTAATCACTCTATTTTCCCAGTAACTTTCTGTCTTGTTCGTCGTCCCTGCGAATCTGTCTCAGCCCTTCCTTGATCGACATATAGATCACCTGGGGTTTACATCTACTAAACGACAAGCGAGAAAGAAAAATTGGTCTCCGCGTGCTTCACATTCAACTTCATCAAGCAAGATGGCCGACATATCTTGGGGCTATATTGGCCTGGGGAATATCGGTATGTACACATTTTGCATAACCCCGCCTCTATTTTGTCTGGAACCTCGTTGTAAATATTGTGCTCATTCATTGTCATGAAAACAGGATATCCCATCGCTTTCAATATTCGAAAGAAAATGCCAGCCTCCCATAATCTGATTGTGATGGATTTAAACAAGGAAGCAGTGAACAATTTCGTGGAAAAGATTGCCAGTTTTGCGAAGAGCGGGGACGGCGCCAGTTCAATGCTCGTGGAAACTTGCGATAACGCTAGAGAGATTGCGGCAAGATGTGTAAGATTATGCTTCCAGTTTATGAATCGGGGTATTCTCCTCATTTAACAAAGAATGGCCTGGTAACTGACAATCACCTATGTAGTCAGTGCTTATCACTTGCCTCCCATCACCAAAGGCTGTCGAGGTTGTCTTCAATTCCATAGTTGGAGATGGCAAACTTCCACCGTTGCAGCAAGAGCGCCTCTTTATCGACCTCTCCACAATCGACCCTCAGACCTCTCAAAATGTCGCCGCACTCGTTCATGACTCAAAAGCTGGTCAATACGTGGACGCACCCGTATCAGGCGGCGTGACTGGAGCTCGTGCGGGTACCTTGTCACTTATGTTCGGCGCTCCTAAAATAGATACATTACTTGAGCGAATTCGTTCTGTCTTGTTGCTCGTGGGTGATAAAGTTTGGCATATGGGTGAGCAAAGTGCCGGAGTTCGCGGCAAGATTGCCAACAACTACATCCTGTGCATCAACAACATCGCCACGGCAGAGGCAATGAACATGGCAAGACAGTGGGGCCTTGATGCCAAGGTCCTCACCGATATGCTCAAAGTTTCGACTGGGCGTTGCTGGCCGGTGGAAGTTAACAACCCCGTCCCTGGCGTGAATAAGGATGCCCCCGCGTCCAAGGATTATGAACCGGGTGGCACTGTGGCCATTGTCAAGAAGGATCTTGAATTGGCGATTATTGATGCAAAGGCATCTAATGCTGCTCTAAAACTAGCAGAAGCGGCATGGGAAGTGTATGATGCAGTGGAGAAGGAGCACCACGGAAAGGACTTTTCCATTGTGTACCAGTGGTTGCAGACACAGGCATGATCTTAGTATATGCTTTCTTTTGGCCTTTCATATATTCGCAAATCTGGATATAATAAATTCATTCAAAAGAACCGTCCAAAGTAAATCTGGCGATAAATAGACTGCTTGATAAGGGTGAGCAGATATAACAGCACGGACGGGTGGATTTTCCCTACTGAGAGACAAACTGCCAGGGTTGCTGGACGCGCAGAACCTCTTAAGGTCGGCAAAATACCAGTGAGATTAGGGACCTTTAACAATATAGTCGATTGAATGGATGATCGGTCCGAGTTCGCATCAATTCTTAGTCTTTGTATTATGCACAAGCACTTGGCACCGCTTTTCCCCTACTCGTAGTATTCTTTGGCTAATTTATAACACATTCCAACTTCCTTGTCGTGTCCAAAGATTAATTTCGCGTTAAAAAGCCGCTGTAGTCTCCGCACCAGGCTCAAACTCCGGTACCACGCGTTGTGATCCCTTGCCAACCCGCCGTGGGGTTGTCCGAGGTCATAGTTCTCTCTGACATGGAACTGACCAGTCGTCCAGATAAAGGTTCCATCATTCTCCAAATTGATCTGCAACCCACACAGGCCCGGGGTGTGCCCCGGCAGATGGTGAATTGAAATTCCTTGAAACAAATCCAGGGTGGATTCATTAAAGGTTTTCCAGTTCAACTTCTCCAGATCAATGTAGTGTCCCATATAGACACCCAGATCGGCACCGGTCGCAACCGCCCAGCAGGCGTGCTTGAATTCTTCCTCATGCGTGTAGATAGGAACGTCGGTTCCAATAAAGTGTTCTAGCCCGCCTGCATGGTCTAAGTGGAGATGGCCCATGATGACCGCTTTAACATCTTCGATGTTGTTTCCAGTCTCCTTGATTGCGGCGGGAAGTTTTTGATTCTCACGGTACTGGGTGCGTGGGAAGATGTCGGTGATTGGGGCACCCCATTTCTACATAGTCCATCATTGATTAGAAAATGAGTTGGCCAATAGTTCAAGTTCATACAAACCACATCGATATCCTCAGCACACCCTGTTTCAAACAAAATGAGTCCTACCCCAGGATAGTCGATAAGAGCGGACAGGACCATCAAATCACGACGTTTGTTTTCTGGGTTCAAGTTGCTCACACAGCTTGCGTTAGCCCCTCGGAGAAGCCTGTATTAGGGTTGTCTCAGCAAAATCCCGATGATCACGACACTTTTGGCTAGCTTACCAAGACTCATCGACTTGTAAGGTTCCAAGATCGAGGATATGCATCTTTGTTCCGGGGGGCATTTGAATGCCGGCACTGCCGCATTAGCGAGCAGCGCGATCTGATCAGGCCTGGCAGTCATGATTTGGAGCTGAAAATTTGCTAAGAGTGAGATCCAGGTTGAATTTTCATTCCGTTTGGGAATTTATTTCTTAGCTTGTTGAGAGAAGTTTATCCCCAGTTCCCCAGACAATCGGCTTCGGCTGTGATTTACAATCTCCAACTCCACAATGGAACCTTCTTGAGAGCCCGCGGCTTCTTGTTCTCAGAACCGCAGTTCAACCCCGGATTAGATGCCACAGGAGCGCAACCGAATGCGGGGATCTGGGGCCCCGGAATCAATTGGTTGGGTTCTGCTTGACTATGCATCCTCAGGTTACCAGTACCAAGTATAAAGTTGGCTCCGTGCTGTTCGATTGATATTTTTCTTTCCTTCTCAAGCTCTTCAATTGGCACACCTTACTTGGATTTGATTATTTTCTCTTTGCCATTTTTCACCTTTCTTTTGATTTAGGAATCTTTCCCTGTCTTGCGAAGTCCGCACAAGGGAAATCTTTCGGTGGGAACAGACAGTGAAATGGCTTCAATTAAAGATAGAGAGGAACTCGTGGAACAAGACAATGCGCTTATTGAATCCAGAACTCAGGGGGATAGCAACGGCTTCGATCTCCCCCCTGAACATAAGCAATATCTGCTCCAGCGACATGGGACCGCCAACCTCGATCCTGTGCCGCAGCCAGACGATAATGATCCATACAATTGGCCCTATGGGAAGGCAAGTCCAAGTGCAATACCCATTCCTCTCGTACCACTAGACTAACCCAATATCCAGAAAATGACGAATCTCATCCTTGTCAGTTTTCATGCGAGTATGGCCACATTCAGCGCCGCTGCAATTGTCCCCGCCTTTCAACAGATGGCAGACGATCTGCATACCTCTCTCCAGACAGTTACGTATCTCACAACTGTTCAAATATTGTTCCTGGCATTTGGGCCACTGTTATGGAGACCTTTTGCCAATACCTACGGTCGGCGGCCATTGTTTCTCCTCTCCCTAGTTGGCAGTTTAATTTCCAATGTGGGTTGCGCCAAAAGTACTTCTTACGGGACCATGTGCTTTTGTAGAGCTCTGGTGGGCTTTTTCATGAGCCCTGCCGCAGCAATTGGCAGTGCAGTCGTCACGGAAACATTTTTCAAAAAGAACAGGGCTCTATACATGGGATTGTGGACCCTCATGGTAACACTTGGTGTTCCCTTTGCCCCTCTCATCATGGGCTTTGTGTCTGAACGTGTTGACTATCGTTGGATCTACTGGATTCTTGCAATTGTCAGTCCACCTATCTGAACCGATAGGACTATTCATGTCTCTAACGTTCGGGTTCCATAGGCCAATGGAGTCCAGTTGATAGCTTATCTCTTGTTCGGGCCTGAAACTCGTTATATCCCCGGCAAGGTCGTTCAGAACAAATCGTCCTTCAGAAGACAATATCTACACTTTGAACGCATTGACCCTCGCCCACTCACCATTCACGACTTCCTTCACCCTCTGACTCTATCGCGGAAAGTCTGCGTGGCGCTCCCAGGCCTGGCCCATGCCGTAACATTCATGTTCGGCAATACACTTGTCGTCGTGGAGCTGCCGGCGCTCTTCGGTGAAAAGTTTGGCTTCAACTCGGAACAACTTGGACTTCAATTCATCGGACTTATCGTGGGATCTGTGCTTGGTGAGCAGATCGGTGGGCGCTTTAGCGACTTCTGGATGAGGCGAAGATCGTGGAAATTGGGTACAAACGCTGCACCGGAACACCGGCTGTGGATCGCCCACCTGGGATTTGTCCTTGCAATCGTTGGTCTGGTTGTATTCCTGGTAAGGACAGAACAGGCATCGGCAGGTCATTGGAATGTTTTGCCAGTGATTGGAATCGCTATTGCGGGGGCTGGCAATCAGATAGTTACAACGGTTCTCATCACATATGCGATCGACTGTTACCCGGAGGAGTCTGCGAGCATTGGGGTTATCATCACTTTGATCCGCCAGATTTTGGCGTTTGTGGGCCCATTCTGGTATGGACATCTAATATACCAAGCGCAATGCTCTCTTGTTCCATATTCTGACTATTCCAGGTTTACTCCAATGTTCAGTAACGTTGGCGTTGCCCCGTGCAGTGGCATTGTAGCTGGCTTGATTGTTGCACTGAGCATCGTTCCCATTGGAGTTTTACAATGGCAGGGTTCTAAATGGCGAGAAGGGAAGATTGCCTACACGATTGATCAGGAGTCAGGTAGCTGAGGTTTGGGTTACAGATCTAACTATGTTAAAGAAAGCTATCAAATAATGACAAATATCTGCAATTCTTTTTAGCCTTTATGATATATTATAGTCTACTATCGTTACGCAGACATTTCCTCATCGTGAATGCAAAATAAACTTCTAAGTTTGATTTCCCCAAGTTTGCTCACTGAGGGAGGTCGACAAATATAATCCTAGTATACGTGTCCTGTGTTTTATGATGATCCAATATTGAATTGTCTCACAGAAATAGACAAAAAAATTTGTATAAGCCGTATGGGATGTACTGGCATGTATAGGAGTAGTAGGTGGTATACGCAGAATTAGTAGATTCTGGAGCGGATCGCCTCTACTGTACACGGGAGGGTATGTAGTAATACTTCAGTTATATAGCTTACCTATTATATAGGATGCTTGATTAGTCTAATTTATACTGAATATAGCTTACTCCAAAGCTTTGTCTATTATCGGTTTATACTTGGAGTTTATTCTCCTCCCTTCTTAATTTTTTCCCCTACTATTGCGGAGGTCGAGCTAATGATCGACAACTCTCGCCGTCGATCTCTAAATAATTCCTAGATGATATCTTTGAACCAATCGCAGATCCTCTATTACCGTGATGGGCCCCTTGCAGTTCGAATTCCGACTCGTTTGGTAACCTCTGTTGAAGTCCCGGCCACGACGGCCCTGCTGATCCGGCTCCCGATGCGTTGTACTTGGACTTTTGCCTCTGTCCTTTAAATAGTCCGTACAAGACGGGCGCATTGGCAACAACAGCGGCAGCAAGTAGCTCAACGGATGCCCAAGTCGTTCTATTCACTTGTGCAGTGGCATTTTTAGCGTTTTGAGGTAGTCGAGCGATTGTGATAGCGACGATGAAGAGACCGACAGTGAAGAGGGCTGCCAGCTGGAATTTCCTAGAGAGAATGCGTTAAAGAGGGGTATATGATCATGGAAGTTAGGTCAAGCTTACTCAACAATAGATCGTTTGACCAGAACTAGAATTGGAATCGGCATAGCGATAAGCATAACGTCGGTGATGATATTGAGGACACCTAATTGAAGAAACGAGGATGTTAGAGGTATTATATTGAAACTACCATTCCGGCAGACATACCGAGAACAATCAACTGAAGCTGTGCCTGGCAGCATGTGCCTGAAGTTCTGTTAGATGGTGAAATGGGCACGAAAAGTGAAAGGCAGAAGGGCATACCAGGATCCGGCAACACAATCCAGTAATGGTTGAAGGGATCGCACTCCGTAAAAGTCACGATCTGTACAGCTACATAGGTCGCTGCAAAGATGCCAATATATGAGATCATCGTCATCTTCTCCCAGCGAAGGTTTGTGTGCAGTCTGCGATAGGTATCCAGCAGAACCAGCTTTTGCAACCAAAGACTAGAAAGGAATATGAGAAAAAGAATAGCCCCGTCGACCGTACGTTTAGTCCCACCGACGACGTACTAGGAATTATAGAATACTCGATTAGTGAGCACAAACTTGCTTGCGATTTCTCTGCGGCGGATCTCTTCGGGTGTGAAATGGTGCGTGTGTCTGAACGTGGTAGTCATATTGTTGGTTCCCCAGATGAGAACGACATGGACCAAGGCGAGGCGTACGAGCGCACAGAGAATTGCCCCCATTGAGAAATAATCGCCCATGATGAACTGCAATCCTTTCAGTTTGCGCACCAGCAGTCGAAGGAGTATCAAGCCGATTGCGGCCCAGGTAAACACCCAGAGAATGATCAGGGTGGTGGAATCCATTGCTTTCGAAGGTAGGCTGTGAGAGCCTCCTCAAGGAGAAGGGAAAAAAAAAAAAAAGGATCGACAGGACGAACAGACTGAGACGAAATGAACTTTATTAACTGGTAATGGGATGCAGGAAGGATTGGGTCTGCTATGCCAGGTCTTCTCAAGAATTATAGGCCCCTCAACGGACTGACTAACTCCACCATGAAATCGAGGTTTCATCTCATTAATAATATTTACTAGCATTGAGAGAAGCGAGGGAGAGAACAGTCCAGTCTTGAATAATAATCTCTCGTGTTCATACCTGGGAGTAGAGTACGCGATCTTTAAGGTTTCGCCAGGAAGAGTCTACGGATCACAACCCGTTTATCCTCGTGTTTGGGTCCAATCGGCATGAGTCCGCTGAGGATCGCACGGCTCGGAGAAAAGTCGGTGAAACTTGCCGATCCTTTTAAGAAGGTAAACAGTGAAACACTGATGTGCCGTTCCTTTAAATTAACCAATCCAAGCAGAACTTCCCTGTCCCTGATGAACTTTGTTCCCCAGATCAAATCCCCCTGTCTTGCCATCATCTCATCATCAAAATGCATGTCAAGACAGGATTATTATTGATTGCCTCGGTAATTGCTGCTACGGCTTCACGAGGATGGTGTGGCGAGGTGCCAGCCCAGCGATCATACATGTATGTGGGAGGTCAATATATTCAGAACAGTGCTGGCGAACATGTCTTCGCGGATCAGATGTACGTGGAAAAGTTGACCCCAGCTGCGGGTGTGACCAAGCCTCATCCAATTGTCTTCATCCATGGACAAGCTCAAACAGGCACAGTAGGTATCAATGACGGCCCTTTCCCCCTTCTTGTGGCAGACAAGATTGACCATGATCTCGTTAGAATTGGCTCAACAAGCCTGATGGAGGGGAAGGCTGGGCCTCTTACTTTCTCTCTCAAGGATATGCATGCTATATCATCGACCAGACCTTCCGCGGCCGCAGTGCCTGGTTCCCTGGTAATGGGACGTTGAGCACGTATAGCGCCGAGCTGTTGCAGCAACGCTTCACCGCGCCGCAGCTATACAACCTCTGGCCTCAGGCGTCCCTACACACCCAATGGAATGGAACAGGCGTCATGGGCGACCCGATCTTCGACACTTACTATTCCTCGACGGTCGAGTTTCTCGGTTCAGCAACCTACCAGCAGTCGACCGTTCAGGCCGCCGGCGCCGCCCTGCTCGACACCATCGGATCTCCAGTCATCCTTCTCTCTCACTCCCAGGGCGGATTGATGCCCTGGCTCATTGCGGATGTGCGCCCGAAGCTCGTCCACTCTATCGTCTCGATCGAACCCACCGGCCCTCCTTTCCAGGAGGCCGTGTTCAGCAATACTTCCGCGCGCACCTACGGGCTCACCGATATCCCCCTAACCTACTTTCCCGCCGTGACCAATCCTCTCGCGGACCTCGTGCAGCAGGTAATTCCTTCCAACTCATCACTGCACTCCGACTGCATAATCCAGGCCGATTCCCCCGCACCGAGACAGCTCGTCAATCTCGCCCATGTGCCCGTCCTGGTCCTGACAACCGAATCATCCTACCATGCGCCGTACGACTGGTGCACAGTCCAGTTCTTGCAACAAGCAGGTGTGCCGACCCAGCACCTCCAGCTGGCGGATATCGGCATCCATGGGAATGGGCATATGGTGTTCATGGAGAAGAATAGCTTACAAGTTGCGGCTGTTTTGCAGAAGTGGATGGAGCGAACATGATATATGAAATAGAGAGTTTTTGATTTTTAGCCAGAACTGGGTCTTTAATCATTTCCCTCACACGGGGTACACAACAGGGTTATAGCAAGGGACCGCGTTCTCTCATCTCTCCTCGTACTATATACTGTCTTTAGGATGCAACTGTTACCAGGCCGTTTCTGAACTCATTGACCCGGGAATTTTGTACGGGATGTGAGCAATTAACCTAAATTGACTGCTTGAATTCATAAGAATAAGGCCATCTGTATTTGAGGGCATAGCCTGCACGCACTTGAATTTCAATATCATTGATAAGTTATAGTTACGGCCTCCCTACTGCTACGGGAAACCTGTACATGCACTTCAACTATCATTACCGCACTCCATATCCATACCTACTTTCCACATTGATCGAAATGACTCGAGGTTTCAATGACGCCAATTCCTTTCTTCCACCGGCATTTGAACGAATGGTCACTGCCAATGGATGGTCCACAAGCAACGCTCTCAATACATCTCGACTCAAATTGAGCCTCACCGCGAGCCCGAAAATCGTTCCGTCATCTGATTCAGAAGATCTTCTCGCGCATAAAGTATGCACAGACCATATGATTGTTGCTCGCCGGTCAGCTCAAACCGGTTGGACTGATCCAGAGATGGTCCCTTTCGCCCCGATCTCTTTGTCGCCCACAGCTAGCGTGCAGGGCGCTCAGCAGTGGGGCCCTCGAATTCGGCCCAGTGCGTGGGGGTCTGCGGAACACGATCATCGTTCCGTAAAAGATAGGACAGAGTAGTTACTCCAATAATCACAAGGACGGGTTGGAAGCAACGGAAGAAGAGCCTGGGACTGGGTCGATTCGGTATGTGGACGTCGCATTCTATTGGATGTATACAAGGCCTGCTTGTCCTGGTCCTGCAGGATACTGTACTTGACCACCGAAGCATAACCCGGCATCAGACTTATGCCACATTAGCAGTCGGAACACGCAAATTCAAGTAGGTCTTTGTCGACATCGTCGATGTTCAATTGATATTATGCATACGTAACATGAGATCCGCCCAGATGTAATCTAGTCACATGAACGGCATCCGTTAAGATCGACTAACCCGGTGGTACAATGGTAGTTCTACTCAGCCATCTTCAACGGGACCTGCGTGCTAAATTACGCGGCGCAATATTAAATAATATATTAAGAAAATAACGGCTTACCCATAAAAAAAATGCGAGCTACGCGATTCGAACGCGCGCGGGCGTACCCATGACGGTCGTAATGTTTATTACCTAAACGTCACGCCATAACCACTCGGCCAAACTCGCTTTGATAATAGTTTATCCGAGCAGTATGCTACATGACCATTTCTGCATCAGATTGTAATCATGAGCAACACGAGACTTTTCAGGAAGGCATTGCCTAGTTTGACGAAAAAATAGTTAGGATACTATCGCAGCTTGATACCTCAGGCTACGGGATACTTAGGACTGCATCCTTGTTCCGGAGAGCATACCTATTTGAAGGGATTTATGGTGTATCTTTCGCGTTCTCAACTGAGCCCGTGCAGCGGCAATTGCGAGGATATATAGTCGAACCAGTTGATATCCAAGTATAAAATTCTTAAGGAATTATTGTCATTGGCATATTTCTAGGTGTGTATCATTATACATTCATCTTTAATGTAACGCACGACTATATAATTAATGGTTGTGTCGGGGCGGACCATTCGTTTGTGCCAGGCGCTGGTATTTTACAGCCTTCTTCAGAACCATGCCACTGGACAATTGATCAGTTTCCTGGCGGAAAATCTCTTGCCAGGGTGTGCCGCTAGGAACCAATGGATACTCCTTCGAGAACACCTCCTTTCTCCGCTGTTGAATCTCCTCGTCGCTGATGAGGATATCGACTCGTCGTTTCGGCAGGTCGATGCGAAGCTTGTCGCCATTTCTGAGAATGGCAAGATTACCTCCTGCAGCAGCTTCGGGGCTAGCATTGAGAATGGAGGGGGATCCTGATGTGCCCGATTGGCGTCCGTCACCAATGCAGAACAGCGCATCGACTCCTTGCTTGAGTAGTCGGGCTGGTGGGTGCATGTTGACGACCTCCGCCGCGCCGGGGTATCCAAGTGGACCGACACCACGCATGATCAAGACTGTATTGTCGTCGATCTCCGGCATGTTCTCAATCCTACTGTGGTAATCTTCAGGCCCGTCGAATACGACAACTGAACCCTCGAATGCCTCAGGATCTTCGGGATTTGATAGGTATCGTTCGCGGAAGGCGGGTGAGATAACACATGTCTTCATGATCGCAGAGTCAAATAGTGTACCCTTAAGATGGACGAAACCTGCATCCTTCATCAACGGGTCGGCGTACGGACGGATGACGCGACGGTCCCAAGAATGCTGGCCACGAACATTCTCGGCGATTGTGCGACCGTTGCAAGTCAAGACATCTCCGTGTAGCTTGCCTGCGTCTAGGAGTTCCGCCATGATCGCAGGTAGACCACCTGCTCGGAAATATTCTTCTCCAAGGTATTCGCCTGATGGCTGCATGTTCAATAGAAGAGGGATGCGTGATCCAATGGTATCCCAGTCGTCCATAGACAGTTCAACACCTATATGCTGGGCAATGGCGTTGAGATGGATGGGGGCATTAGTACTGCCGCCGATCGCCCCGTTGGCCACGATCGCGTTCTCAAATGCTTCGCGGGTCATCAGGTCGCTGGGCTTCAAGTCAATATTGACCATCTCCACGATCCGTTTACCAGTCTCGTAGGCACACTGAGCTCTGTGGCGATACGCAGCAGGAATTGCAGCGGATCCTGGGAGGGCCATTCCGAGGGCTTCTGCAAGAGCATTCATTGTGGATGCAGTTCCCATTGTATTACAATGTCCAACAGAAGGAGTACTAGATTATCTGTTAGCCCAGGTTCTTGATAATCGGGTGAAAATGGAGCTCACCTTTGGGAGATGTAATCCATGAACTGATGCTCATCAATTTCGCCAGTGGCATACATCTCTCGTCCTTTCCACAGAACAGCACCGGATCCTACGAGAGTGCCCTTGGCATAGCCATTTAGCATAGGACCGACGTTCATGCAGATTGCCGGGATGTTCTTTGTTCACATTAGCCAATTGTCAAGAGCTGCACATTGCGGAGCAGGACTTACCACGGTGGCAGCAGCCATCAAGCATGCTGGGGTCGTCTTGTCACATCCTGTCAAGAGAACGACACCATCAAGGAAATAACCCGTCAAAATCTCCACAAGAGTAAGATAAGCCAGGTTTCGGTCCAGCGTGGCGGTTGGTCGTCTTGACGTCTCCTGAATAGGATGAGTGGGGAATTCAATGGCGATACCGCCAGCCGTGCGAATGCCCTCGCGGACCCGCTTAGCCAGCTCGATGTGGTGACGATTGCAGGGAGCGATATCAGAACCAGATTGCGCGATTCCGATCATCGGCTTGCCGGACATCAATTCCTCTTGCGTAATGCCGAAGTTGAAATACCGTTCCATGTAAATGGCCGTCATGCCGGGATCACTGCGACAATCGAACCATGCCGCCGACCGCAAGGTGCGACCGGGCTTTTTGGTGATTTTTGGTACATCTTGCTCTGAATTGAGACCGAGTCGGGTCTCTAGTTCTTGATTGCGTCGTCGTAGAGCTTGCAGCTCGCTAATGCAGTCTTCGATTTGGATGGGTTGTTGCGGATTGCTGCTGCATGAGCAGCCATCGCAGGACTTCTTGGAGCAAGACATGACTCAAAGAGTTTCCTGATCTGTAGGAGACTGAGTCCTTGGTGTTTGAGATTCAAGAGACAAGAATGTTAGTTGCCAAGTTCCTTTTATTTCGCACTGTCACGCGAGGGGGTCCAACCAGTCTTTCGACATTACTCACTTTGATCCGGCAAGTGATTTTCCCATTGGTGAATCCCGAGTCCTGGGGTAATTGAGACGTCCTTTGGCCAATCAGAAATTGGCACCTTCGGCATTTCCAAGGGCTTAGCCGAACTTTTGCATTCCGGAAAGTCATGATCCGAGTCAAGATGTGAGTATTCTGGCTTGTACAAATCGGTCAATGGAACGACGACAACAATGCGATCGCATGATTTCGACTAGATTAGTATTTTTGATAAATCTTGAAAAGGCATACAGAATTCGTCCTCTTGAGCCTTGACGTTCGACTTCAGGACTTGATTTTGCACCTGGGTTCCTCGGCTCTGAACGGGCAACAGCCTGCCCGGAGGTTCTGATCCAGTCGGCATGTCATATCCCGAGCGATTCTCCCCGCATGTTGGCCGACCTTATGACCTTGATGATGGAGATGGATCCACGTTGTCCTCTTTCCAAACACTGTCTGCCTATTTGCCATTCATATTCTTAAGTTTGGAGACTTTTATAGCAGCGGCTTGCTTTGTTCCTCAATCCTGTTCCTTTGCAAATCGACCAGATCTTTACTACAAATGGGCAAACGAATCATCGTCACCGGTGGCTCCGGAAAGGCTGGGCAACATGTCATCGCCTATCTTCTTGAGAAAGGGCATGATGTTCTCAATCTCGATTTGATTCCTTTATCAGGCGAACTCGCAAACCGTGTTCATACCATGCGCGTCGATTTGACAGACAGTGGTCAAGTCTATAGTGCATTTACCTCGCATTTTCATCTAACGGAACCCTTCCGTGAGCCACTGCGTCTTCTTCCCGACGCAGTAATCCATCTGGCTGGTTACTCTCGCAATATGATTGCTCCTGACAACGAGACTTTCCGCGGAAATACATTGTCAACCTACAATGTAATCGAAGCTGCGTCTCGACTCAATATCAAGAAGATCATCACTGCCAGCTCTATTACTGTCTACGGCGTGAGCTATGCCGAAGGGGACGTTGAGTTTCCATCGTATCCGGTGGATGAAGAGGTCGATGCCAACCCGATGGATACATATGCTATTTCCAAGGTCTGCGGCGAGCGCGTTGCCCGCGGCTTTGCTCGTCGATTCGGAAACGATATCTATGTGCTTCGCATTGGCAGGGTGGTCGCACCCGAAGAATACAAGGAGTGGATGTTTGATGATTATGTCAAGAATCCTGATGCGTGGGCACCACATGCTTGGTCGTACATTGACACGCGAGACCTTGGACAGATGTGCGATCTCGCTGTACAGAAGGATGGGCTGGGCTTTCAGATATTCAACGCCGTGAACGATGAGATTACTAACTACAGCACCTCATCGACTGAGTTCCTCAAACGAGTCTCTCCGAATGTACCCTTCACCGAGGAAATGGGACCTCGTGATGCCCCGATATCCAACAAAAAGATCAAGGAGATGCTCGGATTCCGCCAGAATCATCCTTGGCAGATGCATTACGAAAAGGTCTCTGAGTGAGATGTCCAACTTGAGCACTGAATAAATGAAAGGTCGTTGATTATTCGTTGATCATTGAGCGATATTGTACATATTTAGCATAGTTAGCGTCAGATCCCAATGGGATGCATGAGATATTGGAGTTCCCCATCAAGCCGGAAGCTTTGAGCAATTGCCTCGAGGTCAAGATCTGACAGACCCCAGTTCAGCTGCGGGGATCCTATTACGATAGTCTGATCGGAGGCATTTGTAATGTTAGAGGCAGAGATAGTTTCCTGTGCAGGCGGATCATCCGCAGGGTGGATCACCGACGTGCCCACCTCGTCCCCCTCAGTCATGACAATACCGAGATGGGACACAAGTTTATCAAGATTTGCCATAGCTTTGCCAGCTGCTGCATAGAGCCGCAAGTGTTCTCGTAATACATTGCGACAAAGCAAGAGGCACTGGAAAGAGTTTGAACCACGTCCCTTTTGCGCAACTATACGGACGTGAATGGTGGCGCTGATGTATGTTGCGTACGAAAGCATGTATGGGGCGGAGGTGATGGAAAAGTGCTGAGAGTAGTCGCGTAGGATTTGGACGATTTGGTTTGCGGCCGCGGTGCACATGTTGACAGCTTCATATGCGGTGGCTGGATTTCGAGCGGAGCCGTGATGACTACCCGTGAACAATGGGCGTTGAGAGAGGATAATGAGAACGTTTGAAAGTGCCCTTAAAAATTAGTCCTCACAAAGTCATTCGGCTGGAGCGGACAACATACAAGAGACAGAATGCCTGAGGTAAAAGAACCGACTCTCGGGGATAGGAGATATAGTCGAGTTGGGGAGGAAGACTCGAGCGCCATTTGCTGAGATTAGAGCTTATGTCGGCCGATATTTTCTGGCTTTGGCTTTGACTCATGTTCTGCGACTCAGAGTAAAGTTCGCATAGAATGCGCTCCGAAATGATGGATAGCTCGCATAATTTTGTGAGGAGTGATACGTTGAGCGAGGGTATAACGGACCGCTGTTCAGTTGTACTGTACGTGATATCCTTGAATGTGTCGAGCTCGTCATACTCATCAAGGAAATTGAGGGAAGCCTTGAAATTGATTTGGCGAAGCAAAGGCGGCCTCCCTTGGAGAAGACACTGGATTTTGTCGATTGCTAGGCGAGTTTAGTAAACAAAATTTGAATCCAGAGACATATTGGCTTACTATAAGCCCCCCATAAGACGCGCTTTCGAACTTCAAGTTCCTCAGCTGACATCTTATTTGGTGATGGTAGAACATGTAGGCCAAGGTCGATGATCATATTGAATGCATTGCCAGCATAAAGCCAAGACAGACTGCGTTCATCACATCTTGAGAACAGCGAGTTGGACATGATGATCAACGCTTGAAGTGTAGTGATTTCGCTCCTGTCAAAAGACTCTCGTAGAAGCTCAGTGAACCGTTGACGAAACCTCCATCCTGCAGTGGTAATGTCATCGGGGTCAGAGCGTAGGTCAGGACTCGGGCAATGCTTGGAGACAGTGAACAAGATTGCATTGAGTAATAGCTTTGAGAAATAAGGGCCATTACAGGCCATGTCTCGCATGAATACGGGGCGGTAAGTGATCTGCGCGGTGTACAATTGGCGACTCCAATATATCGACAGAAGGTGCATGCCGAGGTCTGGATCAAGTCCATCAAAGTCAAGCTTTCCAGCAGCAAGGTTCAAGGGTTCTAGTTGTCCTGAGACTGTATTTTAGCCACGGTTCAGCTAGTCGAGACCTTGGACTTACTCTGCCTTGCTGTTTGAGCAAATAGGAGGTGCCGAGCCCACTCTTCACTGACAGGAGAACCAAACACTTCCGAGTCTTCATCGTCGGCTCCAGAATGTGCAGTATCGTCATAGACTGTGCTAGTTGGTCCATGGTACAATGAGGTACTGTGGCGATGGTTTTCGCTGTCCGGTACCTCCGGATGAGAGGTATCTCGACCCCTGTTTGAGTGATGGTCACTCGGAGAAGGTTCAGCATGGTGGGATATTGAGCCTGCGACCCTACTTCGTGCTGGACTGAGCGACGCCAGTGAAGCTTCTGTTGGAATCAAAGCAGGTCTCTCGAGGATTCCAACGTCTGTATTTCGCAGATTGGTACATTGCTGGCGAAGAATAGCATTTTCTTGCTCTAGTTGCTTGATACGTTGATTTGTTGGTCTGCTAACTGGTGTTAATTGAGGCACTCGTGGTTTTCAGGGATTCATGATTGACCTTGGTTTGTGCCGGGCAGTGCTTCGCTGGCAATCAACACCCTTTGCCACACAATTGCCACAACTTGGCTTCTGCGAGTCACACTTCAACTGATTGTATCGGATTTGACCGTTAGCCAGACTTCTCTAGCATGGCCGCATCTGCATGTGAACTCACCTTCTTTGAACGGCAGAAAAGACAAGCCGCCGGCGCTCGGCTCCTTCGGGCCGGCATGTCTGCTACTGGCGAACCCGAGACGCCAATAATCGCCAGGGGTAGTCTTCGGACGGCATTTCCCAAGCTGCACGCAATTTGGGAATTTAAGTTTGGTTCAAAGACCCTGGATAGTATGGAGGTGTTTGAGCGTGTGAGCTCCGTCAAGCACGGCTGCATGAGCCGAGATTCGGCATTGGTCCGATCACAAGGTTATCACGCGGGGTCGGAAGATTGAGATTTTCCGCGCGGTTACCACCGCGACGCTGGTTAGCCGCCGCCTGTGGGGAACCGACCTACTTTGCATGTTACAGGCAGTGCAGCAACGCTTGTGCTCACTCTATCCGGTCAAGTCAAACGTTCATTGCGTTATTCATTTATTATATACTTAGATAGTTCCAAAGTAACTCATCCCTCAAGAGTATGAACGCAATACCGAACAGAGCATTGACAGAATGAAGCACTTCTATACTGCTCAACAGGTTGAACCTGGTCCTGGTCGATTTCAACGAGGAATGATGTATTTTCATGCTGAATCATGGCCACTACTTTGAAAGTCTCTAGGATAAAAGTGTACTTGATGATAGGAAGAGCCTCACTGCAAAACATATCATTCGGAGGAAGACCAGATCACTGCCGTAGGACCCGAACTGGTGGTCAGGTCCAACTTGCCCACCGAGATGTTCCCTTTGATGCCAGTGAAAAACCCAGTCAATTCATCACGCTCTAGAATCACTAGATTGTTGGTCACTTCGTTTCCGAAGGCACCAAAGCGCGATTGGGGGTCATTCGAGAGCGAAAAGTGTCGAGGCGTCTTCCCATACGTCATGTTGTGGCCGAGGTATGTGAGATGATTATGGTCATCATCTAATAATGGATTAATTGAATATATTGCCACGGTGTCGCTGTTAAGGTTGATTGTGTTTCGATTGGCTGCATACGCAAATCGTCCGTCGTTTGACAAAGCGATCTCGGACGCCAAATCCATATTATTGGGCGGGGTACGGCCCAGATCAGCTCCCAGAGTCGATATCCGTTGAGTAAGATGAATTGTCAAATTCGTCGGAACTCCAACGTGAGATTCCATTTCCTCATTGTTGCTCACACCATCGAGAGTAAAGACTCGGATGGAATTGTCCAACTCGCTGACAAGGTACATGTAGGTCCGTGTTTCATTGAATGTTCTGAAGGTCATATGTCGCGGACCTGTTCCTGGTTCCAAACTCAACGTCTGGATTATAGTCACATTGAAAGGGCCAGCGACGTGGTAGACATAGAGGCGATCAGCGCCACGGTCGGCCACAAATAAAAACTCTCCTGAGGGGTCAAAGATAGCTTCGTGGGGGTTGCTTTGGATCTGGCTCCCATTTGTTCCTGGCCCCGGATAGTCTAGTGTATAATGGAAGACGTGAGAAGCAGTTTTTATGGTACCGCCTTCGTCACGAGGATGAATAGATACGGTGGACCCATCGCTGAATGAAGACCCCAATATGTGTTAGCCTTACTTGAATTCCATCAGATTCTAGATTCACGAACATATTGGCAACGCTGATAGTTCGGCCGTCTCGACTGACGTCAACATAGACAGCTCCCTGCCCACCGCTGCTGATTGAGTTGAGATGCTCAAGTTGAGAGTGGCGATCATTTCCCTCTTTTACATGGAATGCAAATACCCCTCCATCAACGGAGCTCGGAGTCGGATACTCGGTTCGTGACACTGAATAAAAATTGTCCTCATATTGGGTAATCCAGCCGGGAAGGTAACCCACATCTGTGTTTGTTGCTAGGATGCGAATGCTCTCGTCCACTGGTTGGGAAGGATTGAAGGCGAGAGTGAGAATTCCCTGACTCTGCACTGTCATATAAAGAATCAGGTCCTCTCCGCGGCCTCCAATGCGTTCGTCGGTAGAAGTTGGCCGGGCCGTCACCAAATGAAATGAGATACAGAGGAGACCGAGGAAAGAAAAGAGTAGCGTAGCCATGATTGAGATGGAGTAAAGGCCTGTGAATGAGCTTCATAGAATGTTGGTCTCGTCCATCTTCGATCGACTCGAATTTATACGGTACATTAACTGGGTGCCTAAATATCGGAGTTATCGACGGTGCATTTTGAAATACATAGATCGCCAGGAAAAATCAAAAATTCTTTCCTAAGCATGTTCATATGCTACCAGCCCGGATAAAACGGTGGGGATACTGCTGCGTGAGGCTCAGCATGCTCAGCGCCTCATTCGCTGAACAATTCCGTATATTCCGGTATGATCCCGAGTTCGCAATACCAAAATTGCAAACGGCTATTGTATGTGGGGGCTGCAAATGGCTGCGTTGCTTAGCGATAAGTGGTAGCCTAATACAACAAGGGCTGGGACGGAAATAAAGGGATGAGTAAAGGGGGATTCGTCTGTAGTATGTAAGCCACTGAAAGAGCTGCTGACAGGTGGAAGGTAACTATAACACTAGATTTTATTATGTACCCTGCCTTATTGGTTCCTGAGCCCCGAAGGATTGCGATTTCGCGATGCGAGCGCCGGGGCTAATTATCACCAGAGCTTCGCGCGATCTCCACCATACTCCCTCCCCCGCCAAACACCCAAACTAGCAGGGGTGGTTGGATCTACTGAGAAATAATGTTTATTTCCTATTCTCCTTAATGAATAATCAATGAGATCTTAGAATGGACCTATGTCAGACCACTCCATGGGCCTAACACCATGCTCTATTCCGAAAAATTCCTGCCCCAACGTTGGTAGTGTGCCAAAGTCGGACCGATAATAATGTCTTCGATACGAACGGATGAAGTCGAAAACCATCGAATATGTCATTCGAGACTGCGTTGGTGGCCCTGTCTCCTTGGTCTCGAGATACGGCGCCGCCTGCAATAGTCGATCGATACCGTGATGAACATCGCCATCGCTCGGGTCAACCGAAGAACTTAATGACACCCGAGCCAGCTCTATTTTCTCCCAGATGGTTTCATGAGCGCTGCGGATACAAGGATATTTGAGTAGTTTTACCAGCATCAATGCTGCGTAACAGATGGACCGTCGGACATAGAACGGGACGAACGACAGGTTGGTCTCGCTGGAGATTTGTAGCAGCCGCATCGCGTCTTGTTCCGCATCATTGATAATATCAAACACCTCTGCTGATAACAAAATGTCGTCATGAAGAACAAATGACCAAAGCTGAAGCCTCGCGCTTAAGAAACCAAGCTCGAGCATGTCGCATTTGTACGGAAGTAGTCTCTTCCAGAGAGTGCAGAACTGAGCGCGAAACTGCATGACCATGTTCACACGCGTGATCGGATCGACGAGACCAGATACGCTCAACCCTTTGGCGCCAATAACATTGGCAGATTGCCCCAAGAGACGATAGATGTGACTGAGAAGAGACAGCTGAGGTGAGACCTTGGGATCATCGAATGCAATAACAAGATTCGAGTCCTCTGGAAATGGCAGCGGCAACCCGCTGCGGGCGACTTGCATCTGACTGACTATATAGCATGCGAGCCACGTTGTCTTCTTGGTATCACTGTCAGGCTCTACTTTGAGAGCGTTAACGTCGAGACAAAACTCGTTCGCAAGCGCGGGCCTGTGCAGTCCGAGCTGGAGCCCCATATGGATTGCGATACCGCTATAAATGAAGGACGGATCGTGACGATTCCATGAGAAAGATGGTGGCCACATGCACAAAATCAGAAGGGCCTGGACTATTTCCACGGATCCTGGGGTCTCGAGGTGCACATCGGAAACCATCCTCTTTAGCTGCGGTTCTAGTTTGAAACGGATGGCAGGAGGCGCTGGAACCGCGCATACCGCCCAAAATAGCAAGGGACAACTATGGTAAAGCGCCTCACTAGATCCGTTGATTTTAAATGGAAGGTAGATATGACATTCATCGTAGAAAACCCGGAAGAGCTCAGTCACCTCGACTTCAGAAAGGCTAAGATCTCCAAGAACTTTCCTCGGCGTCTTGTAAGGGGATAATTCAGGTACCTGGAGGAGGTTTGCCACAGTATTCGGGTCGTGAGAGGGATGAGGTTGAATCGAGCTACCAGCGGTAGCAGCTGAAAGCTGTGCTTTATTTAGTGCCTTTTGAAGCCGATAGACTTCCTCTTGTAACTCATGCAATTGCTGGGTCTTTGAGGTGCGTTGGAACGTGGGGTCGAATGTACACGGGTGGTCGAGCGACCTGCATCGGGAACAAGCACTCGGGGCTTGTTTGTCGGCGTCGCACCCAAGCTTCAGCTGGCGACATCTTGTGCATGCCTTGGCTCGCATGAGATTCGATACAGCTCTAACTTGCATAACACATCAGAGACGAATGAGAGAGGAAGAGGGAATGTGCGAGCGATCTTCAGAACACGGAGGGGGGCGGGGCGGCTGTACTAAGATGCTGACAGATTTAGGCAGCTGTCAACACCCGAGCTGTCAGCATCCCACCTAGCACTAAACATCTTGAAATCTAGAGCCCGCCTTTACAATCCAAAAAGCTGCTACATGTTTTTAATTGGCCTGTGTCTACAGTTTAGTCACTGAATCGCGAGGCCTAACCATCAGAATCAAAATGAGAGTCAATGAATTCCGTAAGCTGTTGCTGCTCGTTCGGGATAGAGGTATGATATAAAGACTTATGTCCAAAAATCAAAAGCAAAGGCAAAAGCAAAAGCAAAAGCAAAAGCAAAAGCAAAAGCAAAAGCAAACGCAAAACCAAGAGTGGAGATTTCATCAAACCAAAGATCCAGCAACCATGATGACCCTAGAGGTCCACGAACAAACAAATGGATCAGACGTATCGAGAACGGACAATGGCCAGCAGGCTTCAGGGCACGATTCAGTAGGGGGCGCAGGGAGGGAGCCCTAGAGTAGAGCTTTTGAAGGGGCCCGTGGAACTCGGACTTTTCCTTGCCGATGTATCCATCAAGATCGATCTTGAAGCCGCAGTTGACAGCCCATCGCAGAAGGGTCTCCATGTCCTTCTCATCAGCCTGGCACTTTCTCGACGATTCGGGGCGAGTGGAGTCAGCGATATGCACCCAGCGGCGAAGTTTTGCCATGAAGATCATGGTCGGGTGCATGACCTGGACTGGATTATAGGATGATTGTCAGACTTGCCAGTTTTGCAGAGAGTGAAGCTAAAAGAGGAACTCATTGAACCTACGTGGAACGGACAGTCGACGATTGGGCTTCTCTTGGGGCTGGAATGTCTTCGAGTAAACACTGTTCAAATCCGGCATCTTGAAGGTGTCCTTATTGAAGGTGTCGACTTTGATAAGCTTGCCGTTCAGCTTGTAGAACAGGTTGTTGTATTGAACCTCGAATCCAGGGTACTGAGAGAGCACGGTGCGAACTTTGAATGGGTCCGCATCGACCAGGAAATCCACATCCTGTAGATCTTTAGCTTTACTACCCAGAGAAAGTGAAACAGACGGCCACCAGGGGTATCTTAACAAAGATTCTGAAAGATGTTCGGAGTGAAATCTATCATGATATCTCGACCATAGCGTGATGACTTACCGTAGTGATGCGGTTACCGGCGACAAGGGAGGTGGCATATCCGCCGACGAGCAGGTAGTGGATGTTCTCGTCGACCAGGATACGTGCCACCTCACATGCCACCGTATCGAGGTCCCGATACTTCTCAGGCTGGATGGACTCCGACATGGTGGAGAGTCACAGAGGTTAGTTGTGTTGAATGAGGTTGTGGTGTAATAGGAGATGGAATGTGAAGGATGACACGTACAGGCTGTGGGTTGGGAGGTGAAGAGAGAAGCGATGAAAGGTGCAAGATCAAAAGGGTGGCAGGTGAAAGGGGGAAGGGTTTTGTATCCTGTGGAAATCCCCAGAGATTGTGACGGAAGTCGAAAGATCTCTCGTCGCAGGCAAACAATATTGAACAAACACTGGGAGACCGATGCTCAACAGCCTGATCGTAGCATAGGCCACTAAATGGATATACAGAGCAACTAGAATCTTCTTTTAAAGATTTCATTTTCTTTGTAGTATATGAGATTGCTAGAATTGTCGATTTGAGCCTTGGAAGATGCGTTCGAAGGCATCCATAACTTGGCATCATTAAGCTAGTGGACCGTGCGTTCTGGTAGCCTGGGATTTCCATTTCCATGACGTGCCTGCTTGGTTCGACCGAATCCCACGCCCTAGGCAGAGCCAGGCAGAACCAGGCAGAAAACGGAATCTCCCTCCTCCTTCGTTCTTTCCTCCTCCAACCTTCTCTCTCAAACATTCATCTACGCTATTTCCCACTTGCCTTGCCTAAGCTGTTCTCATTCCACGAATCTGTCCCCCCTCGGGTCATGGCGACCTCCACAAACTCGCCTATCCCCATCGAAAAGCCCGAGCCCAGCTTGGGCTTTTCTGCTCAGAAAAAGCCAGTCACATCTTCTACTACTGGGGAATCTTCTCCCGACACCCCCAAAGTCCAGTCTCCATTTTGCTCTCAGTCGCCCGACCTTGAAGAAGCTGCTTCAGCCCAACCTACTCCTGCCAAAACTTCGGATCCATCTGGCGCTGGAGGCGACCCCATGGCGGCTTCAGTTGCTTCCATTGCCCCTCATGATAGCATTCTCTCGAACAAAATTGCCCCAACCGCAGATAATGACGACAAAGCTACTTCCCCTTCCCAAGATGTATCCCCTAAGGATCCAGACTCTCCCGTCACCCCTCCGCGGTCCCGGGGGGCTCCTGTCTCTCTCTCAACCCAAGTCGAGCCCCAGGAGAGCCCTGAATCCCCTTCTGGCTCTCAATTCACCGACTCGCCTAATTCTTGCCTGACTTCTGCAAGCACATTGTCCTCAGCACCCACTTATTCCATCTCACCGGAGGAAATGGAGGTTGCAGAGGCCGAACTTATGAAAGAATGGAATGCCACAACCGATTCGGCCCCTCTTGACCGACGACTGCCACTGCCCCCCTCGGTGCCGAACCTATTCCAATACCACGATGGACGCTTGTCAATTGCGCTGAAAGCCCTCAACGAGAAAGGAATTCGTGTTGTAGAATATGGACTGCAAATCCTGTTCCGATGGGGATGGAATGAAGTCCTGGGAGTAAGTGATGAGCCCATTTCATTGACAAGAAAATGATCTAATTTGCTGGCAATAGTTTGCAGAGTGGATTGTGCCTGATGAATACCTTGAGCTTGCTTCACGGACGGTATCTGAGCTAGGTTACACTCTGGCCGCCGAGCCACCTACGTCAAATTGGCCATGGGAACAATGGGATACGATGGGCCGATTCCACGATCTTGATAACTACGGTAGCCAGCTACATCTCTATCCACTGACCGCGGTCGGCATTGCCCTCGAGGATACCTATGAAGTCTTGACTACTTTCGACCCGAAGCTGCGGATTCGAACACCAATACCTGCCAGATACATGCTTACCATGATTCGCGAGCTCCTCAAAGTGCCACCCCACCACCAGAACAGACGCCGTATCCTGGACGACATGGCGGGCTTCGTTCATGGCTACATCTTTCACGGCCCTCCTGCCGAAACCCAGTACTACACTGAAGAAGAGGAAGCAGCGGCGGAGGCGGAGTTCCTGAGCAAGGTTGAGGGTGCAGTCCAGGATGTCAGGAAGTGGGACTGGGGCTACGTCGAGGATGAGCGTTATCTGGACATTGCCGAGAGCATTGTTCGCAGGGTCAACTCGATTGAAGATATCACCCTGAGTTCGTGATCACACCATGGATACGATATCGCTGGGTTGTTCATGAGATACTGGGCGTTGCAAGAGATTGGTTCACATGAGAAGGTTGGCTTCGGATTGCTTATTCATATCGCCATTCAGTCTTAATCAGTAATCACAGAACCGATTTTTTTTTTCAAATCCGCGTGCAGCGTATTGTTATCATCTTCTGTAGATATCGTCTGAGAGGTTCATTTCTTTGTCACGGCGACACTTGAATGCCTTGGAACCATGTCTGTACGTAGCTGCGAGTCGCCGTATAAGGATGCAGCCGCAACGTGGGCCCCTTGAGCTTGTGAAGGCTCGGACTTGAGGGTCCGCTGGTGAAGAAACAACTTTCCATCCCATTCGAATATCAGCTTTGTCTTCTTTCACGCTGACCCAAGGGCGAGGTAGGTACCTAAGGGAGTACCATTCTCTGGCCATGGTTAATGGGGAAGCACTAGCCGCTTCGGGCAAAAAGATCCTCAGCATCGCGGGGAGGCACCATCATCAATTCATCCTGCTTCCAGCGACCGTCGCAATGCTTCGCAATTGACGAAAATCTGCGTTATTCCATGAATTCTGCAAACAAAAGACTCGCTCATCAATCCGGGGCTTGGATTCAGCACTATTTTGTACCTCATCCCAACACGAATTCGCAGCATTCAAAGCTGGCAAGAGGACCGACCACCTTCGGCACGTTATCTCAAGCTTCGAAGCTTCCCCTCGCTCGGATCTGGACCCCTCACTGCGTTCCATGTTATGCCAGTGCCTCGCTATCAGCCCGTCTGTGACTGGCCTCCCGGCCTGCCTAGTCGGGACATGGAAACCGACCAGTGCTGCCACTCAGGATTGAGTTGCCTTCTCCTCGAGTAGAAGCTGAAGCTGATCGTGTGCATCCCCTCATCTGAGAGGGGCTAACCAATGGACTCTGAATGAGGTACTGAATATAAGACAAGCCCGAGTTCCAGCGACCAGAAGGATTATCCCTATTCTTGCTGTACAACTCTGCTCATATCCCGCCCTTCACCCACAACCATATCATCACCGACCGTAAACAATGGCAGTCCCATTCACCTACCACGCCAAGGCACAGTCCACCTTCAAGCCCCCCCTCATTGCCAACGAGAATGCCTTCTTGGGCGATGTCATCTCCAGGTATGCTATCGCGCAGAATATCTACTCTTCCGCAGACCCACTTACATATTCCACAGCGACAAGGATAATGCCGAGAAGCCCATCTCCTGCGGGTTCTATCGCCTGGAGAAGGGGACCCCGCTGGTCTACACCTATACCTACGATGAGATGAAGATCATTCTGGAGGGACAGTTTGAGATTGCCGATGAGACGGGCCAGAAAGTGACAGCGTCGCCGGGGGATGTGTTTTATTTCCCCAAGGGCGCGAAGATTACTTTTACGACTGAGACGTATGGATTGGCATTCTACGTGAGTCTCTCGACTGGAGTGTTTCTACTATGTGCATGGTGCTAACCGATATCGCAGACTGGCCAACGGGCGGAGGGAGCCGCGTGAATCGAATCATATTCGAGTGAATCTGACATATCCTAGCCTGCTGCGACTATGAAACTCTCAGACCCCAATGATCTTCTCCAGCTACCATAGATGAGCAAATGAAATACAATAATCTAACTCGATATCCGACCGTCGGGGACTCCGTACCTGCGCATCGGAACAGACCCATGGATCTATTCCCAATGCGGTAGTTTGCTTACGTGCGGTGTGGAGATGCACTTCCGCTGCACTCCCTCGCAGCTCCGTTGTTTATCCCGTGCGCATCGCAAGGTTAACCCTGACTTGCATCGCGAAATAATTGCCTTAAGCATCAATATAACTTGAATATATTTCGGAGAATAGCCCCCCTAGCTGATAACCCCCCATTGTATTTGGGTCATGAACTAGCAAAAAGACAATGAGCCCGACTAATGACGCCATGGACCACGACTACCAGGCAACCAGCAGCTCGATCAAATGCCAAATCAAGGCTTGGAGCAGAATTCCAGTCCGCAGTCTTCTCGCTTCCTCCATCGTCTCCATCACATGGACTCCAGAATCTGGAGCCGGGCCCCCAGCGAGGAGATGACCTGCAGAGCGAACACTCCGATCCCGAGTCGGTGGAACAGTGGATCGAGTTCAGCTCGCCTCGATAAACTCAATTCATACCAGGAAAGGAACCGCCTGGGAAATTTGAAATTGGATCGTATTATCGTCAGCCACCATATTGGTCGCGCTAGCAGGGCTGGTGATGACGTGGGGGAGGAGATGGTTGCTGGGACAACTTTCACGGTGCCTGGCCGGGTTCCTGGCTGCGCCTGCGAGAGCGAGTGGATATGCAAAGCTCGCCAGTGGATGATTCGCATGGCATTTCCGTTGCGGGAAAAAGTAAAATCAAGATCCTACCGATCGTGGTGGAGCTGATCGACTGGCAGACTGGTTTCTATAGTGCCTGGATAGAACCTGATGTCCAGTATTTGGATCGTGGCCAAGGTTAGGGATTCCATCATAAACACGGTGACAAAGGCTTTCTTTTGGACCGAGACCTTTTCTGTCTGGCTCGTCTCGTGTTTGTTAGCGCCGGATTGGTTGGTTATTCAATCCCTTCAGCTCTTTTTTCCTTGTTCCAGCCCAGTCCAGTCTCAGCCTCAGGCCAGTCTCCTTATCAAGGGGGGGGCCACATCCAACAGCCCCTCGACGATCATCTTGACCCCAAAACACCTGCTTAGCCTCCTCCTCCTCTTCTCCTCTTCTTTACTCTCAACCAACCCCCCTCCTCAAACACATAATCTTGACTTGCTCATCCTCTACAACTTACCAACCATGGCTGTCGACGTCGCGTCCGACTCCAACCGTCTTGGTCTGCGACTGCCGAATCCTCCGCCATTGCTGCATACCCGCGGCGAGGCCTTCGACCGCCCCTCCACCCCCGCTGACAATGGCTTCACCAGTCCCACACAAACCCCCCAGGGTAGCCCAAGCAAATCGAGGGCACCCCCCGGATCCCTCGATCTGCCGAATGTCTTTGATAAAGCTCTCAAGCTGACCCCGACCTCCCCCTCCAAATCCACCCATAACCACTTGAATCATCCCATGTTTACATCCGACAAGAGTAACATTGAGGACTTCAACGAGAGCGTCATTCACCAGCGCCCGTCAAGTCCGACGCGCAGCAGGGCAAATAAAGAGAATACACCCCCGACCAGTACTCGTCTGCCCAAGGATCTGGGATCTAAACCGACTGCCGCGGCAATCTCCCGCCATGAGCCATATCAGCAGCGCGACACGGACACGTCCAAGCGCCAAGTCCAGTTGCGCGGGCTGACCCCGGAAGAGATCGAGAAGCTACAACAGCCCCGGGTTAAGCGCCTGGTGAACGTGACGCAACTCTGTACGTGACGGGACCGAAATTGAATCAACCCAGGTCAATACTAACACAGTGCGACCAGACTTCCTCGACCACTACTTCGACCTCCTCAGCTACGTCCACAACCGACAGACCCGGCACGCACAATTCAAATCCGCATACCCTGAACCCCCCGCGACACCCAACGATGAATACGAGCCCGCCGTGCTGAAATACCTGGGTCGCGAGCGCGCACACCTGCGCAAGCGTCGCACCCGCCTGCGCCAACACGATTTCCAGATCCTGACGCAGGTGGGCCAGGGTGGTTATGGACAGGTGTATCTGGCACAGAAGAAGGACACGCGCGAGGTCTGCGCGCTCAAGGTCATGAGCAAACGACTACTGTTCAAGCTAGATGAGATCCGACACATCCTCACGGAGCGCGACATTCTGACCGCCGCGAAGAGCGAGTGGCTCGTGCGACTTCTGTATGCCTTCCAGGATGACGAGCAGATTTACCTGGCGATGGAGTACGTTCCCGGTGGCGACTTCCGCACACTCCTCAATAATACGGGCGTGCTGCACAATCGACATGCGCGTTTCTACATCGCGGAGATGTTCAGCTGTATCGACGCTCTGCATGTCCTTGGCTATATCCACCGCGATCTCAAACCCGAGAATTTCCTGATCGACTCCACCGGCCACGTCAAGCTGACCGACTTTGGTCTGGCCGCTGGTATGCTGAGCCCTGGCAAGATCGAGTCGATGCGCGTCAAGCTCGAGGAGGTCGGTAATACACCCGTCCCCTTCGGCCGTCCCATGGAACAGCGCACCATGGCCGAGCGCCGCCAGGGTTATCGCTCCCTACGCGAGCGCGAGGTCAACTACGCCAAGTCCATCGTTGGGTCTCCCGACTACATGGCCCCCGAGGTTCTCAAGGGCGATGAATACGATTTCACCGTCGACTACTGGAGTCTGGGATGCATGCTCTTCGAGGCATTGGCCGGGTATCCACCATTCGCCGGTGCCACGGTCGACGAGACCTGGCAGAATCTAAAGCGCTGGCAAAAGGTACTGCGGAAGCCCGTGTACGAGGATCCGAATTACTTCCTGTCGCGGCGAACGTGGGATTTGATCACGACACTGGTGGCAGCCAAGGAGACGCGGTTCAAGAATATCCAGGAGATCCATGCGCACGAATACTTTGCGGAGGTGGACTTTACGCGATTGCGGGAGCAGCGGGCGCCATTTGTGCCGGAGTTGGATTCCGAGACGGATGCTGGGTACTTTGATGACTTTAGCAATGAGGCTGATATGGCCAAGTACAAGGAGGTGCATGATAAGCAGCGGGCGCTGGAGGAGATGGCCGAGCGGGATGAGAAGATGAATAAGGGGTTGTTTGTTGGGTTTACATTCCGGTATGTTTGTACAGTGGGAGTTGGTTTTGCCTCTTGCTCTTTACTAACTTTGCTTCTCTCTTCCTCGCAGACACCGTAAACCAGCCGTCGACAGTGCCGGGCGTAGCTCGCCCCGCAAGCCGATTACCACGGATGGCTCGTTCGGAACGATGTTCTAGTATTCGTCTGGAATGTTTACTTCGAGCACGTTTTGCCCTGCTTTCTTTCTTCGTCACGCTGGTCACCTCCTTCAGCCGAGCTGGTTCTTGTCCTGATTTGTGGATCCTGGTGACATGTTTGTCTGTATGAGTTTAATGGCGCATTATTTTCTTCAAGTCTGTCCGACTCAGTGTTTTGTGTTTCTTTTCTGCAATTGCCCACTGCGATGCCAACGTGGTACGTTTCTTCTTACTTGTTCTTTTATATTCGTGTCTGTTTTATCCTCTGGTCGGAGTCTCGCAAGAATGACTTTATTTGTATGATACATACATAGAACCTGGCAGACGGGCTGTCGTCTTGCTAGTATCCATGAAATTCTGCCTCTATGATTGTGAATTCCCTTCCTTCGGATCGGTGTAAATCAAGTAATCGCAACGCGAGCCGGTATCAAGATTCTCAATCTGCCTGCTTGCATCCCAACACAAAGAACTGCTCGGTTTAGTTCTCGGGAAGCTGGCGCACCATCTTCAGAATCTCAGACTCATTGTCCCCAATAACAGCACGGCCATTAACCCAGTCCACAGTCTACCATCAAAAATCACCCAGTCAGCACAAAATCCCCCTAACAAGCACTGAAACCCCATCAAACCAAAACGACCAATACATACCACAGGCCTAACAAACCGCCCCCCATCCTCCTTGAACTTCTTAATCGCATCCTCCGCATCCCTAGCACCTTTCACCAACTCCCCAACCCCATAAATCGCCTTCGCCTTGCCCCCCGCTCCGCTTGTCTCACTAACAGGACTAATATACTCCAGGATACTGTGCAACTGGTCCGCCGTCGGCGGCGCGGTGGTAACCTCGAGCTCGAACTCGCCGCGCTGTTGGGCGGCGTGCGCGCTGTGGTCGGAGGCTTGGTCTTCGGTGGCGGTTTCGGAGGCGGCGATTGAGGCGGTTTTTAGGATGTTGAGGGCTCGGATTGAGGGGGCGAGGGTGGGGGAGTGGAAGAGGGTTATTGGGTCGAGGGTTTTGCTCTGGGAATTGGTGGTCGGGTTAGTTGGAGGGTGTGGGATTGGGTTTTAGGGAGGGGACGTACGAAGCGGAACATTGTTGTAGCTGTGTTTGATTGAAGGGATGGAGCTTTGGGGGGGATTTGATTGAGGGGAATGGAGATGGGTGGTGTTGGGAGGAGAGATGAAATTGGCGGATGGGGCTGGGAGCTTTGAAGTGAAGTTGCAGGTTGGAGGTTGGAGGTTGGAGGTCTGGGATGATGTCATGTGGCGGGATCCTGATCAGGTTGGCTCGGGTTGTTTAGTGGGTCATGGAAAGTTGTATGGAGCATTGATTGTTTCATGGGATGGTGTCAGGGTTTATTACAAAATCCAGGAATTGTAAACCTGGAGTCTTGGCTATGAAATTAAATATCTACCGGAGGTTGATATCGATGTTGGGCTGGTTATCATGTGCTTGGTGGTCAACCAGACAGGACGTCGTAGTATAGGAGAATGGACTCGAAGGCGTACAGATAGAGTAGCAATATCGATCTCAATTCAATTTCAACAAAAGGAGGACCTCGATGAGACCAAGCTTCATTATCAAACTCTCTACCCCCGTCAACCAGTGCTAGTCTGATCCTACGTTCTACACTGCGCAATGACCTTTACAAAACCGCATCAACTGTCATCAGAATAATCATAAAATTCGTCTCATATATACAATGCACCTTAATAAACAACAATACGCCAACTCCAAGGGCATCTTATCTTCCTAGTACCCAAAATTCTCAATATGCAAGTAAATCCCCTGCGCCCCAGTCCCCTTATGCACCGCCCGTTCATCACTGAGATAGACAACACTCCGACGAACATCATCACTCAGACCGGGCGGACCACAAACGACCACTGCACTTTCACCTTCGGCTTTCTCGAGGACTTTGCGGATGATCGTTCGCGGGTACGGACGGCCAGATAGGATTGTGGGGGATAGTGTCGGGGGTGATTCTTTCGAGAGAGCGGTCTTCTCGTCGACTGCGCCTGAACTGAGGATTGCCTTTTCAGACTGCACTGGTCCGGAACACGTACATGCGCACGTAGTGATTTGGTCTTCGTCTTTGATTTGGGTGGTGCAGCAGCATCCTCCCCCTGGGAGGCATCCTTTGCCAACTGCTGCCGGGGCTTCAGCTGTCGAAGATGATTCTGCAGAGATAGAGTGGACGGAGCCATTGTCCTTTTCATCCGAGATATCTATATCCTTCCCGTATGAGAGATCCACACCACTGGTAATGACATCTCGCGCCGGCAATGGCAGCGCCGGTGGAACCGTGGTAGGAGCTTCCAACTTCTCGTCACAGGTGATGTAGATGCTGATCTCAAGCTCCTTTTGGAAATCGGGCTGTCTGGCACGACATTCGGCCACGTCGGCTAGAACCGATTGTAGTTGTGTTTCGAACATGCTCAGTTGAGCGCGCGATTTGATCACCCAGACAAATCGAATCCGCTTGGTCGCTGCCAGACGCTTGGCTTGGAAGGATCCCTGGCCGATCTGGCCCTTGCTTTCTTTCGTCCAGACGGATGCAATGTCCCGTAGCAATGGCATGGTGAAGGTTGCGCCCATTCCTCCGGCTAGGAGAACGACGCTATCGAATTGGCGTAGCGATCGGAGAGTCCCGTACGGCCCTTCGACAAACACGGTTCGGCCTTTTGCAGCGGGAGCGGATCCGGGATTCCCGAGGATCTTGTCGTTTTTCGAGGCGTATCGGAAGAAGCGTCTCGTTCCGCCGTTTTCCGCGCGAATGAAGAACTCCAACTTGTCATCATCTGGCAGCGAAGCAATAGTGAATGGATGGCATTGCAATGGCACAATAGAGTGACAGGTAAGGAAGACGTGTTGCCCAGCCTGCCAGCTAATCCCAGGGTTATCAACAGTCACCCGGGTAATGTTGCCAGGTAGGGGGGTAAAAGTCGCGGAGTGAGTCCACAGCCGACTCCCCTTGTTACCCTTATTCCGGTGAAACACGGCCAGATTAACATACGCGCCCCAGACGTACCGAACCACACGATCAAACACGAGCAGTCCGATCGGGATCCACACCCAAACCCTGACCTCGTTGGGTGCGTGCATCCACACGGCAACGATGAACCCGATAAACGTCACCAGATGCTGCAGGACAAATACCTCGTAGCTGAGACCTCGAATGGGTCGAATCGAGGTCACCACGATGAACGTCAGAATGCACCACGCCGCGAACCCGCGCTTCGTGAGCTCGTCATTGTACAATTCATACTTGATATAGTCGTACCTGGCCCAGTCACGGAACCAGAAGCACATGTGGATCGTCGCCGTGAGCCAGAGCGTGCGCGCAACCCAACGATGAAACCAGTTTAGACTGGCGTAGCTCATACCGGCCAGGAAGCCGATGACATTCTGTCTCCCGGCCAGCAGGAAGATCAGTGGGAGTTGGCAGATGGCCATGAAGCCGGTGCTGTAGCCGATGTCCTCCCATTCCCAGACGTCGGTGGTGTCTAGTTTGTAGAAGGAGAGGACGAGGATGGTGATTAGGTTGGCGAGAATGACGAGGACGGGTCCGAGGGGTGGGAAGTGGATGGTATAGCGTCCTAGTGGTAGTGGGTGGATTGTTGCGTAGCTGATTTCGCGGACGATGGCGGTGAGGGTTGCGTAGGTGTTGAAGAAGAGGGATTTTGGTTTGGCGGGGGTTAAGGACGAGTCTCGTAGTCTGGTAATATGTTTAGTTGTAGATCTGCGGGTATTTGCGATGGGATAGCCCTACCGATGCTGTGCTAATGCCCGGTTCAAGAGGTTGACCAGCGTTGCTGCGCCGATGGCACTCCCGACAACGGCCCAGTACATCTTCTGTAGCGTGAAGAGGCTGGGGGCGCCGTTGCCCATGGACATTGAGCCCATGGGCATGTCCGTCATTAGATCCATGTTGGGTGGTGGATGTGATTAGGAGCGATCCTGCATGGTGCGATGAGAATGCGTGCCCTTTCCCCTTCCTGGTCGAAGAGAGTAAATCAGACACAACAAGACACAAAAAGAACGCAAAAGTTGGAATATTGCAAAATGCCAAAGTCGAGTCCGTCAAGTCGGCCAAAACCCGTCATCGCTTATCAATAAAATGCTCAGTCGGTGGAAGCGACAAGTGTGGACGAGCCCCGCTTGTCCCGCACTGTTTTCAACTGATGAATTATTTCATGGGTTTACTAGCAAATGATTCGTAAAAATGGGAGGAAATCTGCTCACTCGTGCTCCACCATGATGCTACTTCTGCTTTGAGTAAGTCCTTGCGGTTCTAGTCATATCTCATCTATCGCGGTCGACTTCTTGTCCTTCTTTCTCCTCTATACAACTCGTCTTCATCCCATTTCGCTCTCCATACCTACCCTCACACTCTCTACGATGGACCACTCCATGAGCACAATGGATATGAGCAGTATGACCGATTCTAGCTCTTCATCGAGTTCCTCCTCAACAATGACCATGTCCATGGTCTTCACAAACGCCCACAACACCCCACTCTTCTCCTCCGCCTGGACGCCCTCGTCCTCCGGGGTCTACGCAGGCACCTGCATCTTCCTCATTGTCCTCGCCATCATCGACCGCGGTCTCATCGCCTTCAAAGCCATCATGGAGCGCCACTGGCTCGCAGCGCACTTGAATCGTCGCTATGTCACGATTGCCGGCAAGACCAGCGAGTCTGGGCGCATTGATGCCGACCCGGATGCAAAGACTGCGTCGCTGATTACGGCGCAGGGGGTGGAGGAGAACGTCAAGGTCGTGCGAAATATCTCTCATGGCCCGATTCCCTGGCGATTTAGCGTGGATGTGCCGCGGGCGGCGCTGTTTCTGTGCATTGCGGGGGTGTCGTATCTACTGTATGTTTGTGATCCTTGGACCGATCGCATTGTGAATGTGGACAGAACGCTAACTGGGTTTGATTCTAGCATGTTGGCTGTCATGACGATGAACGTGGGCTATTTCTGCTCGGTGTTGGCGGGCGCATTCCTGGGTGAATTGGGAGTTGGCCGATACATCCACTGGAACGAGCATGCACACTGAGCGTGTCGACGAGTATACACCAATACCATATCTACGACTTGACGACTATTTTGGGATTCCTGCATGTGTGAGCTACTTGGACTGCATTCTCTGGCGTTTGGGCATGTTTCTTTCTTCCATCATCTCGAGTATTCCACCGAACATGGTCAATACATCATGATCAAGTTCAAACGTTAAAAATGAGCTGCATGCGTCGTTGAGCAGAAATGAGCAGATTTCTTAACCTCTTTGGGACTAGCGTCTCGGGTAAAATCGACGGGCCCGGCAAAGGGTCCACCCGCAACGCTAATTCCTTTACGGGTAACCATCCGCGGCACCTGAATCCTACGACTCTATCTCTACTCCGTATGGAGACTTTGATCAAGATCGATATCGGAAGACTAGAAGTTGCTGCAATGAATCTCTTCATGGAGGAGATAGAGCAACTCTCGTTCTTATCTTTGCTAACAGAATTGATGCTCATTGGCCACTAACAGTACTGTCCTTTTTGAGGCTAGTTGGAGTATATCTCCAACTTCCGCCATCAAGGTCAAATTATTACTTACTCTGAGGAGTCAAACTCTAAGCGTCCCGTTATTTCTATCATAGCAAACTCTGGGCACTTTTTGATCCTATCTTAGTGAAATGTATTTGATCTCTCTCAAACCATGAGAAGGAATGAGCAAATTACCTGGATCGAGTCTAGTATGTGGGGTACGGGCCCATCTCGGTGTGCAGGGCACTAAACCCAACCGAGGTCGCTGCTTGAGACCCCTCGGAAAGGCAGGTCTATGCCCCTTCAGCTTCCCGATTCAAGGCCCAGATGAGTGAGTGGCCAAGGAAAATCATAATCCAGCAATTGAACAGTTGATCTGATTTTTCCCACATGGTCCTGCAGGGTTCGGACCATGTCAGAGTAAATGGATCCAGTGGGGAACAGGGTCTGTCTCGGCCTCCCACTAAAATTCTATAGATACAAAGGTCAAAGACTACCTACCCTGCCGGCGAACTCTGGTCAATTCTTCTACTTCACAATCCGATAGACCTTCCAATTGAACCTCCTCTCTTCCCTCAACTCCAATTCCACCCTCACACCACCCTCACAATGAAGTTCTCCCTCCTCACACTAGCCCTGGCCCCTCTGGCCACCGCCCACTTCCTCCTGCAATACCCGACCTCCCGCGGTTTCGACGAGGACATCATGCCCGAGTTCCCCTGCGGCGGCATGAGCCAATCCTCCAACCGCACCCAACTCCCCATCTCAGGCTCCTTCCCGCTCGCCCTGAAAATGGGCCACAGCCAAACGGCAGTCGAGGTTCTGCTCGCCCTCGGCAGCAATCCCGGCGATAACTATAACGTCACCCTCGTGCATACCTTCCAGGTCGTCGGCCTCGGCGAGTTCTGTCTGCCGCATGTCGAGTTTAGCAGTGACGTGCTCGGCGTGAATATCACCGATGGCATGAATGCGACTATCCAGGTGCAAAGCAACGGTGATCCTTCCGGTGGTCTCTACGCTGTAAGTCCAATCTCGCAAGACGACCTGTCGCAATGTCACCTGATCCTGGTCGAGTTGAGTTGAGTTTGCTAATTGTGGTCTTTCAGTGCGCCGACGTCCAATTCTCCTCCAGCGTTACCTACTCCGAGCCCTCTTCGTGCACGAACAACACCAACGTCGTCGCCTCTGCTTTCCCCAGCGCGGCTGCGCAACGTAACGCTAATGAGTCTACCTCGACTGGTGATGCTCAAGGATCCAGCTCTGGCAGCTCATCCTCCAACACCACTTCTTCTACTTCCAAGGGCGCTGCTGTGCCGCTGCAGACTGCTGCCTGGGGAATGCTCGGCGTGGCCGTTGCCGGTGGTCTTGCTGTGCTGTAGAGCTTAGAGACTGGCAAGATCGTTATTGGAAAAAGGCGGTCTCTAGATTAGGGAGCTACTGGCGCTTTTAGGCTCCTGATTTGATGTTGCTGATTGCTGTATTGATGGCATATTTATGATGTTTCACGAGCGTTGACTGCTGACTGCTATACTACCCAAATGCATTGCAAGATATTACTCTCACTAGCTGATTCAGCGCGCACAAATTCGTGGCCGAGTTTGATGGTCGTAGGCTATATAATCCATGATTATACGTCATTCAGGAATTGCTTTTTCGCAGGTGGGCATGTCGTCATAAGAGTGCAGCTTCAGGGGATATCGTCACAATGGCAACTCTGCTGTTCAACAAAAGCGATCGAATCATCATTTTGTTCCACTGAGACTTTCAATCTTTTGGAAAAGCACTCGGTTTCTTGAATATTTCGCAACGAGGGGGAGCCTTCCTCATCGTGCGTTTGCAGGTGCCGATTATCAGAGGTAACACAGATCTCTTCCACAGAACAGGATCCTGCTTTTTACTCGCTACTGCAGTCATTGCAAGAAATATAGCACATACAGCCGTAACAAGGATAGGAAGAATCATCCACGGCCATCGCACATGAATGTAAGTTTCTGTCTCGTGCGATACTCCTATAACGTCTGTTGACGCCTTGATCACGGAGCGAATATGATCTGCGAGGCTTGTCGCTAGCGTAGCAAATGTTGTGTTGGTGTTCAGGCGGTTTATCGGCGGTGGGACAAGTGGGTTCGGCGAAACAGACTCAAAGATCACGAGCCTGCAACCATGATGCTAACATGCTTACAAGTAGAAACAAGGTATCGTTAGCCTTAAGGCGAAGGTAGCATTTTGCTTGTTCTCGTTTCGTTTGCTCGAGTGCTTGATCTAAGCCTATGTGAGAATCTACCACTTTCTCTAAATGCTTTCTGGGATCTAAGTGATGAGAGCTTCGCAATAACTGTGAAAGGTAACAGGTTTTCGGGAGCAGCTCCTGACACATTTATCTCATTTGATATTATATCTCGTCTGCTACTGGGCCCTCAGTACTCAAAGGAAGATGTCGATAGCTCGGCACTGGTTAGTGAGTGAGCATGGAGCATCTTCCTCGATTCATTCGACGCTCTAGACCCGGCACATGTCCGACCTGGCGTGTTACACATACGACTCGGGGTCCCATCCAGGTGCGGCGAGCGAAAAGCCCGTATCGTGGATGGGCACGCAAGTATGCCAATCGAATATGGAACTGCCCTAGGCGCACGATGGAATCCCGATTACCTTCCGGCCTGGTGTTTCGAGCAGTCGGCTCAAAATGACGCAAGTTGGACACTCTGGACATGAAGCCTTCTCTGTTATCCAGGTCTATGAGTGGAATATGAATGGGCAAAAGTCCAAAAATTGGAGATTGGGCTTTCGAGGCGAACAAGAGATGTGTTTGAAGTTTACCGTCATTGATCAATGTCCCTTGTCAATTCTCGTCGCGATGAGGATAACGAGGAGTGGATTGATAGCTTCTTTGCGAGTGGCTGTCGAGGAGATCAAACGGCCTCAGGTAATGTGATTCATGGCAGAATCAGCGGTGTTGCTCGAAAATACCCGTCTGACTCCGAAGAGCTGTCACTCTTCCACAAGAGGGTATTATGCTGCGATTTGCAGGCACAGGACCTGGACCTGACACATGGCTCACCGCACGCGTGGCTCTTCTTTGTGACGAAAACCCTGTTTCAAGATGGCTAGCGATCGATAGTTTGGACTAGTTGGATGGTGAGGATGGCGGATTTGAACACATACTCCGTGGCAGAACATGCTGTGTGAAGTGCGCCTATGCAGCCATTGTGAGTAGAAGCCTAGTTCTCTTGTGAGGTTAGAGTAGGACTGGGTAATTGTCGACCGCCCGTTGTTTACACTATTATATAGGGCGCGACAATGGACATTCAGTCGCTCTCGAGCCCTCAAGGCATCCGTCAAAAATACGGTCACGTGACAAGTGTCTTCCGGGTTTTAAACGAGTCAACTTCTGTTGAGCCCCTTCAAACGGATAACGGACCTGGAAGAGTCAGCATTGCACATCAAGACGAGTAAATCATGGCCCTGTACCAATTTGAAAAGTTGCGGCCCGTTGGTGAGTAGTCGTGAGGTGATTCCCCACCCACACGAATCCCATCTCACACATTTCCCTTTTAGGCCGACTGGAGCAGTACTCAACAGCCCGTCATCAGGCTGGGTTTTATCTGAACGTCGCAGTGACAGCTACATATGTCCTGCCAAACAGTTTCAAGCTGTCGGTGAAGGACTATGTATACCGAGCCTGTGAGACTTTGATTGCAGAACATCCGGTACTATCCGCTATCCCAGCAGCTGATGATACGCAAGAGCCATACTTTGTACGACTACCGCAGATCGACCTAGACCAAACGGTCTCTTTCGAGCAACGCAAGACTAGCTCTTCCTTGACAGAGTCCACTGATGGAGAGCCCAGTGCGGATCTCGAACTGCAGGCCTTGCTAGAAAGAGAGCACAACACCCCGTTCAAAGCGCCAAACACTTATTGGAGACTCTGCGTCCTTACTGACCCCATTGACGCAAGACGATTCACGGCAGTCTTTGTGTATCATCATGCCCTCGGTGATGGCACTTCGGGCAAAGCTCTCCACCAAACCTTCCTGCGAGCGCTGGACTCTGCTGATAGCGACAACCGAGAAACCAAGTCCATCATCCAGCCACCCGCAAAACCCTTGCTCCCCAACATCGAGCAAATCCATCCGATGCCACTCTCATTTCTATTCCTTGCCAAGAAGATCTTCCAAGAAAAGATCTACTCCCGTAGAGACCCTGGCCTCTGGAGTGGAGGCAATATCCGAACAGAAGGGCAGACCCACATCCGCCTAGTCCCATTCTCCAAGTCCCTAGTGACGTCGCTTCGGAAGGTCTGTCGCCAGGAAAACACGAGTATCACAGCTCTCCTGCATACAGCCTTGGCGCGCTCCCTCTTCGCCAATCTCCCTCCCCGGTACACCATTCTTAACTGCACGGGCGCTATCTCCTGTCGCCGCTGGTTACCCGACATCATCACTGACGAAGTGATGGGCGTCTACGTGAATGATTTCGATGAATCATATACCCGCAGTACCATCATGTCTGAAAACATACACACCTTCCCATGGGCCGAAGCCCGACGTTCAAAGCAAGGACTCGAAGCTGCTATCCAGCGCCAAGGTAGCGATACAGGTCCCAACCTGTTAAAGTTTGTAAACGATTTCCAGCAGGAGCTGTGTCTGTCGAAGGTTGGCTCCGAGCGCTACAAGAGCTATGAGATTTCGAACGTTGGCGTCGTTTTGTGCGAGGCTGTGCCTGAGAAGCCGCGGATTGAGGGTATGGTGTTTTCGCAGTGTGCGAGTGTTATTGGGAATGCCATTGAGGTGTCTGTTATTACAGGCGGTGATGGATGTATGGTGCTGGCGGTTACATGGCAGGATGGAGTTGTTGAGGAGAATTTGATTCAGGGCGCTATTGCGTTTTTGAAGGACGAGTTCAAAGGGTTGGCTAAGTTGAAGTAATGTGTTTGGATGATTGGTGATTTTTTGTCTATGTTAATGTCTAATTATAATGTTGTATATTTTGCCATCCTTGTTTACACATTGCATGAATGAGAACTGTGTATAATTTATGCAGGCATCGGATATTCGCATCTCGGAGTCATGAAGTTCACAGCCATGCATTCAAAAATCATGACCCACGTTCCTTCAACCTCAGTTTATTTCCTGCCACCTAAATCGTGGTGTTTGAAAGATACGGTTGCCGGCTGGCCATGAGACATTGATTGCGTGATTATCAGCAGAGTGGTGCGAAATCGAACCCCTCTTTGGAAGAATTATATGCCGGCAAAAACATAACAAAGTACATACAACACAGTTGTTAATGCTTAATAATGTTGGGTCTTTCGTGATAAGGCGCGATCGTGTATAAACTCGCATCATTTTAGTTGCAGCACGTTGCAGATGATAATGTCGCAGCTGCCGTACATATAAAGTAGCTTATTGATCTTGGGGCCTACGAATAAAAATTTCTCTAAGAAAATTAGCACGATATAACAAAACATTCATATTTCAAAATGCCGACAGAATTCATTAGCTTGACATTCCCCAATGCATCGACAGAGGTCAACCCAATTCCAAATGCTCTAATTGACCCGGAGTACCTCATCCGCTACGCTCGGACTTTGGATGACTATGGATTCAACTACACCCTGGTGCCGTACGATTCGTCTTATTTTGATCCATTCACGGTTGGAGCGACTATCGCGTCAGTGACGAAAAATCTTAAGATCATCATCGCGCTTCGACCGAACACGCTGTACCCAACTGTCGCAGCCAAAGCCCTCGCAACTCTCGACCAGCTCAGTTCGGGACGAGCTGTTGTTCACTTTATTGCGGGTGGTAGTGATGTTGAGCAAGCTAAGGAAGGCGACTTCTTGACCAAAGACCAGCGATACGCGCGCCTTGAAGAATACATCAAGATTCTGCGCCGGGCCTGGGAATCAGCGGATCCATTCGACTGGGACGGTCAATATTATCAATTCAAGCAATTCAGCAACAAAGTCCGTCCCATCAATGGTACTATCCCAGTCTCGGTTGGCGGTTCCTCTGATGAAGCCTATCGTATCGGTGGCTCGCTTGCCGATATTTTCGGTCTTTGGGGAGAGCCACTGAAGGAGACAAAAGAGCAAATTGATCGTATCTATGCCGAAGCAGCGAAGGCAGGTCGTGCGGAGAATGATCGACCTCGAATCTGGGTCACTTTCCGTCCCATTATTGCCGAGACAGATGAGCTTGCTTGGGTGAAGGCACATCGAACTCTTGATACACTGAATGCAACCCGTGCTAGTGGGACTGGGAAGGTCCCTTCAAATGCTCCGCCTCCCCAGAATGTTGGATCCCAAAGGTTGCTGGATATCGCTGCTAGGGGGGAAGTTCAAGATCGCGCTCTTTGGTATCCTACAGTCACTGCGACTAATGCTCGTGGAGCATCGACCGCGCTTGTGGGATCACCGCAGACAATCAATGATTCGATCTTAGATTATGTTGATCTTGGAGCCGAGCTGATCTCCATACGTGGCTATGATAACCTCAATGATGCGATTGATTATGGACGCTACGTCTTGCCCGGGGTACGAAAGGTTTTGAAAGAGCGGGAGAATTCGGGAAAAGCCAACTAGGAACGCAACAATCTAAGACGATTTTACAAATTGCATAGCTTCGAAATAGTGAATTATGAATCAAATTACATGTGAATAAACATCAAATTCAATGGTAAAGCTTTGTCAGTGTGTTATTATTAATTTTCCCGCAGATAGACGAGGAGAGGCCTCCAGTTTTGGAGAGGATGTAGGTACAATATGCTAGATATGGTATTTCCAAAACCCTGCCAACAATGCAAAAACAAACACAAAACATTTGCTAAATAAAGTCTCAGATTATTTCCTTCACCATGCCAGGCTCATATTTCTAATCCATCAGAAGAACTCTCCCATGCCCTCGCATTCACAAACAATATAAGCGGAGCAGAGATCGACAACGGGTTGGCCCAGGGACACCGAAGTTCTCTCGGCGCCCAGGCTTGCATCCAGGTAAGGTCTCTCTTCCGTGATGGTGCAGACTGTGGTCTGTTGGAAGGCTGTGAGCTGAGCGGTCGAGGCGAAAACAAGGCCATTGTGTGCGACAGCGGTGTTTCCCCAGAGTTCCTGAACTGGTCGCTTCACACCGTCGACGGGGATGACAACGTTCGCGTAGTTGCCAGATTGATCATTGGCGAGTTGGACAGTGGCTGTCAATGGCTTCCAGCCAAACTCGGAGGAGGGGGCGGCGAAGGCAATGGTAGAAAAGAGCGCAGAGGTAAGCGCTGCGGCGTTGGAGAAGTGCATTGTGAAATATTGGGAGAAAATGTACGTGATGGAGGACTTTTGAGATTGCTGTTCAATCAGCCTTGAAGGTGTACAGCTTGTAGCTTCAATGAGAAAGAGGATCTTTGCTAAATGCGAAGCGTAGATCAGAGAGATGAGAGCTTGATATATGAGGGCCTTGGTGTCGCTTGCAGGTTGACACATTCTACTAGAATTGGTTGTTTAGTTGGGACTGTCTTGATTTCCATGTCCGTCGAACTGTTTGCTATGGCATGTTCTACACATTGGGGGTCGAGACCACTGTCTTTACCGCATCCGGCAAAATCGAAACAACTCCAGAGTGGAAGCGGAAATATGTGTGACCAGGACATACTTGTGTCTAATTTTTCCACCAGCAGATTTTCTCCAGTTTGAATCATTGGTGCGTATGATTTAACAGCATGGCTTGTACACACATGGTTCTGGAGTAAAGTTTGTGTTGACGGTTGTCATGATGTACTTCTCGGAAAAAAACAGACCAAAACAAAGCTACTTATGAGCCTATGGAAGAACTGAATCATAATATTGGCTCTTGTGTACAAAAATCTTATCCTGTTCGCATCAACTTGTAGTAGAAGATTGACAATTATGATCCTTGACATTGTTCGTGATCGGAAAAAAGGATATGAATGTGCCTAACCTGCTTTCCGCACTACAATATGTATGGGTTAGGGTCCAGTGAGCAGGCGAACACAAAATCTCCGTCTTCCCGGCGTGTTGGCTCGTGGCTGGTGGGAATGCTGCTCCGACGAAATAGGCAATGGAATGCTTCCTGGCAGCAGCAAACCCGCCGATCCATGCGAAAGTGGGCGGGCGGCCAATTTCTCGGAAGAGTCTGCCAGCATTCCTAGGCTCAGGAAGAACGCCGATCTATTATATTTGTTGTGATAATATCAGTGTGTAAATCATGAACTTCTAAACACGACTCTTCGATTACTTTCGCGAGCAGACGGGATGGACTTCCATAGCTGTGGCGTTTCCCCAACCTCCACGAGATTGATACTTTCAATTTCAACCTGTACAAGGACAGACGGAGGGCTGGGAATATCTTGAAGAATACTTGGCGCCGCTGCTTGCAAGAAATTCTTCGTAAACTGCTGCCACGGGTCCCAAATTACTCAGTGTGTAGTATTCCTCAATTTGTTATGCGAGGCTAAGTCATGGACGGAGGTGAGCTTCGCGAAGCTGGCTGGTCTTTGTAGAATTCCAGACTTCAAATGTGTTGCAAACAACTGCGTGGGTGATTAGTTCCGCAAATACACCACGCTGTATTCACGAACATCAAGAAAGGTTTTAAGGAGTACATTGTATTTGACTGGCTCTATTGCCTCATCTTCTATTCAAGGTTCTTCCTGGAAGGGGCTCGTCTGGTGGGAAACTCGGCCGGGGCGTCATGATTTCTTAGACCACTGGACCATGGAGGTGGAGGGTTACTGGGAGGAACTGGAACTGGATTATCAACCGTAAGGGCAAACTTTGCATCTGCGGTTTTTTTCTTGATATTGACTTTGCATGTCTCAGTTTGTTCTCTTCTCAATCGAAAGTCGTAGAGACTGGACTTCAGTTTACAGCCTTTCCTATTATATTACCCTGAATATTCAATCAATGTTCACGTCCGCCCAAGGCCAACACCGATGACCCCATCATCAACGGGTGCGGCGGCCATTCGCTTTCCAATGTGAACCGATCTATCAGCTCCAACACTAATACTAACCAGGTCTTCTGGAGATGCATCACGCTTAGTGACGCCCACGCCGGCACCCAGGTTGACATTGATGTCGTCCTCACTATCTCGCTTGCCATTGTGATTGAGCCATCAGCATCGATTGTGATAGACGTGGGTTCATTCGGTGCAGTGTCGCGCTTTTTCAGGCCCACATCTGCGTCAGCTACGACCTTGATAAGGATTTCCTTCGCAGGAACAGGTGCGCGCTTGACCTGGGTGTTCTCTTCAGCGACTGGGACTGCAAGGACAGCCGCCGCCAACGAGGCCGACATGACAATTAGAGAGAAGTACATGGCTGTATCTGTGACTTCCAAGTTAGTTAATGGATTCAAGGATGAACAATGAATTGTCATTCGTGGAGCTCGCTTCTCTGTGCAATTCGTTGAAGATTGAATTATCCAATTCTGTTCTCGAATGTCTAATGGACGTGGACAAAAATCCTTCAACCCTCATGAATTTATTGCCTACTCTTCATCATACCTGTCAGGCTGTTTGTTTGGAAAGTTGGATAAAGTATTATTTAAGCTTCGTCTGAAATCATCCAAAGCCATGGGTTTCGCATGAGCTGGTGTGGGGATGCCTTATGACTTATTGGGATGGTTCCATGGCTATAATATCGCGGGTCGAGTCTTGAGCTTATTCTTCGCCACCACGATGTATTCATGGCTTTATCTACATCATTTAGTTCGTATTTCGAGACGCGGAAAGACCAGGTCTATTCTCTTCTGCGCTGAATTTCTTAGAATTTACGACTTATGATTAGAGGAATTTCTAGACGACGATCATGGAGGACGGATCCAAAGAAAGGAGCTCCAAAGTTAATTCATTAAGATCGGTTCCTACCGCGAGGCTTAAAGCGCCACTTCCACCCACCCGAAAGCTAGTTCGCAAACACTGAGGAATCTTGATCAGATTATTGGCGCCAATGGATCCGTTCTTCTGTCCAAGAAAATTGCTGCAATACTCTAAAATACCTCAATTCCCGGTACACTCTTCCTTGTTGTTCTTGCTGTTTGCAGAACTGTAATATGGAAGACATGCGCATGGCTCTAGTACTTTCTTCGATCATTCATTGCCTAGCTTTATTGACCCAATGAACCGGCTCTGATATGTATCGCTGAGAAATCCGGTACTGGAAATCCTGGGTTGAAGCTTCATGGTAGAACTTTATTATTCCAATGTAGCTGTTTGGTCAGTATCGCTTTGGCCAATGGCACCGATGTTGATATCAAAGTACGTACTCATCATTCCTCGGACGACCGCGAAGAGACAAGAGACAAAATTCTGAACTGTGATTTTGTGTTCGCGATGAAAAAGTGGTCCAGGACATGGATCTGGCTCGAGATATCCTAGCTACTTTGGAAGTGAATCCGGCAGTGGGCCTACTTGATCATTTCGTTCCTACTTACCTTGCTCGAATTAACTGTTCAGTTTTCTAGATAACATCATAGATCCATCATTGGTCTGTCACTCAGTGAATATCCGTACCATCCTCCATTATGTTAACTTGACTACCATCCTGAAGAAGCCCTCTGAATGTACAAATTCGTGAGCAATGCATATACGAGAACGAGCGTTCCCAAGCCAATCAACAAAACTTAAAAGTCGGTCCCATCCTAGACTCTCCTAGAATATTGATACCAATGTTCTCTTTGGCTTCTCTGCTGTTACAAACCCCCTTGTTAGCAGATTACTGCGGTCTTTCTAGATAGTGATAAAAGGCCTAATCTACAGTACAGTATTCACAGCCGAGAGACTCAAGTATGATCACCCAATCAGGTTAGTGCATCCTTGTCGCTCCTCCGTTCTTCACCGCCAAGTCTCACCGTCCCATCTTCCACACACCGCCCAATTTGAATCGGCAAAATAAGACCCCACCCCGATTCCTCTCCGTCCCGAGGCGCCAGGTCAATACTTCTTTATCTAGCATCTTCGGTCAAATTCTGTACAGCGCGATTCAACTACGTTCTCGAGAAAATGGCCGCCCTCAGCCCTTATGTGGTGCCTGCGCTTACCAAGCACACCGCAACGGTGATTATGGCCCATGGCCTCGGTGATAGGTATGTATCTAAGACACGAACCTCGGATACAGACAATATGAACTAACATGGCTTGTTCTTCTTTCAGCGGTGCCGGATGGTGAGAGACTCTGCTTGAGAGTTCATCACTTTGAGAATCGCAATTGACTCGGTTATAGGATGGCTCTCGCTCAGAATTGGCGCCGTCGCGGCAAGTTCAACGAGGTCGCTTTCATTTTCCCCAATGCGCCTAACATTCCGATCACGGTGGTACGTCAAGTTTCAGGGACAATAAAGGGAATTCGCTAATTTAGGGACAGAACTTTGGCATGTCCATGCCTGGTTGGTACGATATTGCCCATCTGGGCCGCGATGTAAGCACCTCCATCCCTTCCCTCGCATCTCTCCCAAACTGAAAGAAACAATTGGCTAACCATCACATTCCCCCTGTAGCTCGACTTCCAAGACAACGTCCGCAACCAAGATGAGCCGGGTATCCTGCGGTCGCGCGACTACTTCAACTCCCTGATCAAGCAGGAAATGGACAAGGGCATCAAGCCCTCGCGCATCGTCCTGGGCGGGTTTTCGCAGGGTGGTGCCATGTCCGTGTTCACGGGTATCACTGCCAAGGAGAAGCTGGGCGGAGTGTTTGGTCTGTCGTGCTATCTCCTGTTGAGCGACCGTATTAAGAGCTTTACTCCCGAGGATTGGCCTAACAAGAAGACGCCTTTCTTCCTGGCGCATGGCGAGGATGATGAGGTTGTGAAGTATGCGTATGGTGAGCAGTCGGCCAATATGTTGGAGGAGATTGGACTGGAGGATGTCTCGTTCAATACCTACTCGTACGTTTCTATTTCTCAATTGGGTGATTTTCCTGCTGTGATGGAGTATGCTGATTATTGTTGTTGCAGTGGCCTTGGTCATAACGCGGACCCGATCGAGATCGATGATCTTGAGAAGTTCCTGGAGAAGACGATCCCTGCAGAGGGCGATGGCAAGGCGACGGCCGGATTATGACTTGACGAACACGGCATGGCGGGCACTGCACATATTCGGTGGGGACCTGCGCTGGTACTGGGGCTGATTATACTACTCGCTGCACTGATGTGGGCAAAGTATAAACCTCAGAAGCCAGTCTCGACCCCAGCAAAGCAGAGCTAGTTCCTTTTATTTCCTTGATTATACGATCTCATCACTTTTTGTTATTTTCTCATTGACCCTTCAAGCAAGGCACATATCGATGCATGTATCCATAGAAGAACGCTGAACCAAACTAATGCACTCGCAGACCGAGTTGGCTGCGATATGGATTCTCCCAGTTTCCCAATTCCCAATTCCCACATCCCACCACCACACTGCCTCACCAATCATCCCTTGATCACCTTCGCGACCGTCTCCTCAATAACCCGCACCATTTCATCAGTATTCTTCTGATCAAACGGCACCATATGCTTGGACCCCGTATCCCAAAACGCGGCCTTGGACGGCTCACACATCGCATACAACTTCATACTCTCGGGATACAACGGATCTAATTTGCCAACCACATGCGCCGTAGGGATATTAATCGGCCACGTATCCGGCTGCGGCGCAATACGCACCATCCCCGAGCTGTCCCACGGCGACCCACCGCATAGAAAGACGGCGGCGCGGAAGAGCGGCGGGGCTGTTGGGTTTGTCTTGGCGTGGTGTGCGATTAGAGCTGCTGCTAGGGCGGCGCCTTGCGAGAAGCCCATGACTGCGTCGAAGGGGCCGTCGGTGTCTAGCGTGCGTTGGATGTGCTCGAATGCGTCGGCTAGTTGGGCGCTGGGTAGAGCGGGGTCGCGTGAGTAGTGGTTGTAGAAGGGCCCATCGACGACGCCTTCGAGGCCTGTGAGAGGGAGGGGTGAGTAAGGGGATTCTCTTGTAGAACTGGAGGCGTGTAGAGGGGGGTTATTCTTCGGAGAGAAGGGGAGACGTACCCTCTTCAACGCCGGAGGGGAGATTTCCATTGATGAAAGTGAATCGGTGGCCCTTTTTTTCGAGGGGTTGACGCAGACCACCCGTTTGGATTTGGAAGATCTGGAGTCAGGTTAGAAAAATGTAGATACGTTGAATAATTCATTAAGTGGAACATACCTCGGAGTTGGTGCTCGCACCGTGTAGACACAGGAACCGCATCTCGATCCCGTATACTGACTGTATGGTATATCGCTATGTCAAACACCAAGAAGAAAAAAAGAAACAAGAACTCCAAAAGGAAATTGAAATTGAAATCCAAGAGCAAGTAAGAGGGGTCGTGTCAGCTGATGCAGGAAAGAGCGCCTCCGAAGGTTCCCCGAGTGATGACAGGGCTTTATATAAATGTATGTTTCAGGAGGTCGATCGGATCCGTGCAATAGTCGCGATGGTGCATGCAGGGGGGAGTTGTTCGGCTAGTCCGTCACGATTCACTAGTCATCGGCACAGATAGGTTTTGCAGCTGAACAAGAGACTCGACACTGGAATGGGCCCTGCGGGGCAAGGGGGGAATAATTTGAGGGCTGGAAGCGCTGGAGATGGAGCGTGGCTATTGGCAGATGTTACGAGAAGAGGGGAACTGACGATGCAGTATGCACTACTACAGTAAGTGTAGTAGGCAAGTAGCCCACTATGGAGATACAGTACATATGAAGATGCAGATCCGATCACAAGATAGTTCGACAACCAGGGGTCATTTTCCGGCGTTATCTATACTCCGATCATGGCAGGATAATGGAAACCAAGGTAATCAGTACAAGCATAGCTAAACTCTCGCCAATAGCAGTTCAGTTAGAGGGCTCAGGGCTGACGAACCGGGGCGCTGGGCCACTGGAACAGAAGAAAGCTTCCCAAGGCAGATATTATTCGAGCAGCTACAAAAGCTATCCTACACTATCTCTGGCCATCTTTTAGTCTTCTCTATTTCTATGATGATTACTACTAAGGACATACAGGTATCAAGTTAAGATTTAGATCCTTTGCCCTCGCCATCATCGTCACATCAGATTGACCGCGCATGCAGACGGTGAGGGTGCCTAAGGCCGATGCCTACAGTCGCTAGGAAATCCATAACCCAGGCCTAATGACCTATCTGACCCTGATATAATGACCTCTCGCACATTCTTGCCACTGCTAGCAGCTGTACATTGAGCGTCTTATACCCCTTCTTTCATGCCCCTGTGGGCTCGCGGCCGTCTGACTTGTTCACGTTCAACGACCGAGCTCGAGCTATTCCTACCGTCCTGGCATCTGATGCTTTTTTACTCCTGAAACTTACCATGCTGACCTATCTCGTTAGCCTGTGTCCATTGATTGGTGCAGCCACGCTCTCGCGATAGCTGGAAAGAGGCAAACTACACGGATGTCATCATAATGATACCCCTTTCAGCCACACGCTCAATGGTCTCGATGGGTTCTCAAGCACAACAGCCTCCGCTTCGACATCATAAGGTCCATTGACTTGGATCAGCATCTTATAGATATCCTTCCTTCCAGGGTCCAACAGTATGGGCCGCATCGTCGTGACAGGCGGTTCCGGCAAAGCAGGTGGCACGGTCATCACGGAGCTCCTCGAAGCCGGACATACAATCCTCAACCTGGATCTGATGCCAATGACCCATCCAGCCGTACACACACTCAAGACCGATCTCACGGACAGCGGCCAAGTCTTCAACGCGCTCGCCGGTCAATGGTCCCTGAGTGAGCCCTTCCCCGAGGGTCTACCACCACGCCCAGACGCCGTGATCCACCTAGCAGGCTACGCACGGAACATGCTAGTGCCCGACAACGAAGCCTATCGTGCCAACACGCAGGGCACGTACAACATCATCGACGCGGCCTGCAAATTGGGCATTCCCAAGGTGATCCTCGCCAGCAGCACCGCCGTCTACGGAGTATCCTTCGCCCAGGGCGACGTGAACTACCCTTCCTTCCCGATCGACGAGGACCAAGACGTCAATCCGACCGATACCTACGCGATCGCGAAGCTCTGCGACGAGCGTGTCGCGCGCGGGTTCGCCGCCCGCTATGGCACGGACATCTACAGCCTGCGCATTGGCCACGTCTTCGGGCCGGACGAGTACAACGGGGATATCTTCTACGGGTATGTCCACGAACCGCATCAGTGGAAGGTGCACGGGTGGTCGTACACCGATGCGCGGGATCTGGGCGGGATGTGCGAGGCGGCGCTGCGGACGAGCGGGCTGGGATATCAAGTGTTCAATGCGACCAACGATACGATCACGAATCTGATGCACACGGAGGAATTCTTGCGCTCGCATTATCCGGAGACGCCAATTACGCGCCGCCTGGAGAAGTTTGAGGCACCGTTGAGCAATGCGAAGATCAAGCGGTTGTTGGGGTTTCAGGAGCAGCATCCGTGGCGGAAGTATTTTACTCTTTGGGATAAGAAACCAGTGGCGATGCGGGCGGATGGGCCCGTTTCTTCAACTTGAAGAGGGGGAGATCGAGATAGCATGGTTGAGGGTCTGGATTGGCGTTGTAGTTGGCAATCATTTAGGGCGTCGGTGTTGGTATAGTTGGTGATAGTCGTTGATTCAATCGAGTGAGCATGACCAGTCAGAGCGGTTAGGGTTTAGCCGAGCAGCGACTCTCCTCATCTGCCCACAATCGAATGGCCGCAGCACCATCAGCTCCCAGCACCAGACTTTTGCCCATCCCAAGACCCTTTCCCCCAAATCACCCCATAAATTGGATAGAAAATAGCATCGTAGAGTAAAGAACCTATGGCGGTGCCTGTAAACTTGCGGTGCGAACTGGTGGTGGCATTAGCGAACATCCAGCAGAGCCCAATCCGGGCCACCCCACACAAAACTCTCGGGATGCGCATCATCAACCTTCCCTGCAAACCTCGCCTTTCAACCCGCAAATACCCCTCCAACCACCCACCCTTTCCACCCGGTACGCCCGCCCTGTATCCTCGTGCTACGACTGTTATCGTCGTCAATCTCGTGGATCTAGCGTATCCTCAGAACCTCGTGCTGTGTTTCCCGGACACCTTCGGCTAACTCGCTCTCTTCTCGCTCGATCTCCAGATCACCTCCCACACCCCTCATACCCGACAAGATGGATCACGCCAAGTTGGCTAAGATGCAGCAGAGCGTGCGGATTGGTATGTGATATACTGTTCTACTTTTGAGGGAATCCTATGGAAGATAGATCTGGGTCGCGGTGATTCCTGGTTTGGAGAGTTCGAAGGCTTGGAAGGTCGGAGCTTAGCTAGTGGGATCGCGTGGGATCTTGCGCTGGGCTTCAATCTACCCTGAACCTCTATCAACAGGTTATCCGCTTGTGATTCAGAGCTGTCCCTCAATTGGCGATCATATTAAATGTGTTTACTGACTTGTCTTCTTGGATAGGGTATGTATCATTCTGTCCTTGAATCTTCCGTCACCTCCAACTCCGATATATTCCCCCATCTCCCGGGCAAAGTTTGTGCGATACTTTTTCAATGCTGGACATGATTCCGATCGGCTGGCATGAAATTTCATATCTACTCGCCAGAGATTGGGCTTCATGCTCCATGATTGAAGAATTGAGATACCACATACCACCACGCACAATCAACTTTCCCCGACCGATGCCCACAATCTCGAATTCATCACCCACATCATGCATAACCCACCTGCTCTATGGAACAAACCCGACTAACCAGCTGTCTTTTTCCCCCACACACAGAGGCAAGGGCACTCCCCGCCGCAAGGTCAAGAAGGTCCACAGGACCGCCGATGCCGACGACAAGAAGCTCCAGACCACCCTCAAGAAGCTGAACGTCCAGCCCATCCAGGGTATTGAGGAGGTCAACATGTTCAAGGAGGACGGCAACGTCATCCATTTCGGTGCTCCCCGCGGTGAGTTATACCCTCCCGGGTTTGGTTGCAGGCCTGACCTGCTTCCCTCTCCAAACCCATCCATCCACCCACAACCACACTCCACCATCACCCCTCCCCAACGATCTTCTCACTAACGCTCCCCTCCTCTCAGTCCACGCCTCCGTCCCCTCCAACACCTTCGCCCTCTACGGCCACGGCGAGGAGAAGGAACTCACCGAGCTCGTCCCCGGCATCCTCAACCAGCTGGGCCCGGACTCCCTCGCCTCCCTCCGCAAGCTCGCCGAGTCCTACCAGAACATGCAGAAGGCCCAGGGCGAGAAGAAGGACGACGACGAGGAGGATGATATCCCCGATCTGGTGGAGGGCGAGAACTTTGAGAGCAAGGTCGAGTAAAGCCGCGTTTTCTGCTCGTGACCTGAATTGAGGAATTATGTCTTTTATAAAACAAAACTCGAACTATCTCGATTTACTCGCTGCTTGATGGGCTACGTGTCCGTGTATTGGCTTGCTTGAAAATACAGTAAAATTTGGGGGTGGTGATCCTATGAAATGTATTCATTCCGCATGGTTTTTTTTTTGATTGGATTTGTGGTTGGGTATTGGGTCTGGAGGGTGAAGCCGGGTTTGCGGAGCTGTAGCCGAAGCTTGGAATCTTAACCCAGTGAAACAGGACTAGCAGTGTAGTGTCTACAGCAACTGCTCTTCTTGCAAGAGCGTGCCTTGGGACTGCCAATACTATAACTCTACACATCTGTTGGTCTACGACAAGGAAGTCATTGGGCGTAAAGTCCCGATTCAGGACAGTTCATAACGTCGACATCAAAATGCCCGCGGGACTATCATACAACGAAAAGAAAAGAATCCCAACCACGACGCCTAATGAATGCTATGCTTGGTCCTACCATCCCAAGTCCCGTGCCTCCCACAACAACACCCACAACAACACCCACAGCCCACGGCGCTACCCAAGCTTTCGGGGCTGCTCAGATGGAGCTGAGTTCAGGGTGTCTCTGATAGCGGGATGGGACGGTATTGACCCGATCATTCTTGATTCGAATGTACCGAAGACCATTTCAAGAAAAACAGCTTCTCAATCGACCACCATTCAAGACTCCTCTCTCAATCCACAAACATCCGTACCCAACAACTGATCCAGCATCCACCAAAACCGCCAGTACGCACCAGATTTGTCATGATCGAACGTCCCATCCTCTTTCAGCTGCGGCCCATCACCCACGATATCACCCGTAAACCAGCTAAGTATAGGAATCGATCGCAGCACGCGCTCGGTCATCGTCGGCCCGGGTGGGAGAGCTTCAGTCAATGGGCGTAGCTTCGTCCGGCGAACGGTGGGGATATGTGTCATGAAATCGGAGTCGGGTTTAGGTTCGGCGCCAGACGTACTGCGCTGGTGTAGCGACGATCCAAAGCTGGTCGATACTCCCGTCGCAGTCGCGGTTGCTGTGCCAGAGGTAGCAGTTGTCGTCGATGAGTCGAACGATGGTTCTTTGTCAGGCTCGGCCACGCTGGACAGGTTATTCATTCCGAAAGACCGCGGCAGCGTGAGAGAGGAGGGTTGGCCGTCCATACTGGCGCCAGAGAGGAATGCGGATGAGTGCGTGGAGGTCAGAGTGCGCGTGTTCTTGCTGCGCAGCTTAGCGGCAGCCGCAGAGTCGATGGGAATCGCGCTGTCCTCGGCCGGTCCATGGCCATTATACAGCTCGCAAAAGACCAAATGCCCGTCAACTTCCTGCGGCGAGTAGAAGCAGGCCCGATCGGCGGCCTGCGTCGAGTCAAACGTGACCTTGATCCAATGATACCCACCAGCGTAGCGCTTAGACTTGCGGTTCGCATCGGCGGACAAATTCGCGCGGATAACGACGTCGCCGCCGCTGAGAAGCTGCGCGAACTGGCTCGCAGAGTTGGGATCGCAGCGTGGATAGTCTTCGCAGATCATACCCTGTGAGATACGCTCGTATTTATCAATCACCTTCCACTCCCCGTCCTTTGCCTTGTACCCGTAGAGAATGCACTCGGTCGCCACCTTTTCGGTTTGCTTCCGCGAGCCGTCGAGGCTGCTGGAGGAGGAGGATTTGGGTAGACCGACGGGCCTTTCCTCTTCTTGCTGCTGGGCGAAGAGGCGGCCGAACTCGGCGACATTGGGGTTCTCGCGTTTTGCTGGGGTACCGGTGCGTGTTCGCGATCGGGCTTCGTATCGGGCATTTCTCCTCTTGCCAAAGGGTCCGGATTCCTCTGGTGGCCGGCGGGGGTTGCGAGATTCACTGAGCATGGAGGTCAGTTACACTTGGGAAAGAAAAGAAAAGGCCACTGAAGGTCGCCAATGAGGTCTTTTCGATGAAATAGCTCACTCACTCTTTGTAAACATAGCCCCAAGGAAGCAGGTTGCCGTTTTCATCTCTTGCGCGCTCCTCGGGCGGCACGGCGTGGTACTCCATTATGGATGAAGGCCACTCTAATGTCGGGAGGGCTTTGTGAGAAGTGTGGATGCAGAAGATTTTAGAGTTGAATGAAAGTGCTCTGAAGCGAGACGTGTCACCTCGAGGGTGTGCAGAGTGTAAGTCTCAAGATAGTCGTGGAAGGGAAACTTTTTGGTAAACACAGCTGGTTCGCCGGGATACGGGTCACGTGGTCGCCACCAGTGTCAGCTTCCTTTCGGATGAAAGCTGCTGCTTTGTCGTTCATTACATTTTGAGCTATAACACAATTAGATTTTCCAGGGTCTTTATACTTAGCAGAGTTATTGTTTGGTCTTTGAAAAGACTCGAGCACAAGTGATTGCTCCCCTTGCAGGCTTCAGTCTTCATACCTTCAACAAACAGAAAGAAGCTTAAATAGGATATAGCAAGTTGGCTTAAATTCATAAGCAGTTACACGAGAAAAGGATCTATCCTCGCAGTCCATATTCATAGCTTTATTCGGTACCGATGTTAATCAAACACTCGAGGGTCCCTGATGTAAGAAAGTGATCTTCTGAGCATGGCCCTTTAATCCACACGCCTCGCCAAAATCCCCTACTTTCTCCTTTCTGTTGTTTACGTATTGGATGAAGCTATCCAAAGAACAACTATGACTGGGATCCGCCACGCAACCCGGCAGCTGCACAATCCGATCGTTAATATTGATACGGACATATACCTCGTCATCCCTATCATCTTCGGTTGGGCAGCTCATCCTTTCAAATGTAATTCTGGCCCCCATGGGCAGAATAGTTGAGGTCTTCCAGGTTCGATTGGCGTCCATATGTGAGAGTGGAAGAGGTGTATTGTGCTGGTCCTTGAAGATATCTAGCGCTGCAAGGAGTGGTGAAATATCTCCATCATGAACACTGTGGCCTGTCAGCCCAAGATTCTTTGTGGTAACTTAATAAGGCGGAAAATGATGACTCACAAGCTCAAAAACATCGGACCAGCTTCTGGCCCCGCCTGTAGTATTGTGGCAGTGGCGTTTAACCAGAGCCATCCCATCGCGCCGGCATACGGGTTCCCCGGCCCAGAGCCATAGTAATGTTTGATGTCGCGCGCATATTCGAAGTGGTGCCAGTCCTCCTCGGTAAAAACATCACACCAGGGGCTTGATCCACGAACCATGGTCTCAAAGCCACACATCTCCTGCATGCCGTACACTTCCGTACTGAGCAGACTGCCCAAGGCGGGATTCTCGTGGATCAGTCGTTGCGCTATTGAGGGAGTATACACGTCTTGATAGCGTGTCAGCATTGCCTCGCCATTGTCATGACCGTGTGTCGTGTCCTCGATATATCCGTGGCACGTATCTCCTGGCGTGAGGGTGTCTGCTCCTCGCTCAAAGATCTCCGGTATGATTTCCAGTTCGGCCTTGCCTCTGCTTTCCCAGTCAAGACCGAATAACCCAGAGGCAAAGTAGCGGGCTGACTCAATCACGCGCTCCGAGTCACTAGCCCAGAATCGAATCGAAGTATTTCTCGGTAAGAGGTCACTGTAACGCGTGCGAAAGCGCACGCCATTTGTAAAGGCACTTAGCGTGCCTGCGTAAGGACCTGTATGGGTCAACTGCCCGAAGTCTCGTTCGGCGTTGTCACTAAAATAAGTCCAGTCATTCAGGAACTCGAGTGACCCATTGAAAGGTAGCTCAAGCAATCTGGCGCGCTTCAAAAACTCCAAGTGACCTAGCTGAGAAGTCAGCGATTGCCAAATCCAACTTCTAATTAATTGATGATGCTCGTACGATACCCAACAAGCGGCGTAGGATATCTTTCGGCATGCCGCGACATCTAAGATCATTTAGCATAGATTCTCCGCTGCACTTCAGATCATTATATCTGCATACCATATGCACTTGATCGATTACACATCCCGGTGGAGGCGCCAGATCTGGTGAAATCCCGCGTTCATCCAACATTTCGACCCAGGGTCCGTTTCCCCCGAGGTGATGCAAAACAGTCCATTTCTTTTCCAAGGACCTATATCTTGACCCCGATTGTCTTTGAAACGGATGAAACCATGACCTCCAGCTCGGGGAATATGGAGATGTGGGCGTATGGTCGACCACTGGCGATACAAGTGACTTGATGGTCTTCAGGGAGCATTCTGGCCCGTCCGTGTAGAGAAACACGGCCGCAAGGATGATGAGGAAAGGAAATGTGACCTTTGTCAGAGAATTTAAAAAGGCCATTAGCGCAGAAGCTAAAGTTTGAGCCTCTGGCGCTCGCTGGCGAGGCATTGACAGAGTTGCAAACTCGGGTGCGGTAGGAACGAGAGTCGGTGATCCGCCAGCACGGCTATCTGCCAAGCCAAGCCCAGGGAATAGATTGGCCATCGAGAAAAAACAACAGATTGGAATTACACGAGATAGTGAAGGGTATAGTATGAATCAAATAAGTTCCATGTTAACAAGTCATTCTATGTAGTTTCGCTTGATCGTATGCAAAATCTTGTTTAAACCCAGCAGTCTTCTACTTCTCTAGTTGCAATATATATACCGCCTAATAATGTCCCGCAACTCTGGGCGTGGTTAAGCCAATAAAATGATCCTTCCAGATAAAATACTCTCCCAAGTTCCCGGAAACTTACTATTATAATAATCCTGTTATGAGGCTATTCCCACTTCTTGATGCCTTAGGCTTCAAAACCATGGCTGCTGGAACGGCTGCCTTTCGGCAGGAAGTTTCAACCCCATGGGGGAAGCTAGGCCGGAGGGCACGGATAGTGCATACTTGACTAGCAGCCCCACTTGTCAGGAACGGAAAAAGGCGGACATCTGGAGACCGTGGAGCGGCTGGTCTTGAAAGACTAGGAGAGGACGGTAAGGACAAGGTACCTAGGGTACGATGAGGCCGGTCTAGAAAGAGTCCTTCAGGACTCTTAGGACATCTCAAATGAAAATGAAATACAGATAATCACCTGCTGTTTGAGATCAACACCACGAGATCTTATTGCAAGTCCATCACCATGCATGTTGTACATTTACGTTTACGTTTTCCTGGGCCTATTAGCGGCTTTTCTGTTGAAGATTGCATATATCAGCGATGATTATTCAAGCCGGTCATCATTCAGCTGGATCAAATTGGAATATATTGACACCACAGCATGGAGATAGTCGGTGCATCGTAAGAACTGACTATTCCTGAAAATGCATCGGTTTCCGGTTCAGCCTCCACTAAATAATCCTTTCGCATTTTATTCTCAGAGGATTTCCCAAAGGCTCTGCCTGCAGATAGTTATGCTGATCTTGGGCAACAACGGCCGTCCTAGTTTTGAGCCAGCCTGGAAGACAAAGTATTTGTTGGTTGATGTTCAAATAGATGATAACTTAGTATACAAAGAAAAATCATCAAAACAGGAAGTTGAATGTTAAAAGGGGAAAAAATCCCAGATTAAAGTAAAGAAGAGGACGAAGGGGGATTCAGTAAAGAAAGGTTGCAAAAAGGGGGAAGTTGGGAAGAAGAACAAGGATATCGGAATTCAAACGCTGTTAAAAAAAATCATGTTCCTCCTTCGAGGATTAGACATGAGACGCGTTCTGCGGTTGTTGCTCAAGTTTAGAAAAAAATGAATAAAAGCGGGAAGATAAAACACCGATGGATTGTCGTGGAAGAGAGTATCTTTTTGATCCTCTCCTGTCGTCACTGCCACTGCATTGGACTTGCTGTCTGCTGGGGCGAGCAGAGAGGTGACTGCGGGGTACCAAGCCTGCCTCAGGACGGTCAAGTCTGACGCCAAGAGCCTTCATGGGTGATTATTAGTCTTCTCATCAATTAGATTGCACGCGGCTATAGGAATAGTTAACGTACCCATCCATTATCAAAAACCTGTGATATACCCAAGAGTTGGCCTGTATGAAGCTCCAATTGCCCATCTCGGGAGGGAACAAAATCCATTTCAACAACATGAACGTTGTTGATCAAGGGACTGGCAGCAAGGAGGTTTCCAATGCTAGGATTCTCTAACGATGCCGCACCATAAACACCGTGCGGTTCTTTGCTTTCTGTTCTTGTCGGCAGCAGCAGTTCGGGTTGCTCTTCCGTCATCTTATAATCCGACGAATCAATATGCACTGCTGAAAGCCGATCTGATTGTTCGTTTATAGAAGCCACAGGTGACTTGGATCTCTCTACACTCCCTGCATCTGATATGGACCTTGTCGTGTATATCGACGATCCAGCCAATGTAGGTGTTGAAAGCTTTGGCACAGAATAAACATCTTTCTCAAGTTCTGTGTCGTGATCGGTGGGAGCTCTCCTTATTCGGTTGACAACATGGTTGAATACAGAACATGGAAGACGAATAAACTTTTTTATCCCAGGCCCGAAACGACCTGAAATTAAAGGCATCGGTTTCTCGCCGTGGGGTTGTAGGCTTGACAAGTCCACTCCTTGGGTTGTGATGGCTGTTTCAGAATTGTTTTGTTGGTTGGCAAGGGCTTTTTGGAGGCTTCTGCGCTTCCTGAACAGAGGGAGCAAAATCAGTGCCCCGATAATGGCTAAGGCAACGATGACAGATAGAGCAATAGCTGCAGCCCGCATTGAGGTACCAGACCGTCCTTGTGCTGGGTGATTGGGTAACGCAGAAACAGCAGCTAACCCCGTTGCAGCAGCTAACGCTGTTGGACTAGATGAGATCAATGATTCTTGTTGGATGGGTGCCGCAGTCGGTATCACAATAGCTGTTAAGCTCGAAGCGTAACCTGGCCAGTTCACCTGCTGCGACGAAGGTCCCGCTGCCTGTGGGCTTTCGAGGTCATGCGAGCCTGGAGTTGATTCTGTTTGCGCCGAAGTGGTTTGTTGGTTCGCTTGAACCCCGCCTTTTTTTGACTGACTATCGAAATAGCCATTCAACTTCGCAGAATTCAAGGGATTTGGCTCTTCCCCAAACGCTTGTTGATTTGGATGATATTGGCCATCATCTTGTGTCTCCAAAGAAGTTTGCTTCCCCCATACTGACTTCGGGTTCATGCTATTCGGATTTGCCGTAACCACTGGTGTTGGAGATGGCTGGGTAGGCTGAGGAAGGCGTACATCGTGAATCATGACTAGCACAGCCTCGAGTAGAATCTCGAAGAATAAAGTTCGTATTTGTCGAAATGGTCAAGTACTGGTAAAAGAAAATAAGTTCTACGCGACGTTTCCCGAGTCGCAGCATCCAGAGTGAGGACAGGGATCGCTTTATTAACATGGTTGCATCTACAACCAATCAAGATTCCTTTTCGGGGATTGTTTGTTTTTCTCTTCCCTTTGTTTATGTTTCCCCTGAAAGAATTCTCCAAAGTCTGATACCTAGTCTCGATCTAGGGGCTTACAAAAGCAACATCTTCGGCATAAATTGACAGAATGGTAGTAAGAAACAAGTCAAATTCTTGAATCTACGCCATGTCTACGTACATACCAAGTATGTATGCATACACATTTGGAATGCGTCTGTGCGGCTGGCTGCTCGGTAACTGCCAGTCCGGATCGGCAGGTTCCAGGTGCCGATCCGGGTCAGAACGAATTACTCCATGCAACAAAAAATCTCAATACGCCCTCAAGTCATGTAACCCTTTTTTTTATTTTCTTTTTATTCCAGGTAACCTCAGTACACCATTGCTCCTCACTCGCTGCGGACAGCAGGGATACGTATATTCTCTCCCTATTGGTTGTGCTACATTTTCCGCGAAAGCTTGCTCGCACCGTACCCCTTTCCTCTTAAAATCTGTTTCTCGCCTGGCAAACTGGCCTATAGCGAGCTCTTCGTGAAATATTAGTTTGTTTATGCCCTGCTCAGTCTCAGGCACAGCCCCTGTCGAATATCATTCGTCGGGAACTCTTCCCGGCCTTGATCGTCTCTATCCAGGCGCGTCTAGTACTCAAGCCTGTCCAAAAACTAAAATCTTTGATTCGCAATAAAGACGTGCCAAGTGACCCAAACCAACGCGGCATACCAAGTTCTATGGCTCCCAATAGGCTCGCGTGTGAAATAGACCAAGATGAACAACATTCTTTCAATTAATTCTCGCTAATGCCTGTAGAGTTATGCTAAAAATTAGGCTTCTACCTTTCATTTGCCTCCCTATAAGATTTGAAGATCCCTCTACGCTACCTTTGTATTAAGGATACTACAAATCTCCTAGTAGCCGGCCGTTGTCTCGATAGTGATCGCCTAGGTAGAAATGTAGCTCGCGTTATAGGTACTAGCCTAGTCACAGGCTAGGCGGCTGGTGTGGCGGCTAGGCTCCTCGCGTCTACCGGCATTTTCCTAAATTTTCGAGATATATAGAGGATCCCGAAGGAATTAGTGCGCTTCTGGATGGCGATAACTTGCTAGATGGTATAGATTTATAGCTATGGATATAAGAACGAATAAACTATGTTGAGGAATTAGCGTTGTACTACCGCAAATACGTTATCAGTTAACACCCAGTGGAGTAGGAGATCTAGTGACATTGTGTAACTTTATCATTCCTGTTTTGTAGTTTGTTTGTCTGGTTTGGCTTGGAGAATTTCTGAGGAAATCGTATGCTTTAAAGCGAGGTGAAATAATATAGAACACACACGACAGGATTGAAGTGGTTTAGGACGCCTTCTGAATGGAGTTTTTATTCTCGTTTTTCTAGCTTTGCTCACAAAGCATGGCGTTCCTTCAATTCTCTACCTAAGGCAGCTGGATCTATTCTTTGTTGGGATTTTATCGACAGTCATATCCCATTCTCTTGTTGCCCATCTTAACGCAGCTTCACAGTTGGGAGTTCGCACTGCCTCTTTCTCTATCTCGTGCCTCGACCTGCCTGTGCCGCGGCACCAGCGAGCTTGAGCTTCTCCACTTCACTAGTTAATCAACGCAATTCCCGGTCACAGTATATAGTGTCGTATAGCCATAACCCTTCCAGTTTCCGGGCAGCCCCTTCATCAAGTACTATACCGGAATCGAGGATTGCGATCTCCAAGTTCCTGAATTTCTGCCTCTGACAAAGACGCAATTTTTTCATCTTCCAGACCACGGGCGCGACGCTTATTGATCGCACTCAAACAGAACCACATCGCACCATACACTACCCCCGAGAACCCCACTAACGCCAGGGTGACGGCATTACCACGCACAAACCGCGGTGCTTCCGAATTCTTGTACAAGAATGGAGACATGACACCGCTGACATTGCCTATCGTGAGTTGCAGACCTGTGGCAAACGTACGTTTACCGTATCGAGGTAGGTTGGTGGGTAGCCAGGCCAGCGGGAGGCCGACGGTAACGTATAGGCCCAATGCGACGAGTAAGGCGCCGAAGTAGTGGACGCCCGAGGAGGAATCGGAGATGAGAATGCCATAGCCAATCACCGAGATCGCACTGAAGAGACAGATGAAGAATGCGCGGTGCTGAGTCCGATCACTCAGCCAGGCCACGGCAAGGTAAACAATGGCCCCGAGGGCGTAGCATGGAATGGTCAATGCCTGGACCTCTGGCGTGGACCAGCGACCCATTCCTTTGATGATGGTTGGCAGGAACGTGCTATACCCGTAAAGCATGGTGTCCACGCCAAACTGGGCGATGCAGATGGCATGGACCTTCCAATCGAGTGCGCCTTCTTTGACATCTGCCCAATGGAATTTCTGCGCAGATGCCGTTTGACCCACGTAACGGCTCCGTCGACGGACGACGAGTGCCCGCTCGTCTTCGTTTAAATAATATGCCGTGTCCGGGTCATCCGCCAGGAAGAACCAGGTGGCCACTCCTAGAATTACGGTTGGAATGCCTTCGAGAATCATGATCCAGCGCCAACCGCGTAGTCCGCTGATGCCATCCATGAATCCAATACCGTAGGCGAGAAGACCGCCAAAGGCCCCCGCAATGGCAGCGCTGCTGAAGAGGTACCCGGTTCGCAGGGCGATCTCCCTTTGCTATAGAAGAGGGTGAGGTAGGTCATGAAGCCTGGGAAGAGTCCTGCCTCTACGACACCTAGAAGGATACGGCAGGCAATGAGGCCGCCGTAGCTTTGGCAGACGCCCGTGAGGGTTGCAATGATACCCCAAATCACGGAGATGGATGCGATATATCGAGATGGTCTCAATTTCTTGATGACCAAGTTGGAAGGTACCTCGAAGAACTGCACGAGATATTTAGTAATGGCTATGAGAAGAACAGGGAAATTGAGACCTACACAATAAGTGACAAACAGAATCGACACCGCAATTTGGTATTGGTCTCCGACCAAACCCAAGTCTTCCTCCAGCCCATATAGTCGTGCATTTCCAATATTTACTGTCAGGAGTCAGTATCCCCTCAATCCTTGCGATCATAATCATCATATGAGTCAGATTAAACACAGAGCCAACACACCTCTGTCAAGGAAAGAAAACAGGTACAACAGCACAACGAACGGGATAATATGCAAGTCAATTTTCCAAATCAAATTGCGCTCCATCTTCTCCTCCTCAACCGTCGGCGCTGAACTGGTCTCCTCTGCCAGCTCATGTTCGGCTTTATTGGGCCTCGTTGAAACCATCTCGGCCTTTTGTTCGTCTTGCCCCTCCATCCCTGGCTAGATGCAATAGCTGGCCTCGCAGCAGAGGTTCCTATACAAGAAAGACGGTTTTCTTAACAGGATGGCATATCGCTAGCCTGGGGGAATTTCAATGACCTCGAGGGTCAGTGTTGTATATTGACGAGGAAAAAAAATTTGCTGGTGGCCGGAATTCCCAAGGTTAAGATTGCCAAGCGCCAAGCCAGCGGGAGAGCCTGTCAAAGTGTGAAGAGTGCGAGGGACTAATCAGGCAAGTGTATGGGATCAGGTTGAGCTGGTTTGAAAGATGAAAATGCATCATCTTAGGAAAGTTAGGTAGTCACCATTTCCGACCTCATATAATGTTTACACGGCTTGTCGGTGAAGTAAACGCTCGGTATGATGTCGCACAGGGGGGATGCAATGCAGCGATCGACGAAACTATCGAATCTGGGTTTCTTCTTGCAGGCCCTGTGTTGTGACCGTAACTAAAGCCCGATTTTGCATTTCATACTGAAGAAACAGACAAGAGGATAGTAATCCAATTTTTTCATCTACTTCTTCAGCAAAGATACGACTACATTCCATGGAACAAGAACGGGTCGCTTACATCCAAGCTGGCAGACCCTCGGTTCTCTACGCGAGCACCGCCTCGGCCGAGGTTCATGGACCCACGCCACCCAGCATATCTACCCCATCTGGGGGATTGGGGCATTTCCCCAGCTTTGCGACCCTGAATAACTGTCCTTCCTATCAAACTTTGCTCGACAAGTACCAACCATGTCTGACGAGAACTTTGGAAGCTATCAGAGTGAAATCTACGGCAAAGGTGCCTTGATGGGTATCCTACCGAGCGTGACGACGGATCCCCGATTGTTGGAGGAGCAGGCGCGTAAGGCGCTTGGAGAGCGCTCGTTCAACTATGTCGCTGGGGGTGCGGGTGAGAAAGCGACGATGGATAGCAATCGGTTGGCATTTCGCCAGTGGAAGTTGTAAGTATGGAGGTGTTTTGTTCGGCTGGAAGTATGGGCTAAATTGGTTTCTATAGAATTCCACGGATGCTGCGCAGTGTTGGTCTTCTCTAATATTTATACTCTCTATCCTAAAATTCCTGAGGCTAGCCGCTAACTATCGTGAGGTATATATTAGATGGACGGCCAAGATGTTTCGGTCGAGATTTTCGGCCAAAAGTACGATAGCCCGCTCATCATGGCGCCCGTCGGCGTCCAGGGCATCTTCCACGAAGACAAGGAAACGGGTCTGGCACAGGTCTGCGAGGAGATCGGCATACCCTATATCATGAGTACGGCTGCCACAAGCACCATTGAAGAAGTGGCTGCGGCAAGCAATGAGGGTAAGCGGTGGTATCAGCTATATTGGCCCCAGGACAACGACATCACCCTGTCGCTCCTGAAACGAGCCAAGGCGAGCGGATTCTCGGTGCTGGTCGTCACGCTCGACACTTGGTCTTTGGCGTGGCGTCCAGCGGATTTGGATAATGCCTACGTGCCTTTCCTCAAGGGGGTTGGATGCCAGGTCGGATTTAGTGATCCTGTCTTCCGGGAGAAGTTCGAGAAAGAGGCTGGGTGCACGATTGAAGAGGATATTGTGGGTGCGTCGCGCGCATGGCTTGGTCAGGTTGCCGCCAGCGGCCCGCATACTTGGGAAGAATTGACATTCTTGCGAAAACATTGGGATGGCCCGATTGTCTTGAAGGGTATCCAGCATGTAGAGGATGCGAGGAAGGCACTGGAGTATGGGTGCAATGGAATTGTGGTCTCCAATCATGGCGGTACGTGACCTTTACTGTCTCCCTGGCATTGGTCCCAGGGACGCTTGTAACTTACATATCCTGGCAGGTCGTCAACTCGACGGTGCCATCGGGTCTCTGGATGTCCTTCCTGAGATTGTCGATGCAGTGGGCGATCAAATGACGGTGCTGTTCGACTCTGGCGTCCGAACTGGCGTGGACATCATCAAAGCGCTTGCCCTCGGCGCCAAGGCCGTGCTGGTCGGCCGACCAGTCATTTATGGCCTGGGCATCGACGGGCGCAATGGCGCAAAACAGGTGTTCAAGGCCCTGTTGGCAGATCTGTGGCAGAGCATGGGGCTAGCGGGGATCCGCACGGTGGCCGAGTGCGACCGGAGTGTGATTCGCAGGGTGCAGCATGCGGGCGATGTCAAAGCGATGATGTAGATTGATCGCGCACGAGCAGAGAACTACCTACTCTGGAGCTGTTGTACATAATGTCAGTCTTGAACTATCCAATACTCAACCCAGTTTTTCAACCCACCAAAAGCAGTCTATCAAGAATGCTGAAGTAAACAAGCTTTCGGCCCTCGACGTCATCCCAACGACGCGTTCGTTGGGAATCACATGTCAGCAGGGGCCAGGAACGAAAAGCGCGAACCAGGCACGTTGCCAGTTGGTCATCGAGGGGCAAGGCAGGGTCGGGACCGGGATCCCCATGGCTAGAACCCTCTTTTGTTCCATCTTTTCCTTCTGGACATAAACCCTGATCTATACATACACCTCATGGCTCATGATGTTTGCAAAACCTATTGAGCCTGAACGGGATCCACCGATCGAGACACAAGCGCAGATTATTAGTCTGGATACAAACGCGAGCCATGTACCCGCCACTTCCGGCACCACCCTACTGCCTCGCCCAGTCGCATCGTTAGTCTCGCTGCTCACTCAATCGACTTCGCTGTCATTGAGGGTTGGGACCTTCTTTGGTGGAGTCGCCTTGGATGGAGCGCGGGCAACGACGTTGACGGGTCTAGAACTGGGGCGTGCTGTTATCGAAGGTATTTTGACAAGGGCTGGAAGGGATGTCGCATTTCGCAGCGGCGATGAACATGGACGGAGAGAGGCGGAATCCTTGCTGGAGAGAAGTGTAGGTGCTCGGAATACTTCATGATACTTACTGCTGATGTGCAGAATACTAAAATTCACCTTCTAGTTGGCCACTCTACATACAACTGTGACCTCGGCATCATTCTTCGCCGCGGCCTCCTTTCATTTCTCATCCACGACGCTGGCGTCGGTTGCGAATTTCTCGCAGGCTCTGTTATCAACACTCGATGCGATTCTCGGATCTACCGAGTCGTCTAGGGCTATCGCGGCTATCATCACGCTCATCCGACGCGAGTTCCGATCCGTCGATGCTGCCGCCAGCAGCGAGAAGATTGGCGTGGGCGATCTCTTTTTGGGCTCTGTGGGATTTGCACTCCTGCAGCGCTGGGGAAAGAAGAATACGGAACGTACACTCCGCCAAAAAGGTGGCGATGAAGTGGTTTGGGATACCGTCATCTTGGACAGCGGTCTCAGAGCCGACGTTGTGGGCACACATCAAGTACACTTTCCGGATGGGAACCAGGAAGGACTGGTCGAGCCTGATAGTGCATCTTTCGTGATGCCGGCCCATGGCGATGAGTCCTTTGATGCGGTTCATCGACGACCTAGCATACCAGAAAGCTTTCCTGGGTCTCACCTGTCGATCCAATTAGATGGTCAGCAGCAAGTATCGGACGAAGACATTCGCTCTTATATCATGAGCCAATTGCCTCAAGGTTGTCATGCTACTATCAAATCGGAAGTTCTCACCGCACGCACCATCACGGTGGACATATTCGACGACGACATGGCTGAGATTGCTGCACCTCCGGGCACGACAATGATCGAAGAGCGGTTCCACCATGATCCTGAATGCAACAATACAAATGTTCCGGAATACCAGCGGCTTCCAAAACATACCGTGGTGTTTCGGACTGCTTTCAACAAATCTCAAAGCACCGAGCTCCGTCCTCACAACGGTTCACGTATCCCGAGTCCAACGGAGACACAACGTCCAAGAACTCTGCCTGGAGGCTCGGTATCGAATGGCCATGACAGAGCCCAGAATGGCCGAGCCCGTTTCGAATCCAATTCTCCGACTGAAGTTGCAATTGCGCGAAAAAATACAGTTAGCCCCGCATCTTCTAGTGATAATAGCCAGAAGTCTGGATTCGGGAAAGGCTCGTTCTCCAAGTTGGCAAAAAAAGGTGAAACCGAATGGACCAGCGGAGAATTCCGAGAGTACTAAGCGAGCACAACTCAAGAAGCCAGCACTGAAAACCCCCGGCTCGTTGAGTGCTCCAAACGTACGCCAACCCACCAGGCCAACGAAAGGCGCTGCCTCTGTCCGAGAAGCGACTGCGCGCGAGACCTCTGGCCAACCAGGACCCAAACTTCGACACACACAGGCAGTGGACTATCGACCCAGCACCCCAGCGCCGAATAGAGGCTTGCGCAGGTCGCCGTACCCTCACCCTCCCCAGTCCCCTCAATCGCCACGAGCACATGCTAGACACGTCCCTCCCCGCAATATTCCTGACCGGAGTAGCTCCAGGGCGGGGTTCTTTTTGATGCGTGAACAGAGTCAAGAATCGCTTTTGACTCACACAGATACCTTCTCACGCCGCAATGCGGATTTGCGCCCTGGCTCGCCGGCGGCTGCGATGACTCATGTGCGCAGCAGTAGCTCCATGTCTTTGACAAGATCCGAGGCAGATGGAACTGTTTCTGTGAATGATCACCGGCCCAGCTCGTCGGCGCTGCATGGACGGTCTCATTCGTATACTCCGAGTATGTACTCGGTTGCCACGGCGGGCTCGGAGACTTCGCTTTTGCTCGCGCATCGGCCTCGCAAAAGTGCATACGAGGATATGAGTACTATTCAAGCGTTGAATCGCGATGGCCTGGTACCAGGCATCTTCCCTGAGAGACACTTTGTTCAAAACATTCGCCGATTCTGCCGCTTCTCGTCTGCTTCTTATGGCGCTAGTGCGCTCAAGGTTATGGGTGTACCCAAGGGCACGAAAAGTCTCCCTACGGCTGTATCCGATAGCCATGAACACAGCGCGTTCTCGGATTATGCCGGGCTTCCGCCGTCGACTATCTTGCTCTCCTCTTTTGTTGATCCCGCAGGAGGTACGAATGCTGCTGGTGAGACGGAGAGCGGATTCCCGCTCGTGCACTATCTCTCAATCGACCATGAGTCAAAGGCAGTCGTTCTAACCCTTCGCGGAACCTGGGGCTTCGAGGATATCCTCACGGATATGACATGCGACTATGACGATCTAGAATGGCAAGGCAAGAATTGGAAAGTGCATAAAGGCATGCACGCCTCGGCCAAGCGACTACTCGAAGGCGGCGGTGGCCGGGTGATGATCACCTTGCGCGCCGCGCTGGAGGAATTTCAAGATTACGGCGTCGTTCTCTGCGGTCACTCTCTGGGCGGTGGTGTTGCAGCCTTGCTAGCAACGATGATTGCCGAGCCCAGCTGTGCCCTTACAGGCACATCCTTTGTGACGGCGTCATATCAGCCCGGTCTCCAACCACGCCTTATCACCGTTGACAGCGGCTCGCCTTCTACCGCAGCGCATACATCACCAGCCTACGATCTTCCTCCCGGCCGCCCAATCCACGTCTACGCCTACGGTCCCCCAGCCGTGATGTCCCCCTTCCTCCGTCTCGCCACCCGCGGCCTCATCACAACCATCGTCAACGGCTCCGACGTAGTCCCCAGCCTCTCCCTGGGCATCCTCCACGACATGCACACGGCAGCCTCCCTCTTCAAAAGCGACATCTCCGGCGCAAAATCCCACGTCCGCCAACGCCTGCACGAAAGTCTCCGCCAAAGCATCATCCACAAATTCTACGTCAACCAACCGCCACACGTCCTCCACGCCGGCGACGGCGTTGGCGAAGACGCTTGGGCATGGAAAACGCTCGGCCTGTTACGAGATGAGATGCGCGCGCCCAAACTGATGCCGCCCGGCGAGGTGTTTGTCGTTGAGACGATGCGCGTCTTGCAGCGGGAGGCGTTTACGGCGGCGCCTGAGTTTGGGACTGATGGGTATCCGAGGCTTGGGAGGCCGGCGACGAGGGTGCAGTTGCGGTTTGTGAGGGATGTGGATGCTTTCTTTGGGGAGTTGAGGTTTGCGTCGGGAATGTTGAGTGATCATAATCCGGCGAGGTATGAGACTAGTTTGGCTGCTTTGGCGAGGGGGGTGCTTGATGAGTGAGTGATTTTGGGAGGGGCGGTAGGGGGGTGAAATGATTTATGATTTATGAATGGGTTGGTATAGATTGGGAATATACGGATACGGATAAGGTGTGAATTTTGACATGGATATGGACATGGGTTTGTTTGGATATGGTTCGGTCTGGTTCAATTTGGAAGATGGGATATAGGGGTTTCATTTACACCTAGTTTTGGGATATTTTTCTTCGGCGATTTACGGTCATTTTACACATTTCTTTTCATTTGTCGAGTCTATTCACAATCTACCAAGGTTCCAGGGGCGTTCTATGCCTCGCGTCGACTCGATCAAACTAACACAATACGAACGCACTATGTGCCCAATCTACCAAGATAACCATTCAAAACTACGTCTGTGCAATTCTAACCTAATACATTTAAATTGAATAGACTTCCTTTTCTGCGAAGATTCCCGTCACGGCGCACCAAGACTATCCGATACTCATTGAGAAACGGCCATGCAATTTTGCCGAAGATTTACCGGGAAACACCAACATGATCTCCACGTCCAAGACAAGACCAGACCAAACTAAACTAAACCAGACAATATAATCAAGTCTGCTTCATACAATCGACTCACATATCTATATATTCAATCATGATTTACAATACGAAAAGAAGTATGAATCATAAAATAATACATTGCCTCGTAACTTTAGATTTTATATCAAGTCCCATCCATACCTCTCTAGTATATCCACCCAGAACAAAGTGAAAAAACAAAGGAAACATTCCAACATATCCAGGGTATCACTTCAACAAGCACCAACAGGATCCAAAAGCCAAAAAAATAATCAAAACCATGATCATAACAAAGTAACGCCGAATGTAGGCGCCCACACACTCGTAGGAATAATAAACATAGGCCGACCAGCGCATAGCAACGCAGCAGCATCGCATCACATCACATCACATCCGCCCGATCAAACCAAAATCTCTTTAAGACACCAACGCCTGCGGCGCGGGAACAGCCGGACGACCAGAGTGACAGCCCCGCTCGTGGCGCTTCATGTTACTGCGCACGGAGAAGGCCTTGCCACACCCTGGGTGGGTGCAGTGGAAGGGTTTCTCGCCCGTGTGCGAGTGTGAGTGGATGCGCAGACTGGATGGGCGCGAGAAGGCCTTGTGGCAGGTGCGGCAGATGTAGCGGTCGTGGTTTTGTTGGTAGGGCGCTGCGCTGGAGGGAGGGAAGTAGTGGTGGTGCTGGTGTTGGTGTGGCCAGGCTGGGGTGACGGGGGAGATGATGGAGGGGGATTGCTGGGTGGGTTGTTGCTGCTGTTGCTGTTGGGTTGGTGGTGTGGTTGTGTTGATTGGGGTTGGTGCTGGGTTGAAGGTTGTTGTTGCTGAGGGGCGGGGGTAGTAGAGGGGGGTTGTTGTTGTGGGAGCGGAGGGTTCCACGGGGGAGGTGTAGGTTGATGAGGTTGTGGAAGAGGCGGAGGAGGAGATGCTGGGTGCTGGGGAGGCGTAGGGCCCGTAGGTGTGGTGGCGTTGAGGCGCCGTGGAGCTGGCTGTGCTGGAGATGGAGGAGCGGTGCGGGTTGGGAGAGGTGTGTTTGGGGGTGTTGAGCTCGACGGGCGAGTGGGAGATGCTGTTGTGGCCGGATCCTGAGCCAGGACGGAGGGGTGGCGTAGGAGGCATACAGACAGTGTCGAAGCGAGCATCGCGCTGGTGAGCGGGTGGGCTTAGCCGTTGACGCTCTGGGTGGATTTGGTTAGCAATTGATCAGGTGAAACAGGTATGTAGTGTTTATTGTACTATCTATATCATAGTATGGTGGTATAGTACTATGATCTAGTTATAGTATCGCACTCATGTGGGATGATACTCACTAGCTGAGTGATGAGCTCCATCTGCACCCTCGAGCAACGTCGAGATTGAAGGCAGCGAACACTTCGGCTGATCCTCCACTGGAGGCGAAAGAGGCGCTTGTAGTGAGCGCTTGCCGTAGGTCTCGGTATAGAGCCTGGGCACCGGGGCGGCGCCGTGGAGAAGGCTTGCCAAATCCATGATGGTAGAATACTCCTTGTGGTTGTATGATCGAGAGGTCGGTCAGGATAGATATAGATCCGATAGATCAATACCGAAGGAACCTCAAGAGGTATGGGAGCGGAGGATGTATGGCAGGAAAAGGGTCGAACCAGAGGAAGGGAAGAGTATGGGGGAGGACACGAGGGTTTATACATCTCCAGGAGAGTTCCCAGAGCCAAGGGACCACGGCCACCACCAGCACCACCGCCATCCACAACCAGGTGGCCGGGTTTCGCGTGGATGATCGCCCGCGGGCGATGCCGATTGTGCCTCCTCCACTTTTTTGCCATTTCCACCTCCTCCACCCCGTAATTTTACCAGTACGATATCCAGTACACCCCAGTGGGGCTGGAGGGATGGCAAGGTCGAGGCCAGAGTATACACGGAGGATGGACGAAAGAGTACATACCCAATTAAACACCCTTCATGGACCGTACACGAGTACACACTCCAGGTCGAGAACTATACAGGACTGGAAAGATCCAGTATGAATGTCCTTCCGAATTCAACGCAAGCAGCAACAGGTGAGACAGTCCGTTCCAAAGCTTAATTTAATTAGCCATGGATTTATTTAATTTTCTTTTTCTCTCACATCATGATTTCCTTTGACTTTTTTGTATTTTGTATTTTGTATTTTCTTTTTCTTTTCATTTTATTTTTGGTCTCGGAGATTAACCCTGCAAGTGGAGCCGCCATGACGATTTGCCCACGCGAAGAACCCAAGTACGACAGCACCAAGCAAGCAACCTGGTCAAGGTGCATCTTCACCTATCAGCGCCTATCAGCATCCACTGTGATGTCTCTCTCTCTCTCTCTCTCTCTCTTTCCTCTCCTCTCCTCTCCTCTCAAAAGTCTCTGCCAGTGCCTTCTTCCCCATCCTAACTGACCCTCTAGGCCCTAACGCAGTGGCTCGATGCGGGTCTATCCTGAGCAACAAGCATGGCCACGCCGAACTAGACCGGAATAAGAAAGCACTGGAGAAAAAGAGGGCCTACCAGGATGAGCCAAGCTAGACTCGATCGGGGAGGCCGGAAAGTCCCCGTTCACCTCGGCTACGGTTAGTGCAGATCCTGCTTACCTGTCACATACTAGCCCCATAAACGGCCGATCGCACCGAACCTGATCGTACGTCGATCCTTCGCGGGTTTTGCTTTTCTGTTCGCTCTTTTGGCTTTAGCGAGGGGAGCCTTTTTCTTTTGCCTTTTTTTTTTCTCTCTTTTCTCGTATTGGTGCGTATTACGTGGTGTGCATCTGCCGATGCCCATCTTAGACTTCTCCTCTGTGCACCGTGCGGGAGGTGTAGCTCTGTGTCTGGAGTACGAGGGGGATGATACTTTCAATTCCTCTGGTATTTGTACCTCAATGGTGGAAGATTTCATCATGCTTATTACAGAGCTCAAAGTATATACCCATAGTCCCATCACCACAGTCTTTTTGCCTCTGCCTCCTCCTTCCTTCCTCGAGAATCTCACCCAAATGCCCTGGATTTCCCCAAAACCCGAAGACCCCGGATTCTTCCAGAGAACTGTCGCGTGGCTAAACGGGGGGGAAAAGACAGCGAGAGACACCAAACCTAGACACGCCAAACGGGAAGGTCATACTGGTGGATCCCGGGCGCTAAACCGAAAGCAAGCATATCTCCGATGGGGCCAGAACATCCCCTGCGAAGTGTACTCAGCGCCCGCTGATTTCCTTCCCGCTGCTTTAGCGCCCTCAATGTGCTGGCCAACAGTTCCCTGGTTTCAGGAGATGGGGGACCACATGGATCATCATTGGTTCTTTTTGGATGGACTGTCATTTCGATATCTGCCACCTACCTATGCAACCTTTCCATGTTTTTCATCAACCATGATTCCGTATTGATTCATTTTTTTTATACTTGTTCGTTTATCTCCATACTCCGTAGCTCCGTACTCATCACGGTGGTTGTGCTGTGTTTTTGTGACTCGCTTCGCAGGCTATGATGACGGGGGTGGCGCCTCCTAAGCGCTCGGGACTCCCATGTGGGCTCGCTTAGAAAAACCTTACTCTGCCTGGGCCTGCATATGTGCTGTACTGCATAGACTTTTGGGAGGGTCTGTGAGTTTGTAGGAGAGTTTCACCGTACGAGGAAACAAGTTATAGGATAGGAGGAGCTGGAAACACTGTGAACTTGGCTCTGCGCTGCAGAACCCACCACCCTCAATACCTTCCTGTGTGGTAATGCACGGTCGGCGGGTCGAGGGTTCCTCCTCTGATCATGATCAGCACCGACATTTCAAGAACCATAATTATAGAAATAGGCATTGCTTTTGGGTTTTGGTGGAGAAGAAGGAATACATAATAAGACGCTGGGAACTGAAACATCATGTCAACGAGGAAGGTGCCAAAGATCAGAAACCCAAAAAATGTGACGATCGGACTGTAGAAGGGGTCTTCCTGCATCTTCTTTCGAGATTATTCTCAGTGTTCTCCTGAAGATCTCAACTTCCCGAAGTAGGGCGACCGAGACCCGAAAACGGACTGGGCGGGAAGAAGTCATGGAGAACAGAGCGAGACCCGCGCGACCAGCCTCTTTGGGCCGTGGAAATGATCTGAGTGATCGGCGTTCTGGAACGAAAGGGAGCCGTTGCCTTTTCGTCCACGGCAGTTCAGCCAGAGGGTCGCAGAGTACGTACGTACTTCTGTGCACTTTTGCCAGAGGGGCGACTGGAGGGAGGGCTGCTCCGCTGCTGGGCTGGACTAGCCAGGGCCGTGCACGATTTCTGCACCGCCCGCGATCGAGGATTGGCCGTTAGCAGTGGGGTTTGTGTTCCCGACCTCGTGGAAGCGAAGGCTCCACTGGGCTTAGCCGTTTTGATCAGGATCGCCTGCTCCGTGCATGTCGATTGGCTGTGTAGGCCGATGATTCAGCAGGGTACGTACACCCATACATGGGTTTTGGGTGGGATATGATACAGTTTGCACTGTGCTCGGTACATTCGGGACATCCGTGGATCAGGTTTGAATGGTACCGTAGAAGTTTGGTGGAATGAGTTTAACAGGAGCAAAATGTGTGAAAGGCAATTAGAAAGAAGAGGAGGAGGAGGAGTCAATGATGACTCTCGTCCCAGCACAGACAAATACCTCCTGTAGGAGGAATCACTCGTGAGAATAAGCTGGCGGTATCTGTTTCATCCTCGAGCTCAACACTGCAGTAAAGCGCGTGGAAGAGGGCTCGAGCGTCATGATCCACGCCTTAGGGCGATCGCTCCTGATCCCTCTAGACAGGAAAGAGACGAAGAGTGCAGAGGGAAAACGCCATTACGCCCTGGTTCGGCAGATCATCTCTAATTGGAAGGACCCAGGAGAAACCATCGTAGGAGTATGTAGGTTAGATCCAACTATGGAGAAGTACTAATCAACACCATACAGTGTTGGCGCTTTGGAGTCCTTGATCAAATAAACATCAAGATTGATCAAATTCGCCAGTTACGTCTCCACCACTTCACCACCCGGCACTTCTCATCAGGATCGACACTCCAGAGCCCAGCGTTAGAATTCCGCCAAGCATGATTGGCGCCCCTTGCGGCTCGTCGGTCGGCTAGAGATGCGGTCCCCCAATTTCCCATGACGGAGTCTGGTTAACTCCGCAGTGACATTCCTTCCTCCTCCCTATGGTGCCTGCGCTTCGGTCTGGCCAGGTCGACTGTACCTTTAGCTAAAACTTTGCCGACTATGGAGCTGTGTGTACCGTCGGTTCGGACGGGGAAGCTTTCATCATCTTCGTCTTTTTACTGGGTCGTGGAATGTGGAACGGGAACGAGGATCATTATTGAACAAGGAAAATGGAACATGCAACCTCAAAATCCGCGCAAAAGACCTACACAGTACTCCGTACTTACTACATAGTACGCAGTTACATAGAGTAGTCTGTACTCCGTACAAGCAGGGTACTGTACATACCAGGATCAGGATCAGGATCAGGATCCGCTCAATGTCAATCTGCTGCATCCACTCTTTCATTTCCACCACCTAAACTCTGTCGACGAGACATTCCTCTCTCGAATGGCCATCCAGCCACCCCGAAGTTAAACCGGGAAAATAGTGGCCCGGTCCCGGCCGGACGGCGCCTTCTCAAAAGTAAGTAGTATTCCATACGGCGCAATGGACGGAATAATCTGCGGGAGTCGTAGTGAAGCAAATTTGTGGGAGGAAGATGACCATATCTCATCCCACGCTCTGCCGTGGCCGTAATTAAGGAGTGTTGTAGCGTGTTCCGAAGGGTCTTCGGCTCATACGACAGTACTGGTAGCTACCAGCTATCACACGTAAAACGTGGCGCGGCCAGGCTATCCCGCTTTGAGCTCTTCGCCCGGGTACCGTGGTGATCGATCGGGGATCATCCGGGGGCGTCCAAGCGTGGCCCCCATGGCCACGCGAGACAAGCCCCCCCTTCCCCCTTTTTTGTGCCCCTGGGATGTGATCTAACCATTGTCGTTCAAAGTTGTTTATCTTTTGCCGCACTTTCCTCTTTATGGATAACTATGGTTTGCTTTTTCTTTGCGTCCAGAGTCAAATAATAATAGTGAGGCATCGGCCATAGTAATAATAGACATAATAGTCAATCGACTATCGACCATGCGCGCAGAACCCAGGAAATCGTCACTTATGTGGAGTCAGCACAGGCCTGTCTATGTACGTTTACGAGGTGCGTTTGAAGGATGATTCGAGGATTCATTCGCGGAATGAATCATTCTCGCTATAATTATTCCAATTATTGACATATTATTGTTCTTCGACTACGGACTCCGTACATAATGTGCCCTTTTTGCCCTAACCACGCGTGGTTCGCTTGACGAACACATGGCACTTGCATGATGCAGCCGCACCCCGTATGACCACGCCTGCATCTGACCTCTAAGAATGTACTTTTTTTACTTTGTTCTAGGCACAGCCCAGTCGTGTCTCCCTGGATTACTTTGCATAGAACTTGTTTTGTCGATTGTTAAAAGGAGGGG